CCGTTAAAAACCTAACGGAAATTGCTGACGTGGATGCAACGGCATTGACATGACAGCTGACCTGGAAACAACAAGGCCATATACAATTATACACGGTCGTATATCTTTCTTTTTTATTATTATTATTTTTTTTATAATATATATTGATTTGAAATAGTTGATATAGTAAAAATGAAAAAAAATCAGTATCAATAAAATATATCAATTTTGATTTCAATATAAAAAATTTAATCGAGTATGTTCTTTTTAAAAATTTTGCCTACAATTTTACTATTTATCAATTTTTTCCTCCCATAAACAATCAATTATACACTTTTTTTAATATTTTTTATACTATTATATTAATATTTAATTTGGCATTTCAAAAATATTTGTTTAATTGGATGTTCATAGGAGTGAAAATTTTGGTGATGTGTAAAATTTTAGATACAATTTTCCAAAAGAATATACCTGATAAATTTTTTATATTGAAAATAAAATTGATACATTTTAATTATATCGAGATTACTATTGAATTTCTTCTATTTTAACGATATCTAACTATTTGAAATTCAAAATATGTTTTCTTTTAAAATATACAAAAAATATAAAATTTTAGACCAAAAAGAAAGGTACACGTGTATAATTGTGCACGGCCGTATGACAAACATGGTCGTGTATAATTGTACATTACCGTATTTTTTCTAAGTCAGTTGTCATGTCAACGCCGTTATGTCCACATCAGCAATTTCCGTTAAATTTTTAACGGTGAGACTAAAATTGATTAAAATTGTTTTTATATTTGGACCAAAATTGATGAATTTTTTATATTGCGACCAAAATTGATTAATTTTAATTATATTGAAACCAAAATTGATTTTTTCCTCTAATATTTTATACCACATATGATGTATATTATATTTTCATATGTTATCTATACTATTTTTATAAATTGATTGGAGCAATCACCACAGTGCCGATAAATTCTCATTTAGTTGAAATTTTGATAGAAATTAATTGTTGTGTTTTGCATAATTAAATGTTGTTGGATGGAAGTTAGATTGTTTGAAGATGAAAGACATCATTTTGGTCCACATCAATAAAGACAAAAAAAAAAAAAAAAAAAATTAAAAAAAATTAAAAAATTAAAATATATATATATATATATATTTGTTGTCTTGTAGGTTGTCCCTTTTGTTCAAAATTTGGGGCACTTCATAGTTCATAGTTATATTAATTACAATGAGACTTATGTGCACCTTTGATCATCAATGCTTTTTAAACTATTGATTTGTGTTATTCGAAAAAATTATCATAGTATCATATGTTTTATAGAAATATATTATGTATTTTATAAAATTATGCATGTGCGCTAAATTCTTGTGTTGCATTTTTAAAATATGTCTATAAATGATGTTTAATATGAATTTTTTATCGGTGTTTTCGAAACTTAGTCAATGCTATTTAAAGAAATCAGTACGTCAAAGTAGCACTGTAACCTATATCATATTATATATATTGAAAATCGAATTAGTAAAATAAGTGTTTAAATGAACAAAACCTTAATTTCTTCAAAATTTTAACTAAATGATATAGTAATACAAAATTAAAGTAAAAACGTTAAAACAAAACTCGAGAATCAAAGTACAAAATTTTAGATAACAAAATTAGGCACCTTAATGTCCAGGGAATAGTCCCTCGTGGGCCAAAAAGTATTCATTATTATTATTTTTCCCATTTTTTTTCAATTTTGGACAATTTTAAAAATAGCATTCCTTTTATTCATTAAAAAAGTATGACATTTATTATCTTTATCACTTCAAACACAAACTACACGATCGCTGTATTATTTAAGTATCATTTTTTTTAATTGTAATTTTTCGAAAATAATAATAAAAAATAAAAAATATTTTATACAAAAGTCAAAAGATTAAAAAAATAAAAATCAAATACTCGTTATTAAAAGTAAAAAGAATATTACATAAAGTCGAATATTCTAAAGCAATACTATATTTTATTGGCACAACTGTTCATACCATATACCAAAAATTATTTCATCATGAATAATATTTTTAGTAAATTTAACTTGCATATTATAAATATTTTTAAACATATGTATATATATATATATTTATATCAATATCATTAAATCAATTAAATCACAAAGGCAAAGCAAATCTTTTGTTCTTTAGACGGAAAATACCACCAATTATCATTTTTACATACTACTTCATTTGTCCTGTATACTTATCAGTTTTTCTATTAAACTTATGTATAATCTATATATTTAGAGAACTTTATTCATTCATAATTTTATTATTTTTACTTTATTAAATAATAGTAAATTTTTATTTTTACAATTTATTTTGCTATTTTTTATTAACTTTTTAACCATTCAACATACAAAACACCATCACAAATCTACATATATACCAAGTAACAAAAATATTTAATATTATAAACACTAAGGGTGTGTTTGTTTGGGGGTTTGGATTTTGGATTGGGATTTGAATAGTAAAAATTTTGAATTTGAATAGTTGTATGATGTGATATAAATAGGGTTTGATGTGATGTTTTGAATGTAAAATTTATTTTTAGTATAATATAAAAAATGAAAAATAGGTGTTTGATTTGATGTTTTTGGGGGGAAAAAATTGGACGAATAGTGGAAATCCTCCAAAATCCTTCAAACAAACACACCTTAAGTGTATATTTGGTTGTAGTTTAAAATTAATTTAAAATGAAGTGTTACATTTGAATTTTGATTTAATAGTATTTTTTGATGTGATATTTTATAAAATTAGAGTAAATAATGTATTATTGAAAACCGTATGATGTTTTTTATTTGAAATATATATATATATAAATTAAAATAAAAATAAAAAAGAGAGGGAGTGTGTTTGTTTTAGGCATGAAGATTTAGATTTTACATAGTAAAATTTGAATTAAAATAGTTATTTTAATATAATATGGATAAATATAATAATTTGAATATAAAATTGTCTTTTATATCTATAATATAAAATTATAAAAAAATATTTTGAGAAAAAAAAATTTTATGAGTAGTGAAATACATATATATATATTTAAAAAAAAATAAGGAAACATATATGCCCTAAATAAATTTTATTTTTGATGAAATTTTTACTAGAGAAGAAAAGTATTTAATGTAAAAATATTATTATAATCGATATATTGGTTTTATTTTTATATATAGACTAGAATTTAGGAGTTTTGAAAAAAAATTAGAATAATAAAAAAGTTTATATCTAATGATAGTTATGAAAAGTAAGCTGATGTAATGTTGTTTTTTCTTTAGAATAAAGAGTAGGGAGTAAAAATAAAAATTAAATAAATATTGTTTAAATTAAAATTCCAAAAGTTTCTGGTAGGGATTTATACTCTCAACCTATTACCTTCAATTTTAGGACTTATTTTCCACATGCTAAATATTACTTTTTTGGGTGAAACTTATGTACAATTTTATATAACATTTTATTAGACATTTATGAATATTTCATTGGATTTTGATTTAGAAAAATATTTTTTTTCAAATTATTTTTAATACAAAAGGAGTACTATAGTATTTCAAAATTCATTCCAGACTTATTTACATGCGTTTTATTTGTCTTTTTTTTTATTTTGTTGTTTTAGCATTTTATTTGTATTGTTTTTATGGGTTTGTTTGTTTGACTAAATTTTTATCTATACAATTCACAGTATATTTATTATATTTTACCATTTTATAAAAAATTAATATTCAACATAAAATATTATATTTTTACAGTAGACTTAAATTCCACGAAAGAAATATTTCAAACTAGAACTAATTTTTGGGGTTATTATGCTTTGGTTTTAATTTTTTTATTTGAAATTTATTTTATTTAATATTTTGTAAGAAAATATAAATATATTTTAATAATAATGTTTTTGAGACAAAATAATAATTAATTTTACTTTTGAATAAAAAAATTGATATATTAAAAAAGAACCTATCGAACCTACCAGAGTTCTATGGGAATTAGGGAAAAGGTTTGAAAAAGAGTAAAGTGTGTTTGTTTTATATTTCACATTAAAATATTAATATTCAATTTGTATTTTTAATAAAAATATTATATCATAATCAACACATTATTTCAAGTTACAATCAAACACAACTTAAATAACTAAGTAATTTAATAATGCAACACATTTTAGAAAATAATATCATTAATTTAATTAATTAATTATTATTTTTAAATTTAGTAATATGAATAAAGAGAAAGTCAATTTAATACACAATATCCACACAGAAAAATAACATACATGCACACACAGTCTAAGTGCACGCAATCACTACATCATAAACAAAAAAACAAACACAACAAGATAATAATAATAATCATACACACATATATATATGCACACTACAAAAATTAATTCTATGCACGAAGATAAACATACACAATCACGTATATAAACAAACATACACACACGTATGGACATATTAATAAGAAAATCAACTTTATATATGCAAGCATCCAACAACAAAGTCGTGTAAATAAATTCATTGGAAAAGAAATGATATGAATAAATAAATAAAATTCAATCAAACATACCAGAAATAGTTAAACAAACATTCATGGCCAAAAACTAAATGCACAATATAGTGTTAAAACTAACTTTATTAGGGCAACACACACATTTCTGTCATTAACTTATATTCATGATCTGCAGAATATCCATCAAAATCAACATTATAAATGCACAAAATAAAGGTTCAATCAAACTTATATATATACATCTAAATATTTCAATGGTAAAGTCAATTGATCATATAATATACATATAGCAAATACATCATTTGCATGCACCTTAGCAAATACGTCACAAACATTCTTACAAAAACATACATTCATATATAGTGTAAGAAACATACCCATCCACATACATGCATATTCATCCATCCATCCATCCACACACATACATACACACACATCCACAGACACATACACCCACCCATCCATCCACCCACCCACCCACCCATACATACATACATACATTCATACACACCCATATACATACACCCAAACATACATACATACATTCATCCATTCATACACACACCCATATATATACATTCACCCATCCATCCACCTACACACACACACACACACACATACATCCATACATGCATGAATGCATTATTTATATATATACATACTTGCATGCATCTTAATAAATTGCCATAATAACATTTCAAAAACATTGCATTGCAATAAAGAAAGTTATTGCTCAATTCGAAAATAGCAAAATAAATATACTAAACATAATATACAACATATATAAATCATAATGCATGCATACAATTTAATATGTTATTATAGTTATCAACTTCATTCCAAAATACTTTTAAAAAACCACTTAAATTTATCTTAGTAAACTTATAAGGATCATGTAAAAAGTACAAACATAATATATACTTGCACATAACACATACACACCCATACACATATATAAGCATATAACAAAGTCGATTAAATATGCATTAAGAGAAAACACAACAACTAATGATCTACATACATACATACAACAAAAAAAAAAAAATAAATCAACTTCTTTTATGCAAGCACAAAAACATAAAAAAGAAAGATAAATAAATAACCTTTGTAAAAAACTTACCTTATGCATTGGAACCTTATGTTCACTTCCGATGTCCTGAAAATAGAAGAGTGTGTACCTATCAATTGTCAAGAAGTAATTTCACTCATTTGATATAAACACACACACATATCTGGAGCTTGATGTAAATAACTTTAAAGCCCTTACCAAAATCTTGTTGTCGACTGACTGCACAAAGGAAACAACAAAAAAAGAAAGTAAAATATAATACAACAGAAAATTCTATAAGATGGTAAAGGCAAATAGATGGTCTTAATGCATGCTTTTAACATGAAAATTAGACATAGACTTAAAGTGCATAAAGTTTCTAATGTTAGGGTTGAAAAACAAATCCTAACATGAATTGCATATGTAATGATCATACAAATGTGAGTAAACAAACATCACTCACCAAATGAATTGCATGTTCCAGACAAGAAATGCTGCAGGGAGCCAAAAGAAAAAAATATAACTAATTTTGATAAAGTGAAAACACTAATGGTAGGAGAAAAAAAACTGAGATTTTCAACAATTTATAAGAAAATAGTTTTGACAGAACCCAGAGTTGAGTAGAACCCGAAACAAACCAGAACTGATATAGGCTCAGACCAGTCCCTGATCCAGACCCAGACCAAGACCCAAACCAGAAGCAAATCCAGACCCAGATCCAACCAAGAGCCAGAACCAACAGAGACCCGAACCAGACCCAAATCCAAACGCAACCCAGACCCATTATCGGAACCAAACCTGAACCAGACCCAAACCCAGACTACTACTAACCCAGACCCAAACCAGAAGGAAATCCAGACCCGGACCCAACCCAGACCCAGAACCAACACTGACCTGAACCAGACCTTGAACCAGACCCAAATCCAGTCCCAGATTCAGACCTAGAACCTGACCAACCCAGACCCGTAATCAGAACCAGATCTGAATCAGACTCAAACCCAGACTACAACTGACCCAGACCCAAACCAGAAGCAAATCTAGACCCAGGCCCATCCCAGATCCAGAACTAACACAGACCTGAACCAGACCCAAATCCAGACCCGTAATCAGACCCAGCCCTGAACCAGACCCAAACCCAAACCAGACCCAGGCAATGATCTGGACCAGCTCCGGCCCTACTCCAACAATGGGATTGCAATTTTTAATTTGTGAATTTCAAGCTACAAAATGAAGGTTTAAACATTTACGAAAGTGTAGTAGTGAAGACTATCCAATTATGTAAAAGTTTGAGTTAAATTTAATATTTTTGTATGGCAAATGGATAGTTTTACATACCATTGCTTAGACCACAAATATTATTAGAGAATAAAAGAACGAGAATAGAGATGCCCTCATAAGAAAAGAAGAGGCCAATATAATAACAAGAACATAGATTCTTTAGTAGGGACTGAAATTTGGGGATAGAAAATTTGAATTGAAATAGTTAATAATGTGATATAAATAATTGATGTGATATTTTGAATGTAAAGTTAATTTTTAGTAGAATATAAAAAATAAAATAAAAAATAGGTGTTTAATTTGATATTTTTAGGTAAAAAAATTTGTATAAATAGAAGAAATCCTTCAAAAGCTTAGGATCTACCTAGCGCAACATGGGAAGTAATCTTTACAAGTAGGATGCAAGAAACCAAAAGAAACTGAACAATAATAAACTAATTCACTGTCGAAAAAGTTGGATTTTATAAAGACAAAAACATGATTTTATAAGAAACTCAATGAAGGATCTGAAACACGGATGCAGACGTAGTAAAAATGTTCATATCCATGTTTAAAAATGTGTCCATATCCCTAACTTCAATAAATTAGGGCATGATTTCTAATTCAGTATCAACGAAACTTACAATAAAGAAACTCAAATTTCACACCAAGCATATACACCACCAATTTTACAGATCTAATTCACAACTCAATATCAATCAAACTGTAGAACAATAACCAATCAATTGTTTCTTAGGTTTCAGTAGACCTTAAAGTGTAAATTACATTCTCTTTGTAGAAAAAAGAAAAAAAAAAACCAACAAATTTATAGAACAGAACATACAGAAAAATTCCCAACAGATCGATCAGCAGAAATAAATTAACTTCAAAGGAAAACTAGAATCCCAAAGATTTACCTCCAACATAAACCATAATCAAGTTCTTCCAAATAGTCACTCAAAAGTGACGGAAACTATGAGCCTGAATAAATCACAATTCACAAATCTCAGTTAGTCAGAGTAACAAGAAATTACATATGTTTAGGCACACAGTTTAATTTATTGATTAACAAAGAAACTGACAGGATAGGAAAGAAAACACCAGCTTCTCGCTATAAAAAATTCCTGATGAAAATACCTCAATATGGTTGGCAATCATTATTTCAAGAGAAGACATAACCACCAGAGCAATACACTGAGAAACCAGAAAACATGCCTGTCTCGCTTAAAACAGAACATAGAGATGAAGAAACTGCGTCGTTCGATATCCTTCCATCCATCGCCAGAAAACTGATATTAACTATACCAGAACACGCTCACAAGTCACAACCATCCTAATTCAAAAAACATGGTATTAGAATTCATAGTTGATATTACAAAAGAAAGAAAAGGAGTGAAGGAGATATACGATAAGGATTTACATCTTTGCATCACAAAAGTTTGTCGAGAAGTTAATTGACTACGCCATTGCTGAGACCATACCAGAGAATTGTCTCATCGATCGATACTCAAACCCTAGAAAGACGGCAAGAAAGCACCAGCTTCTCGTGATAAAAAATATCCTCATAAAAAACCTCAATATGTTTGGCAATCATTATTTCAAGAGAAGACATAACCACCAGAGCAATACACTGAAAAACCAGAAAACATACCTGTCTCGCTTAAAACAGAACATAGAGATGAAGAAACTGCGTCGTTCGATATCCTTCCATCCATCGCCAGAAAACTGATATTAACTATACCAGAACACGCTCACAACCATCCTAATTCAAAAAACATGGTATTAGAATTCATAGTTGACATTACAAAAGAAAGAAAAGGAGTGAAGGAGATATACGATAAAGAATTAAATCTTTGCATCACAGAAGTTTGTCGATAAGTCAATCGGCTACGCCATTGCTGAGATGATACCAACGAATTGTCTCATCGATCGATACTCAAACCCTAGACAAACCAAAAAAAACCCTAGACACACCAAGCATAATCACCGATCGCCTCCCCAATTTAATCGAATAGAATCGGTACCAGAATGGTTGCACCTGTCGCATTCTATCTGAAATGCAAAGCCGAAACGACGACGGCGATGAGAATTGAGATCGCTCCCTTCGAAGATGGAACCGCGGCGACGGTGAGCACCTCTCTCTCTCTCTCTCTCTCTCTCTCTCTTTCTCTCTGTGTGTCTTAAGAGTGTCTGAATTTGAGAACTTATAAGCAAAACGTTGCTGCGTACCCACGCAACCTAACGGTCATTTCCGTTACAGAATTAATTATATATATTTTATTACCTTTTTTAATACCCTAATTAATTATGTATATTTTATTACCTTTTTTAAACTCTCTAGTTACTTAATTTTCAAAATTTACAATTAATTATGTATATTTTTTTACCTTTTTAACCCTTACAATTAACTATGTATAATTTATTACCTTTTTTAACCCCAAATTTTCTAAGCTTAAATTAATTTTGTATATTTTCTTACCTTTTTCAAACTCCTCATCATTTAATTTTAAAAACTTACAATTAATTATGTATAAATTTATTACCTTTTTTAACCCCTCACTACTTAATTTTCAAACCTTACAAACTAATTATGTATTTGAACATTGGGTATGTTAATTATTTGTGATTTTTATTATATATGTAATTTTTAATGTTATGTATCAGAATATCAATAATATAAAAAAAAAATAATTAATTAATTTTTTATCACATTACAAATTTTTGATCAATTTTGATTTTATTTAAATAATATTTTTTTAAAAAAATATATAAATTATGAATTAAAATTAATTCAAAATTTTTACTAAAACTTTTATATATTATTTAATTATGATTAAATAAAATAAATTATTATTGTTTTGAATTATTTTTTAAATATTAAATTTGATGATTTTTTTTATTTTAAATAACTGTAAAACAATATTTTATTGAATTATAAAATATATTAAATAATTTTTTAAAAAATAAACATAGATACTAAACAAGACTGAAATATGGCTAAAATTGATCTGAATTTTCAATTGGGCTAATATTGATTAGTGTAGTTTTACAATAAGACAAAACTAATTGTTTTTATGAAAAAAATAATAGTGTTTATTTTGTGAAATAATTTAAATATATTATATATTTTTTATATAAAATTATATATATATTATAAGAATAATAAATATGTATTATATATTAATTAATTAAAATGTTATGTTAACACAGGCAACTAACGGTCATATTTTTAAATATTTACATAATTAATTATGCATTTAAATATTCTGTTGGACTAATAATTAATTATTTATTTTTGTGAAGAGTAGATGATGTTGGTATTTATATATGTTGTAAATTGATGAAAAGTAATATATATAAATATTTTTATGTAAAAATTAAGCTTATTTTATTATTATAATTTGTCTGGTAAAAGATATATTAAAATAGCAAACGGAGGGAACACTAAAATAATTTATATTACATTGTTTTTATATATTTTCGTTATTTTTTTATTATGTTAATTTTATAAATGTTTTAAAATAAATTTGAATGTATATGACTAAAAAAAATTAAAATATATATTTAAATATTTTAAAAAGTATATTCCAATAAAAAAAAATATATGTAATATAAAAATTATTTTGTAAAGAATATATTTTTTTATAAAACAAGTAAATAAAGAAAATATATTTATTTATCTATAATTAATATAGATTAAATTTATAAAAAAGATACATTTTAAATATAAATATAAAAATAATTATTTTTTAGAAGAGATATAAAAATAAATTAGTTTTGAATGAATCATGTTATATATTATTATATATTATATAGTTAATTAAAATGATGAGAGAATATAATGAAATTTGAAATTTTGATTTTATCAAAATTAGTAATAAACTAAATTTAAGAAAAAATAAAGTAAATGTGACATGAAATGTCAATTTTACATTAAAATATAATATTAACCAATTATTAATTTAAATAATTATTATTATTAAAATTCAAAATAAAAATTCTACATACAAACATGTTTTTTATTTGATTGTCCTTTAAAAAGTTAATTTGAATTTTAATGTAAATAATATTTTAATTTGATATTTTATTAAAACTATGTCACTTTTCTTCTTTCTTTTAATTGTTGCTAAACTTATACTATTAATTTGCTAGTAAATTTTTCATAATACTTATTTTACTTTTTATTATCACATTTAACATTAAAATATTATACATATATATATATATATATATTTAATTTGTGTTCACGCAAGCCCAACTAAGTTTCGGAAGGGAGTATAATTTTAAAATGCATGAGCAAAATCGATTTTATTATTATTATTATTATAAATTATAATAATAATAATAATAATAACAATAACGGACTGGTACGGCAGTTAGTTACCATGCAGCCAGTGGCGGTTGCGGAAGGAGTTGCAACGATATATATATATATATATATAAAGAGCAGTGGTGTAGCATGCAATATATGGAGGATATTGGATATATGCTAACATACTCTGCTGTACTGTGAACGTTGATGAAGAGCCAACCGTACTACTGATCTGAGGAGCGAACTGTAAAGCTAGTACTATTTTCACGATTCAATTCGACGCTATTATAGATTAATGGCGGCAACGGCGAATGATCAGTGGACGAGAACAGCACATGTATCAATGCTGGCGGTGCAGGTGTTGTACGGCGGCAGTCACGTTGCTACCAAGGCCGCACTCGACAACGACGTCGATGTTTTAGTCTTCTGCGTTTATCGAATCTTCGTTGCGTTTTGTATTCTCGCAATAATCGCCTATTTTTGGGAAAGGTAAGTATCATCCTTCTCTTCTCATCTCATCTCATCTCGCTTTTTACCTGCTCCGATCAGATCTGTGGCGGTTTCCTGCACTTTTTGCTACTAAATTTTGGTTGAATTTCGTTTCAATTTCAATTTTCAATGTTCTAGGTTTTCGTCTGGTTTGGTTTGGTTTGGTTTGGTTTAATCTGTTAGATGTTAACTCGATCGAAGCTTATCGAAATTCACTCGTATCTTGCATTGTGGAAGTATTGTAATGTATTTATCTGAAATATTGATGAAATTGTTGTGCGTTCTTAGCAATCTGAATCGTGCAAACTAAACTGCAAACGTTTAGTAAATCCGAAATTTTCTGTAGCTAAACATTTTCGTTTGATTTGGTCTAATCTGTTAAGTGTTAAAACGATCGAAGCTAATCTAATTCGAATCTTGTAGCTGTGTAATTAAGTATTTTGTTTTTTGAAATATCGTCAAAATTAATTGTTCTCTGTTCTTAGCTATCAGAAACATGAAACTATTAGTAGATCATCCAAATTATTGTGAAACTAAGAGCTATCTGTTGATAATGAATATGGTGAATGCAGAAGGCAACGGCCGCCGTTTAAAAAGTGCTATATATTGCGGTTCTTCCTTCTCGGACTAACTGGGTGAGTAATTGGAAGATATATATATATATATATATGTATACAGTTGATCTTGAAATAATACTATTGGATTCAGGATTATTGGGAACCAACTGATGGTTCTTTATGGGCTTAAGCAGACAGATCCAACTTATGCTTCTGCTTTACAGCCTGCTATTCCAGTCTTTACCTTCTTTATAGCTGTGATATGGGGGTTAGTCTCTTCCCTCTCTCTTTATATGTATATATGTATATACGGTTTTTTGTACTACCTTTAACTAGAGGGTTAACTAGTCTACCCGACTCGAATTTTAAGTGTTTGTGTTCGTTCGTTAATGTTCGCGAACAAAGCTCGTGTTCGTTCGTTAAGCTTTTAAGTATGTTTGTAGTGTTCGAGCTCGGCTCGTTAAGGATTTTTATTGTTTGAGCTTATGTTCGACTCGTTTAAGCTTGATGAAGCTCGTTCGAGTTTGTTCTAGCTCGTTTGTCTCACTTTTTAATTTATATATAAATTAAGAAAATTTAAAATTATTTTATCTATTTATTTTAAATTGATATTTTTTATTTATTTATAAATTATAATTTTATATGTATATATAATATTTATATAAATATATTATTTTAACGAACGTTCGCGAACAAAGCTCGGACTCATTCGTTAACCAAACGAGCTTGTTTATATTCGCCTTGGCTCGTTAATATTCGCGAACGAGCTTCTACTGAACCGAACCGAACCGAACTGAACCTTGTTCACGAACGACTTGGTTCGTCTCATAGCTCTACCTTTAACTGGATATGAAAGTATTCAAATTTCAATGTATGAGAAGTAGACACCATTGAATCACTTCAAGTTGTGTTCGGCATAGATAATGAAACTTTGGAAAAATAATATTCCCTCTGTCCCACATAATTTATCCTTATTTTTTATTTCTGTTCATCCCACATAATTTATACACTTTAATCATATTTTAAATTTATATTTTATAAATTTTTTAATTTTAATTAAACTGTTTAGTTATTTTGATCTTAATCATAATTATTATTAATAATATACTTCTTAATTATTTATTAATTATATTTTACCTAAATTCTCGTGTCTACGGTAATAGGTCCATGTTACATGGGATGAAGGAAGTAATAAAGAATAAAATTGAAGACAAAAGAATTAAGTATAAAATAATAATCTATTTTTCTATTTGGTTAAACAAAAAACTGTATTATGAAGTATGAAGTATAAATGCAGGGATAAGAAAGAGACAATATATTGTGAATGAAAAATCCGTAAGAGATAATGATAGGGTAAGAGAGGTTTAAGTGAAGTATTGGATGTTTAGTTGGTTATTATTATTATTACTATTATCATTATTATTATTTTGTTTAATAATAATTTAATAGCGTAATTTTAAACAAAGCCTTAGAAGTTAAATAGTAAAGAAGAAATTAACAAATGAACACACTCCGTGCATTTCTTAGTTTTCATTTATGTGTACACATGAGAGGAATAAACATAGTAAATAAAAATTTGTTCTTTTCTCAATTTTGATTTTTTCTAATTTAAACAAACAAGAAAAATAAAAATATTTTTATTTCTTTATCTTCATTTTTATGTTTTTCTATTATGCAGAGAAGAGAAGTTAAATATAAGAACAAGGGAGGGTGGAGCAAAGTTAGTAGGAATTTTGCTTTGTATTGTTGGTGCGGTTGTTATGGCCGTCTATCAAGGCCCGCCTTTTCTCGGAAAAGAAAAGCCGGAGACTGCAGTGGCGCCCAGCCCGGATCAGCCTGGTCCACGGCCGGTGGGCGGGATATTATACTTCACCTTCAGCTGTTTGTTCATGGCGGTTTATCTTTTTTCTCAGGTGTGTTACCTTAGCTTACATTGCGTTGCTGACCTTTTTTTTATTGGTTGTTGTTGCAATGGTTAGATGTTTACACATATTATTAACTGTTTAATGAATTTCCAGGCTCAGTTTCTAGAGGAGTATCCGGCTTGTTTATCAATGATGGCGTATTCGCATGGTATCGCTTTGCTTATTATGGCTGTGGCGGCTGCAATTTTTTCGAAGAATTTATCACATTGGATGTTTGATAGATCGGAGATCTATGCCGTGTGCTATACTGTAAGTTTCTCTCTCTTTCTTGAGATATTTTAGATTTACTAAATTTATATTTAAATTTAATCTTATCTTAAACTCCGGAAACATATTTATTGGTTGTGTTATATAGATTGAAGAAACATTAAAATATAGGTCATATTAGCATCATATTTATTCATTGTGTTATATAGGTTGAAAAAAATTAAAATATGAATCATATTAGTAGTCATATTTATTTGACTCAATTAGCATATATAATAAAAATAAACAAACACAATATATTTATTCGTCTATTTTATTATATGAATATGTTCAAGTCACCATTACTTATTATTTGACTTAGGGATTTGCTTGCATCAGAATATTATATGTATTATTTAACTAATATTTAATATATAATCTTGTATATTCTCTTCGTCTCATTTTATTTGTCCATTATTTTTATTTCCGTCTCATCTTTTTTCTAGAAAAAATTTAATTATATTTTAAATTTTATAATCAATAATTTTTTTAAATTTTAATTAAATTAATTAATTATCTTAATCTTAAATATAAAATTATTTATATTATATAATAATTATTTTTACTAATATACTCTTTAATTATTTACTATTTATACTTACTTAAACTACAGTAAATTTGATTGAAAAAGTGGGATGAATGAAATATAATATTAATATATGTTTTTAAGTATTTTAAAAAATATATTTTCAATAAAAATATATACAAAATAAATATTATTTTTTAAAAAATAAATTTTATATCATAAAAAATATATATCTTGTTAGTAAAAGAGTAATATATAAACTAATTTTATGAAAATAATAATAATAATAACAATAACATACATTTGTTTTTTTTTTTTTTTAATGATACTTTTTCCGTATATTTATTTATTTTTCTATTTTAATTGTAATTTAATGGTATTGATGTATATATATATATATATATATAGTATGGTTAACTTTACTATATATTGTGTTTTGACTTTTGAAAATAAAAAAATATATATCTTGTTAGTAAAAGAGTAATATATAAACTAATTTTATGAAAATAATAATAATAATAATAATAAAGAATTTTAAATATAAAATAAATATATTTGTTTTATTAAAAAATAAAAGTAGAATAATTTAAGTGAATCTCATTTTTATGTAATATTTTTCTTTTACTTTTTTATATGACATGGAACCCGCAGCTGCTACCGAAAGTGTGTTGGGTAAACCCCCGACCGAACCAAATACCCTGCAAACTAGGTCCGACAAGACAAGTCACAATATGCGAACCATGTGTGACAGGTGATTTGGAGGCGTCGGAGGTTTTGAACTCATGACCTCACGATTACAAGCCCACCTCCACACCACTAGGTCATCGAACCATTTTAATGTAATATTCGGGGGATGAGGAGTAGACTAGTAGTTTTAGAATTTGAAAAAAAAAATGAAAATAGTAAAAATCAAGTATTTGATGAGATATTCTATATTTTGAGTTAAATTCGATAACTCACTTATTTTGTCTATGTTATGCGAGTTTAAGTTGTAGTGATGATTGTAGGGAGTCCTAACATCAGCATTTAACCACGGCATGACAACATGGGCGAACAAGATCCTTGGCCCGTCCGTGGTTGCGCTTTACTTCCCTGTCCAAATAATTGCAGCCGCATTCATCGGATACTCCCGAGGAACTATTATTTACACCGGCAGGTACCGTGCTTACATTCATTCAATTTCTCTATCTATTGAATATATCTCACATTGGAAGAATGTTGGTACCGTGCTTACATTCATTCAATTTCTTCATCTATTGAATATATCTCACATTGGAAGAATGTTGGATTCCTCTAGCTTATAAGGATAAAAAACTACTCTATTTAACACAAATTGATTTTAAACTGGAACTCCAAAACCCTTCTTAACACCATCAATTAGAGTTGGCAGTTGATCGATTTGTATCGGGTTAAATACATTAAACGGGTTAAATCAGTCAATTCTAACCTGATCCGTTTATTATCGTGTCGGTTTCGTGTTGACTCATTTATTATCGTATGTCAGATTCGTTTTGACTCATTTATTATCGTATGTCAGATTCGTGTTGACTCGTATATATAATCTCTATCGAAATCCTTTATCCAAATCCAATAATTTCTTGTTGTATTATCGTGCTATGTTTGTTTTTTTTTCAGTTCTCGTGTTATGTGTATAGTGAATTACGTTGAATTATTTAAGATTGAACTTAATTTAAAATTAACATAGGAAAATTATCAAACTAAAATTAGTTTACATATATAATAAATATATTAATTAATATTAATATATTATGATTGGATTATCGTGTCAAATTTGAATTGAGGGTCTCAAACCCTAACTTTATCCGTTTATTATTATATCGAATTTGTATCGATCCGTATACATAATCGGATCGAAATCCTTGACTCAAACTCAATTATTTCATATCGGGTTATCGTGTTGTGTCAGTTTTTACTAGCTCCACCATCAATACATCTTGCCATTACTAATTTATTTGAAGTTTGAAAAACAATGGCTTAGCCTTGCTACATGTGTTGAACTTAATTTGCCACAGCATGGTGGGAGCAGGACTGTGTGTTTTCGGGCTCTATTCTGTGCAATGGGCGTCGTGGCTTGGCAGTGCTGAAACACAGACGACAAGCGACGAAGCATTAGAACCACTCCTGGGTGAGGAGGGCTCATCGCGGGATGACATTGCTGAAACAGGGACGGACGATCAAGCATCAGGAGGAGGAGGAGGAGGAGGACTCCTCAATCCAGACGATATTGCTGAAACAGGGCTGAGGAGGAGGGATGAAGCGTCAAAAGAAGGGGTTGCGGATCAGGGCTCATCGTCCCGGACGAAGACTGATGAAGCATTAGGAGTCGTGGATCAGGGGTCATCATCATCGTCATCACCCCAGACGAAGAGGGATGATGAATTGGAAGATCGACTCGTGGATCAGGGATCATCACCATCGCTCCATGATGAAACACGGACAAAGATTGAGGAAGCATTAGAAGAAGGACTGCTGGATCGGGGCTCATCGCCTGGCCTCTTACGACCTTCGGATGAACCACAACAATCACCGGGTACTCCTTAACCATGCTTTATGATTTGATTTTTCCAAACATTGCCCACATTAACTCTAGTCGCCATTGATTTTGATTTTGATTTCGGTTTCTAGTTTGTGATTCTCAATTTTTGCTTGCTAGCTATTGGATTTGGGATTTTTGGATGTCAGCTCTTGTTCATTTCCAAACACCCACACTAGCTTACCAATTGTAATAGATTCTCAATTTTTGCTTGCTAGCTAGCTCTTGTTAGTTTCGACACATTCACAGAAAAACTCCAACTTAAAACCAATTGGTATTAAATAGAGTAGCCTTTCACCATATTCAATACTCTGATATCATCTCAAAATCTTAAATAGGATCAATACTCAATACAGACATCATGAATTTGATATCACGTTAAAAAAAATCTAGCATTCCAGCGTAAAGCCAATTGATATTAAATGGAATAGTCCTCTTCCCATTTGATTTTGAGTTTGTGATTCTGTAATAGATTATCAAGTTTGTCAATGGCGTAAATGTAGACTATGGGTGTGTTTGTTTGGGGATTGAAATATGAATAGTAAAATTTTTGAATTAATGCAGTTGTTAGATGTGATATTTTGAATGTAAACTTAATTTTTAATATAATATAAAAAAAATAAAAAATAAATATTTGACTGCAACTTCTGGGGAGAAAATTTCAGTGAATAGTAGAAATATTGAGAAAATTTGATACAAGAACACACCCTACGCATATTCCCTCAACTATATACCTCTCGGCCTAAGACAACCATCGTAGTAATTCAAACTAGAATTTCAAAATATTTCAATTTCAATCATCTTATCTAACAGTCATTCATAAGAAAAAATTAAATAAATAAATAAGACTAACCAGTTGTTGCGAAACAACCGACGCTTGACACGAATTCGACGACTTCTGCAGATCAATGAAAAGAAACATATCAGATTCAAATTAAATAAAACTCATCTACTAGTGAAGGAAAGCTGGTGCTACCATTGTCGCCTCTGTCGACTACAAACAAACAAACCACTGTGTGTTTCCGGGGGTACAGAATTTGACTTTGGATAGATATCATGAAACTGTATGTTTCGACACTTGATGTATTCAGCCGTCTTCGTTGCAACTGGTGTCTATAGATGGCCGATCCGAGATAATATCAGATTCGTCAAGACTTGAATCCTTATTTTTGCTCAAAGAAGGATCCGCGGGTGGAGAATAAGGTATGGATTGCAGGAAGTTGAAGTATGCATATTTGATATCAAACTGCATGTCGTACCCTGTTGGATGAAGTAATGTAAATAATCAGAGGGTAGAGAGATTATAGGAAATAGGAAAGATTTGAATTTCAGTACAGTAGTTTATTGCAATAGTAAGCACTGAGTCGTCCTGGCTTTGTTGAACATGGTGAAACCACATGCTAGGCCTGAAAGTTTTCGACAAACAATTTTTTTTAAACAGTTATCAAACGTCAAAGAGGAACTTAAATAATTGCAAAAAGGTTACTTATGTAAAGAACAATCACAGATCTTTGTCGTACCCATTTTGTATTATCATGAATAAGTTTGGGCAACACATTTACGGCACTTTTTGTAGCATACAAAATCAAGAAAGCTTTAGAAAAGAAGAAAGTTACCAAATAATGGTTCCAATTTGAGGAGATGCTTCATGTGGAAATAACGGCATACTTTATACAATCAATCTTATGGAATTCTTGCCTCTAAAAGGAATTAACAGCAAGCATTTCTACTGCAATTGGATTAAATCAGTCGACACTGCATAAGCTATTATGTTTGATGATATTCGTAGGGTTATTATATGAACACAATACAACGCCAAAGAAAAAATAAATGCATTCAATCAACCAATAAATCTGAATCTAATATCTTCTTTTCCCAAAAATCATTGTTGTGAAAGTATTATCGCACCTACGTAATTAACTAGGCAGCATAATAACTAATCGAAACAGATAAAACTTATAACAACAAAGGAAACGCACAGAAGTAGAAAGAAGAATCTTACAAATACAGCATCTCCCCTGCCTTGACCGTAACTTCAAATGGTTTTGGTCCGTTGAAATACAAGGGAAATTTCTTGATTTCTCTCTGCTCCTCCTCAAATGAAGGGCATGGATCCACACTGCACCAAGGAACGTACGCTGTTGGATCCTCGAGCTCCAGCGTAAAGTCTCCACTATCCTATGATTCACAGAAAGGATTTCAAGATTGCATCAGAAATAGGTATAACACACAAGAAGACATCAAATCTCCTCTGAATCATCATAATGCCAACAATTTAAGATTTGTAGAACTAACATTTAGCAACTTAACTTTATAAGACATATTATTCGGACAAAATAAGGATTCCTGAGCAAAACATGGCGCACTTAGCACAAAATATGGTATGTTCAGGTGATATAACTATAAACCATTACCAATATGAGACTTCATTCAGCCACTGATTATCAAGAGTGTAGCATCAAATACATGTGATCTTTAAGTGACAACTGTGAATATAAAATTTTTATATTCAAATGTAAACCACGCAATATAGATTGAAGTGATTCAAAGATTTGTCTAAACTAGTCTGTAATTCCACATTTTGGCATTTCCACATGAAAAGAGCTTGTAAATAAATAAATAAATATATATATCCAATTCCTTCCCCAAATCATCAAATTAAGGCATATCCAATAGCGAGAAGGAAATCATGAAGCAAAACAGAAACCTAACCTGGCAATACCGATACCTCGCTGCCTGATAATCTCGAACGTACATTCGATGAACATCAGTGGGCGGCAGCAGCAGAAATCGCTTCTCCCCAGCAATCACAACGTACAGATTCTCATAATGATCCTTGTGAAACCAAGTCTCCGACAACCGATTGCCTATCCACAAATTCACCGCCTCCGGCGCGCAACCGAGCGCCTCGCTCGCCCACGGAATCTCCTCCTCACAATCCGCCGCCAGCGCGCCGTACTCGCTGCGGAAACAATCGTTCTGCTGCTGCAAATATGCCACCGCTTTACCTTCCTTCGACGCGACCACCAAATCCAACGCCTCGGGGAACGCTACTGTCCGCACCGCCGCGGAGGCGAAGCAGACGGCGGAAGGATCGCCGGGGTGAGAAACGAGCGCGTCCGCCTTCCCGGAGGGAGTGAGATGGACGGAGACATCCGTATCCGAAAGCACCGAGCGGAGGTAAGAGTTTGAAGGCCACAGGGAGAGCGCCGGCCAGTGGGGAACGGCGGCGGCGATCAGGCACGGCTTGTTGGGGAGGACGTAGTGGCGGAGGAACCGGAGAGGTGTAGGCGGTGTAGGTAGGCAGTCTATGGCGGTGGATAGGCTCAGGTCACGCACTTCGTCCCATAGGGTATGTAGTGCTTCCTCCATTGATGAACAGCAGAAGCTTCGCGAAGTTTTTGCTCAGACACAGTCAAGTGGACTGGACTCTATACTCTTAAAATATTCATTTAAATAATTTTATTGGGCCTTAGGCTCATAATATTAAATCTATGTATTCATTTACAGGCTCAATAAAACTAGATTTTGAACTATGAAAAGGCCCATCCGACGTGATGACTTTAATAAAAGTATTACTTACAAATTTTTTAATATTAACAAGTGAGAGGACAAAAATAAAAAATATGACACTATATGTGGGACAAATACAGTACTCTCTTCGTCCAATTTTTATTGTCCTAAAGTATATTTGCAGGGTTTTTTCAGGTGATTGTCTTTTTATCATGAATTGACAAATTTGCCCTTAATTGTATGGTAGAAATTAAAAGTAATAAATGAATGGAAGGTAAAAATATAAAATTTGTATTTAAAAAATAAAATAAGACAATAGTTGTTGAATATCCCAATTATAAAAATAGGACAATAGTTTGTGGACCGGCGGAGTATTACTTTATTTTGTGACTGACAAAAAGTCAAAAATATTTAAAATGTTTAGATAGGATTGGCAACTGTTGGGTTCAGAATGGATGGTGAGCAAAATGTATCAAATTTAAAATTTAGGTCAAATGTTTTAATTGATTTGAATTTAAATATTTTATAAGCATTAGATTTTAGGGTTTCGGATTTGATATAATAAAAATTCGAAATACAATATATATATATATATATTCTTGTTTATATATTTAGTATTTTAATACAAATATAAAATTCATAATTATATATATTTATTATTTTTATATTTTAATTTAAAGTAATAAAACAAATTAAAGTATTACAATTTATATTTATTTTATATTTTTTCTGTTTCATATATTATATCATTTTTTTTAATTTTGTCCGTAGTGATATTTTATTTAAAAGAAAAAATTATATATTTTAATTATATTTTAATAATTTATAATTATTTTAATTTTACTTTATAATTATTTTTATTATACTATATTATTTTTTACTAATATATTTTAAATAATTTATTAATTATATATTTTTTATATTCTCTTATTTACAATAATTATACCGACGTAATTATTTGATGTTAGGTGAGCATTAGGTGCAGCTGAAATTAGGACAACCTACGTCACTCCACATGTCAATCATGTATTGTAAATTTTATTTTTTTTAATTCATAATTTTATTATTTTTATTTTAATAAATAATAATTTTTCATATAATAGACTCATTTTATTTTTCAACTATCTTACTTTAACATTGACATATTACTATTTTAATGTCTATCCAACAAAATCTAAATAATTTTGATAAATAAATAAAATACTATATTATCAATATAATTTTATGTAATTAATATAAAAAATATATATTTATTAGAAAAAACGTGAACACACGTAAAAGCATTGCATACATATGCCTGAACAATTATTTAAATATTTATTTAACAATAATTATTAAAAAGATTCCTTGCATTATTTGTCTTAGGTGGGCTACTGTCTGTGTGTGTGTCATTTCCGATCTTATCCACTCTTCAGTGTTCAGTTCTTTTTTAAATATTTTTTAGTTTAAAATATTTTATTTAAAACTATCCTAATATAAATAATAGTCTCCTTATCCCATAAATTTACGGAGGTTTGCGTGGACAAAAATATAAAAAATAATAATATTTTAATATTAAAATTAATAAATAATTAATAAAAAGTATATTAAATAAAAATAATTTATTTTTATTATAAATTATGAAAATAATGAATAATAAAAAAAAGTAATGACATAATTTGAGAAACGAGAGTTATATATATATTATTTTCTTATTTTTTGTCAATCAACTTTATTTTTGTATTTTATATATATATATATATTTTTTCAATCTATTATATTTTTTAAAAAATAATATTTACTTATTGCACGTTACAAATATTATTTTAAATCATATTTCTTAGTTCAAACTTTAAGAGTTATATAACATTAAAAGTATCTTTACATTTATATATATAATTTTTTTTTACAAATGTCTTTATATTAGTATTATAAGACACTAATGTAAGTATTTTTGTAATTTTTTGTTTAAAATTTATACTATGTTTTGATATATGAATTAATGTAAAACACTAATGTAAATATTTTTGCAATTAGTATTATAAGACATTAATATAAATATAATTTTTTTTATAAATATCTTCTATTAGTAAATGAGACCATCTGAACCGAAACCAGTATTATTTTTACATATATTATTTCCATTACAGATAAATTTATAAGGATAAGCTGATAATTATTCAATATAAACTAATATTACCTGTGACTAAAATATTAATTTTTTAATAACTATTTTAAAATTAACCGTTAATTTATTATATAAATTGAGAGAATATTACACATTCTAATTTTAAAAAATGTAAAAATAAATTACTCCATCGGTCCCATTGAAAGGTTGTCATTTTCGTTCCAAAACAAAGTTATCATTTTCTAATTTAGTAATTGTACTACCTACCTAACATAACATAAATATCATTACTTTTATATTACATAATACTAATAAGAGTATTTTCATCGTTTTCATTACAATTTATTATAATATTAATATTTAAAAATTTACGTGCAAAAAGTAAATAACAATCTTCCATCAGGACGGAAGGAGTATTATAGTTGTATTATTCTTTAAAAATAAAAAAGACTTGTACTATTAAAAAAGCACACATTGTAAGAATGCTGACGTGGAAAGAATAAAATACCTAAAATCATTGGACTTTGATTGCTGCCTTCACCTTATCTCATTTTCGTTGTTGTTTCCTACACTCATCATCATCGTCACCATCATCACCATCGTAGTAATAATAATAATAATAATAATACTTCCAACATGATGTTGCATTTACCGTAGATATACAAATTTAGAAGCGACGTAATTAATAATAATTAAAAATATTTTAGTAAAAATAATTATAATATAATAAAAATAATTGTTATTAATAATAATTAAAAATATTTTAATAAAAATAATTATAATATAATAAAAATAATTGTAAATTATTATTAAATAATTAATTAATATAATTTAAAATTTGAAAATATAATTAAAATGTTTAATAATTTTTCAGAGAAAAAATAATATAAAAAAATAAAAAATATGACATTACATATATGAGACCGATTGAGTAATAATAATAATAATAATAATAATATTTCATAAGAAATGATTTGGTAGTAGTATTGAAGTGGATTTGCGATCGTAAAGTTTTCAAACTTTCGATCAAGAAACTTGTTTTTGTTGAACATGACTTTCAAAAAAAATTTAAAATTTCATCTCTTTAAAAATTGAAACAAAACTATAATCTAATAACATTTTGTATAATTGAATGAAAATGACTTTGTTCTTTTAACAAATATTTTCAACATATTTTTCCCAAACAAAATTAATATACTATACACCTTTATTATTTGTATATTACTTGTACAATTTTATATACCTCGCATAAAAAAATTATTGCAAACCAAAACACAAAATAAACAAAAATATTTATTTTTACTATATTTGTTTTGATTTGATTTAAAAATATTTATTTAAAAAATTAATTTAAATTATATTTTAATATAATATTTTACAAGATAAAAATAATATAATTTCATTTATATTCAAAAAAAAAAAAAAACTAACGAATCCAATAAATGATCAAACTACTAAATCAACGTCGTGCCTTCCCAAATTCGATCGATAACAAAAACGATGAAAAAGCATCGACAAAAACCAGGGGCAAGTCGAGACTTTCGCAAGTCGTCTCGTACAAACTAAAATTATACAATTAGCGACGACGGGACCATAAATCCCGTCAGGTAGTAGTTAGCCGGCCAACCGATTTCCACGACGTCTCGAGTTGTAATAAATGCAACTTCTCGACAAACGGTTCCAATGCTTGTGCCTCGTCCTCAGGTGCAAAGGCCATACATATGCTCAGCTCTTGCACCGCAGCCTCGTATTCACTAAATAAAAAATTAAAATTAAATTAAAATTATTAAATAATCATCTCATCTAAAAATTTAAATATATAAGAATATGCATCATTAATAAATTTTGTACGTAGTGTCACAGTCTGATATGATATTAAATGACTATGTTACCTGAAAATTTAACCTAAGTATGGATACGCATTATTAATTATTACACGGTCTATCAACAAAAATCAAGACAAGTGCGAAGTCAAGATCCGTAGAAAATCGATGGATAAAAAATTCATTACCGGGTGTAATACAACATCATGCCGTGGTCCCGTCGCAAAGCCCAATTGTGCGGCTGAAGGATTAGTAATCTCTCCGAAGCCATCATCGCCAACCTGAAAAGTAACCGTAGCATTGAAACATACAATTGTACTTACACACGGCGAAATAGTTTTCCAGAACGATGTTTTCAAAAATCATGCCCCGGAACATTCGACAATGAATCCAAACTATAAAAATACGCCTAGACAAACCCTGATGAACGAATCTTAATTTTCATCGAACCTCAAGAATCATGTCCTAAACCTAACAAAGAATAATAGAAAGATTCGAATCGCCCTAAAAAGAGACCGATCAATCGAAAGAATTGGACACCGAACAACGTTAGTGTCACAACACAAAGACGAAAACTCCTAAACCTAATCCTGATGTAAGAATTTCACGGAAGCACAACTCATCAAAGGTAAATTACATTTAAACTATGGCGATCCGTAGAATGGCTATATTTTGAAAAAATGGAGATATTTAAATTGTGTCCGAATTCACAATTTCCGTCACTCAAGTCCAATGTCGGAATTTAAGCATCTCAAAACCTGTAGGATTAAGACAAATTGTCACCTAAAAAATCAGCAAAGAAGCGAATTTAGGCACGGAAATAATCGAACAAAGAGAGCACATGACAAACTACCTAAGCTCCCGAGGCCGTAATAACGGACAGCTCGAATCACCGTTATTGAACATCGTTGAACGGAGTGGAGACGTCAGCATAAGCCCGTGATTCGTTCTTGAAGCCCGTTTCCAATAAAGCCTCTGCAACACACATGTAATAAGATTATCGAAAGTTCGAGGTTGTAATGATCCTTTTTTTCGCATAATTCAGCTTACGATTAGATTGGCCAAAGCAATTCCAATGATGTCCCGGTTCGTCGCAATGTCCAATCCTAACAGCGAGTTGCTCGTTATGTCTGAAGCCCTCGATCGCGGATCATCCACACACTTCCCGTTAACAATCCCGAATAAACTATGCCCGCAAGTTACTTTGAATAGCTCCTACGATACGACAAAAAAAAATAAATTAAAAATCGAACATCAGATTAGCAAATTGCATCGGGAGTCGAAAAACCGGCATACCTCGGGGTTCCCGGTGGAGGGCCATATCAAAAAATCTTCCCCGACTCGAGATCCGACGATAGTCAAGTTTAGCCTTCGGCAAACCTCGATATAAACCACACTTAGCAAGATCGCTGTCAAAAGCATCGACTAAATCGTCAAATGCAAAATTTAACTGTGTATTTCAAAGTGCAAAAATATATGTCGTCAGATTTCCTTTTTAGCCGTCTACTAAACTTATGCATATATTATACTCCCTCCGATCCTTAATAAACTATTCACTTTTTTATTTTGGTCTGTCACATAACAAAATATCTATTTACTTTTTTTTGTTGTAACTATACTATATACCCAACATTACAAATATCCTTGCAACTTACAATATATTACACAAATTTAAATTACACTTATATCACACAATACTAATACGGTTATTTTAGTCATTTTTACTTTATTTCTGCTACATATAAATATAATACTAACATACTTTAAATTCCGTGCAAAAAACAAATGAATACTTATTTAAGGGACGGATCGAACATTTCTATTTTAACAAATAATAATCAATATTACTATTTATTGAACAAATTTATCATAATATTATTTTTTAATCTATGTATCCACAAAGGTGATAAAAATAGAGACTATATATGTATGTATACACTTACCACTTGATTGTCCGGTGCTCAATGCCGAATGCAAATACGAGCATTTGGAGTCGACCAATACCGGCAACCTCTTAAAGCCCCTAATCTCGAATAAAACTTTGTTGACGGCGTCGAGAACTTCGACCAAATGGCATCCGATCTCTCGCTCAACGAGCTCGGCCTCGACTTCCTTCGCCAATGCATCGATCGCAGCCAACCACTCGTCTACGTTCTTCCCTTCCAACAACATCGTCTCCACCGAATCCCAATGTGCCCCGCCGCCGTCAATCGACGGCGCCGTTTCTGGCCTCTCGTCGAGGGTCGATCGGAAATCCATCTCCCGATGCAATGCCAAAAATGCTTCGTCCTCAGCAGCAATGTAGAGTAAGGCCTGTAAAAATCAACAAAATCATATCTATACGTACATATATATATATATATATATTTACTAAGAATACTTACAAGTCAAATATTTATTTAGGATGTGTTCTCCCAACATTTAATATAAAATATTATTATCTCTATCTATCTCTAAGGTCATATACGTTATTATACTTCATATTAAAAATATCTTTATATTTATATAATTTTTTATATAAATGTACTTTTATTACTATTATAAGAGTGATGGAAATTATTTTTATAATTTTATTTTAATTTGTACAAAGTTTTAATATAATAATTAATATTCAAAATATCGACCCAAAAAATAAATGAAGACGGAGGTAGTATTTTTATATTACCACACCATTCTTGTTCAAAATCAAAACATAACATCTAATATAGTAGTGTTTAAAATTTTACTATTCAAAAATTTCAGAATCCAAATTCAAACACAGAACAAACACATTCGAAGGTTCAAACAATTTGGGTAAGAAAAGAATTACCCTAGCGAGTGAGATGTCTTTGTCCTTCGACTGGAAAGATATTTCGCGAGTGAATTTGTCTCTGGCGGCTTCGAGAATCTGAAGAATCATTACAGTGAAGATTTCAGACAACAAGCGACGATCGAATCAAACTACATAAATATGTAATGATCAAACTATATGTTTCAACCTTCTTATAAATCTCTGCTCTGTTCGAAGATTCAGTAACAGCAAAAGAAGAAGAAGAAGAAGAAGCTAGAGGTGAAATGGCGGTTCGCATCTTCTTAGAATGTCGGATTATTACAGCAGCAGTAAGTTTTCTTTCCCCTTTCCGAAATTCGGTATCGAAATCGTACCTGATCGATGATATTTCATAATTCTACTAAAAAATCGAAGCAAAAAAAACTAAAAATGCGCTTAATCCTAGATTTCATTATTACCTTCCTCGAGCTCGGACAGAGTTCATACCGACAGGCATGGAAGATGCCCTAATTCCAGCAGGCATCTCGAATTTCTGGTGATGATTACTCAATCCAGAAATCGCCATTAATTAATTCTCTTCGAATCCCCAAATTAAAATAAAAAAAAAAACACCGAAAAAAGTTGTCCGAAATCGGGTTCGGATCGGTAATGAATAACCACACCTGTTGCTAATAAACACCCAAAAAATCATCAAAACAGAGACAGAACCGCTACGAACATGTAAGAATTAGGGCAATTAGGTATTCTAAAGTGCTGAGGATTAGCAATTTTGGTAAGAAACGCCATTCTGAGAAATGGAAATGGTAATGGCTGAACCTGCAAAAAGCTTCTTATGGTTTGGGTATTATAATGGAAGCTGACGTCACTATGAATATATATAGTGATAAATTTACTGCAGGCCTCCATAGTCTTGGAAGCTTTTTTTTAACAATTTCAGCATTAGCAGATATAGAATCAATCAGCCTTTCTCTCTCTATAATTTATCTCTCTTTCTCTCTCCGCATATAGATACAGGGATGTGTGTATGTATATAAGTATATTCCAATTTTTGGGAAGATACAGTGAAGGATGAGTATGACGACTGTTGGGACGAAAAGCGTGTTTTGTGGAAATGGATCCTGATCGTTGATCGTAAGGGTTTCAAATGGACGGTGGAGATCTTTCTGGTGTTGAAAATTATTTTGTGAAATAATTTAAGAGAAATATTCTCTCTGTGATCCTTTTCCGTTTTTTGGCCCGTTATAATTTTTTTATTTTTATAAATTTATCAAATTTTAAATCTATTTAATAAATATAAATTAATTTAATTAAATTAATGTATAATAAAAAAAAACATTAATGACATAAGTTTCTTAAACAATAACTTTGTTTACTTGTGTTTTAATAATACAATTTTTTATAAATAATTATATATATTAGCACAATATATAAAATAAATATTTTTTATTTATAAAAAATTAATAATTGAATACAAAATATTAATTTTTATATTATCGGCTTTACTAATATTAAAAAAATATTCATTCAAAAATCAAAATGAACAAACTAACCCAATTAATACATTACAAATTACCTTTTTTAAAATATTATATAAAAATATTTAAAAAAGAAAAAACTTGAATAAAACACCGACATTATAGTATATTTATAATTTAATCCTCATATGAAATTGGAAATTTAATTATTTAAAATGGCACTACTATTTTAATTTTTAAAAATAGAGAAAATGTCATCACACCGACATTATAGCATATTTATAATTTTATCCTCATATGAAATTGGAAATGTAAATATTAAAAATGATACTACTATTTTAATTTTAAAAAATAGAGAAAATGTCATCATCCGTGACGTGATGGAAATGGGTCTGACTAAGTTGAATTTTTACAAAGGCTAAAATATTATTTTAAAATTAAATATAATACCAAATACCAAATACCAATAGAATTTGTACTCGTCAAGACTTAGGATAATATACATAAATGAAAGTTTTTTTTGTTTGTTTTAATTTTAAAATAAATTAATTTAGAGATGTCGTTTACTAATTTGAGTTTTTAAAATTTTTTAAAAGAACAAAGAAAATCAGTATTTGATATATAGAGTATTTGGTAAATAGCATTTTAAACCGTTTTTAACTTATATCGAATTCATTAAACAATTAATTTAAATGTTTAATAATTTTTTTTCAAATAGCTTATTTAACCAAAAAAAAAAAAAAAGTAATTTGTGAAAAATTATACGTTTTATATTAGAATTTTGATTTTTTTTTCTTTTCTTATTTGTCTTTACACCTTACTATATTATGCAATTTCTTAAATATATATATATATATATTATAATTCACATAACATAAAAATAATATTGTTCGAAACTTCCGTCTGTGGATAAAATTTAATAGTGTTTTTTTTCAAACAGTTTGAGCTTTTACGTAAAACTGTCATTTTGCGCATCCGACATAATATTAGAGCTTGAGATCTCGAGTTCGAGTCTAATAAAAATTAAGTTAATTGAATAAACTATTTATATCAATATATTCATATTCCTTTTCGGATTTTATTTTTTTTAAAAAAAAAAAACCTCTGAAATTAAAAGTGTTTGTCTTAAGTAATTTTAGGATGGGTAATTGGGGAAATCTCCCAATATATGCGCCTAAGTGAGAACAAAACAATTTGTGTCTACGTGATTTATAGGCCGAAATATTACAATTGGTATCAGAGTCGAACCGTGACAACGATTCGAAATGTTAGACTAGTATTGTTAAGTTATACTAATATTTAATTAAAATGTGTCACATTCCACTTCAACTGAACAATATTATATATGTTAGCTAGCCTACATTGAATCTCTTAAAACTGAGCACACGGAAGCTAAAGATTAGTAAATCTAGGAAAGATTCGTGCCATTTTTGCAATATCAATAAATAAATCTTGCTTCAATAAGCATCTTATTGCTTATTTTATATACATAGGCTTTACAACCTATAGTTATATTATATAAAAATTGGGTGTGTTTAGTTGTAAGATTTTAGATTTGAGTTTTTGGTTTTGAATAATAATATTTTGAATTGAAAAAATTATTTGATGCGATATAAATATATATTGATGTGATATTTTGAACGTAAAAGTTAATTTTAATGTAATATAATAAATAAATAATAGATAATTGATTTGATATTTGGAGGAAGTTGGAATAGTAAAATCGAAAATCAAATCTCACAAGTAAACACACCCATAATTTGTTTACATCTTCTATTATACTGTATAAATATGTATACTAAGATTAAACCGGAAATACAATATATTGTATGATATTATATTATGTGCTATCAGAATATATATTGTATTTTATCATGTACTGTCGAAAATATGATATCTTCCTTTTATATGTATATATATACATGCATATGTACATTTCTTGCATATATATACATATACATGTAAAATGAAACTATTTCTAACATAACTAATGTGAACTAATTGTAGCAACCAAACCAACTAAGTTAGTTAAACCAAAATAGCAACTCAAAATCAAACCATTCTAATACTAATAATAATAATAATACACACAAACACAAACATATGCATACCTATATATATACACACAACTTAACTTTTAGAGTATGTTCTTGATACAAAATTCTTCAAAGCTTTTTTTCGACACTTTCGTCCCAAAATGGCGAAAGGGCCGTCGCCCGTAATCCCACTAATCCTCTTGGTAGCATTAAGCCTCGCCCTCCGCGGATACTCTTTTTCCATCGAATTTTCAATGGAAGAAGCAGAAAATGCGATCTTTCTATGTATTTTGTTTGTCCCAATTTTGATACTCATTGCAATGTACTCTACACAACGACAAATTGTTCTACCGGTAGGGTTAGTCCTTGCAATGTATGCGGTCACTACTACGCTTCTCGGCCCGTTAATGGTGATTTTGATGATGTACTTAGGTTGTGTTTGGTTGCCGTCTTTTAAGTGCAACGGGGAAGAGCTATGGTGGGCGGGTGTGCTTGTGTTCGTATTTTTTTTGGGACAGTGGATGTTGTCTGAACAACCGTGGACGGTGTTGGTGGCTTTTGCCGTATTCATTTGCTATAGATGGATAGCGAAAGAGGTTTTCTAATCGATGTTTTGTTTTGTGTTGTTTAAAAGAAATTGTATATTTTGTATTCAATTATCGATTTGTCTTATCACTTTTATCTTTAATCATATTTCTATGATTTATTATAGATATATGTTTTTATTATTATTATGTGTTATTTATTGAATAAAATAGTTGTTGAATATTATTTTTTATGTAAAAGAAAAAATATACTCTCCTTTATTTTCTATTGGATTATTTCAAAATTATTTTATTTTTTCGTTATTATTACAAAAATTTCACTAATTTTTACGGCAAAAAAATCTTTTATTCATACTTTTTACCAACTATACTATAATATTAATATTTCTTAATTTAGTCCTCAACCAAATAAGACCATAATTTTGAAACGGAGTATGAAATTTGTTAAATAATTTGACAAAAAAATAGTAAAGTTAAAAAAAAAAAAAATGGAAATTAATTATTATTTGTTAATATAAGAATAATAAAAATTTTAATGAATAAAATTTTCTGTTATAAATGCATAAGTTGACAGCCAAAAATAGAACAGTGATATAATTATTGGTGTGAGAAAGTGAAAAATGAAAAAGAATGCGATAAGTTCTATTCCACGTAAGAAAATCAAAGAATTCTTACCCTCCTTAACTGATCCCATTTACTATTAAAGAATCAATAGGATTAGATTTGGCTCAAGTAGACTTATATATAATCAAGATTGGAAAAACTCTCAAAAAACAATTCTCCCTTAGTTAATTCAATTTTTGTTCTTCAATTCTTTCGAAACTTCCAAATTTTTTAGTTTGGATTGCCGTTAAATCTTTGATTCTAATCCATTCCTTTTTATCCTAGGAAAAAATAGGTAGCATGTCGAATTACTGCAAGGAGATTGCATGCAACCCAAAACTTGAAATCCAGGCTTATTTAAAATCCGTTATTTGATTTTGATATGAACATCTCGATTTCAATCCATATTCCCCAAACAATAATTTTGACAGACAAGAACATATTTCTTTTTACAAGATATCATATCACATTCAAATTATTATTCAAACCAAACCAAATTTAAATAAATAATAAAAAATAAAATAAAAGATTGCCAAATTAAACCATCAACAATCTTTCTCTCGACATAACCACTCCATTAAAACCATCTTTTAGTTAATTGGTTGTCTCTTCCTAATCAATTCACCCTCTTTCTTTCGATGGGTTCACTTGTACCAAATATATATCACTCTCATTTTCTATAATTCTATTTTTTAGTATTATTTTTCTGCAATTATATTTCACTCTCATTTTCTATAATTTTATTTCTTACCATTATTTTTCTGCAATTTTATTCTCTATATCAAAAGAAACCTAAAAATATATACGTATAATCACAGCATGAAAAAAGGTCCAAAACGAAGGATACCTTAAAAAGCAGTCATCAGCAGAGTTGGATTTGCAAACAGACTGACAGGAAAAGGGTTGCCTGTTGTCACCACAGGCCACACAAAAACACCATAAGCATAAATATAAAACATAGTACAAATTATTGAAGCATTTCAGAAATGCAATTTTGATTCAATCATGGTAACACATTCCTGTATTTTCTCGATCTCAATAAAAATTAGCTCTAAGCCGCAGCTGAAGAAGCTTCTTCCAGCAACTGCTTCACCTTGGTGATGTAATCACCCATGGCTTCCTCCTTTGACTTTCCTGTGATTATATAAGAACGCCTTTGATTATGTAAACCGTATGGATAAAGGGAAAGCAAGAGTGGATGTAGAAGAGAAGACCTTCAACAGCCTTCCAAGCATCCCACTTTGCTCTGTCCCTCATGTTGAAGATACCGGGACGGCCTGCAATTGCCCAAAGAGTTAATATAATACGAATTTCAGCTAAAGATCACTTGTTTTTTGTTTCCTTTTGTGTTAGATTTGTGTCAAGAATCCGAAGAGGCAATTGAAGTTAGGCCCTTAGGGGTGGCGACAAAATGAGTTGGGAGATCAATTGAAACTCGATTAAGACAGCCCATATTTCTTTATTTCAAATTTTAGTCACTCAACATGTTTTCATTAAGCTAAAAGTATATGGCCTTATAGAGAATCGATCATCATGGAACTAAGTACTATATCAACATTCATACAAATAAATTGTGACAGGATGTGAACAAAAGTTTCCAAATTTTATTCAAGAAATGGGGGAATGATAGATCATAATCAAATTTTATTCAAATTAGTCAAAATTACATGTCTTAGCCGCATCAGTTAGGAACAGTAACTCTACACTAACATAATATTGTCTACTTTGGTCAAACTAACACGGGTTTGCTTTTGAACTTTTCTAAAATAGGCATACTATATGGAGTTTGATGTTAACTTATAACCAATAATTCCTCCCAACATATTCTCCTCTCAAACCAAGGACCCTCTAGCGATACTAATGCCTAACCATAACATCTGTCGGGACATATCGTCCATCTGACCACCACAATGTCAAGAAGACTTACAAAACACCAATTGTAGATTCCCAATCATAAGATCAAGTTTAGTGCTTCCTACAACAAACCCGATTCACCAAACTTTGACTCAGACATCAGTTTGATAGGACTTATTAATTACACACTATACTGTCCGATTTGGATTAAATTCGCACGAATTTGCTTTTGCATTTTTTCATAATGCCTCGTACTATGTGTAGAGTTAGATGTTAAGTTATAACCTATGTTTTTGTACTTTATTTTTTTCGGATGTGAAACTTATAGTTTGTTTTCCCCAACAACAGCCTTCAGAATAAGTTATCTTTAATTACTAGTTTTATTTCATATCATTCAAATTAAGTGTCCTAATTAATCTCTTAGCATTCAAAATCCAACACAGATCTCCCAAAACATTTTACAAGGCAGACATGTATGTATGTATTCAATTGTATTGACATAAATACTGAGTTATAGACAATGAAACTGTACTCACTTGTGTTGCAATCTCCAACTGTGGCTTGCTTGTAAAGTCCATACAGGATGAGTTTGTTCTCGTTGGTGGTCGACTCAGGCAAGGTCTTCGCCTTCTCAGCGTGCTCCTCAAAGTCCTCCTGAACACCCAAATCAAATCCACCGATCCAAATATTAACAACACAATCAATGTTCTTATCACACAAATCTGCAAACAGAGTGAAGGCACAGATCTCAAATCTTACTTCGCGAATCGCACCAATACTGATTCATAAATTTCAACCGATCAGATTATACAATCAGAATTAAGCACGGAAACAGCAAGTAATACGGATCCGAGCAATTTCACTATTCATTCAGCGAACTAGCAAAGAGTTCTGCGCAGATCTAGCGACACAATTTAAACCAAAATCGCTACTAGTAACTCAAAAAATCGGACACAGAGGAAGAATAAAAGCTTCAAGATGTTCAACTAGTAGTAGTGAACAGCGGGAACGGCGAAATGTTAACTCGATTACAGTGGATTGAGGAAGAATACCTTCAAACCCATGGCGAATTGAGAAATCCCTTTTGCAAGTGCAGATGCAGCAGTGAACTGTGAGGAGTATTATCAGTCTGTAACTCCCAAATGCATATAAATATGAAATTGCTTGGCGGAGATTTCAATGCTGATTCGACTTTGCAGTATTGTTATTATTATTATTAATTTATTATTATTATTATTTCGAAATAAAATATCAATATAATTCTTTAGATAGATAAATGATGTTTTGATCGTGTTTACTATGTGATTTATTTATTTATATTTTTTATTATAAAAATTATTATCTCATGATTAATAAAATATACTTCTATATTAAAAAATATTAATATGTTATTGTTAGAAGTATTATAATTTATATATATATATGAATTTATTTTAGTATAGTATAAATTTTTTAATAGTATGGACGAAAAAAATTAAAAAAAAAAATACATTAAGTTAAAATAGAAAAGTATAAAATTATAAAATAAAAAGAAATTTTAATAATATATAAATAATATCCCTTTTGTGTTCAAAATATGAGATTTTTTTTATTATTTTGATTTGAAATTTTTTTTATGAGTATAAAAAATTTTGTTGGTAATATAAAAAATAATATTTTATATTAATATTAACTTGTGTTGAATATATATTTTAAAATTACATAAAAATACAATTATTAAAAGGAAAATAGATTGATTGACAAAGTGAATAAATTGATTTTGATTAAAAAAAGTATTAAATTTCAAATAAAATTGAATATTAATTTAATGATCTCGAGTAAAGATAAATAAGGATAAATAAAAATCTCTCTTAGTTTAATAATTTTTGATAGAGGGCTTAAAAGTGTGGTGGCATAATATAAGTGGAGTTAGGTTAGTTAAGTAGGCCGGCCCGTCACGCTAACCACGTGCATTTATTATCCACGATGTCGTGTATATATTATTGCTATCGCTTCGGATAACGTGGATTGATTATTTATTACTTATAAATTATTCATTTTTTTTCGATTGGTAGTAGCTATTTTATTTTTTAAGAATAATTATATTTTTAAACTTTTAAAATTTAATAAATTAATTATCTTAATTTTAATTTAAAATTATTTACATTATACTCCCTCTATCCCACATAAAATACACTTTACTTATTTTATATTATACAATAATTTACCTAAATTTTTATTTATATACTTCCTCCCTCTATCCTACATAAAATTAGAGCCCCAATACGACAACTCGATACGAAATAATTGAATTTTGGTCAAATATTTAACTTGATTATGTATACGGATTGACACGAACCCTATAATATATTAATATTGATTAATATATTCATTATATATGTAAAATAATCATAATTTAATAATTTTTTCATAAATTAAGTTAAACTAAGTTCAATTTTAAATAATTCAAACCTAATTTACATGCAAACCAATATTAACTAACATAACAACACAACAAATAATTATTTAATTTAAATCAAAAAATTCGACTTAATTATGTATACAGATCAACAAGAGTTAACCCGAACTCGATACGATAATAAACGAGTCAGGTTAAAATTGAGTAATTTAACCCGTTTAAAATATTCAACCCGACACAAATAAACCCATTGCTAGCTCTACATAAAATACTCTCTGTTTTTACACTTTTTTTTTTTAATATTATACAATAATTTACCTAAATTTATGTAAACTAATAAAATATAATAATTATTTTTACTAATATACTTTTTAGTTATTTATTAATATCAACTAAGTGAGCTCAGACAAAGTGCGCTCAGACGTAAGGCAAATACATAACTCCTTGTGCCTACACAAAAACCCCAAAAGGCTAAAACAAAGATAAATGTTTTTTTATTAATAATTATTTTTATTAATATTTTTTTTTAACGTCATAAAAAAAGATAAAAAAAATGGATAAATGCTGGATTATTATCAGTCCACACTTTCGGATTTTCGAATAACGACGACATGTTCCCACATTATTGAAAAAATAAAAAGAATAAAAAAGATAAATGCTAGATTAGCATTCAACTCAAATATAATGCAATCATATGTTCTAAATGTAAAAGCTGAATACCAAATTGGTACCACATGTTATACAAACTATTAAATTTAAATTAAATAGAAGTTATATATATAATATAACAAAGAAGAAACTGATCTGAGATTAAAGATAGCTAGAAGTCTGGGACATAAATTAAGCAATATGGGTAGAAAACTCGAGCCGTGATTATTTATCACCGGATAATTTGGGTACCGAATACACTTCCAAGACTATGATCAGATGGATTTCTTGAAGACGGGCCTGATTATATGTCAGCAGTAAGAAAATTCCCAGATAATGCCACCTGCACAATCAAACCGCAGTTAAAATTACATTACACACTATTTAACGCGAAATAAGTATTGTATCACTATCCACAAATCTTATTTTTCGTTCAAAATATCAAGTTCAAACACATATTTTTTTATTTAAAATACCACAGCCAAAATATATTGTCCATCAAAAAGAATTCCGATTCCAAAATACCAAAAGACACCGTAGAATACAAATAAATTATCCAAAACAAACATGAAATTCAGTTGAAACTCTGGATTTTGAGTGGCTCGAAGGTCAAGCAGCTATTTTGAAATTACAGAAAGAACAGCAGCAAAGATGACATATGGATATATATATATATATAAATATATATGTACACACAAAGCATGTGTATATTCAAGTCAGGAGAAATAAGAAAAACACCCAAGCACACAAGGTGCAGTCGACATGTAACAAGCAAAAGAATAAAAAAGTGCAGAATTGCGGTATATACCTTCTCACCCAACTTAAATGGAGGAAGACCCTTATAAGGGCATGTACCGCATCGAAAAGCATCACCAAGGCCGCACTGCCACACAGCATCAAAGAGTAAGGACTTGTTTACCGTAAAAGATTAGAGTCGGTACAATGATTGCAAAATTAAGCATAATTGATCCTTTTTAGTTTGGTGGGATAAAATTACCTAAAATCAAGATTTGTGACAAAAATCCATTTATGCCTTCTACTAATAATTAATTCAAAATTAATTATATTCAGAAAAAGATTATGATCATTTTCCTAATACATGCAATTCAGGGTATGGTCATAAACTAAACCTGCAATCCCCTCTAGTTCAGACACGTGTTTTAAAACCAAATAGAGTGATTAGACGTACATTTCCACAAGCTGATTGAGGATTATCCAGCTGGTCCATAGTGAGTCCAAGTTTCTCGACTTTCGCCTCGGCTTCTGCTCTCCCACAGACGCAGTTTTTGCAGGCTTTCCTTGTGCTACTGATTTCACAATCACCTGCAGCAGAAGTAAATTTTTATATTTTACCTTGGGAAGACTACCAGCCACCAAGCGTTAACAGTAATTTGATTCAAAATAAAATAGTGAATATAAACCTGTTGGAAGCTGGGGCTTCTTCAAATCTTCCTCGCTCAAAAGGCTGTCCTCATCAATTAGATCCATGTCATCATCTATCTGAACTTTGGGAAGAACTTGTGAGGGTTTTTTAATGGAAAATGAGGACCCAATCTTCCATGAGGGTTTCTTTCCGACTATCTGTCCACATAAGTCCAAAATTCAATGTTCAGATTCCAAGATTACAAAATTAGCATATAATGGCAAAGCATGAAAGCAACCAGCTCAAGCGCCAAATAAATAAACAATAATATCGTGTTAGTTAACTAGATCAAAGCAATCACCCAAAAGCATAACAACAGAGGAAATGTTTTTATGTTTCCGACAAAAGCCTCATCCCCATATTAAAACAGTTTCTGCAGCCTATTTTCATGAAAGGATTTTGATACTAAGAAGAAGCATGTTAAGACATACAGGAGATAGGAATAAGAATACATAATTGATATAATAGGATACTCAAATGTCAAAATAGTTAAACCATTCGTTTTGGTTCTAATGAATAACAAAACAGCCATATATATTGAGAGGAGACATACCCCTAGAGGTGAGCTGCCAGAAGATTGTACATCCAGAAATCCAGTAAGTAACAGCTTACGCTCAAAAGAAGTGTTTTCCTGCAAGAGAATGCACTTACAGATTTGAAACCAAAAGATAATTCACAATTTAAAATATTACACCGATAGTAGATTACCTTTTGCCCCAATGCAGACTGAGAAGTATAGAGAATGATGGTTCCACCAGGCGTTAAAACTCTCGAGACATTTGCCAGTAATTGATCACTTGGAAATTCCGATGAGTTACATATTGTGACAACAACATCTATAGATGAAGGCTCCACAGACAAAAGACCTGCCATAGGATATAGATGAGTGAAAAACACATAAACAAGTATTGCTACATATCACTTCATTGAAAAACAACAAAGAAAGATTAATTTCAAGAGAATAATCTATGGTATAGACAACAATTGCTACATACAACCATTATTAGAAACTTAAATAGCAATAATAAAAGCAAATCCTACAAAAGTACAACATATATAATAAGAGTTATTCACCATTAGGAACACTTACAAATTCCAACTTGTATTATAACTAATAATATGAATAGTTACATCAAATACACCATCAAGAAACATCAACGGTTATAACGATTTCACAAGCTGCTCTAGAATAAGGCAAAACAAAAGGCAATTTATCAAAAGAATTGCAATAAAAACCAACAAGAAAACTGCTATAAATCAGCTCAACAAAACAACAATAGAATAATTCCCAATGCAAACTAAACTGCTCGGATCATAATAGAGAGCCAAGAGCTTACTATCTGATGAAGCTTGAGTGATGATCAGTGGGTCGATCTGCTCAGCACCTTCTTGCCTAACCACCTTAAATGCATCAACAATGGCACTAAGAGACACGGCTACTCGATCCGTGATTGCCAATATTTTATCCTGCCCCATTTCAGCTACCTACACAGTCGATCGGGTAGTGAAAAGTAGTTAAAAGATACCTAATTCCTCAAGAAGCCATGTTAAAAATATTAGGAAAAAAGCATTAAACCTCTCAGACATTCAAAATTGGTTTTCACAAATCAAGTATAAGCAATCAAATAAAATTACAAAACTAATAAATAAATTTGTGAGCCTACTGCAAATCATATCCAAAATAAACCCCAAATTCCCTATTAACACAGCCAAATTGAAAACCCTAAAAAGCATGTTCTGATAAAAACTCTTTGAAAAAAACAAGTTAGAAAATTACTGCCTAGACTCAAAAAGCAATCAAGAATCCACAAGGTATTGGATGAATCAAAGATTCAAAGCTATTGAATCTTCGCGTGTTGGAGTATAGGACGCAGAATCTTCCTCGCAGACTCCGATGTGATGTTTCCTTAAATCTCACTTTCTAGGTTTATCCTAATTAACATATATTACAATCGAAAATCCAAACCTACGACTCTAAACAGAAAATCACGAATAGTGTACGAATCGATGAGGTTCGGCCGAAATCAAACCGTTCACAACGCAAAACATGCCGGTATCGAATTGAAAATAACAAAACTAACAGCAAAGAGGCCAAATTAGAAAGATCCTTAAACCTGAAAACTTATCAAATTCTCTGGCGGTTGGTCTGAAGGAGACGACGATGAACTATTTAGCGGTGCTTGTAGTAGAAGAAACCCTTGTCGTGTAAAAAAAGGATTAAACAGAGGATTGTTTGGCTTTGGTTTCTATATATAATGATTTTATTTTATATATAAAATTAGAATAATTTGTTTTTTTAGCAACGACTTGAATGGTAAATTCAAAACCAAAAACAAGCAAACCCACAGACTAGAGACTAGAGTTGCCCATTCGTCTGGAACCGCCGGTTCGAACCGCCTGTTAGCCGATTTTTGAACCGGATGTACGGTTCGACTCGAACCGGAATCAACCGAACCAAAACCGTCGTGCCGACCGGTCGGGGTTTCGGTTTGTGATTTTTCAAATCGCCGGCGGTTCGACCATTAGAGGTTAGGTGAAGTGAGGAAGAAGAAGAAGCGGGAGGAGAAAGATGGGGGAAAAAAGAAAGAAAGGAAAGAAAAGATCTGGTGCGGGCTGCGGCGGCTGTGGTTTGTGGAGTCTCTGGTAGATTATTGATTTAGGTATCTGTCACCCATGGATTCTATTTATTTAATTTTAATTCTATGTATGCAATTGCTACATTAATTTTATTTTAATCATAATTCAATTTTTTACTATTATTTTTCGGGTGTGTTTGTTTGGAGGTTTAGATTTTGAGTTGAAATTTGAATAATAAAAATTTTGAATTTGAATAGTTGTATGATGTGATATAAATAGGTGTTATGTTTTGAATGTAAATTTGATTTTTAGTATAATATAAAAAATAAAAAATAGGTGTTTGAGTTGATATTTTTGGGGGGAAAAAATAGGATGAATAGTATAAATCCAATCCAATCCCCCAAACAAACACACCCTTCAAATATTCAATTTTTCTCATTATTTTAAAATACTTTTATTTTTATAATTTAAAATATTTTTTGAAAAAAAATTGTAAATTTAATTTTGTAATATAATATAAAAAATAAAAAATAGGTATTTTAATTAGATATTTTTAAAAAAAAATAAAAATTGATAAATAGTTAAAGTCTGTACAAAACCTTCAAACAAACACATTATTTATAGATTAATAATAATAATATATTTAAGGGTGTGTTTATTTGGGGGATTTGATGGGATTTATATTATTCATCCAATTTTTTCCTCCGAAAATATCAAATCAAACACCTATTTTTTATATTATACTAAAAATCAATTTTACGTTCAAAACATCACATCCACACTTATTTATATCACATCATACAACTATTCAAATTCAAAATTTTTACTATTCAAATTCCAACTTAAACTCCAAACTCTCAAACAAACACACCACTTAAATGTATTATATATGATTGGATTTTTATAAAATAAAAATAAATAATTATTAATGATATTGAAAAAATAATAATATCATATTATTTTTATATTTATATTTTAAATTTTATAATTTTTATTATATAATTATATTTAATTTAAATTATTTTTATTTAATATATCAATATTTTACAATTTATTTTTAGTTAATTAATTTAAAATTTAATTTAATTATTTATTAAATTTAATTTTGTTATGCAGTAATAATCTAATTAATTATTATTTATATAATTTTTACCTAATAAATAAATATCTAGATAAAATTAAAATTAATTATCGGTAAATAAAACTAAATTTAAAAAAACTAAAAATAAAAAGGAAAATATAAAAATAATATATACATATAAATCGGAGTTTATAAACCATAACTAAAATTGTCAAATTATTATCAAAACCATTATTCGAAAGTTTCAATTTCAATTTAAAATTTTGACAAATCGTAACCAACAATTTAAATTGTTTAGACAATTCTACCAACTATGAAAAAATGATTAATAAAACCGACATTGTAATAAAATATTGATAATTATATTATAAAAAGGCATGTGGTTAGTCTATTTTATTATTTGAATGATATATTTTGTATATCATATTTACAGAATTAGTGTAATATAAAAACTAAAATTTAAATATTAAATTACTGACTTCTGTACGAGTAAATAAAATCTATTATATATATTTTTTTATATTTTTTTTATTTGTCGGATATAATTTGTTTATTTTTTAACTATTTATATATAATTTTTTTTATTTATATATTTTTTAATTATTTATTAATTATACATTTGTTTACATTCTTTACGGGACTACTCAGATGAGACCGACATGATATTAGTATATTGTAGTATTAATATATATATATTTTTTATATTGTAAATAATATTTATATAAAGTTGTTTCATTCAAAAATCACAAGTAAACAAACTTATTGAATATGATATTACCTCCGTTCAATTTCTATTGTTTTAAAATATATTTGCACGATTTTTTAGTTGATTGTCTTTTTGTTATGAATAGATAAATTTGTCCTTAATTGTATGGTAGAGATTTAAAGTAATAAATGAATTAAGGGTAAAAATGTAAAATTTGTGTTTAAAAAAGAAAATAGGACGATAGTTGTTGAACGTTCAAAATAGGAAAGTAGGATGTTAGTTTGTGGACCGACGGAGTACATTTTATCACCATGGCCCATTGGGCCAATGTGGTTTGTTACGGGCTAAGCCCACTGATTTGTTGTTGGGCCTCAGCCTTATCGAATACTCTACCATGTGACTCTTGCTGTATAAACCATTAAACCCTGGTACGGTGTATTTATTTTATAAAATAGTACGAACAGAAATTTTTTTTAGATAAAATATATTTTCTCCGTCCCACATAATTTGTACTTATTTTTTATTTTCGTTCGTCCCACATAATTTGTCATTTTCTTTTTTGGAAAAATAATTATACGCTTTAATCATATTTTAAAATTTTAAATTTAATTTTTTTAATCTTAATTAAACTATTTAGTTATCTTAATTTTAATTTATAATTATTTTTACTAAATAATAATTATTTTTACTAATACATTTCTTAATTATTTACTAATTATACCTTACTTAAATTCTCGTGTCTACATTATACACCCATATTATATGAGACGGAGGGAGTAAGAAATTGTGTATGTAATATAAAAATATCATAGTGTCTAATATATATATATATATGAAAAAATATATTCCTTCAATACCATAACTAGGTATTCATTTATTTTTTGCATGTAGTTTTAGAAATGACTAAAATAACCTTATTAATATGATGTGATATAAAGGTAATGTCATTTGTGTAATATATTGTAAGTTATAATGGTATTTAATGTTATATAGATAGTATAGTTACTAAAAAAGAAAATAAATAATTTGTATGGATACTTTATTATGGTACGAAGGGAGTATTGACTTAGAAAAAGGGGAATAACAAACTAACTTTTAGGTTGTGTTATTTTGTGAGTTTTACAGCATATTTTTACTATTTAGATTTTTTTTTTCAAAAATATCACATCAAATAATTATTTTTTTTTATATTATACTACAAATTTATTTACATTCAAAATATCACATCAGTCTCTATTTAAATCATATCAAATAACTATTCAAATTCAACAATTATTATTTAGAAATCTAAACTCAAAAATTAAAACCCACAAAACAAACACACCCTTCATTCTCATAAGAGACAGTATATGAATCAAATAAATAAGAATACCATTATGTAAAGGGATGACTTATTTACTTATGATTCATTTAGAGTGTGTTTGTCCGGGGATTGGATTAGATTTTCATTATTCATCCCATTTTTTTTCCTCAAAAATATTAAATTAAATACCTATTTTTTTATTTTTTATATTATACTAAAAATCAATTTTACATTCAAAATATTACATCAACACCTATTTATATCACATCATACAACTATTCAAATTCAAAATTTTTACTATTCAAATCTTAACTCAAAATCCAAATCCCCAACAAACACACCCTAAGTGTGATTTGTTTAATTTTTAAAAAGTTATTTACTTGTCACAATTGAAAATATTTTTTTTTTATTTTTCGTTTATCCTACTGAATAAATAAATAAATAATGGAAACAAATTGTTATACGATATTTATTATTCAATTATTTATTATTTATAATTTATTTTATTTAAAATAATATTTAAAATATTTTTTATTTTTTATTTATATAAAATTTGTATAATTTAGATTTTTTTTAAAAAAAATAATATTTTATGCAAATTTTATATTACACAAACGAATTTTAATCGATAAATAAAATGCATAATATTTTATGCATTTTTTCTACGGAAGAGAGTTATAATTTACAGAATTGAAATTCTAACAATAGACCCTAAAATTATTTAAAATAAAACTCATCATCATTCATGAGTGCCTTTGGGAGCACTTTTCTCGACACAGTCTACACTACCCGACCCGATCCGGTTCCTCGCCGTTGAGCAGAGAGTGTGACGGCTGCAGTCAAAAAGCTCCCTGGACCACGAACACCAGATAAATCCAATCCGTTCATTATCCGGGTCGGCATCAACAACGGCGTAGATCCGTCCGGTGCTGGGAGCTCCAAATTCTTCAAACTATCTCACGATTCTGCGCTATCTCCTCTCCATCTTCATGTCGGCTGACCATCGTTTCCGATAATGCACCGCCGCAAAAATTCTCCCAAATCCGATTTAACATTTCGTGATTCTGCAGCGAAATGGTGATGAATCCATGGAGGAGGAGAGGAGAAGAGAGGAAAAGCGATAAAGAGATATTGATTCATATTCCGTAAAGAAAAGGGAAAAGGAATCCGCACCTGAAAAGCACACGCAAGCTTCTGTATGCGTTTGTGGGGCTGTGATTGGCATTCAATTTCTCCCCTATCGAGAAGGATCGATTTACTTCGATCCTCTTCTGTTTTTGCTGTGTATTGTGTGTTGTTAATCGGCATAGAAGCAGGCAACCAGCTGAATTTCTCCCGATTTTGCGTGCATAGTTACGTACCTGAATTCAGATACTGAGGTACTTCCGATTATTTTAGGTTTTCTCGATTGTTTGATGTCCGCGTGCATTTGGTTGTGGCTACACTTCATGTTCGTCAATTTGTTGTGTTTTTATCAAATTGTGAACTGCATCATCTCGGAATAATGAAACCTTGCTAATTAGGGTTTTCCTTTTCCCCTTTTGGTTTGTAACAATTTAGATTTGGTTCTTCATGTTGGACTGTAAAATGTTCAGAATCATTAATTTGCCACTAAGATGAAACGTGCCAAATTGCAAATCCCAAAGTCTCCCTGTTTTCATTTACACTGTTTTGTTTAATTATGGTTGACGTGTGGATCTTCTTTAGGTCGATTTTCAGCTGACTGCTCATCAATGGCAGCCTACAAGTATTTCTGAATTTATTAATTATTACGCTTTATCTTTTCTGCAACTTTTGGTTGCTTTACTAGCCAGTGTGGGTGAAATCGATTAAGTTGCTTCAATTACCTCTGTCGTTTTCTGCTGAATTAGTGGGGAAAAAAGAGGCCCCTCATCTGAATTTCGCAAAGGTTTGGGGCCCAATGTCGTGTTGATTTCCATTGCCTGATTGATGGGTTTCTATAGCTACATGATTTTGTATATAGACTTTTTATCATTGAAGACGTCCATAGTCGGTTCATAAAAGCTTCACCTGTGATGGTGCTTGTTGAATTTTCTAAACTTCCTATATTTATGATTCTATCTGCCTCTGTAAATTAATAGCATACCTGGCACTGTTTCCTGACGTCTCCATTTACTACTGAATCTGGTTTCTAATGTGAAATAATTTTCGAGATGGCCTGTTTAATCAATTTAAAGTTGCTGTTGGTTGAATACTTTGTATCAAGTGGCTGTTGATATTGCTTCTCCTTTCGGAGTGCTTGTTGTAATCTGGTGAGTTAGATGTTGGATCAGAGTAGAATCATTCCTTTAGATTTTTCAAGTTCTCTCTTTGATTCTCAGTTATGTTGTGGCAATTTGAATTTCTTGTGGTTTGTCTCTGGATTTCGTTTCATCTTGTTTTGATGTTTTGAGTAATAAGCAACAGTTTACATGTTTTCCCCTTGATTTTTAGTGATTAAAATATGGGATACAGTAAGGTTTGATAAGTGTTGTGTGATTACAATTTTGTTGTGGCATTTTGAATTTTTTGTTCTCTCTGGATTTCATTTTATCTTGTTTCGATGTTTCAAGTAATAATCAACATATTTAAGAGTTCTGCCCTTGATTTTTAGTGATTGGGTTATGGAAAATAGTAAGGTTCGATAAGTGTTGTATGATTACAGTTCTGCTGCGGCACTTTGAATTTTTTGTTTTTATCTCTTCTGAATTTCCTTCGATTTTGTTTTGATGTTTCAAGTAATAATCAAGAGATTAAGAGTTTTTGCCTTTGATTTTTAGTGATCGGGTTATGGGATACAGTGAGGTTTGATAAGTGTTGTATGATTACAGTTCTGTTGTGGCAATTTGAATTTTTTGTTCTCTCTAGATTTCATTTGATCTTGTTTCGATGTTTCAAGTAATATTCAACAGATTATGAGTTTTACCCTTGATTTTTAGTGATTGAATTATATGGGATACAGTAAGGCTTGATAACTCTTGTATGATTACATTTCTATTTTGGCAATTTGAATTTTTTGTTCTCTCTAGATTTCATTTAATCTTGTTTCGATGTTTCAAGTAATATTCAACAGATTATGAGTTTTGCCCTTGATTTTTAGTGATCGGGGTATGGGATACAATAAGGTTTGATAAGTGTTGTATGTTTGCAGATTGTAGGGATATTACAGACACCATGAATCCAAAAGATGGAAGATCAAATTCATCACAGCAAGAGAGAAATTTTAGGGCAGCTCCTATGGCAGTGATGTTTATTCTGCTCTGCAGTCTTTCATTCTATCTTGGGGGGATGTTTTGCTCGGAAAAGGATATACTTGTAGCTCGAGACATTAGTAAAGGAATCGGAACTTCCAAGGGAATAACCACGTCGCCTCTCCAAATTAGGGAAGTGACCTTTCCTGAATGTGGTCCAGAATTTCATGACTACACACCGTGCACTGATCCGAAGGTGATTCTTTTTGCTACTTTAGTTGTTCCCGTGATTCTTCGTTTGTTGTTTCAAAAAGTTTACCAAGATGATGTTGTGCTACCTGCTTAGAGGTGGAAGAAATACAGTACCCGTCGACTTTATTTTCTGGAGCGGCATTGCCCTCCCATGTTTGAAAGGAACGAATGCATAATTCCCCCACCTGATGGTTATAAAGAACCAATTAGATGGCCGAAAAGCTGGGATGAATGTTGGTATAGGTATGAACACTTATGTCGATGAACACTACATTGTTGTTAAAGTAGATGAGGGTATTTGCCGGAAATCGTAATGCTTTGATGGTTGGATTGGATTGTCTCAGGAATGTACCATATGATTGGATTAATAAACAAAAATCGAATCAACATTGGCTGAAGAAAGAAGGCGAAAAGTTTCTATTCCCCGGGGGCGGCACAATGTTCCCTAACGGCGTCACACACTACGTCGATTTGATGCAAGATTTGATCCCTGAAATGAAAGACGGCACTGTTCGTACTGCAATCGATACCGGATGTGGGGTGAGTTTGTGACGTTGTATAGACAATAGTATAATATTACACGCATCCTTTATAAGCATCAAAGGTTTGCTGTTCCCGATCTCTTTTCGAAACACGTTGAATATTTTGTTTTCTTGATTTGTCTAGGTTGCTAGCTGGGGAGGTGATTTGCTAGATCGAGGGATTCTTACAGTGTCTCTTGCCCCTAGAGATAACCACCAGGCCCAAGTTCAATTCGCTCTTGAACGCGGGATTCCCGCCATTCTCGGCATCATCTCTGTTCATCGACTACCTTTTCCTTCAAATTCTTTCGATATGGCGCATTGCTCAAGATGCCTTATTCCATGGACTGAACACGGTAAATAAAGTTACATTTGTAATGCCAAAATATTCTTCTTACCGAAAATCTAGCTCCTATGTAAGATTTCGTATTCTATTATCTTGTCTGACTGCTTCTATACTCGTCGTTGCCAGGTGGCGTTTACCTTCTAGAAATACATCGCATTCTCCGGCCGGAGGGTTTCTGGGTACTTTCCGGGCCCCCGATAAACTACAAGAGGCGTTGGAAGGGATGGAACACAACAATAGAAGAGCAGAGATCGAATTACGAAAAGCTGCAAGACTTGCTCACTTCCATGTGCTTCAAATTATACAACAGCAAAGGCGACATCGCCGTATGGCAGAAATTATCCGACAACGACTGCTACAAAAAGCTCGAGGCCCCCGACCATTACCCGTCGCCGTGCAACGACGGTACCGAACCCGATTCTGCGTGGTACACTCCAATGAGGCCTTGTGTCGTTGTCCCAAACAAGTTCTACAAGCGAGTGGCGCTGAACTCCCTGCCTAAATGGCCCGAAAGATTGAATACCGTCCCCGAGCGCGTCTCGGAAATCCGTGGCAAGAACTCGGCTTTCAAGCGCGAGGATAAGAAATGGAAGAAACGATTGATCCATTACAAGAAGGTGCTGCCCGCGTTGGGAACCGACGAGATACGCAACGTCATGGACATGAACACTTTGTTCGGAGGTTTTGCTGCTTCGATGATCGACTATCCGTTGTGGGTCATGAACGTGGTTTCATCCTACTCGACTAATACACTTGCTATTATATATGACAGGGGCCTTGTCGGGACGTATCACGATTGGTAAAGCCGAACTTAAACATGAACTATTGCTTCTATTTTAACATTAATTTGCTAAAACATTTCTTCTTTTTTTTTGTCGATCTTGTTAGGTGTGAGGCCTTCTCTACATATCCTCGGACTTACGACCTTCTTCATCTTGACGGGCTTTTTACTGCTGAAAGTCACCGGTAAGGCAATAGTAGCTTTGTTATGCAAGCAATTATATCCGTACATAAAGGTCGAACTCAAGTGAAAAAATAGTAGGCAAAATTACTCATGATCCACATATAGTTTGAAAAAATAGTGTGACTTTTCCGTCGGGCCTGGTTTGCAGGTTATTAGGTTCGATCGGGGGTTTACCCAGTGCGCACTTTCGAGTAGCGGCTGCGAATTTCCACATTATAAAAAAAATAAAAAATATGCATCATTACATAACTCTTTCTTGTGTTTTAAAATTCATTATACAAATTAAAAAATGCTAGGAAGTCTTGTGCAATTTTTAAGGGATTACAGAATAGACTTTCTAAAGCACAAGTGGGCTATTTGGGTTTACTGGGTGTTAGATTTGAAATTGAGATTTTTTTTATTTTGTTTAAATATTAGTATTTTTTTTAATAACGGATAAATATTACTCTCTCTGTCTATTTTGAAATAGACTTTTGGAATTTTGTAATAGATTTAAAAAAAAAAGCAATATTTTATTGGTTGGCGAAAGTGTATAAGTTATGACATTTTTGCCTAATGTGTTTGTAATTTGAATAAAAGTTAAGGTATTTTAGTATTAGTATATGATTATTTTTATTAAAAAAAAAAAAGAAATAGATACTTTGGAACGAGACGAACGAAGATGATAAAAATGGTATTTTGAATTGGGACAGAGGTAGTAGTATTTTGATAGGATGTTTTGTGACAGAAAATAGTATGATTTTATGGAACCGTGTTAGTTGAAGATTATTGATTAGGGTTTGAAGTAAAAACCTAACACTGTTTTGTCAAAAATAATGAGATTTAGGGTGTGTTTGTATTTTGTATTTAAATAGTGTCGTATGATATAATATTTTGTAAGATTAAATAGTGTGTTTTGTGAAGAATTGGCTGGTAGAAAGAAATTGAAAAAAAATAAAAAATAACATAGCTCTGTTCTTGACATTAATCGTGACTAAGGTAATGGTTTCATATTCGATCGAACAGGTGTGAGATGAAGTATGTTCTATTAGAGATGGACCGGATTCTCCGCCCAAAGGGGTACGCGTTCATCCGGGAATCAAGCTATTTTGCAGACACGATCATTACAATGGCGAAAGGAGTGAGATGGGAATGTCGCCGGGAGAAGACAGAAGAGGGTAGCAGCAAAGATGAAACCATACTAATTTGCCAGAAGAAGCTCTGGTACTCTTCGAACAAAAGTTCGAGATGACACTGCAAGAAAAAGGCCCGATGATTTGTCCGAGGACAAGTTTTTTGTGTGTAAGAAAGAGTCGACGATACAGGACGGAGTTGTATTACGATGACTAGTTTTAGCGCATTGTTCGAATCTAGCACGGCGAACCTATTATTATGTTGCATTGTCGGATTGCTGTATAATATTAAGGACATTTTGCATGTTATCGAGCTTGAGCTCCCCCGTCGTGCGCCGAGTGCCGTCGTTTTCGAGTTTTGTTGATGGGTGTTTTTGGGGAATATGATTTTATCGAATTTTTTTGTAGGAGTAAAGAATATTAGATCAAATTTAAATTTGACGTTTAGTTAAATGATTTGAAGAGATATTTTGTTTCGGAAGACAGAGGAATAATGTAAGTAATATAAACAATAATAACTATCTATAATATATAACCTTTTTATTTTAGAAATGTATTTCTAAGAATTGTTGAAGAAATGAAGAATGCTCTATATATATATTATTAATTAGATTTTATAATCCAACATTGAAAATATGTCAATAATATTATAATCTTACCCCTACGATTTGGATTTTAAACAATATTTTCAATCACGATAATTGGGAGGTAGAAAGTGACTATATTTTAACTAATCTTGGATCTTAACATATTAAAATAAAGTAAGGAAGTTAAAAAAAAAACAATGACATTATTATCGTTAAAATAGAAATGCTCCTTTCCTCCCATAAGAAATGTGGCTTTTGTTTTTTGCACGTAGATTTTAGTATTATATTGGATTGTAGTAAAAAAATAAAAATACCCCTATTAGTACGGTGTAATATAAAAGTAATGACATTTGTGTAATATATTGTAAGTTGAAAGGATATTTATTATGTGAAGTAGGTAGTACAATTATTAAATTATGAAATGGTAACCTTATTTTAGGATAGACGAAAATGAAAAATAGTAACCATGCAATGGGACAGAGGGAATAATAAATTTGTGGTGAATATAAATATTATAAAAAAAATAATATTCATTTATATTAACACTATATATATACATACGACCGTGTTTCAACGCTATTTTTCAATTACAATTCTTTAAAAGAAATAATACAAATATTCTAACATATCTTATACAAAAAAATTAAAAAAATTTAAATACTCGGTAGAAAAGGTTAAATATTTTACCTAAAATAATATATATTATATTTTTGACACAATTAATCATAAAAAAAAAGAAGTATTTTGTCCAATAAAGATGACCGGATAATGTGGAAAGTAAACTTGTGATTGTGAAGATCAAATCCCACGCCTCCAAGTCCACTTGTTACACATGGTTCGTTTTATGTGACTTTTGCCTTATCAGGCTGAATAATTCGACTAGATATTTACCCAATTAACACTCTCGGATAACGATTGCGGATCCCACATTATAAATAATACAATTAAAAAGAATTATACAAATTAAATTAGTCCAACCATGCATTCATTCAATGAATCGTGTCGAAATATTTGATAAATATGAGTGTGAATTGTATTTATATATATAAGGTAAAATTATATATAGTATATATATATAAATAAGGAAATAAAATATTCTAACAAATCCAATTTCAAACGGCAGGCCTGACCGCACTCAAATATCAATATCAATATCAATATCCAAATCAAAATCAAACTGCTCCGAAAATTTCTCTCTCTACTTTCTTAGGGCTTCCCAATTTCTTCCTTCAAAATCGACCCTCCCTCTCTCTCTCTCCTTCTCCCTCCACAACACCGGAAGAACGACAACAGGCATTCCGAAATCCCTTCCCCGCGTGTCGTGGGGGCTAAATCTCCTGATTTCCCAACCTTTTTCTTGCAATCCAATCCAAGATTCGCACACAATTATGCTTCCTTCTAGTTTGCCCTTCGCCACTCGCATATATGCGCCGTTGGTCCCTCACAATTGCCGTCAATTTCATCGCAGTAACGCAAGGGAGGCGCTGGATTCGAGGCCCATAAAGATTTTGATTGTGAATTAGGGTATAGAAATCGAGCGGCGTAATCGGGATTCTTCCCCGCTGGTAATGCGGTTTTCTGTTCATGTAGGAGTCGCGTGCGTTTATTTTCTGTTGATTTCGCACGCTGTTTTTGCTTTTGATTTGTTAATTTCTTGCGTAGTAACCTTGCGGTGCGGTTTGGTTCGATAGTGTTTGAATTTATCGTTAGTTTTTGAATTATTAGGGTTTTTCGGCTTAATTCATATTAGTCTGTGATTTGTTTTTTATTCTTGTTGGATATAATTGAATAATTAGAATTTAATGGATCTTCTAAATTTCTTGGCGAGCAGAATGATTAAACTGGAAATTCTTGTGAAATATTAATCTACTCCTTGAAATTGTTGTCATGCATATTGATTCAGCTCGAAATTCTTTGAAAACCTGTATTGATTATGTTATTTATGATTCTATTGTAATTTGGAAAAAATGTTGAGGAATTGTGTGAGTTTGGTTATTTAAGATTCAATTGGAAATTGGAAAGAATATCAAATAATTTCGTATTTTCTGTTGTTTCCAATTCAATTAGAAAGAATCATACGAACTTTGTTATTGAAGATCTCTGTCTTTGTTGCCAGGTGGCATCGACTTTCGAAGTAAGGAGGTTATTATTGTCTAGGATATGGAGCATCTTTTCATCTGTTCACATTCCTGCCATAGCCAGTTTTTTACATTCCGTGGACTTATCAATCGCCGATTCATCGTTCTTGGAGATTTTCTTCTTGTGTCCTTTGTCAATTATACTTGAGAGCGAATTAATCACCTCAGGAGGCCGAATGCATACATTTCACAGATAGAGTATGGGTCTTCTTTTTGTGCACTTGTGCAAGTGAGTTGCATAGATTATAATATAGTGGACGCTGGTCTTGCTGTCGATCCAGTTACACTGTCGATCATCTTTTGCAATACCATTGTGCTTACGGCCTTTTGTTGTCTTTTCGCGGCACGCATATAAGGTACGAATCATTTCTTCTGTTAATATACTTTGATTTGCATATTTTTACGCTTCTATGATTAGTATACCATATAATGTACTTTTATCTATCCAATTTAACTCCAGGTCTCAAGTTTGCGGGTATTGGAAGATAATTGTTTGCATTACTGAGTACTAGGTAGCTTTCTTGATGACCTCTTGACAGCAGCAATTTTGGACGGATTTAGATCTCCCCATGGATATAGTTTCCTTGAAGCCGATGTCGCTATTTGGTGTCAGTTGCTTTTGACTAGCACCAAAATGCTATACATCTTGTTTTGTCCTCTTCTATGCTTCCAGATTTTTTATTCGTTGAACTTTCTAAATAAGGCTGTGAAGCTCATTGACCATACTCGTAGCAAGTTTTTCAAACTGGGTTCAGCTGAAAAATCTATTCAGTAGTTGCTGAATTAGCCTGGCCTTTTGGTTGTTCTTTTTCACCAGTTGTCGCTACAGTAGCTTTACTGGCTACTTGTCTATTCCCCACCAATAAACAGTTTATCTCACGTGCGGTTGAACTCACTGCAATGGAGAGGTACTTTTATTATTTCATATTTCTATTAGATATTTCTGCTCTTCCTCACCTAAAACTTCAATATTTTTATTTTTTAACAATGGTCCTTGTAGGTACACTGTTCTTGAGGAAGTTGGTCATGGTACATTTGGAAATGTCTGGAAAGCTTTAGTGAAGCATTCTGGTGAAGTGGTATGCGGATTATATTTCTGATAGCTATGTTAATTCTGCTTTTGCGAGTAGAGCTTAATGAATTCGAAACGTATTCATACCTACCTTATTCTTTTGCAGGTTGCTATAAAGAAAATGAAGAAAAAATATTCTTCATGGGAGGAATGTTTAAATCTGAGGGAAGTAAAGGTAAGGTTTTACTGCCTTTTAATTGATTTTAAGCATTACTTTTTGTGGGAGATGTAAAACTGATTATTTTATTATTATTATTATTTTTTTTGCAGTCTCTGACAAAAATAAACCATCCAAACATAATCAAGCTCAGGGAAGTCATCAAGGAAAAGGATGTCCTGTACTTTGTCTTTGATTACATGGTAAAGAGTGATTTTCTGGCCTTATTTGCCCTGGATTTTTTCTTTTTCGTTGATGTAGTCATAATTTTTGTCAAACATTCAGGAATGCAATATGTTTGAGCTTATAATGAGAAGAATAAATGGTTTCTCTGAAGTTGAAGTGAAAAATTGGTGCTTTCAAGTTTTTCAAGGTCTTGCATGCATGCACCAACGGGGATATTTCCACCGTGACCTCAAGCCAGGTACTTAATTCAGTGGTGATTCTTGATATGATTGTATGTCACAAGCCTTAGATTGTTACGAATTCCAACTGTACATGTGTATAACATCAGGTTATTTCTTGGCTAATATACTTCCGATTAACCAAGTAGTTCAAATACTTAAATCTTTTGACTAACAAACCTTATTTGAGTAACTATCACTTTTCGTTTTTGATCGGAAACTATCACTTTCTTTTCTTATATCACATGTTGCAAACTTGGTTGTTCGTATATGTTACACACACACACTAACAATTTTCACAAGCTACTTTTTTTTCATTATGTCTAGATACCATTGGCTAATGATCATGACTATTTTGATTCTTAATGTTTCATGAGTTGATTATTTTGATGTGTTTAACAGAGAACCTGCTGGTATCGAAGGATCACCTAAAAATTGGTGATTTTGGCCTTGCCCGGGAGATCAATTCTCAACCCCCATATACTGATTATGTTTCAACTCGCTGGTCTGTAGTTATCTTTCTGCCGTCTGCAGCCTTTTGGTTTTAGAGTTTTTATTGTTTTGGAGGGTTAAGTTAATTCTTTTAATTTCAGGTACCGAGCCCCTGAAGTTATGCTCCAATCTGTAATATATGGTCCTCCTGTTGGTGAGTGGTGTAATGAGATTGTTGCATTTATTGATTTAATTTTTTTCCTGGAGATTTAAAATATTTTCTTATTTCAGATATGTGGGCAATGGGTGCAATTATGGCTGAATTACTCACTCTTCGCCCGCTATTTCCTGGTACAAGGTATGACTGTTCTCCATTACAATCCCTGCTTGTTTTTCTTACCTTAGGGGGCAATAATATTGATACTTGAACTGGTACCCGTGTGATGTAATGTAAGGATACTTGCTTGAGCTTTTTGTATTCATTTTTTGGATATTTATTTTCAACAATCATATCTATTGTGCATCTATGTAATACAATAATTTTATATTTGGGATGTTGATGATACATTACTAATTATCAGAGGTGAGAAGAAATGCATATAGTTTTTTTTTTTTTTCCGCAAATGTTTCTTGTTTAAACTCCGAACGATTTAACCTATTCTTTATAAATTTGTATAGTGAGGCGGATGAGATATATAAGATATGCTGCATCATTGGAAGTCCAACCAGAGATAATTGGGCTGAAGGGCTTGATCTTGCCAGTGCTATAAATTACCAGTTTCCTCAGGTTATTACATTATCTTTATCTTGCTTCCATTTATGTCTATTGCGAGTTCTAAGGGTACTAATTTGGTTTGTTCTATTGATGGTTCTTCTGATCTACATTTTACGATACCTGGAAATCAATAAAATATCAAGATAATGTCAATGCCTCTTTTTCTTGCTATCATATTGTCATGAACTACGATTTTTGACTACCGCATTTTCATTTTGTGAATTTATCTTTTGAATGAGTTTTTTGAAATAATCTGTGTGTAATGACATTACAGGCTAAAGGAGTGCATCTTTCTCTGCTGATGCCTGGTGTTAGCAAGGATGCGGTTAATCTTATTTCTGTAAGTATGATGGTCTAATATTTTTTATGCTCAACACTCCATTTAAACGATTTCCAAGACATATAGCTCTTAAGATTGACTCCTAGTTTTATGTTCCTTTTCGTATATGCATGATCTATAGTCACTCTGCTCGTGGGATCCGCACAAGAGACCAACTGCAACTGAGGCCCTTCAACATCCTTTCTTCCAGGTTAGAACATCTGCTCATGTTTATTATTGAAACATTTGAAGTTAAATAACTATTAGAAAAGAACCATTGAAAAGTCGATTAAGTCAAAGATATTTGTCCGAGAAAATAATGTCTTCTATAATGCTGCAGAGCTGCTACTACATATCGCCGTCCCTGCACTCTAAACCTGTTCTCGCTAGAACTCCACCTTCTGGTACGTGTTTCATTTTTTCTGGTCCTTCAAATAACTGGTCGATGCTGTGGACGTTCAATAGAATTGTGTACCGTGCAGTTGGATCTATGGAGGAGCTAGAAAGTGGTAGGAAGTATCCGGCAACTGTATTGAACCCAAAGCTAGTGAACAGTTATTCTTCTGCCAAGCTATATGCAACTTCAGGTGTAGTGTTTTTACGTGCCTGTTTTCACCGTCTACTATTTTAATGTGAACCGAGCAACAAGTTCACTTTGTGCATTACTGTGTAAATGTGTTTGTGTGAGTTGTTCGATGTTCGTAGCAGTTAGCTCCTGTGTTAATAATCTTGTTCTGTTCTCCAGGCGCACAAAGAAAGTTGGACATGAATAATCAAGTGAGTTAAATTTCCCGTGTAGCTATTATTACTTTAGTATTGTTTCCACAAATCCAATAATACTTTATACATATATATATTTTCCATACCTGTTTATTTACTCTCAGTCAATCCTATTTAAGGTGCGGAATGTCCCTAAAAATGACAAAAACCAGAACTATGTGAAACAACACTGGAAGTCTCAGCCACCGGGACTAAATGTCTACGGTAAGTATCAATAATTTAATTACTGTTCTCTGCTTGCTTTCTAGTATGTAACTTTTGGACGGTGCTCTGTTAAAAATTACTTCCAGACTAATTATGCCACAATATCTGGGTACAAATTAAAAAATACTAGTATTTTAATGTAAAAGTAAGGTAAGTAAAAAGTAAATGGAGATATTATAGGTAAGTTATTAAGGAGTTAATAATATTAATGTAGTGTGATAAGTAAAAAAAAGGTCATAACAAATTTATTACTATTTGCTTAAGTAGGGGTAATGAAATTATGGGCGAATAAAGTAAGTTTAGCGGACAGTCAAAAAAGAAAATTTAGTCTGTATTTAGTGATTTTGGCTTACATTTCTCTGATTAAATTTACAGAGTACTCACTCCGTCCAAATCTATGTTGTTTTTTTTTTTTTTTTTTTTTTTTTTCTGTGTTGTCATAAACAAATGTTCTCATTTTCTTATTTAGTAAACTAAAATCTCTCAATTAAAACACATTCATAGTATTGTGCATGATGAAAACTTAAAAAAAGAACAAAACCTTATTGGTTGGAAAATTAATCGTAATTTTTTTTTTTTAATGTAATCTTATCAGGTGGGTACATGGGAATAGGAAAGCCGCGGGAGATGTCTGATACTATAGAGCAATTGCAGAAAATGACGGTGGGAGCAGGCAGGCCATCGGCAAAGCCATCACCTTCACCTTCACCTTCACCTTCACCTATGAAGGCCGGAGGATGGAATCAGCAACCTGATTTATTTATGCGGCAACGACAAGAACTTCAGCCGGGAAGATCTTATGTCAAGAAGGCGGTCAGATAAAAATATGAGATCAAGATATGCTTACGCTGTCTATCTCTCTCTATATGTTAGTTATATAGATGATGATGGTGATATAAAAGGGTGTTTTTGTCCGGGACTTGGAGATTTTATGTTTGGGAGGGAGTGTGGTGTGTGGATACATGTTCGTTCTAGCTTTGTGTCTTTTTGAATGTTTGGAGATCAGACTGTTATTTGCTGTTTGGAGACAAATTATTAGACTTCTTTTGATTTGCGTATTGAATTCTGGAAATATAATGGACATGAGTTTTCTTTGATTTTTAATTTTTTTGTTTGAATGGTAGTTTGAATTTTATTTTATTTTTTATTGTAAAAAATAATGTTCTATTCGTCGTCGTTCGAATCTATTTTTATTTTATTTTATTTTTTTTCTGGTTGTCATTTGTTTCATTTTTAGGTAAAAAATATATTCCTTCCGTTTATTTTCATTTTTGTCTGTTTTCGTAATAATTGATATATTTTTATTTTTGATAAAAATTATTAAATCTAAATATATTTAATAAATGATGTAGGATCCACTCAAACTCATTTATTTTTCTCTTTCTAAAAAAATAAATATTTTTATCTATATTTAAAATTAATCATATTTTATAAAATTGATTTATGTTAATTATAAATAAACAAAAATATTTTTTTATTTATTTTGTATTATATATTTTCTACGCAATGATATCCATATTACATATATTTTTTAATTGCTATATAATTTTTAAATATTTAAACATATATTTTGATTTTTTTAATCATATATATTAAATTTACTTTTATCATAACTAATTATTATTAACTAATTAAACATCCTTACTTTTTAATACCCTATAACTATTAGATGAGATAAATGGTATAAAAAATAGTCAGTGTTGATTGGGGCAAGTAATGTATTGTATTTAAAAAAGAAAAAAGAACTCTTATAGAAAATGAGGGTTTTTAAAAAAAGTTAAACTTGAATGTTAGGTTTTAAAAGTAAAAGAATAAAAATAATTTACGGAACATTTAAATAAAAAAGTGTTTATATTTATGATACTTTTTATTGGTTATTTGAAAATTATAAAAGTATCTATTGTTATTATTTTTAGATACTTAGTAAAAAAATGTTAAAAAATGTATTGAAAATCATAAAAGTTGAAAGCAAACCAACCTTCAAATTCTACCAGTGATACTATAAAATCCCAAAATAAATCACTAACTACATTAGCATTTAAAAACATATATGACTCATTTTCCCTGAAAGAACAACATAAAAACCACATTAAAATGCCAACAAATTAACCATCCCTAAAAATATCTCAGAGAAATCATAGTTTCCAAAAGGTATAGTAATAATAATAATCTGTCTCTCTAATAAAAACAAAGCTACACATATTGTCAAACATTCAAACCCACTCCTCTCTCTCTCTCTCTAAAAATCTTATTTATATCATACTACTTTCAAGTTGAGGAATGGAAAGGAGAGAAAATGTACCTTGCCTCAAACATCAGATTTTGTCTGAATGTATAAATATGTATCTTGTCTTAATTAGCTAAGACAGATACTGAGACTGGATCCTGTCCCTGTTTGCTTCCCACCACTGCTTTGCATCCACTTCTCCAAATTTCTCCCGACTAATCAAATAAATAATATTTTTATTGAAAAATAAGTACAATGTAAAAATAACGTAAAGGTACGCAAGTTAGATTTAAAATTGTTAACTAGCGGAATCAATTAAGGGTGTCTACATTTATAAAACTACATCAAGTTTTTATTATTCATTAAAGTTTTTTCTTTATAAAGTATCAAATCAAATATCTATTTTATACATTTTATATTATATTAAAAATTAATTTTACATTCAAAACATCATATCAATACCTATTTATACAATATTATATAACTTTCAAATTCAAAATTTTTACTATTTAAATCCCAGATTAAAATCCAATCTCCAAACAAATACACCCTTACTGCTTATGTTTATTCCTTAAGTTTAACAAACAAATATAGTGTTTGCTCTTAAGCATTCAAGCTCATTTGTAGTATTTGAGCTCAATTCATTAAACAATTTTATTGTTCGACTTCGTGTTTTGATTAAATTCGACCAAACTCATTTATATATGTATTTTTTATTTTATTTTATTTTTTTAATTCATCATTTTATATGTATATATATATTTTGCGAACAAGGTTCGCGCTCATTCATTAATAGAATGAGTCTATTTATGTTGTTCGATTCAGCTGGTTTACGTTTACAAACAAACTCAAACCAAGCCGAAACGAGTTCACAAACAGCTTAATTTATTTAACAGCTTTAGTTAGATCAATGAAACAGTACCTGAAGCGGACGCGGCGGAGCTCCCGAGTTCCATCAGCAAACTGTCGGATAGTAATGAAGACGCCAGGCTGGTCTTCTTCGATCCACTCTACCTCGACCTCGCTCGCATTGCTTATAGAAACCGAGCCCGTCTCGTCGCGAGATGAGGTGGTCGTCCTCGACGCCTCCATCGACGACATTCGGTTGGGGTACCCATTGTAGGGGTAGTGGTAGGGGTAGTTGCTAGGCCCTGCCCCCGCCCCCACCCCGGCCCCGGCCCCCGGATTATTGCAGTAGTACTGGCTGCTGCTGTATCGAGGAGTCATTGCCGGCGCCGCCATCCGGGGACTTCCGAGCGTCGATCCTACCCGAGAATAGCTCGAATCCCTCTGCAAGAAATTGCATTATAAAGAGAGTTATATATATATATATATGTGTGTGTGTGTGGAGAATTGAAAAGGAGAGGATGTAATGGAAGTGTGGTTACTCCTCCATCCTCGGATCTGCCAGGAGTGTTCATGACTTGCTGGTGGAATTTCTGCACGTTGTAGAGCTCCATTATTCGGTCGAAATTCTCTCCCCACCACCTCTGTGCTTGCCATTTGTTGAACATCTCCCGGCTTTGATAAATAGCAGATTAAGAATGTCAAACTATAACTCTCAATTTATAACAAGGTTCAATAGAAATAGTATTCTTGTTTACACCCTATATATTAAGGAGAGAATACAATGCTCTATTCAACTATCTATTATACATACATATCAAATTTATTCGGAACACAATGAGCATGTTTAAATAACTTTAATCTATTTATTGATCATTCACTTAAAAGAACCTATGACATCATGTTCCTATTTTAATAAAAATATTTTATATATATATATATATTTATAAAATATACTTCCTTTTGTCAGTCAATTTACAAAGAAAACGGGCATAAAATTCACGAGACCGAAGAGTACAATATCAAATGCTTATCTATTCTTCAATTTTTTACAACTTTATTCTCTTTTTTTTTTTTTTGTTAACTATTGTGTAAAGAGGTTCAGTTACCTTAATCCAATGTATTGTGTCATCCTATATCAACTAATTACTTTTTGCTACGTGTATTTAATTTTTTTTATTTTATTAATTTTTTTATTTTAAAAATACACATGACAAAAAGTGATTGATCGATATACACAATACATTAGAGCATGTAACTTAACCCTGTTTAAACCATAAAAAAATATATATGTATATATCAACTAAACACAGTTACTATTCCCAAAATTCTTCCAAACTTAAAGACTTGTAAAATTAATCTAAATGCAAGCTATTAATCTCTTAATTAATTAGGTCTAGAATGGTACTAATTATCCTTTAAACATGACTATAATCAAAGTTTATAGAGATAAATAAATATCTATATATATATTTATATACGTATGACTAATTAATAGATGAGTGTAGGCATTAAATTAATTACCTGAAACGGATGCGTTTGAGATCGTTGCCACCGCGAGGGAGGGATATGAACGTAATTTGAACGCCGGGCTCCACCTGTGCCATCCACTCTCTAGGCTCGTCCTCATCATGTATCGTTATTTCTCCGAACTGAGCAGAAACCGACTCAAGCCCGGGCCCGGGCCCGGCCCGGGGGGTTCGGGCCCAAACAGGGGTGGAGCTGGAGCTCCCGCCTTGCAGATAAGGGTGCGGGACTCGCTCCGAAATCGTGTCGAATTCCGGGTATGCTCTTTGTCCTATCTTGAAGTTATCACTCTTCGATTTGGATGCTGATCCTGACACCTTCAATGCAATGTCCTTAATCTGTCCACCGCAACACCATATATATTATTACATCTCCATAAAATAAATTTAATGTATGAATGCCAAAAGTCAACTTCCACGATTAGTTTAAAGCTTCATTTCATTATAATGTCCTTCAGGAACAAATAGTGCTTTGTTCAGTGTTTATCATATATTCTCTACTGCTAATTTAAAATACATTTTTTTTTTACTATTTTTATATTATAAATAATCATTAATTAATAACAAAATACATTTAATTTCTATTTTTTTATATTCTCCCATACTATTTTTGTATATTGTCCCGTAAGGATGACCCGGTGGTTTAGAGGTTGTACTTATGACCGTGAGGTCATGGATTCAAACCTCCGACGACTCAGGTAGCTGCCACACATGATTCGCCTAGTGTTTATTACCCATTGCATTACTGTAGCAATTCTATTTTTAGAGTTATAACAATATACCACATTTATTTCAAGGCCATAAGTTTTTTCTATGGAAATCCTATGTTGAAATAATGTTATATACTACTGGCTTCTGATCAAGAATTATGTTAAAGGTATCCCAGAAAGCAATATGCTTCCTTTTAACCACAAGGCCCTCTTGCAACCCAACCTGGTATATTTAGCAGATGCTGTCTAAGGACCGATGGTCAATGTCTGAATTTAATAAAATAAAAAACTGCCTAGAGTAATGTGTCATATCAATTATCTCTAGTTAAAATCCTGATTGATTCAGAGAGCCTCCACAGCTCCAAATAATGAGAGCTTTGCATTAAAGAAAAGGCTGCCATAGTGGGCATTCAATGTTGTAAAAAACAGAACAACCTATCTAGCATATCTGATAAGGTATATTTGGTTTTGAAGATGCAATAATGTATCTAACTAAGCTATTTTCAGAATCAGAGAGGAGGAAACACATTGGAAGGCAGGAATTCAATGGTGGGCCATTTCTAGTATTAATATTGAATGCATGACAACTATTCTTTTTCTCAAAGCACATAATCTTACTTTTATTGCAAGATCTCCACAAAACAAACATTGCCCAAAGGGCTTTCTTTCTCATATAGTCATAATGCAATAATAAATGAATGTTAGACAGATATTTTTAAAAGTTTCCATATATATATATAACATCTCATAAAATATGTACAGCCTCTATCCCGCAACAAGAACATCATTTGTTTTTTATTTTTTAAGTATTAGTATTATATTGGTTTATAGTAAAAAAGATTAATATTATGTAATATAAAAATAATGATATTTGTATTATATATTGTAAATTATAAAGATATTTATTATGTTTGGTAAATATTACAATTACTAAATTAAAACATAGTACACTTTTATATACGGACAAACAAAAATAGAAAATAATACCGTACTCAAAGAATATATTTTTTCAAATAAAATATCAAATAAAATATTAATTTCAAAACTCAACAAGGAAATCTTGATCCTTTGATTACTGATTCTAATAAATAAGTAGCCACTAGCTTGGAAAAGCTACCAAGTCTATATAGACTGCTGCTGGTTGGTTAATTGGTTTAGTGACTGCATGTAATAACGATGGAAGAGGAGAAAGAAGAGTGAATTATTTCTCCTAAAAAGACTTGAAAGGAAGGTCTAAATAAGAGGTTCTGTCGCTAGAGAATTTTGGCATCATAAGATAGGGCATTCATTACACACACCATAGGTGCAATGTCCTATAAAAAAATAAAAAATAAAAATAGTCAACTCACACAATGAGGGCTTCTTTTAACAAAATCAGACTGATATGGAAATTTGGATGGGAGAGGGACCAGAGTTGTCAATTGGGACCAGAGGTGTCCATTTGGACACATGATCCAAATTGAGACTAGGCAATGAATGTCTTCTTACAAAGTGTGATAGGCTCTAAAGAAGGGAGGATAGGAAATAGAATGGACCAAGAAAAGTCTTTTCCATAGTTGACAAGAAAAGACTATTCGGCCCAAACATTATTATCCTCTGCAACCGAACGAACAAAAAAGCAAATCGAAATCCACATTCTTGAAGTGGACCCCACCATCGGTTGTCGGAAAAGGAACAGAACCGTCAGCAGTGAGTCGAGAGATGCTTTTAATTTTTTGTTCAAGAAGAAGGCAAAAGAGAAAACTGACAGATAAAAAGCAAAGGGAGAATTACCATATACCACACTGCGCATTCAGGCTGCAATTAATATATATATATATATATGTAGATGGTAATAATAAATGCTGAATATGAATTATGATTCTTTGGGAGCTCCATGGACTATGATTCCAGACGGATCCATACCTAAGGGAGCAGCGGTATGGAGCCATGGAGGTCAGAAGGTCCAAAGAGCTCCCAAGAATCACTCAGACAAATGCAAAAGAAAGAATTGCTAGGGTATGACAGGAGAAGAACCTGAGAAGTCAGGCTTTTGACGGCGTCTTTTGTATTAGAAGCCCCACGCGGGGCATCTTCTCCATCTTCGATTCTTTGCTTTGAGCAAGTAATACATGTCAACATCTTTGTCTACGTCTCTTACACACTTGTCTTTTTCTTCTTTCTGAATGCAAACACTTGTGTTTAATTCACCTGCAAAGCAAAAAGGCACACTTAAATGGACGATCTGAGCTGAGCTGCAAGCCTTTGAACGAGGCGGCAAGCTATCCCTTCATTAATATGGGATCATCATCATTTCCACAACTTTGAATTTTGCATTTCCACATTAAGGTTTACAACAGACATAAAATATCAGAAACAAAGGGGCTATGACAAACTTTGCTTTATAGGTACTTTGGATTGCTTTTGTTGCCATTTTCTAATAAGAAGAGCAGTTTCAGAAACTATACAACCAAGATGGAAATATCTTTCAGATTTATCACCAAAATAATAGTAAGAGAGAGAAGCATTCGTTATTCTTTTCACATATCGTCCTAATTTTGGATGGCATGTGAAGAAATTAATTTATGTATACTGGCTGCAATTGCATAATCTCCAGCAGTCTCTCTTAAATTTTAAAAATCTTGTAAAGAAGGAATGTCAAATTTCAAAAACACAGGCAGAAAATTAAAATGATTTGCCAACCTAAGAAAGGAAAGACATAACAGGAAAGAAGCAATCAGTAAAGAAGAAAAGGAGAGAAGAAAATAGAACCGTATTGAAAGAATAAAAGCGCCATGATAGACGTAGCATATAGCAAAGGAGTCTGGCCCTGGTTAAGCAATCTGCTTTAATCCAGACAAAGAATAAAGAAATGGGGATTTTGTGCCTATTTTTCTGAAAACATTTTCAAAACCCTTCGGTCGTAACCGAAACACTTTAAATTTTTGAAGAAATATTATATAATCTGTCGTGTGTGTATCTATATACATATATACATATTTATGCATAAATGTATATTCCATTTCTATGCGTACGTATTAATGGTGGAGGAGAAAAAGCTGGGATTCAAGGAGAGAAAATGTATGTGAACGAGTACAGGATTTTGTCCATTTGTGTAAACGTTGGCTGAGTGCACATTCAAACAAAATAGTGGAAAAGGGAATCCTTACTGTTCCATAACCATAACCACTGACTCTGACTCACCTAAGCCTCCACCACCACCGTCGTTAACTTCTCCTCTATTTCTCTCTCTCTCACAATCTCTTCGCCAAAACCTGAACGACGAAACAAAATCCAGAAAAAAAAAAAAAAAAAAAAAAAGGCAAAGTTCACAGTCAGAAAAAAAAAAAGCAACAGAAAATCTAAAACGAAAAACACTGAACAGTCAATCGATCTTCTATGCATTAATCGATATAAATCAGTAACCGTCGATTACAGATTCCATACCTGAACAAGCAACCGAACGTAAAACCCTAGCGATGATTTAGGATCTTTGTTTTTTTTTACAAAATCAAAGCTCGCGCGTGGATCCAGAGAAAAAACAAAAATAAAAAACCACAGCAACAGTACTACTATACCTGACGAAAACGATCAAAACCAAACAGCTCTGAAAATGAGCAGTTCGCACGCATTCACTGCATGCAGCTTTGAACAAATCTGAATATTCTCCGCCGCGGCGCCGGCGGCTGCCTCGGAACTGAAATCTCTCTCTTCCAAACAGGGAAAGCTTCTGATCCTTCGGCTGCTGCTTCGATTAACTTCGCATCTATATATAGAATTGCTGTATGTATAAAGCCATTTTCGATGTCTGAGAGGAAGAAAGAGAGAAAAAAAAATATACAGTGAGGAATGGCGACAAGGAAAGGGGTGTCGTCTGAGGCAGTGCTGTGGTATTTATAGAAGGATGTGACGCCGTCATCTCACGTCGTTATCTAACGGAAATTATACACGTTGTACTACCGCATTGTGGGTTGTACTCTGTGTTTTGGAGGATTGTACCTTGCTGCAACAGGTATTCTTTTGGTGAGGACAGTCACAGTTAAGGGTCAATTTTTTATTGCAAATATGAGGAACAAGTAGGCCCCAGCTGTCTTCGTTTATACGGGCAGGTGCATGGTAAGTGACACGTGTAATATTTTGATTGGATTGTATCTGAAACGTATAGGGATTCACAGATTTGAAGTTTATTTTATTTTGTTTGTTTGTTTATTTTATTTTATTGTAGTTTGAATGGTTTCATTTTATTTTTTTTTATATGGTATATTTTGTGTTGTGAAATAGTTTGAAGGTATATTTATATATTTTTATATGGGATATAAAAAAACTATGTAGATAATATAATAAATAAAAAGTAATGAATATATATAATATATTAATTTTTTTGACAAAATTTATGTAAAAAGAAAAAACACATTAATAATACTACCTCCGTTGTCTGTTACACTGTAGACACTGTATTTTAGTAGGGGTGTAATTAATAGATAATTAAGAATGTATTAGTGAAATAATTATCCTATAATATAAATAATTATAAATTAAGATTAAGATAAGTAATTAGTTTAATTAAAAAATTTTAAAAAAATAAAATTAAAAATTTTAAAATGAGATTAAAGTGTATAATCATTTTCCAAAAAAAGAAAGTGACATGTACGTGACGGACAGAACTGGACATGATATGTGGAATGGAGGAAGTAAAATTTTAACCTCAATGCTACATATGATTAAAATAATAAATATAATTTATATTAAAACTTATATTCAACAAATTTTGCTTTTAAATCAATAATGTATTCACTTGATTTTTGCAATGCATTTTTAGATGATATAATTTTGATACATTTAATGAACAACTAAATTTGTTCGGAATCGATTAGAATTATATTTTGTCGGTATTAATGAGCGAATGAATATTTAACTAAATTTGTCGACTTCAAGGAAATTACATCATCCATAATCAAACTAAACTTGATCAACAACCGCTATTCGTTATAACATCTTATTAGTTAAAACTTTCAATTTTATTTAGATTCGACATGATTAAAATTCTAAGTTTTCATGGCACGTGTAGATATCGCTTTTGTTATATTTATTATGCCGTCAACATTAATTTCATATGGTAATTAAATAAATTGTACCAATGCCGTTTAAGTTATCACATTTTCGCTTTATCCTAAAAAATTTCGTAAGTTTTACTTGTTTTAATTTATATATATATATATAAAAAGGTAATAATAATAATACTAATGAAAGTTTTTCTATAATTAAATAAATCGAATATAACATAAAATTTAATTCACTCTTTCTCTCTCTCTCTTTTTTTTTTCTCAAATGAATATTAAATGTTTTTTTAATTTTAAATAAAGTTAATCAATTTATTATTATTATTTTGTAATATCTAATTTAATATTCCCTTGTCCATTTCTATTTGGAACGTCCAATACTATTGCTCTATTTTTTTTTAAATACAAATTTTATATTTTTACCGTTCATTCATTTATTATTTTTAATCTCTACCATACAATTAAGGACAAATTTGTCAATTCATAACAAAAAGACAATCACCTAAAAACCCTTGCAAATATACTTTAGGACAATAGAAATTGGACGGAAGGAGTAAGATATTTCATTTATATTATATCATAACGTGTATATATAATAACATGTAGAGTATTGATTTTTATAGCTTCAAATTCTACAACAAATATTAGTAAGTTTATGTATGAATGTATTAACATTTAACTTACTATATATAATTATAATTAATAAATGCATATAATTAATTATTAAAATTTAAATTAAAAAACTTGTATACAAGGTATTAAAAAAAGTCATATTTTAAATTAACATTTTTTTTCTATTCAAATATTTCATTGTTCCATCAAATGTATTCTCAATTTTCTTTTTAATAAATTTAATTAATTATTAATTTTGACAAAATTATTTTTTTAATATTTAATTATTACATTTTATTTAATATTTATTTACTACAATTTTCACTGTATTTACTGTATTATCTTTCTTCACAATAATTAATTACTAATTAAATTTTCAAATACACTATTTTATCGAGGAGTACAATTTTTGCCTCTATTTTTATTTTAAATAAATTGTTTTACTTTTTTTTTTTTTAACTATGTAACGTTGATAATTTTCTGTAAAAATGTATAATATTTCCAACCCAAAATTTCACATTTAAATAAAAAATATATATAACAAAAATCAAAATCAAAATCAAACCCAAAACACACACTTTTTATTTTTTTTTATATTACCATTTACCAAAATTTTCCTTAAATATACTATATATAATATTTATTTTCTATAAACTTAAATAAAAACAAATATATTTTTTATTTCAAATATTGAATTATACTTTCTTTTATATTACATCATCTAATATATATATATATATACACATATGTTTATCTATATTGTTATTATTTTCAAAGAATATCAAAGATATATGCACACCTGAAAGGATAGGCAAAGTAATTTTTTAATAAAATAATCAAATAAAAATTAATGCAGGGTCGGAGGTTGTTTGTCTCCCAACAGTAGAGCACTATTATTGCATAAAAATTAATTTTTATTTAACAAATAAAAAATATACAGACAATCTTTGTTCTCTCCTCATAGTATTTGTACTTTTTTTTATATATATAATAATAATAATAATTTAATATGGTATTTCATTAAAAAAAAAAAAATATTAAAATTACAGATAATAAACCAATAATAAAAAATATATAAAACAGTTGTCAAAGATTAAACCTATAAATTACCAAAGAAAGTAGTATATATATTTAGTTACTTAAGCTGTAAGACCTTCATAGCTAAGTAAAGCATAGTTAAGGTTCAAGCCATCTCCCTATTATGAGTTTGTTTAATTAATTTATTATACTCCTCCATGCTTAAAAAGCTTTTGACACAGAATTTTTTATAAAATTTATTTTAATAGTCCCTCCTCCTATATCTATATATATCTATTTACTTTTTGTACGGAGTTTTAAAAATATTAGTATTATATTGGGGTAAAATAAAAATAAAGGTAAAATGACTAAATTAATCATATTAGTATTGTATGATAAATACGTAATAACATTTGTGTAATATATTTTAAATTAAAAGGGTATTTGTAATGTTAGGTAGATAGTACAGTAAAAAAAAAAAAAAAAAAAAAAAAAAAAAAAAATAGATACTTTGTTATCAACAGACCAAAATAAAAAAAATAGATAGATTGTTAAGGTACAGATGGAGTATTATGTTTGTATTTTTCATAAGAATAAAATTACAATTTTTATAGAGTTAGTAATACTTTCTTTGGCCAACCTATATGGTTCACATCTCATATATTTTATCCATCATATTGAAAAGTTGTCATTTTTTATTTTCATCCCTTCCAAAATAAAGGTAATTATTTTTTAATTTAGTAATTGTATTACCTACTTAAAATAATAAATATCCTTCCAACTTACACTATATTACACAAATGTCGTTACTTTTATATTATACAATACTAATAAAGGTATTTTTGTCTTTTTCACTACCATTCAATATAATACTAATATACAAAATCTATGTACAAAATGTAAACGACAATCTTTCTACGGGACGGACATAGTATATTTTTTTTTTTTGCAAAAGTAATTATATGCTTTAATTTATTTTTTATTTTTATTTTTATTTTAACTATATAAGTTAATTATCTTAATTTTAATATATAAATATCTATATTATAAGATAATTACTTTACTAATATATTACTCTTATTAATTATTTACTAATTTTTATAGGCTCGGTTCACCCAACATGTTTAATGAAATAATTTTTGTTGTGTGGTATAAAAAATTGTGTTAAAAATATAAAATATATTATTTTAAATTAAATATTTAATTTTTTGTAATGACTTTTTTAGAATAAATATTTGAAATTTTTTTATTTTTATTTTATTTGTTGACTTTTATATAAAATATTTTGTATTATTAATATTATTTATTAGGAATCCTAATTGAAAAATGATATTAGAAGAATATAGCAATAGTCAAATTAAATTTTGAAGTATCATCACTCAGGAAAGAATGATATTGTTGCATATAATGAGATTATAAGTGCGTAATATCTTCAAATAAAATTAAAAAAATAATTAAGATGAAATATATGTAAATTTACATATAATATTAGCTTGTGGTCAAACCGTGAAACAAAAACAATTTTATTATATTCATAAAATATATATATGTGTTTGTGTGTGAGTAATTAATAAATGTGATTAAGTACATAAATGGGGCCATAGTGCAGCCTTCACCAGAGGCAACCTTTAATTCAAATCCCATTCGTAATTACTGAATTTATTATTATTATTATTATTATTATTATTATTTAAAATGAAACGAGAGACACAATTATCAAAATAAATACAATTTGATTTTTTTTATTTGATTTTTTATTTAAATTTTGATTTAAATATTTTCTTGTCTACTCGAAAGATATATATTTCTTTTTGGCACAAAATTTAAAATAATTACATTTAAGAAAAAAATTATTTTTGGTCCAAATATAATCAAAATTCATCAATTTTGATCTAAATATAAAAATCTTATCAATTTTGGTCTCAATATAACAAAAACTCATCATTTTTTGTCCCAATATAACAAAAACTCATCATTTTTTGTCTCAAAATAACCAAAACTCATTATTTTTTGTCCAAATATAATTAAATTTTATCTTTTTTTGTCCCACCGTTACAAACCAACGGAAAATGCTGACGTGGACTTGCAAGATTGTACAATTTATTCGAATATAAATATAATGTTTGATTTCTTTTCACGTCAATATTTTCCGTCGGTTTGTTGACGGTGGGACAAAAAAAGATACGGTTTGATTATATTAAGACAAAAAAAATGATGAGTTTTAGTTATATTGAGACTAAAATTGATAAAAATTTTATATTGGGATCAAGAAGGATAAGTTTTGGTTATATTGTGACAAAAAATGATGAGTTTTGGTTATATTGAGACCAAAATTGATAAGATTTTTATATTAGGACTACAATTAATGAATTTTGGTTATATTTAGACTAAAAATGATTTTTTCCGTTATATTTAAATAGTCGTGTATCAAGACTTTTTTTTATAATTTAATTTGATATAATAATATTAATATAATAAGTGTAAAATTGAAAGTATTTATAATATGTATCACCATATTTAATAAGAAAAGAACTATAAATAACTGTGTTTTGACAGATTAAATGACAAATTATATGCTCCTTAGTGAATAGATAAAAAAGTAGTATTCGAACATGATATTTTGTAATAAAAATACATTATTTTATTAAAGATAATAAAAAATACTCCCTCCATCCCACCTATTATGTTTACATTGTTGTTTCTGTCCGTTCCACGTCTCATATCACTTTCTTTTTTTTAAATGATTATACACTTTAATCTCATTTTAAATTTTCTATTTTAATTTTTTTTAGTTTTAATTAAACTAATTAGTTATCTTAACCTTAATTTATAATTATTTATATTACAAGATAATTATTTTCACTAATACATTATTAATTATCTTCTAATTATACTTATCCTAAATTTTTGTATCTACCGTCACCCAGACATACAACGTGAGACAGATAAAATAATAAATATTTGAAATTAAAACCAACCAAACAAACATACACACACGCACAAAAAAAAAGTCCCACAAAATCTAATCAAAGTGTACAAATTAAGGGCATGTAACGTAAGTAAAGATCAAATAATAATAATAATAATAATAATAAAAAAGAAGAAAGTGATGACATCACTTAATGTTAGGCTTTATTCCAACGTTTGGAATATTGCTCGATTAAATATTCATCGAGGGGATTATGTATTTATATATTGTGTATTATTTCATGTTTTTATTTTTATTTTTGTAAATTTAAAAATAAAATAATAATTTAATATAATATCTTATACGAAAAATAAAATTAAATATGATATAAAAATATATATAATATTTTCTACGAAAAAGATATATATCTTTTTAATGCAAATAAAATAATTTATTTTTATGACTACAATTAAGGTGCTTAGCATGTTAACTTTCAACGTCAAGCCAATATAATATTTTTACAATATGATTATTTACGTAGGAAAGTTAATAGTTTAGATTTCATAATAGTAATTTAATAATTTTCATATAATCATTTTTTTTTTTTCGATACATATAATCACTTTTTAGTTTGCTTAATTATGATGTCGTTATAAATATTGTTTGTTAAATATTTATGAATGTGTTGCATATATATATATATATATACAGATGTATAAATTTATCTAAATATTCAAGTTATTTATCAAATACTGTCAGAATTAAGTTAATAATGTGTCGTGTGTATTTATATTTATATATATATATATACACACACATTTTTTACTATAATGTTTGTATCTAGATTTTATTTGTTATTTGATCAAATAATGCTGAATGGATGTTAATTGTATATTGTTAATTATATATTAACGATTTGTTTATATATATATATATGTATAGGAATGACTGATAGCAGGAGAAGGGTGAGCAACTACTTAGAGCTTTAATTAATAGAAGGCTTATATTTTAAATATTATCTATTATTATTATTAAAATTAAATTTTAACTTTTAATTTATATTTTTTTCTCTTTATAATTATCCTATTTAATTTTAAAATTAAATTTTGATTTCTAATCATATATATATATATTTTTATTTATTTCTAATCGTCTACACTTTTTTACCTTACAATCTATCGCATTGTCCCCAGCAACTCGATCAAACCTGCCTCACATTTTCTCTTGTATCTTTCACCCTCCTTCAGTCCTTCTTACTCTTCAAACTTTTAGACATACCGTTTTTTATCTTCTTTTCTCAAATTGATATTGTCTAGACGGTCACGTTCAACTTCTTGTCCGATCAACGCCAATCAGTAATATTATTAGAAATACATTTTAATCATGTATTTGTAGGGCCTATAATTTATTTTCGCTCAGAGCCTTAAAAAAAGTCTGAGACGACCCTGTGTATATATATATATATATAACTATGTGAATTTAGTATTATATTTGTCATTATAAGTACAAATGAAAGAAATATTTTTGTAAAAATTAAAAATATTTTGATATATATACATGAATTATTTTATTCTAATAAAAAATGAATATTTTTTAATGCATAAAAACAACAAAAACAATAAAAATAGTACATTGAATTATGACATAGTAATATCTAATATTTTTATATATTTTTTACTATAAAGATAAAAAAAAAATATCAATTATTAATTATTTATATTAAAATCGGTAGAGAATGAGTTTTTTTTTTTTTTCCATATATTTTTCTATAAACCAAACTTGAAAGGTGGAATAGCAAAAAGAGAAACATTTAGTGAAGATGATCAATGTGTAAAGTTGTATAATAATAATTAGTTTATTATTGTGCTTTTCTCATTCCCAATGAGTTTTGAGTCCCAATTTATTCATTGCTTTGATTATATGTTTCCCTTTGCCCTTTTCATCTCAATTCTTTTCCCTTTTCCTCCCAACTAAGACTCCTTAATTGCTCGAATCCAATCGATTTGAATCTTTTATGGGTAAAATAGTCTATAATTCTATTGTAGTTTCGAAATTTTTATGTATTTTAAAAATTTCATACTAGTGGAGTTCACCTGGGACTTAGGGGTGGGACCCATAAGACACATTCGCAGGTCAACTTCCGCTTCACCATCTGGGCTCTGATACCACTGTTGTGATATTGTCCGCTTTGAGCTAGCCCACACGGATTTGTTTTTGGATATTCTCTAAAATGTCTCGTACTACTGGAGTTCACTTGAGACTTATAAAGTATGAAATTTTCTTCATAACTTCCGACGTGGGACTTAGGTTTGCGCTCCAACAGGACGTTATGTTAATTTTAAAGTACAAAAAAAATTTACGTTATATTTTGAAACTTAGTGCTGATTAATAGAATCAGTATAATGTTATTTAATCTTAATCATGGATTGTGTATTACTATTAATGGTTGAGATTTGATATAGAAATTAAAGTATAATTAGAAATAATTTAGTATTTATGACAATAATTAATTTAAGCAATTTCCCCGATTATGCAGATTTAGTAGTAATTTTATATCAATTTATATATGGAATTTTAAATAAGTATATACATTTCAAATTAATTATATCGATTATATGTAATAAATTTTTTAGAAAATTTATATATTACATTTCAAATAGTACATTACTATATTTTATGTAACATATTATTAAATATCCTAAAGCATATATAAAGTCTATCCAAAGTACAATCTAAAAAATGGTTTTTTAAGTTGGATTTATTGTGAAATTTTAGTTTTTATGTAGTTATGATCTTTAAAATTGCATTTCAATAGATATATATTTTCTTGACGATAAAAAATTATATATGTTTCTTTTATTTAATTTTATATCACAATCAATTAATATAATATTATATTCATTAAACTTATATTCAATTCAACTGTCTATACATTTGATGGACAAATGTAGTAAAAAATATATCTATTCTGGTGTGACAAATAAAATATACAATTTTCTTTTCTTTATATATATAGTTTTCTTTTACTTTAATGTTTTTTTTTTTTTTTTTGAAAAAAATATTTATCTCTGTATACTTTAAATATAGATATTTATAGGCTTGAAATGATATAATAGTCATTCATATGGGCCTCGTGCTATGTATTTGGGCCCACAGAATAGGTTCATTTGAGGCTCAAACAGTGTGACCATTAATATTTTATTTTATTATTTTATTTTAATTTTATGATTTAATTTTGTTTTTTTAAAGAAATAAAAAAGAGATAAAAGGAAGCAGAGAGAGTTATCCATTTCCAAAGGAAGATTTCTGCAGTGACATTTGAAAACTTTCGCTTTACGAGGTTCGGATCAAGCGCCACGCCAGAATGCCTGCTCCTTAATTGCAAGGTTTTCCTCAGATAATTTTTGTTTTTCTTGCTGTATTTTCTCTGGTTTTAAATATGTTTCCTGCATGCGCAGATATTGCTGCGAGATCTGTTTGTTTTTTGCGTTTTTTTTTTATGCGGAAGGGGAACATTTTTATATTTTTTTGGGGGGGGGGGGGGGCGGGGCGGGGGGTGTCGAATTTTGGATTGAATTTGATTAAGTTTTCGCCAGGAGGTGATATTTGATTGTTCAATCAATTTATGTTCTTTGATGAAGTCTGCCTGCATGTGTGCCTGAAATTGTGTATTAGCTTTATTTGCAATGGATGGATAACTGCTATTCGAGACTAAAATGGCGTGCTGTGCTTGAGGTAACTTTGTCCATTAACGAGTGATGTTTTTCGAAGTTATCGAATTTTATCATAGTTATAACCGAAAAACCGAAGTCATGTTTGATTTTTATGCGTAAGGTAAGGGTTTAAACATTTCAGCTGAAGAGTTCTAACATGTTAATGAACAATGATGAATAATTGTTTTGTAATTGTATCTGAATTGTAGTATTGACCTTTTAATTATTATTTGATAGAGTTTTTAATCTTTGGAATGGAGATTGGTTGCAGTATTTCAATCATGAATCTGGAGTTGTGTTTGATAGTGAAGAGATTTTAACTTTCTAATAATGGGGAAAATTTGCAGCAACTATTTTGAGATGTGTCCTTTTTTTGGTTCATCATAAAAAATGGAAATTTCACTTTAGAACTCTGTTGAAAAGCTTCATCATAATGCACATGCTTAAAGTTTAATGTGTATAACAAACTTGCGATGAGTGCTAAATTATTATGAAATTTAGATTCATATATTTGTTCATGTGTTCTCTGTAGATTCTCAATTTATTGGTTCGATTCTTTTTCTATCTGCGTTTCTAGAGTTTTCACAATGTCTTGTCCTATTACAAACTTGCCGTTGCCATATTATGTACTGTGCTAAATTCTATGAAGGTAATTTTTATAAGAATCTTAAGGATGGATTTAAAAAATTCATTGATATGGATCGAATTTATATTTTGGATGATTATGCTTAGCAATGGATTCAAATCAACCTTACTCTTAACATTGAATCATATATCTTAATCAGTTTAGTTGGGTAGTGGGGAATATCCCTACTCTCATGTAAGACAACAAGTCAGCTTGAAATGATTCATTCGATCCATCACTTAAGGTCAAAAGATGAAATCTATACTAAGTTCAACTCTCTTGTTCTTCCATATCTCATTCAACCAAGCTATTCTTTTTGAAGTTCAGGCACAAATGATTATAAAGACTATTTTCAGAAGATATGAGAGGTGGAATCCAGTACATCCCACGTATGGTGCCTTTTGGGGCATGGGACTAGGCATCGGTTGTGGCATAGGATGGGGCCCCGGCTTTGGCCCTGAAGTAATCAGTTATGTTGGTGCAGGCTGCGGTGTTGGATTTAGCGTCGGGATTACTTTTCTTGGTGTTGGAATTGGCCTCCCTTGTAATTACCTTTGGCAAGTCCCTCACAACGGTATACTCTCAAATTTTATGTCCATTTCCTTTTTTTTTTTCCCAATTTATAGGTAAATATTATTTTTAGTGTGGAGTTTAAAAAATAATAGTATTTTAATTGTAGTGGATAGTTAAAAACAATATAAAGACAATTTTACTCATGCTTTTTAGGGTGTGTTTGTTTGGGAGTTTGGATTTTGAGTTGGAATTTGAATAGTAAAAATTTTGAATTAGAATAGTCGTATGATGTGATATAAATATGTGATTATGCGATGTTTGAATATAAAATTAATTCTTAATAAAATACAAAAATTAAAAAATAGGTATTTGATTTGATGTTTTTCAAGAAAAAAATTTGGTGAATAGTTAAAATCTTTTAAAATCTTATAAACAAACACACCCTTAGTGTAAAAGTAATTGCGGACAAAATGGGGCATTTAATGAAATAATTATTCTGTAATTCGACAATCCAAAATAGAAATATATATACTTTGTGAGTGGACGGATGAAAGTATAAAAAATGAAATTTAGGAGTTATTTTTGGTTCGGAATTGTTGGAACAAATGGCTTATATGCAATATTTTTGTGTTAGCATTGACAAAGACAAGCAGAGGTGTATTAGACATTGCTCGGGCTAAAGATATGATTGGGAAAGGAAGTCTTGTCGAAGATCACTGGGCTGACCTTAGGACTCACTTCCCTGATGTTGTAAGAAATCCCTCTGCATCATTTTCTGGCTTTAACATTGACAATATTACAGGAAACCTAATAGATTGTTCCGGCACCAAAAGAATGTTGGCTGACAATGCCAAACATATTGCGGATCGTTTACATAGGGTCAGCCGGCGTTGCTTTCCTTGGGGCGACAAAGGTATGCCATGTGCCTGAATAATTGTGTATTTATTTTTTGCACTTAGAAAAGAACATCAACAATCATTTCATTGTTATCTACATGCTCTTTTATTATGTGGCATTGTTTGATAAATTTGTGTGCACGTTTGTGTGTATATATATATAACAATTCATTGCTCGTGTTTGTTTGGTTTTAATTTGAAATCGATTTAAATAAGATGTTGATTTGAAATTTTGCTTAAATATAATATCTTGATGTGATGTTTTGTGAGAAAAAATAATGTATTTTATTGAAAACTGTTCAGATTGAATATTGATTTTGATTTAAAATCACAACCAAACATTACTCTACACCATTTGAATGAAATTTTGAAAAAATTTTATTTCTTATAGTGGAAGGCATTCTGCGTTCCATGTATCTTCTTTCTTTCTTTCTTCTTTTTTTTTTTTTCTTGAATTCAAATAGTGATTTTATTGTTATTGCCTCTATATAGGGTGTATTTACTTTGAATTATTAAAGTGGATACTATTATTTTATTAGACTTATTATTTGTTTAGGATAATTTTTTAGATGAAGTACAGAAATAATATAAAAATAAGGAATGTATGTGTATAATATATTGATTTTTTTTTTAAAAAAAATATGTATTGGGTTTTTATTACAAAAAGAACATGTTCTTATTCTTTCATATGACAATTTTTATTAATTTATCCTAAATAATATTTGTAACGAAAATTCATGTTATCCTTTATTTTAGTAAATACGATATTAGTTAATTTTATGATTATAATACTAGAGATTATAATCATTTTTACAACGTTAAATACATTTGTAGTGTATTTTTTTTTCTAAAAAAAATCAATAGACAAACTTGCATTGTAAATTGTCTCTTATAGGTTCAAATTGAAAAGAATCCGAAGCGGAAGCCGGTGCCAGAGCCTGAGTGACCTTTCTTACGTAGAGGAGGCTCTTGATGTTGTATTTTGTTTAACTCATGAAAAAATATACATTTTTTTTTTAAAATTTATTTTATTTTTTATTTTGTAAGCAGATTATGTTACTGTTATATATGCATGTAGTGCAATAAAGAGATTAATGTAGGGTATTAGGTTCAGTCGGGTTTATTCAGTATGCACTTTCGAATAACTAGGAGAAGAAAATTAGGAAGAACAAAGCTAATATTGATGACATTATTGTAATAATTGATCAAATATAACTATTTTTAAAAATATTAGTGGAGACTACACTTATTTAAAAAACTAAATAGATTAATTTTGGACAAATTATAAATTGAATATAGCAGTGACGATTGTCTGTATTTTTTTTGAGGGATTCAAACTTGTATATATCTGGCTGGATACAATGACCTTCATTTCGACTTGATGAAAAAAATAATAATTTCTAGACTACTTTGTATTTTTCATTTTTATTTTTGAGTGAGTCATTGCTAAAGATTTGAGATTCAAGAGTATTATTAGAATTTTTTTTTTAACCCGACCGTTGTCTTTGCTCTAAAAAAAAATAACAATTTTTTTTAACCCGACCGTGACTATGTAAAATTTAGTCCTGCATTTTTGCTGCTTAAAATGACCGTGTTCAGTCAAAATTTCAACTATCAAAATTAATTAATTTTAGTTTACACGAAAATTTTGATAAGTATATTTTAATAATAGCATTATTTACCCTAATTTTTATTTTTATATTTTGTATTTTCATTGTTGCTAGTTTATTTCTTATCTCTTAAATCTTACGTCAATTCAAGAGTGACGAAGAACAGCACTCAGCTCTGGGTCTGATCCTGCCGGCAACTCATCTCCGCCGTCCGCCATCCACAATCGCCGGCCTCCTTCCTCCACTACAGGTCAGCCATTTCCTCTCTATTTTCTTCTTCCCAACTGTATTTCACGGAACTGTTGTCAAGCTTTGAAAATCTTAGGGTAATGTGGCAGTGCGAAGTGGCGTAATCCAATCGGATAATGTTTTCTAAATTAACCGAAGAAATCACGCTATTTTCCACAGTTCGTTTTGATAATCTGATGGAAATTGCTTTTAATCCGCCTACAGTTCGTGAGAGGCGCTGGATTTGGCGAGAACATATCTTAATTTTCATCTATCGTGTTTGTTTCGTTTCCAATTTTCATTCTCTGCGTTTCCGATATCAGTCTAGGGTTTAGGTGAATTAATTTGAAATTCATTGTTAGAGATGCCGAAATGCAAAACCCTAGAAAAGTGGATTGACACTCACAAATTCACGACGCACTATTTTGACATCCCTTTCACTGCAAAATTTTCTTCACCAGAATTCCATAACCAATTTTTGCGCACTAAGAGTACATCTTGTTTATTTTATCTGTATAAGATACTCTGCTGCCATAGAACTTCCCATTCATTAATTTGTTTATGAAATAATTTCCAGCATTAGTTACCAAAATTACACTAATTTTGTCTTTGTAGAGTATGATTACACCATTTTTTCACAATTCCAACTTTTTTCGCACCAAATTTCGACAATTGGACTAAAATGGTATCTTGCATTCAATTGGACATGCTCTGAAAGTAGTAGATGTGTATATGTATGTCCTTCGAATGTAAGGTAGCAAGAAAACTAATGCTCGAGTCGCTTGTCCCTAGGGCTCATTCTACGTATTGATTTGCAGTATGTAATTTTTCAGCGTTCGATTAGTCTCATTACTAATGCCAATTTTAAAATTCTCACCACAATCTTTCAGGAGGCATGGAAACGACGAGCATCCAGGGGAGTAGTAGCATCATGTGGTTCTTCAAAGACAGAGGTTTCAATGACAGAAACATTCAAGAAATGTCTCAAAAGTGCAAGCACCTTGAGAGCTTGCACCGCGAGAAAGCCTCTGAAACTTGGGATTACCTGAAAAGCATCGGCATCCACGAGCGTAAGCTCCCTTACATCATCGGAAAGTGTCCCAAAATCCTCACCCTCGACTTGCAAGGCAAACTTATTCCCATGGTTCAGTGCCTCGGATCCTTAGGAACGAAACCAAACGAGGTAGCTTCCGCCATAACCAAATTCCCGCACATTCTCCTGCATAGATTGGAAGAGAAGCTTTGCCCGCTACTCGCCTTTTTCGAATCCCTCGGAGCCCCCGAAAAACTCCTAGGAAAGATGATTCTACTGAACCCCAGAATCGTGAGCTACAGCATCGAGTTCAAACTTTCCCGGACAGTCGATTTTCTCGCCAGCCTCGGCCTGTCCAAAGACGGGGTGATCGGAAAAGTCCTGGTCAAGCATCCCTTCATTATGGGCTATAATGTCGACAAACGCCTCTACCCGACTTCCCAATTTCTCAAATCTCTAGGCCTAACCGAGCCGCAACTCCAGAAGGTAGCCATGAATTTTCCGGAAGTTCTTTGCCGGGACGCGGACAAGTCCCTAAGACCTAACGTTATGTACCTAAGATCTTGCGGATTGGATTCGGGACAGATTGCGGAAATAGTTTCGGGTTTTCCTCCGGTTTTGATCAAGAGCGTGGGGAATTCGTTGAAACCGAGAGTCAAGTTCTTGGAGGAGGTGATGGGGAGACGAATCGACGAGGTTGTCGAGTATCCGGAGTTCTTCAGACATGGGCTGAAGAAGAGGTTGGAGTTGAGGCAGAAATTGTTGGGACAGAAGAGCATTCGATGTGGTCTGAGTGAAATGTTGGAGTGTAATCACAACAAGTTTCTATTGAAATTTGGACTTCACTGAGAAACTTCTTTTCAGGTAATTTTTTATCATGAGTTTTTGGTGATTCTTTCATGCAATGTTTTCTGGAAATTTTAGGGTTGTTTAGATATGGTCTTTAGATGTCTTGGAAATTTTGTGGAATAGTTAAGATTATTTTATATGATATTTAGGAAATAAATATTCGATGTGATTTTTTTTTATTTTTTTATTTTTTTATTATTTTTTTATATTTTTATAATAGAACGGTAATGTTGCTGACCTAATCCGCACATATAAAACAATGAGATAGCACTTGCTTTTATTTAACATAGCACAATAACTCTAGTTAAAAAAAGATTGCATTTTTCTTGTGTCTCTAGATCGTGCGTTATTTTTCTCTATTATTATGTATTGTGTGACAATATATTGATTTTACTATAGTCTTTACATTGTGTGTTGTCAATGCTATGTTATATGTCAGCACACTAATGGCCTATATTTTTTAAAAAAATTTAATTACTCTCCCAGTGCCAGTGGTATTTAAGGTAACGAGGCTTTATGGTCATAAATCAAAATTATTTTATACATTGAATAGAAATACATATAATTTTTTAACAAAACATTATATAAAAAGAAAACTTAAAAATTAAATCGAAATTAAGGATGACAATGTGTAGGGTATAAATGGATCTGAAACTCTACTATATGTATATTATTGGACTCAAGACTTATCCAGACCTTAATATGTATTCGGATCCTATCTATAATGTGCTTGCCAGACCACTAAACTCGTCAAATTCAAAAAATTTCTAACATAAGTTTGATTCGACTCGACTTATCTAAAAAAAATTATTTATTTCTTAAAAAAAGGATATATATATATACTACAAATATAATAATATATATCGATATATTATGTAGTCATACAGCTTTAAAAAAAATAGTATTTTTGTTCTTTTATTCAAAATTTTTCAATACATTTTTTAAAAAAAATAATATATATTATTTATACCTATTTTTATATTATCTAATAAATTAAATAAAAAATATTCTTCGAATAAAAAACACAAAACAAACACACTCCTCAAAGAAATATTTAATTTAGGCTCTTCCCAACTTTTTGGGAATTAAAAGTTTGAAATTATTTTAAAAATAAAAAAAAATAGTATTTTTAATGTGAATTCTGTAAAATAAAATAAAATTTATTATAATAATTTTAAAAATAATACTAAAATTACAAAAATATTGTATAAATAAAATTTTAATATTCTCTCCATCAACTGAACTTATCTGTATTTCCTTATTCCTATTTCCTTTTGTAGGTTATAAAGAAAATATCCCATAAATTTTGCCATATAGAAAATATTTTAAAAATATTTAAATTAGATAATAAACAGAAAAAAAAAAAAAACCCACGCTGTCACTGTCATTTTGTTCCAGCTATAACTTTCTGGCGGAGGGTATAAATGTCATTTCAGGGCAGCCATGCCCACCAACAGAGCACAAATACAATACGAAGAAAGTCAAATACAGAGTTAGTCGGCCATTTGTCATGGAATCGCGTCAACTTCGTACGCTCCCCATCAACGGAATCGCCCAATTTTTCTGATTTTCAATCCTCCGTTCCACCCAGGAGATAATTCGAGGACGAATTGTTCGTTGTTGGATGCCAATTCAGTGATTGGCAGCCGTTCCCGACGATCTGAATCATCTTATTTATGCATTTTTCACCGACCAGGATCGTCTTCCTCTTCCCGAAGAATTGATTACTAATAAAGCGCCATGAGTCTCTTCGGCCTCGGAAGGTAATTTTTAAAACTCAATTTCGATTTGTTCGCGATTCCTTGTTTCTGTGATTGCGGTGTTTAGATCTGCCCTATACCTGGTTTTGATTTTAGTCTCTGGATTAATCTGTCACCGCTGTTATTCTCGTTGATTATTGCCGTCTTATTTATGTGAATTTTGGTTGGGATGTCGAAATGTGTGTACGATTCAATGGGAAATAAGCTATAGCAGGAAACAAGTTTCGATGGAGATCACGAAGAAAGGTGAAAGTGTAATACCTACATGGATTGTTGTATATATGTGCAAATCTGAAATCTGTGAGGAGTAGCATTGAAGCCTTTGGTTTGGATGAATTTGGGATTATCTGATATATGTTTGAACAGTGAAGAGAGGAATTGAAATATTCTTAGTTACTGGAATTAGCAACTTAGGGCAGTGATTCATTGAAACTTTCGTTAACATCCTGATTGAAATTGATTATTATCCAATAAAACTAACTATCTGTATGCAGTTCTTTAAGTTCTTGCATTGGTTTCATTATGAATTTGACATTGATGTGGAACTTTTTCTCACTGATGGGGCGTAGCATGACTTGATACGAGGTGAGGTTAACGTCGTGGCTTGAATAATGTGAAAATTATTTGAGATTGAAGATTCGATTACGACATTAGGAACTTAGGGCAGTGATTCAATGAATCTTTCATTAACATCCTGATTGAAATGGATTCTTTACCAATAAAACTTAATATCTGTATGTAGTTATTTAAGTTCTTGCATTGGTTTCATTATTTTTGGCATTGATGTAGCTGTTACACAACTTTTTCTCACTGTTGGGGCATAGCATGACTTGATATGAGGCATGGGTTAATGTCGTGGTTGAATAATGTGAAAAGTATTTGAGATTGAAGATTTAATTACACTAATAAGCTAAGGACGAATTGTTCATATTAGAGAACTGTTAGTTTGTTGTTCTAAATGTGATTACAAGTCTATACTTAATCAATCAGACGTTTCTGTATAGTAGAAGCTATAGGTTGGCCAGAATTGTTTAGAGTTTATCTGCTTATTTCGTGATGTTTGTATTCTCGTGCAGGAACCAAAAAACTTTCCGCCCCAAGAAAAGTGCTCCATCAGGGAGTAAGGTAGATTTATTTGTTCGACAAACATGTGTGGCTCTGTATGTCATCTATTTTGGTTTTACAAAATATCATAAATGATATACGGAGCCACACGTGTAGCTTTATCCTTTTCAATTTTATTTATTTCTGTTTTGTAAGACTTCCTAACATTGTTGAATTGCTCATGATGACTTCATCAGGGGGCTCAGCTGAAAAAGCATATCGATGCCACTTTAGGGAGTGGAAACCTGAGAGAGGCCGTAAGGTTACCTCCTGGGGAAGATATGAATGAATGGCTTGCTGTCAATAGTACATCTATCTCTCTCTCTCTCTCTCTCTCTCTATATATATATATATATATATACACATATCTCTGTGCTTATTTGCAGCGCGATGAAGAAAAGTTTCCTTATTTATGTTTTCGGCAAGGCTTCGTGATTAGATACACAAGATGATAAACAGCATTTATTGCATGACGTAGTGAATAATATTGACAACATAACAAACTATTAGACAACTCATGCTCTTCTCATTGAAAAACCTCGACTGTACAGTTTCCTTGCTATATATATGATATTAACTTTTTAACTATTTTATTTCTTTACATATGTTTATATGACATTAACATTTGCTCGCTTTGCACTATTCGCATACCACCCACTACTATAAAAATCACTCGGAGGATCTAACTCAACAAAATTGCTCGTTTTTTAAATTTCCAGCTGTAGATTTCTTCAACCAAGTGAACCTGCTTTATGGCACCCTCACAGAGTTCTGCACACCTGAGACATGCCCCATGATGTCAGCTGGCCCCAAGTATGTCGACTTTATCATTCGGAAGCAGTGTCGTATATAATTATTTTTTTAAAACATAAATAAATGTAACAACTAACAAGCAAATGAGATGATATCACCAACTGTTCATTATCATCAAGGATTCTCTTATCTTTGATACATGCATCTGACTTGCATAACTATTTTACAGGTACGAATACAGATGGGCGGACGGTGTGCAGATTAAAAAGCCGATAGAAGTCTCAGCTCCTAAATATGTTGAATATTTAATGGACTGGATTGAATCACAGTTAGACGACGAGTCCATATTTCCGCAAAAGCTAGGTAATAAATAAATTTATCCATACATACATATATACATATATGTATGTATAGATATATTCTACTCTCTCTCTCAAATTTATCTTATGCTAACTTATTCTCCGTTTACAATGTTCCGCGCCTTATATAAGCAAGATTTGTTTTATTTTATTTTATTTTATGTCTTTTTAGGTGCACCATTTCCTCCAAATTTCAAGGATGTTGTGAAAACCATATTCAAACGTCTCTTCCGTGTCTATGCACATATATATCACTCCCATTTTCAGAAAATCGTGAGCCTTCAATCGGAAGCCCATCTCAACACCTGTTTCAAGCATTTTATACTGTTTACTCATGTAAGTTTTCTAATTGTCTGGATGCATTTTTACATACATACATACATACACACTAGGCTGCTATTAGTATGCCGAATGAATATTATTCACCATAGTGCTGATAACACTTCAAATACAAATAAACAACACATGAAATACAAATTGACTACACATACGGGTGTGTTTGTTTGGGGGTTTGGATTTTGAGTTGGGATTTGAATGTAAAAAATTTGAATTTAAATAGTTGTATGATGCGATATAAATAGGTGTTGATGTGATGTTTTGAAGGTAAAATTAATTTTTAGTACATTATAAAAAATAAAAATAGGTGTTTGATTTAATGTTTTTGGAGAAAAAAAAATTTGATGAATAGTAATTTTTGGGGAAAATCCCCCAAACAAACACATCCGTAACGTATAAACTTAAAGCACATGACTATTACACACAACATATACTACCATTGATTTAAACCATGTATTGTTAATCTATTTTTCATGTATTGATTTAATTATTACTCTAATCATTCCCTGTGCATTACTTACAAAATATGCTTCTTACGCCGCTAACATTCATTCACATTGATCGTACAGGAATTCAACTTGATCGACAAAAAGGAACTTGCCCCACTTCAAGAGCTCATAGAATCGATCATCCCTTCTTACTAAACAAAGCACCTTTCTTGGTAACGCCATATTTGATCAACTGACCGTATATGTAGAGTAGACAGAATAAATTCGTGCTTTTCGATTTTATTTTTTTTTGTGCCTGCCCGGTTACAGTTTCCTTTTGCTATTAGAATTCCTGCCATTATCCTCCTCCACCTATATTGTGCTTTAATTGTTTTTACATGAGCTTTTAATGATGAGAGGTTTCTTGAGTTAATATTTTCGCCGAGGATGAATAGAAAAAAAAAGCTCTGCCTGGTTTGCCTTTGAGTCGAACAATCGATTCTGGGCAGTAAGAGTCGATCGATGGACGAGGGGTTTCGGGTGTTTCAGGATTGAAGGTAATCCTTGCAATGCCTGTGTGTTTGTTTTGGCCTGATTTCTGCTGAGATGAGATGTTTGCCAATCTTTTAGGATTTGTATGTTGTCTAGTATTTAAACGATGTTTTTTTCTGAATTTGTGCACCTTCTATTCTCTTCCTTTTGGTGATTCTTATGTCTTTTTAAAAATGTAATTTATTTTTAGTGTATATTTAATTATTATCTTTATTACAGTATATATTATTTATTTTAGATTTGAATTTTCCGGAATAGAATCTGGTGATTGGATGTTATGGTATGGTAGATGAGGGTGTATTTATTTGGTAAATTTTGTTTGAGTTTTGGTTTTGATTTAACTAATAGGATATGTTAAATGTTTTGTAAAAGAATATTTAGCCGGTTCAAATCTTTATAGTAAATAATTTTATTATTTCTACTTTAACAAATAATAATTAATTTATTTTTATTTTCTGCAAATATTAAAACGAAAGTAATTAGTGTTATTATTTTTCAAATATTAAAATACGAGTATTATTTTTAATTCGGATGAAAAGAATAATATATTTATTTATAAAAATCATGGCTCTATTTATTAAATACTTTTAAAAAATTTAGCATTATTTTAAGATACTGTTTTTTACATCAAGCATTTAATTTTTTATTATATATATTTTTTAAAATTTCTAAAATTTCTATTCAAATGAAGCTGTAAGAATGGTATAGTAACAAATTAGTGTATTCTCCCCACCAGATGGTTACATACTATAAACAAAAATTATGTGAAATTTAAGCAATAAAATCTTAAAGTGCACTAAAATGAAGTGATCAAAATTTGATTATTTGGTGCGACATTACAAAAATCCAATCACCATAGTGATACACACATTAACAGCTTTTTGTGTAGTCATAGTATTGACTCTGATTCTTACCTATGGAAAACTACATAAAGCTCTCTTAACACTGCAAAAATGGAGATTTTACCTTCACCTCTTCACTTTCTACTTCATCGCCTCAGCACATTATGTTCTCAATCTTCAATATATTTATATCTATATATATATATATATATGTATATATCCAAAAAATTGCAAAAAATATTCCCTATGTATACCCCATTATCACTTTTGTCATGTATTTATCTCGTTGACAAAATATATTCTATTTGCAAAAGTCATTATTTCTGTCATTTAGGCACGTTCAACGAGATAAATACAAGATAAAAATATAATGAGGTATACATATATGAGATAATTTTTGCAATTTTCCATATATATATATATATCTAGAGAGAGAGAGAGCGCATAGTCATGGCAGTCGAGCCTCGTCTCGGCTAACCATCCAGCTCGCGCGAACTCACACGATCAAATCGACCAAACTTACCATCCGCAAGAACATACAAACCGGCAACAGCACCAAGAACGCCGAACACCAAACCAAACAGCTGGAGATTCGCCAGAAGTTCGCCCCGAACTTCATGCTGATTCGAGCTACACGCGATTTCATTCTCATGGAGCCGGCAGCCATCGGGCATCATCCCGCCATACAAAGTGAATGCAGTTTGCCAGAACCAAAGCCCCTGAAGAGTTATAGCAATCCCGCTGCACAAATCGATCGGGAAACTCGTCGGCACCACAGCTCCGGCTATGGCTGATAATATGCATAGGCCTATGAGGAGGACGAGGATGTAATGGTAGTAGCCCTCGAGCCCTGTGTGCGTCGTTGAGTGGAATTCGAATAAGAGATACTCGGCGGTGAATGCTGCCGAGGCGATGCAGCATAGAGCGCCTTCTGGTAAGGGAAGGAAGCTGAGAAAGAGCAACAGCTTTGTTAGTGTTTTTAATAAGAAAATTGTATGAGAGACTGATATATAGAGTGCAAGGTTTTATTTTGGAAAATCACATTTGTTACTTATCTCCGCCTTATAAGTTTTGGAAATATAAAATAAATCAAGATATTGAAATGAAATCAAAACATAAAGTATGTTCGCTTTAGATTATTATGATCTACGACTAAATTAGACTATATGTAAACCAATGCAATTTGCTACGATAAATTACCCTTAAAAAACCAATTTTTTTTAAAGAAAGAGACTAGTAAATATATTTATGTATTGTTTGTTTATTTTATCAAACATTATTTTAATACCGAACCAAATCAATTTCTCCCTTACTCACCCAAAAGAAGCACAGCGAATTAAAATCCATCGTTTGATTGCTATAAGTATTTGAAATGAGATGATATAAAACATTATTCGAAATAGTGAAGGGAATAGATTTGAAATTAATAAATTTGATAGGAGTATTTGAAATACTATTAATCCGAATCCCTCAAAGCCTAAATGTTAGCCTAAAGTCTTCTTAGTCATTCTTTCCTAAATAGAAGTTCAAGTTAGAGCACAATCTATACCTTATCCTAATCATGGTGGCAATTCAAATAAATAGGGGAAAACTTACTAACATATAAGGTATATTGACGATATTATTAACACAATTTTTCCATAAACTAGAAAAGGACCTATTGCAAGTGATGCAATTCTTCTGAAATCTTTCATGGACTAATTCAACTGTTTAAGAACACATTAATCAGACAAAGGAGACAAAACAAAGCCATGAAATTTCAATAAATAGATACTGCAAAAGTTGCAACAAGTTTATTTCGATTAATCAAATGATAATAAAGAATTCGAAGTAGACTCAGCTTAGGATATAGAATAATGAAACTAACAATTATCACTTTTTGAACCAGAATACTTCACCATCAATGGAGTTTTAATGCCATAATCACATTAAAATACGAAATGAAAATGTCGCATTCTTTAAATGAACCGACGCGAAAAACTGACCGTGTCTTTTCTGAGAGCAGCGCAATAAGACCAAAAAGGAAGAACATAAGCAGCATTCCAGAGTGCTCGAAGTTGTTCATGTGTGATGGATTCAATTCTCCATTAACAATAAACTTGAGATGTGTTGAATACAGAAACTCTATGCATAAATCAATGAAACCGCCTACCACAATCACATAGAGCTCCAAGTACCTAAGCCTCCCATCAAAACCAGGAACTGGATTCCATATCCGCACACGAAAAGATTTTGGATCCGATACATACCTCATTATCGAGCACCAAACATGCCATATTCCTACCACAAGAAACAATGTCCCTGGCAAAACATGCCCTTTGAATGAACCCATATTCTTCTTTAACCACAGCCCACCCCTGCCCAAGGTTTCTAACTTTCGATACTTAGTATTAATACAAGGTATTCAATTTTCACCAGATCACTACTCTATCTAACTAATGAACTTAGAAATACCAATCATGGCGAGGAACTACCTTTTTCTCACAATCAATAGATATCTTGAGAATTAGTTTTGAAAAAACTAGTCTAACTCAATTTCTTTCTCTACTTTACACCCAATTGCACTTTCCAAATAGGAATTCCAAAAAGCGAGAACTGACAATAATCAATAAAAATTCACCGACATAGCTAACCCTTTAGCTTTTTCCCTGAAAGAAAATCAAACTTTTCATACCACAGGTCTCACCGGAAAAACGCCTTAACGCCGCCGCCGTGAAATCTGAAGAAATAGAAACATGAAAAAACAATGAACAAGAGGCTGAGCTCCGATGAATCGACAATTGAATTACCAAAATCGAAGTCAAAATTGAACAAACTTCGAGAAAAGTAAGCCTCGAGAAACACTGTCAATAACGCACGCCATTGAAAAAAAACTTATACACAGCTCATCAGAAAAGAAGCGGTCAAAACCACAAACCCTCGAATTCACACCATTGCTGTTTCATCCTAACCTCGAGCAGCTAAGAAACAATTCCATAACCACAACTACTGAAGAAATAAAAATTACATTAACCGAATCAAAACAACACAAATAACTCAAAGCTCTTCGCATACATACATACGCATTTGTTCCAAACAGCAACTGTGCTATTGCGTTATTCCACTAAATTTTCAAGCAAAACGAAAGAAATGATGAGAGAACAATACCGACGGCAGACGATTCTTTCTCCAATCTCTTCTCGTCGGAAAAAAATCGAAACCGATCGGAAGAAGAACACAGTATAGATTGAGATCGGAGTAGGTCAGGGCGCCGGCGGTGGGTCAACTGAGGCGGCAATTATATAGTCATGATTGTGTGAATAGATTATCGCCTTTTATACGGTTGCATCAACGTGATGTTCTTTCCGGAGTCCAGCACTGGGCGAATCTAGACCGTCCGTAGTGAAATCGACATTATGGACGGTTTTGGATTGATTGAGGAGCTCGAGTCCAGGAACTTGCTATAAATACCACTACTGCTACGGCCTTATTCGCTCGTTGCATGGAAATGATTCGATCGTTCATTTATTGTGATTTTCCAAATTCCAGCTGTCTTTTGTTTCATTTGCCTATTTTTTTAAATTTTTTTAGTAAATTATAGTAGTATAATATTTGTATTTTAATAAAAAAAAGCCTTGGGATCAAGTGCTGATGTTGTATAAAATTCAGCACAAATTGAAATAAATCTCTACCCTTAATTTAAATTTAATTATTTTAATTAAATAAGTAATCTAATTAATCAATGATGTAGATAAAATTCAGCACACCTGAATTCATTAATTCAGCAGCTAATTCAACCTGATAAAAAAATATACAAAATATTTTATATTTAGTTTATTACTTGTATTAAACTAAAGTTTACATAAAATACTTTGATATTATTTGAACATAAATACAAACTTTATTATAAAAATTTTATACTAATAAAATAGGTAAAAATATTAAATAATCTTTTTAATAAATAAATAAATAATTGAGATATTTGTTTTATAGTGGTAGTTTTTTAAAATATGATTTTTATAAAAACTATAAAAAAAATAAATTATTTATTTATTTTATTAAAAAATATTATTTAATATATTTTCTTTTGTTTGTATAAATATGTATAATGGAAGTCTATATTCATAGTCAAACATCATCTTTGGATGAGAAGAGAGTATTTTGCGTCTATATATTTTTTTTTATGACATGAAAATTCGCAGCCGCTTATTTTCACTAAAACACAATAAAATATATTTTTTCTTTTTTTTTGAATAAATTGTATAATACCTATATATATTTAATTTTTAAGATTTTATTTATGTATATAATTATTCAAGTATTATGCAAACTAAAGAGATGAAAAGTCTTAAGTAGACTTATTCGAAGAAAATAATTAATTAAAAAATTAATCAATAGTTGATTCTACCTCTCGAAAAAAATTAATATAAACTATGAAACAAATGATTAATAAACTTTTTTATTTATTTAATTTATTTTTAAAAAATATGTATGACGTTTCAGCAATTTTTTTCATAATATTTATATAATTATATATAAATTTTTACAAGCAATGCCAAATTTATTGCCGTAAATAAAATCAATAATATTTTATACGTTTATAATAAAATACAATAAATTATTATGCCATTTATCCTATTTCTTAAAGGGCGATTACCCTACAATAGTGATTTATCTTAATTAGTATCAAATACATGGATCGTATATTAGTACTGTTATTATTACTATTATTAATTAATTAAATATTATTATATTTTTTAAAATATTATATTTTAAATTAAATGTATCTTTTAAAAGAAAATGAAGAAAATATATACTCTTTTTGGTTTGAAATCTCCTTTACCTTTTAAATATTATATTTAACATTAAAATATTTATATATTTTTTTATTATTTTATTTTAATTTGTACTATATTTTTATATAATAATTAATATTAAAAATTCAAACAAAAAATAAACAAAAATAGCTCATTTGACTTCAATATGAAAATAAAATTGTAGTTGAAAATATTTTAAAAATTAAATTAATAATGAATAATAACAATAATATGTAATAAATATAGTGTCAATCATAATAGATAAATATTGAACGAAAATTAATTGTTAAATATTAGAATTTTAATTTTTCTAAAATAAATAGCAAGCTATATTTAATGGAAAAAATAATAATAATAAATTTATAAAAAGGAAAGAGTGATAAAAAAAAACAAAACAAAACAAAATCTTGAAAGAAAGGTCGGTTGATGGCGTCCACAAAATAATAAAAGAAAATTTGTGATCATATGCTTTCAAATTTATTAAAAGAATTCACTTCCGCAACGGACAATTCTGATCCTATGCTTTCAAATTCGCAGTGAACTCGCCGGCGTCTCTTCCACGCACGCGACAGCGGCCGCGCGTTCACTGCACGCGCATACAGTTATAAAAATAAATTAAAAGATTTTTGCTCTCTAGTACGCGCGGCTCCGTGAAAGGTTGTGAGTCATTCTAGTCAACGGATATCGTTGATGGACTACTGTACAAACGCTACACGTCTGCATATGCAGGTGGATAGTTCCGAGAATTGATGAAATTTCGCTACAAAGGATTCCGAGGAAGAAGAAGATCGCTGGTGTTGGAATCGATCTTTGATCGCGCTGCGATACGCGGAAGGTTTTGGCGGAGTTTGTGATTGTGTGGGTGTGATTTGATTTTTTTAGTTTTTGAGAGGTTTTTGATATTCAGGAGCTTCTTCCGTTTCTTTTATGTGGATTTTGAAAATTTTGCTTTAATTAGATTTTCGAATTCAAGTGGAATAAGTTCCGTTGAATTCAAAGTAGAGAAGAACTCTTTTCTTGAGGTTTTTGCGATTTTCTTTTGGGATATTTCGCGTAGTAACGTGTAGCAAGATATATTGCTTTAAAGGCTGCGGTACTACGCGCGGCAATTCATTGAATATTGCGGAATTAGAGCAGTGGAGATGTCGAGTTCGAAGGTGGTGTGCGAGGGATGGATGGTTAGGTATGGGCGTAGAAAGATTGGGAGATCATTCATTCATAAACGGTATTTTGTGCTGGATTCTCGACTGTTAGCCTACTACAAGAAAAAGCCTACAGACAACGTGGTAATATTCAGTGGATACATATATATATATATATATATTTCATTTGTTGTATGTTTTCCGATCTATATTTCACCTAAAAATTAAGTGATGAAGTTCAATATGTAAACTGGTTTTGTAGAAGAAAAAACATCAATGTTTTACATGATCAATTATTCTCTCTGTGTTCATCATAATGGTGTGTATGGTGTTAAGTGTTGAATATAAGTTTAAGCTGTTACGGCTTCAAATGCAAAAAGGAGTTTAAGATTCTGCTTGGTATGCAAATTTTAATGAAATAAAGCAGAAATTGTTACCACTTGAAATGCAAAAGTAGGTTATATTTTCTGCATATTGTGCTCAAAAGTTGTATTGATGCATGCTGTCATGATTAATTACAATTCACAGTTACATCTTACTCACAAGTTTATCTTGTAATTTCTTCTGTGGTAAGGTGCCAATCAAGAGTCTAGCAATAGATGGAAACTGTAGGCTGGAGGATCGGGGGCTGAAGACTCACCATGGACATGTGAGCTATATTGACGTTCTTTTACTTTAGTTCTAAACCCTGAATTATAACTTATGGGATAGGAATTTGGGTGGAGAAGTACCCTAATCTCTTTATGAAAATAGAGCTCTTGTATACCTTTTTTTTGAGTTCTTGTATAAGTATGGTGTGAAACTTTCATTCCTGCTGCTCTGGTTTATCCTCGAGATTTTTCTGTATGAGTATGCATAGGCTATGTTTTGTTGTAGGATGAAGACTCCTTTTAACTGAACTAGACTTTTGTAGCTTTATTGTTGTTATCTTTTGCCCCAAAAACTTCTTTCTCAGATCCAAACTGTTTCAGCAAGTTTCCTCTTAACCAATCAAAATTTCTCTGTTTTGATTTTGCAGATGATTTATGTTCTGTCGGTTTATAACAAGAAAGAGAAGTACAATCGGATGACGGTATGTAGCTCTTGAACTTTGATGGTATTGCTTCTGCAGATGAGAGCTTGGTTATGATTTATTTCAATCCAGGCTAGCATGCAAATGAGAGTTAATTTTTGGATTTTACTTTTAAGATGAGCTTATATTTAGTATCAGGAAAATGAGATCTCATTTGGGGTATATTCTCAGCTGTTTACACTGTTTGTTACATGTTCCTTGCCTGTTAGGGATGCTTAACATGTACATTTGGAGGATGGCATTGAAATTAATAAACTTATGGACATTCTGTATACTGAAATGTTTTGCATTAGTGCACTGGGTATACTTGAATGGGTTTATGCTTAAGCTTAAAATTGATATGGCCCCGTGTGGGGTAGGGTAACTTGTGACCGTAAGGTCACAGGTTCAAACCAAACTCTGCCGATGCCTTCTTGATTGAGCCTATCACATAGAGCTTGCTAGCATCGCTTATCCGACAAGCATAGTTTGTAGGCTACTATTGCACTCAGTTTGCCAAATCATTTGCAGTTCTTTTGTATGCAAAAATAGCAGTTTTTTATTCAAGTGTCCCATATCATTACAGAAGATCTTTGGTTTCACAACTTTAATTATAGAACTCATACCTGTTGAAAATTCATATTCCTTCTTCAGATGGCAGCCTTCAATATTCAGGACGCACTCATGTGGAAAGAAAAGATTGAATCTGTTATTGATCAGGTTTATAATCTTGTAGACACCTCTTCCACGTTTTACTATTTTGGTGGTTGACATTCATCTTGTCTTCCATGAAAAATTCTTTTGCTTAATTTTTTGTGTTTAAGTGAGACAAATAACTAACAACTATTGATGGTGTGTAGCAGCACCAAGAATCTCGAGCTACTGATGGTAATAAGTATCATTCTTTTGAGTACAAATCTGGCATGGATAATGAAAGAAGTGCTGAATCATCAGATCATGAAAGCCTGTAAGTTTCTTATTTGGCACAATGAATAAAGATTGTATGTGTTTTTTGTAAGATTCTTAAAATGTTTCAACAAATGTCATTATAATAATTTCTTCAAGGTAGATTGAAGCATTGCCTTGCAGCATAAAGTGTATGGTACTTAAATGGCTTTGCTAACACAATATGCTACAAATATGTGTGTATGTAAAATAAGAGAATGTTGTAAATTCTAAATATGTGTCATGTTTAATTGCTTCTTCAGTGTTGTTTTCCCTTTTGCTATAATCATACTTCACCTGTTATTTTAGTTCTTTCTCAAGATGGAATTATTTTTTCTTTTAAAATCAGTTTACAAGGAGTACAAGCATTTCTAATCACTTCAACATGCTTTCAAGTGTAGTTATCCTGGTATTTAACCAACCAAATTCACTGTTGAACACTTCGTGCATGCGGTCATCAATGAAGTTAAATCTGATTGACTTTTCTCGGACTAATATTACTGCAGATTTAGTGCTGAAGAGGATGAAGACAGTTCTCGTCCAAGTTTGCAACGAAGAATGACAATGGGGAGAGGTCCGTCAAGATTACTTCTCTGTATTGACTTAAGTAGATTTTTAAAAACTACTCAATTCTGTTGCTTATGTTAATGCGGCAGGTCCTCCTGAGTCTGTTGTTGATTGGACAAAGGAATTGGATTCTGACTTGGCTCATCAGAGTTCTAGTAATCATGCATTTTCTAGAAAGTATTGGCGCCTTCTTCAGTGCCAAAATGGTATGTTGAACGTTCCTGTTTAGTTTAATCAATGAATAGAGCATATTTTCACAAACATTTCAGCATTAACTAGGGGCTTGTACAATTAGTCTTGATTAATCCTTGGTGCAAATCTTTAGGGCTTCGGATTTTTGAGGAGCTTCTTGAAGTGGATTTTCTTGTGAGAAATTTTTAAGCTTTCTCCATCACATATATACCTACATACAGAGTTTGTTTAGGTTTTACTCCCCACATTTTCTTGATGTAGCCTAAGAGCTGCAGTAGAGCAATGAAAGCTGTGGGTGTAGTGGAGGCTACCTGCGAAGAAATATTTGAGCTTGTGATGAGCATGGATGCAACTCGATTTGAGTAAGTTTTCTTAAGTATACTCTCTTAACATTTATTTTGAAGATTCACCTTTATGCGTTTTTATAAGGTTGAGGACAATTATAAGAGGTGGATCTTATATATAGCCCATGTCTTAAATCAACTATATTGCCACATTGTGTATTAAAAACACATTAAATAGCAACAGATAGCTGCTTATTGATAGAATGACACACACTGCAATCCATAATTACTGCGGAGGGCTCGCAGATAGCGACACAATAGAAGTAATAATTTGAGGTTACTAGTTATAGGCATTACATTGATTTACTGAGGTCATTTCATAGCTGTGTCCCTTTGATGAGGATTGCATTTCCTCTGTTTGTATGTCTTTGTTAATTGATCCAAGAATTCCTTACCTTTTTCTAACGTATATATGAAAACTGATTGTTGCTCGGTTCCTCCTGAGAGTTGAATCATAATTGGCTTGGTATTAAACAGACAAAAAAAATAAAATAAAGTAAAAAATTCACGCTTGTTATATTCAGGGCGCATTAATTTTCAGCCTTTTTTATACTAAGCCTTAACTGTGCAGGTGGGATTGCAGTTTCCAGTATGGTAGCTTAGTTGAAGAAGTAGACGGACATACTGCTATATTATATCATGCTCTTCAGTTAGACTGGTTTCCTACGTATGTATCATTTACATCATGAATCTATCATCTGACCCTTTTCGTTAATTTCCTTTGTTCAGAAACATTTTTATATATGCTTTAGTTACAAGTATGTTAGCTGCAAAAAGTCAAGTATGATGCAACCATTTCTTGCACTGAGTTCAAACTGAAACTATCATTGAAGATGCCACTAACTATATTTAACTTTGTTTTCTGATGTACTGATTTCTCTATGGGTTCCCTTTTATTGTTGCCAAGAACTCGTGCATTAGTGAACTTAAGTAGATTCAGAATGGTTTAATTTTAATTGAATTGTGCAGAATCAAAATGAAACAGAAAGTGCATTATCTGTTTAGCTGCCAAATTAGTGATACATAAGTTTTTTTTTCTTTTTTTCTAACATTACAGGTTTGTTTGGCCTCGTGATCTCTGCTATGTACGCTACTGGCGTCGAAATGATGATGGGAGTTATGGTATTTTTTTTGGGATTCTGCAAGTTGGTTTCATTCTTGGTTTCTGACATAAGACTTCCTCATTTTTCACCACATGATATGGTGCAGTTGTTCTGTTTCGTTCGAGGGAGCATGAGAATTGTGGCCCGCAACCTGGATATGTGCGAGCTCATATTGAGAGTAAACTAACTGGCTATTGAATAATTTCTTGACTAGTATATTATAAGTTCTGCTGTGGAGATGCGTGCTTTCATTATTATCTTTTTTTTGTTTTTTTTTTACCCTTGTCCTCTCAATTTAAAAAAATAAAGATACTGTCTTTCAGGTGGAGGGTTTAATATATCTCCTCTAAAACCTCGTAATGGAAGGCCCAGAACACAGGTCCAACATCTTATGCAGATTGATCTGAAGGGATGGGGAGCTGGTTATGTTTCATCTTTTCAGCAACACTGTCTTCTTCAGATGCTAAATTGTGTTTCTGGTGAGATCTTCTAGTTTGTTTTATATTTCCTACAGTAGTTTGCAGTTATAGGTTTCATTTTTGGATTTATTCAGTTGTTAATATCATATTCAGATTGATATGGTTTATTGCTTCCCTAGTTTTCTCCCACACCCAGCTTTAGTTTAATAGTTATAACAAAATGGTGTTTACCTGAATTATAATGTTTGGTTTTCCAGTCTTAAGACTATCGATTTGGCTACTAGGGTTACTACATCCATCATAGTTGTACAGTCCATTTTCTTTTGAACACGCCTGCAAAAGTATCTTAGAAAGTTTTTCTGATTTTATGTTTATTGACAAAGAGTCATGTTATTATTTTCAATAATATATCATTTCTATTAATTGATTGTTCCTCTTCTATTTGTAATTTTTTATCCTATACAAAACATAGTATAGTCATTATTCTTGCTTAATGAAATAAATATAATATCAAAATACTATTTATTTTTTCATTCATTCATATGTTTGAGATTTGAGTGTACCTTTTGTCTCTATTTATACAGGTGGGCACAGATAGAAAATTGTTTTCACCTCTATTAAATATTATCTATTCTTTTATGCAACAATTACCCTCTTTTGTTTCGTGTTGATGCCGGGGAATGATGTTTTTAGGTATATATTACTGCAGGATTGCGGGAATATTTTTCTCAAACTGATGAAAGGACTGCTGCCCCTAGAATACCTGTTATGGTTAATATGACATCAATGTCCAGTTCCTCAAAAAGGAGTCAGAAACTCAAGTTAACTTCTATTTCTCACCGGAGTCCTTCTCTTGATCAAATACATGCAGCAAATCAGCATGCTGTTTTGATGGATGAATACTCTGATGAGGATGAGGATTTTCAGACTGATCAGGAGGTTTGTTATACTTTATATATATGTGTGTATATATATATATATTTGACGTTTATATTGAGGATTGCTTTCTGTTTCTGTAAATTACAGGCCACAGATGTAGAGGAGAAAAGAATTGGTGAGTACTAACTATCATGATATTCCTGATTATCTATGTAGATGTTTTTATTGACTTAAAATAAAATAAAATTAATCTACTTGAATTTGTCTGGGGGCATTTTCAGCCTCTGAAGAAGATCCTCAAGACCAAATAGATTTGTCCATTTTCTCGGGTAACCTCCGCCGTGATGACCATGATAAGGCTCGTGACTGTTGGACAGTGTCTGACGGGAGCAACTTCAGAGTTCGTAGCAAGAGTTTCTGTTATGATAAATCGAAGGTATGGCTTCTATAGACCAAATATTTAGTTGCATACCTTTAATAATCTGCCTGCATATGTTTAACTCATAGTTGAAAATGCTTGCATATGAAGTCTCCTGCTGGTAAACATCTTATGGATCTTGTTGCTGTTGACTGGTTTAAAGACACAAAACGGATGGATCATGTTGCCAAGCGCAGCGGTTGTGCAGCACAAGTACGTTTGGCTACCGATCATTGCATTTCCTTAATTTCCCTTGCTTGTGCAATCTTGCTAGATTATGCTGTTTCTTCATTATCCCCCGTTTGTTTGGTTGGGTTTGGCTTAAAGATATTTAAATGACTCCATAAAATCCATTAGTTTCGTTTGGCAACGAGTTGTGAATTTGAAATCCATCCCTTTTAATATTATCAAGTATTTTAAAGTCCACTCTCAAATCCGAATCCATCAAAACAAACGGGGCCTTATGCCCCCTTCCCCCCCCCCCCCCCCCCCCCCTTTGTGTAGCATACAAATGACCTTTTATGTGATCTTTTTGTAGGTTGCATCAGCTAAAGGATATTTCTCAATTGTCTTTAATCTGCAAGTGAGTTGGCTATGTCTTACTCTGAATTTTATTTTTATTATGTGTTTGACTTTAACGATTTACTAATTAAGATTCGTTTAGGTACCTGGATCGACGCACTATAGCATGGTATTTTACTTTGTCACAAAGAAATTAGCACCACGATCGCTCTTGCATCGGTTTGTTGATGGGGATGATGAGTTTCGTAATAGTAGACTGAAGCTTATTCCATCTGTACCGAAGGTACCTTTCCTCTAGCTCATTATTATCAATTTTTGTATCTTATATTAATAAATTGAGTGCATAATATCCATCTGTGGTAAGATGCCAGTCCGATTGCAATAAATTGAATGTTTTTCTCCTGTAGTTCAAGGTTTGATAAATTTACCAATCAAAGTTATGGTGTATTTGTTTTGTGAAATAGTTTAAAGGGATATATATATTTACGTGAGGTATAAAGAATTATTTAGGTAATATAAAAATAATAAATGTGTAATATATTAATTTTTTGGAAACATGTTGGGTTTTTTTCACAAAAAAAAAAAAAAAAGAACACACCATTAGTGTTTTTCATTCAAATGATGACTGAGCTGATCTCTTTTAAGTATCAAAGCCTATGGGAAAGAAAGTTATCTCCACACTCCATTGATGTGCGTTTCCAATTTTCACGTCGAGTATATTAATCCACTTCCTTTAATGTACCCGGTATGGTGCAATTTGTGTAAATTTGTCTTTTTGCATCTTTGATCGAAATTGGAAGAAATTTATATGACTTATCTGAAACGGTCCAATGAACAAATCCATCGCACCTTTAGTGCAATTATTTCTGACACTTTTGGTCATTCATGGTTGTTTATGGTCTTATAATAGCACTTTTTTACTTCAATTTTTTCGAGCTTTTTTTGCAAATCTTCTTATTTTAGGTTTATTTCTTGTGGGCTTTAGAGTTTGTGAACTTATTTAGTATTTAGTTGTTTTTTCTTCATATTCATTTTTGGTTTTTATTAATAAAATTACATTCAACATTTGATTGGAAAATTCTTTTTGTTCGACCATCTCAACTTGTGCAATCGGCCTCACAGTAGTTGTTGTTCAGTCATAATGTTTATTTCAGTGTATTTGACTATTTCTACTATAAGTCTATAATATAATGTCAAAATTATGATCCGCTTGATTTGCCTCTAGACATGAACGTGCTTTTTCTCATGTCATTTTCACCTTCTCCTAATTATCATTCGTAAGTTGATTGTGGATTACATGCGATGAATCAAATAGGGCTCTTGGATTGTGCGTCAGAGCGTTGGGAGCACCCCTTGTTTGCTAGGAAAAGCAGTTGATTGCAACTATTTCCGCGGCGCTAACTACTTGGAAGTAAGACTTGTGCTTTATTTTATAAAATAAATTTGATGAATCAATTAAGTTGTGTTTAGATATGTTTTTTTAAGTGTTTTGGAGTTTTGGTTGTTTGGTGATAGTTAAAACAATAAATAGAAAATAGGTTTTTAATATCATAGTTTAAATGAAAATAGTTATTTAATGTGATAGTTTTTTTGAAATATTACTGTATGAATAGTGCAAAAGCAAATATGAAAACGGAAATAAAGAAGGTGATTTTGGTACTTAGACGAAAACAACTATTTAATCTGATCGTCTTTTTAAGATCGTGTAAACAAGTTTGAAAACATAAATAAATAAAATGATTTTTCTCTAGTAGTTTAAAAGCCATGTTAGATTTTCTCTCCTCTCCGGTCTTGTTTTGATTGTATTCCATAGGTTGATGTCGACATTGGTTCTTCAACCGTGGCCAACGGTGTTTTGGGGCTTGTAATCGGCGTGATCACTACACTCGTTGTTGATATGGCTTTTCTAGTACAGGTATTGATTGCACCTTAACTGCTGATACTTTCCCCTAAAATCCTTCTCAAAGTTCTATTTATAAATAGGAGTTTTGAAGTTTTGAAAAATTGTTTTGTGAGAAAAAAAAAAGTATTTTTTGATGTTATATTTTTGTAAATAAAGTTACCGTGGATGAATAGTATCGAAAATTCCTAAAATGACTACGCAAATCGAGCCTCGATTATAGAAAGTAGTAGTTGATCTTGAATTTTTTTTTAACTTCACAGGCCAATACCCCGGAAGAGTTGCCGGAACGGCTAATCGGCGCTGTCCGAATCTCCCATCTACAGCTCTCATCAGCAGTAGTCCCTGCACTGGACTCATGACCACATCCAACCACACAGGCAAAATATAGTATACATATATCTGTATATACATATACATAAATATATTTTGTATTTGTGTGAAAAATCAATCATATGCTGCATTTCATTCTTCATAAGGGTCCACAGGCCTGTGAAACTTCATGTTTCGACGCAGGCCGATAAAAAGGCCTGAAACCTACGAAGAGGGAAGATTTCAATGAGTTCGAGCTAGGCGGTCAGAGTAAGAAATAAGAGTTAGGATATCGATCCAAGCGGGAGTTCAGGTTAGTTAAGTTTATGAAAGCTTTAAATACATAGAGGATAGGATACCATGGCTGTCGACCACGAACCTCCTCGTTCTCCATCACCTTCTCGATTCCTCCCATTACTGTCGCCCTTCTTCACCATCTCATCTCAGTCAAAACTATTCATCCTGCCTACAAATACTAACTTGGCATTGTAATCCTGAACCAATCTCCTTATAGGCCTCTCTTCTTCTTCCTATCTCTTAGGGTGATAGTATTAGGCCTGTCAACGGGTCGAATTCGGTCCGGATCCTGGAGTTCAGATCCGTATCTGACCTCTCACTATAGTTTTCGGATCCAGAACCGGATCCCCCGGAATTTAAAAGTTATTTATCGGATCTGCTGGATTGGATTCAGTTTCTGTTTCTGGTCAAATATCCTGATACCTATTAGGTTCAGATCTTAGTTAATACATACTAGAAATACCGGATCTGGATACATTTCTGGTATCCATATAAGATTCCAGATCCTGGAAAAATACATCAGATCCAGTCCGGAACAGGTCCAATTGACATGCCTAGATAGTATTATTCTCTATCTATTCAAAAGTTCAAAAGTTGTCTGGCGGGCCGGTCTTACGTTGCCCCCGGCAGGATCATTCATACAAACGATACAGTCGACTCATTGCCAAACGACACAGTGCGAGCTTCTATAATAATGTATTTTGAAATAACTACTAATTTTTTTCGTTGATAACCAAACCTCAACGTGTCAACAGAACCTGCTTTATGCGTATTATATGTAAACAGTTTAAGAAACGGATGAGGAGTAAAATCATAAACATGTCTTAAGCACGAATTACCAATTGCTATTATATATTATGATATTGTTATATTCAACGCAACAGTTTTTATATAGTAGGGTATGAGAGTGAGAGTTTGCCTAAATCTTTACAATTAATTACCTCTATCAACATTAGTTATTGTGCAAAAGCAAAATTGGATTGATCAATTATCACTTAGCATACAAGATAATTAAATAAATACATGCAAACAGCAGATATGGGATGCCATTTTTTACCTGAATAATTTATTTAGGGGATGCAGATGGAAGAATTTCCAGTGCAACTTCCTTGAGGGATGGCATTGTCTGTTGCTCGTGCACACGTACATATTCGTTGCTTCTAACTTTCCTCAGCACTTTCCACGCCCCCGGGTAGCACCTGTTTTAATTATTTCCCATATTCGTTGATTCTGTTCTTAAAGTTTATTTTCTCTACATATATTACCCATCAAATTAAAAGAATTAAAATGTGCAGCACAATCATAACAAGAATTAAAAGAAATAAATTTGTCACACCTAATCATATATGAATGTAAAAAATCAAGGGTAAGTATCTTATCAAATATTTATTAATTTAATGTATATATCATTTTACTGATCAAATATTTTTCACTCTGAATATTATCAAAAATCTTCTACTTTTAATTGAAAATTAATTTAACATCCACTCTATTCGTCTCTTAACAAATGTCATTGCATTTATATTATATAGCATTAATATAAATATTTTTATTTTTTTTTCTCTTAATTTATAGTATGTATGAATATAATACTAATATTCAAAGTTTATACATCAAAAAACAAATGAATAATTAGTTAAATGATGAAAATAATTTTTTATTAAAAACATTAGATCTAAAAATTAATTTTCATTTAAAACATTAAATCCAACACAATTTTCATTAAAAACCATTATGTTTATGATCCAGTGCATATTTTATTTTTTTATTCAAAATATGATAGTAACTTTTAATTTTTAATCATAACTTCAGCCCTCCATTTCTCCAAATGTAATACGAGGATCAAGTTTAAAAAAGCTTTAAGTTAATTAAGACAATAACATTATTACCTGAAGAGGACTCCTGCATTTCTCCCCTTGAAGTTGTGTATGTAATATATAGTCTCGATCTTAGGCAAAAATGTCTCAGAAAGTGCAGCCAATTTTGGATAGAAAAATGGAGGGTAATCTGACAGCAGTCACCGGAAAACCTCAATAAGATCGATTTAAACACACACATAAAAATTCTACAACAAACAACACTATAGTCTATAAGCAAGAAAAAAACAAAGTCAGTGAAATAAAATTGATAGATTGTGAAAGGAAAAAAGGATACATCCGGATCTTATTCTGTCGAGTTCCCCGTTGAAAATGATCAGTTTGCGCAAAGTATTTTCCACGGCTTCTTTGTAAAGTTCTTCTACCACGAGCATTTCTGGTTGCCGAAAAAGAGTCAAGCCTTTTATTTGGAAGCATAATTACTACTTACGATCCGAACTTAGTTAGAACGGTATCAGAGTTTCGTACAAACACTATAAAGAAATGAAATTCACTTCAAGTCATTGCGAGTATAGAGCTGAAAAGGAAGTATAATTTCTTCTTGCTAAATGAAGAATAAATGCACCATTTCTTACGTAGTATTAGAGTTATTAATCAAATTCAGTAGTTTGTAAGTAAACCAAGTTCGACTCGACTCATTAACAACGACTCAGTCGTTTATAGAAATAATGAATCAAGCTTGAGCTCGGCTCGTGAATAGCTCGATTGAGCTCATTAGTAATGATACATTTATATCATTTTATATATTAATAAAATATATATTTTATATGTCAAAATTTATATTTAATTATGCAAGTTGAATATTTTATTATAATAAATTGTAAATAAAACTATTTATTTAATTTTTATATTAAAAATATATACAATATGTATGTAATCCAAGCTCGAGTTCAAGCTTTGCAAGCCAAGCTTAATCTTGAAATTGATCTTAATGAACCAAGCTTAAACTACCATTTCAGCTCGAATCTTAAACGAACCGAGTCGAGACTATACAGATAGTATACTCGAGCTCACTCGGCTCATTTAACAACTATATGCAATTTAGAAAGAAAAGAAGTATGAAATTAAGTAATCATCAAGTCTATTAAATTGAAAGTTTAAGAGGGAGACAGTACCGTTGACGTTGAAATACGGATAGCCAACGAGGAATAATTCGTCCCCAGGCTTCACTCTTTCAGCCATTTTAACTTTGGTTCCAAAACCAAAATCTTCGAACAATGATGGCTTTGTTAAGTAATCTAGTTTCAAGGAAGATCCCACAAAAGCTGATCTTCTCGCAAACTCCACTTCATTGGCCTCCGGCAAAAACTGAGACAATGACAGAAAATCAATCGAACAAAGATATATTTACTTATAGAATGTCGTAATAATTCTTCAAGACAATTATAACGAACGGGTATATCTTTGTAGTTTCTTGTCCCGATAATTTTGAACTAAAGGAGAATTGCATAGATTACTAATTCATTAATGACAGGAGTAAAGTCAATCAAACATTCTACACTAAAACATGCCCTTAGAATCTTGATCCTGTCAAGTATAATAAAAATGGTTTAATAGTTTATAGAAGCTCAGAAAACGTACTATTCTAGTCTTTGTAGCTTTTTCTTGGGTTATGGCAAGATCACAGAATTCACGAAGCATTTGCATGCTTCCCGTCATTTCTATACCACCTTCACCATCCCCTGTTTTGCATGGATAAATATATACACGTCAAAGAATGCAACAAACAAAAATATAGAAACTGGTTTTTCCATCTAGATATAAGGCGAACATAGCAGCTACCGATGACTGTAAGGATCACCTGGAACAGATTCCAAACCAGCAGTGGGGAATTCAATTTCCTGTGGCAGAAACTTGTTGTGCTCACAAATTCTGAGGATATTTTGGATGTGATATGCATCGAATGTTCATTTCATCTGTCCATAACCAGAATGTAATCTATGAAGTAGAAAAAGAAGAAATAAGATTTACCATTAGCTGCTTGTTGTCCTTGAGTGCTGATTGAGTTGCTTCTCTAGCCTGTTCATGATTTACATGCCGAGCATTAATTTTTTATATATGGTGTGGTAGTAGATGACAATGAACAGGTTTTGTAAAAATTGATAGTGTAATATTTGGCGTCTGCATTCAAAAATTCCAATTTTTCAATTAAATCCAAGGGTTTGTTCTTTTGTAATTTCAAACCACAATCTACGCTATTTATTTTGTACAGTTTTCAATAAAAATACACTTTAATCTCACAAAATATTACATTAAAATATTATTTGAACCAAATATCAAATCAAAATTCCAATTTCAAACCACCACCAGACAAATCTTTGCCATAAACAACCAAAGACATAAACATAAACATAATCATGATCTGGTTTCATGAGATTAAGCATTTTTGAATCGGGATATAATAATAATCATACAAAATGGATTTGATTTCTTTTTTCATAGAGAACTTTCATGATGAAAGTAGGGCTGAATTGAGCAGCTAGTGAGCAAATTTGTGTCAAAGCTCGGTTCAAGCATGGGCAAACTTCAATGCAGTCTAAAAAACAGTTGACAAAAAACAGTTGACATGCTAGCTTGTGAGTCTGGTTTTATTTTGTATATATTTGTAATTAACTTCAATTAGAAAGATAATATAATAAATAATTACAAATTATTTTGAATCATGAGCAGTAGAAGATAATAATAAACCTGAGTTCAACTTTGTATTATGAGCACATAAAACAGGACGTGCTTGAGCTTTAAGATCACCCAATTATTATTCGAGTCTGACTAAATTCAAACAGTTAGGACTTTGTACAATGGATAAACTTATCACTTTTTACTTATTATTGTGAATTTTGTTGTGTTCAATATAACCTTGATAAGTCTCAAACCTCGAACTCAATTTGATGAAGGGTTGAGTCAGATTCATAAATTCAAAATTCAACTGCACTCTCACAAATCTAATATCTAATCCTTTTATTGAGAATAATTAAAGTACTGTATATATATATAATTAGATTCTAAAGTTAATATAACTAAAGGTAAGAAATCAAAACAAACACAGCCTTACCTGCTGAAGAAGTTGAGTATAATCAGTTGGAAATGGCACATCAACTGATCCCCTATTTGCAGCAGCACTAATCACAGGGTTAGGTTTTTTCGAAAACCTTCCAGGAATAGTGCCTTTTTGACTAAAAATACTTTTCTCTTTCACAATCCGAAAGCTTCCATTAGTAAATCCCTACGCATCGTTCAGCCGAAAGTATTAACAAAATCGAACAACAGACCCGAACAAAACAACTCATTCAGCAGTCAAGTTTGCATAATCGTACACAATCAGAAGACATATATATACATACATATCAAGATTTACGAAATCGAACACACATTGTTGTTTTGTTTCCAGAAAAACACCGAACAAAACAAAAATTTAGGGAGAAGCAATGGAGAACTAAATCCACGAATCGAATGCGCTTAATCGAACAATATCAAACGCTATAAATATATAAGAACAGATGATAGCAAAAGCGACGAAATCGAAACACCGAAATAAACAAACCTTGTGGGGAAAAGCAACCAAATCTGGATAAATGTAGAACGGAATTGAGCGCTGCACCAGATGCGATGGAGAGCAGATTTGAGGTGGAAATCTAGAAAGGGATGGAGGATTCAATAACCGCATTTTGAAAATTGAAACCCAACGGAAAAGTTTGTTAGGTGCTTTTGCTTCGGTCGCTGCGCTCCTATTCTATTCTGAAGGATTATTAAAGGGATAAATAAATAAATAAATATATAAACAAATAAAAACTGACTGATGCAAGACCGACTCGGAATGTGTGGTTGTCCCTCACCCCCTTCCATTAATTTATTTTATTTTTTCAATTTATTTATTATTATTTCTTCCGCCAGGAAAAAATTAAAAAAAAAAAATAAAAAATTGCGATCATTTTCTTTGTGTTTTTACTAAAGATATTGGTGCAAATCATCCATTGGTCTATGCAGGTGAGTTTCAGTATTTTAAATAAAATAAAAGAAAACAGGGCCGATGAGCAGAGCAATCCAACAGAAATCAAATTTCCCTTTCTATAAAAATATCTGATCTAATTATATTTATCTTGAAATTTTAATGTTATATAAACTTTAATTTCCTAATAACAAAACAATATGCATATTAATATATTTTTATTTGAATTTACTTATAAAATATATTAAAGTGATATAAATATATACTGGGTTTGAAGAAAGCTATGGAAAGAAGTCAAGAACAAAAAGGCAAATTCTCATGTAAGCAAATTACAAAGGTCCACCTGGTGGTGTAAAGGTTAGACTTGTGACCGTGAGGTCATTGATTCAAACCCAGACACCTCAGGTCCACCTACCACATATGGTTAAGTTCAGTTGATTTATATAGCATCTATTGGCCACCTGTTGATTTTAATTCATGACAAACTGTAATTATAAATAAACAACAAATATCTTTATTACAAAGAGCATGTGCAATATATAATAAAGATTATATGTGTTTCTGTATTTTATCAGTGCTGTGACCTTCCCCATCCATCTATACAATATTGGCAGTATATTAGTATTACTGATATATATATATATATATATGAAATGTTCAAACACTCGAGCAAGTTCGTACAACAATTACTTGTCAGAAACAAGAACCAAATATACCATGACAAGAAAGATGTCAAAATACCTGAGAGGAAGTAGAAACAACTAACCCGATTCCGAAAACCCGGCACCGTTCATTCTCGTAAATAATTCGGAATTTTCCATATAACAACAATGAAGATTCTTTTCGATCATACTAAACAGCCTTTAAAGCCTTTCCTCAGCGCGGTTTCATCCAAGTTCTTTCCGATAAAGACAAGCCTGTTTACCCTCTTCTCGTCTGTCCCCCATTCCTTGCCCGGGCACCCATCGAAGATAGCATGTACAGCCTGAATATGAAGTGGATGAGTTATTGTCTTCAGAAATGGTTCGATTTGTCAGAATACTAAGTGGGAGGATTGTCACCTGGAAGACATAGCGCTGCTCGGAGTCGCTGACCGACAATATTCCCTTGATCCTGTAAAGATCGTCGCCCTTTTCTTCTACGAGCCGTTCAAGCCAATCGTCAAACTAAATTGCCAGAAATAAAAAATGTAGAATTAGAATCCAGTGTTATTTACCCTTCAGTAATACGAAATATAATATCTATTACCAATATTGTAGCATGTCATTGGTTTAAGATATTGAACATCGTTAGACACTAGTGATGTAGAGAAGCAGACTTACGTAATCGAGATCTAAGGTTCCTTCAGAAACAATGCTGACGCTGGAGACAGCGGAATCGTGTTTGTGGTCGTGATGATGACCTTTGTGATGAAAAAGAACATACGGTATGAGAACAGAACTTTTAATGGTATATAGCAAATAGCATAAAATCAAGTTGAGTCGAGCTAGTTTTTTGTCGTAGGTTAATGTAATAATCTCAGCAATTTTAAGATAGCTACATTAATATCGTTCTTCAAACATAAGTCCCGATCTTAGTCGCAGCCAAGCGTTTATTTTTTAGCAATCTCAACTCTAAGGTCGTAACTTAGGTATTGAGATATTCCTAGGAGAGAACTTGGTTTTCCAGACAAAAAATCATAATTAATTTTCCATGTGGATTCACTGACTTGAGTGTTGCTTTTGCAACAAACTATCATCGTCATGGGTCGGCTATATAATCCCAAGTACGGAATTCAGCTACAAATGCCCCTCATTTACTAAACTTTATTTTTTCCTTTAACGTGTTACTACTTGGGAAAAGAAAATAGAAAGGTGAATGGGGATATCAAGAAATGAAATAGCTTAGTTGTAGCATACACACCATGTCTAGTTTCATGATGAGAATGAGAACAATGAGAATCGTCCGAGTTCACTTCGGACTCAACTCTGCAAATTATAATACATAAACATCAGAGAAGTGTACCCAAGAATTAAAAAAACCAAGTTGGGGTCTCATTTATTTTTCACAAAAGTCGATGTTTGAACAAAAGAAATATTTGACAGAGAAGTAAAGACAAATGTAAAATACCTGTCAAGATCGTAACCTCCCACTCCCAAAACAAAGTCCATATCAACCACCCCATACTTAGCTAGTCTTATTTGTGCCATCCCATTGATATGCTAAAGTGAAATCAGAAGAAAAGCATATTAATTGTACAAAATATGTATAAATCACAGCAACAGTATTGTTGGACTTGGAAAACAATATATAAAATAAATTTCATTTTACATACACATATATTATCTCCTCCAACAAAATCAATCACCATTTGCACTTTCACAACTTAAGAACCCAACTAAAGAGAAAGCCAAGGCAAAGAAAATACATCGGCAGACCACACATTGCTTCTTCAAGTGTATAAAACATGATTTTTATCAGGCATATAGAAAGACAATTAAATGGAATGTGTATACAGTTATAATATCATCTAAATATAAAGAATTCACCAAATTTCTTGCTTGTAAACAAACCACCAATCATAACGTCGCCCCATGTCCATGCAGACAATTGATAGTAAACCGATCACAGGTTTTGCGAAAGACATTGATGGTGCATACTGAATTTTAGACAAACAGGTTTGCAAGGAAAAACTGCTTTCGTTCTTTTTGCAGCAAAAGTCCTTACCTTAATCCGTTCGGTTAATGTCTTCACTTCAGGCTCACCAACCAAATCTATCTGCCAAAATTAAATTAAAAAAAAAGCACAAGGTCTTAATTCCTCCATGGCCATTTAAAAATTTCATATAGCAGAATAGTTTAATTAACAGAGGAACCTCCGTACTTTGTTCAATATAATTCGGTCAGCATAAGCAATTTGTTCCACAGCCTCATTCACAACAAACCTTGGTTTTACTTCATCCAAATGTTTTGTAGCATTCACAGAATCTACTAAAGTAACAACTCCGTCAAGTTTCACATGACGTGAAAGTAGTTCATCGCTACAAAATGTTTCAATCACTGGACCAGGCTTCGCAAGACCTGAATAAGAAGACTCATCAATCATCTTGTCAATTGGTCAAATCGAAATAGAACTCAAGTAATGGCTGCCATTTGTGTTGAAACAGTATAATTGCAACAAACAAGCACATGGTATTACACATTGAAATATGAATCAAGAAATTCTTCTAGAGGAAATTTTGTGAAATTTAATCCATGGAAACAAACATGTATGGAGGCCGTACCCGTTGTTTCAATAACAATATGGTCAAATTTGTCTCGCTTCTCCTTCACCAACTCCAAAAGCATTTTGACTAGATCTCCTCGAACAGTACAGCATAGACAGCCATTATTTACCATGATAATTTCCTCATTAGATGAGGCATGACTAGCAACTAACGAACTATCAATATCCACTTCACCAAACTGCATCAATAAACACCAAAAACTGCTAATGCTCGACTTTTAATTGTGCGGCAAAGATATAATTTAATTGTAACCTAACCATACCTCATTTTCGATAACAGCAATTCGCTTGCCATGGTTTGATGTCAGAATATGATTCAGAAGGGTAGTCTGTGATACAGAATCGAACAAGATGGCATATAGAAATGTACAAATAAATTAGCAGAGGCAACAAACAATATTATCGCACTACCTTTGAACGAAGACTAACATAAACTAATCTATTCCGATGAAGCTAATAAAACTCGTGATCGAGAGATCATTCGCACCTTTCCGGAGCCGAGAAATCCTGTGATGACGGTGGCTGGGACACGTTTATCGAGGTTGAGAGCGGCGGAAACAGATGAATTCAGGTCTTGGGTGACGACTTCCGAAGCCTCGGTAGCGAAGCTTCGGGCATGAAAATCCCTTCCGCTGTACGAAAACGATTCCTGACACTGCCAGAGAAATGACTGCAGAGTTCCGAAACGACTGTTGATGGAAGAGGCAAACAGGTTTCTGGACGACGTCGTTTTGGAGTAGAGCAATCGAAGTGCAGTAGCCATTGCAGGGACAAAAGGAACTCTTCGTCACTGGAGCACTTGAGCTTAAACCCTAGACGATGGTTTAGACCCTAATTTAAATATATTTATATATAATCGAAATGTTTTGAATAATTCACATTTAAGTTTCTTTAAATAAATAAAAAAAGAATTATAAAATTATTTTCTTAGTAGATTAAAATGATATATTTATAATTTAAATAACAAATAAAAAAAATTGATATTATTATAAGTTATTTTTATTTAAAAAATTGATACTTTTCGTTATGATACAAAATTAGTTTAAATTACGACTCAAGGAGTATTATTAATGCTCTATTCAACCTATAAAAAGCTTTATTTTTTGTAACGTAGTTTTAGAAATATTAGTATTATATTGGGATATAGCTTATTAGTATGCGTGATATAAAGATAATGATATTTGTGTAATATATTGTAAGTTGTAAGGGTATTTGTAATATTAAGTAGACAATACAGTTACTAAAAATAAAATGGATACTTTTTTTATAGTACGGACTAAAATAGAAAAATAGATACTTTGTTATGGGACGGAGGGAATATTTTTTTTGTAACTTCAAAACATAAAATAACAAAGTTAGTATATATTAATATATACAAATACAACATACAACAATAGTTTCTATAATGTATATTACAATAGAAGACATGCTATATTAATTAGTTATGTATTATCTCATTATGTTACTAAATTTCATATGATATTAGGACAACACATTTTTTTCAAATTTTCAGTTAGTTTTACATATGAATGTTCTTAAATTTTTAATAAGTATAAATTAGTCATACTAGTCGAATTATGTGACATATAAAATAAATTCATTCTATAATCTCATGGTCATAAATTCATTCTATATTACAAATAATTTTTATTTCAATATTTTATTAGCGGACGGATGAAATATTATTTTTAAGTCAATTCTAAGGTTTTGATTTATTTTTTTTAGTTACATATATAGAAGTTTTCTTTTTTATCACTCTAACAATTGATAAAATTATATGGAACAAAACAATTTAAAAAACATATGTGTGAAATGTAAATTAAGCGGAGGGAATGGACGGAACTTGTATAATATTTTAAATAAATAAAAACTAAATAAATCAATATATATATATATATATATATACCAATATTTTAAGTTAAACTTGTACAAATATATGCCAATTTATTTTAGCTAGAGTCACTGAGAGAAGGAAATGGAAAATCTATACATAGAAAAAGAGTAATGTAAAGCGTGAAAGGATAAAGACAAAAAACCGTTCGTACATCAGAAGGAGACAGGTAGCAATCCGCCATTGGAGAGGGTTCTTAACGGATTCTGAATCACCCAAATCCTCTCACTCAATGCGTTCTGCATGTTCGTAAGAGCTGGAGGAGGAAAGAAGGAAGGAAGGAAGGAGCACACAGATATGGCAGAGTGTGGGGAAGAAACATTGGTTTATATGCCGGACAGAACTGTTGCAACAGCTCCTCTTTCAGCTTCCCTAACCTCCAGCTTGAAACGACCTCGTTCCAGAGAGGATTCCTCCGAGTATGCAATATACATACATACATTGCGTGTTCCTTATTTTTGTGTCGATTTAATCTCTGTTGCTGCTGTTGCCACTAGGATTTGATTTTGTTTTTTTGTTTCTAATTCATTTGGAATCTATTATTTCTAGGGATTTTGCAGCCTAATTGAATCTGAATTTGCTTGTATTTGTGAACTTTTTGGTTTACAGATTGTGTAAATCCGATTGTTATCCTACGGAAATCTTAAAGCATAGACAAGAGGAAAACGGAATCAGTAATTCCTTCGAGTTTGAAATACCACTGCAAAATGGAGAAATTCAGAATTCAGGTATATTCATATCCTGCTTCTTTATGTATTTACTCACTTTAGTCTTCAACTGTCCAATTATTAGGAGACGCACAGAATTGATATTATTCTGTCAAAGACTCTGATGTAAAATTATGCGTATTTTGTGGAATCAAAGAAAGAATCATGAAGAAAATTCAACATATTCGCATGATTTCTCAGTTTCTGCATCTTACATAAATGAAATATGACAATAAATAACTGCAGAGATCTGTATAAGAAAAACAAAAGTTTAGATTAGATACTGTGTTCATGTGAGAAGTACTACGAGTTATTTTCATCCTGAAGTTGTTTTCAGGCAATTTTTGGGGCAGAAAACAACAATTTGAAGCATTTTCAGTATATGATTAACAACCATTAGCATCATGCATCAATCTGTTTCTAGAGTTCATAAATGTAGATATGATTATATGCATAGATCTTCATTTCCAGCAAATGAAAATGCTCCTGTATTTGCTATTAGATGTACCAAAAAGAACTCCTGGAAGAGCAAAGAGAACCAAATGTGTATACGTACTGGGAAATGCATGTAACTCCATGAATTCATCTGCGGATCTAAGATCATTGGATATCCCGTTGTTCCCATCTACAGTGGATGAAGATTCTTTGAATGTCGCAATGCCGGTTTCTTCGAAATCGATCGAATATGGTGCTGCTTCTTCTTCTGATTCTCATTTAGAGGATTCAGAGGCTGATGGAGTGTCCAAGCCTTCAGGTAAACAGATTCAACTCTTCTTCTTGTCGTTGTGCTTCACATATTAATATCTGCTGCTGGTTTATGACTTATATCATGTGGTTGTATATTAATGAGTTAATTAGGATATGTGTGTTTCTTTCTGAATTTCTTTTCCTAACCGTTGTTATAATTTTGATAGTTTTATTATGTTGTCCTAACTTTTTGTTTAAATTTTTTATAAATTATATTTTGAAGGATTAAATGAGAAAGACCGTATGTAAAAATTTTTGAAAGTTTCGGACATCCTAATTTAGAAATAATGATAGAAGAAAATGAGTATAAAACAAATATGAACTTAATGTTCTCAATGAAAAATAATAGTAGACTATAGTAAAGTATTGATTGTAAAATTAACTTTATAGGGAACATTATGATTCTAATTAGAGCTAATTATCATCATGTTGATAAGTCATTATCATCACATGAATTATAGTTTGTTGCATATTATTTGAATTAATATAGCATTTGTCATAGTAGATTGCTAGTAAGTGCTATCAGTTTTATTTTATATATATATTTTGCGTGTTAGTAATAAATTGTAATATGTATTGTGTGAAATATTATTATGTACTATTAATTTTTATATTGTATTTGCATATGTTGATATATATATATATGTCTTCTATTGTCGATTTATATCTCGTGTACTATTAGCATTGTATTTGTACTGACTAATTAGAGTCAACACGGTAACTAACTTCAAATTTGTATGCTTGAAGATTGAAGATACCAAAACAAAGTGATTGCATAACTAAAAATGTACGGTAACATTCGGATCTTCTCCTTGGAAGAGAAGCATTTAGTATAAGATGTTGGGAATATGTGTAAACATACATATTTTTTGGGTGGATCGAAGTTTGTAGTACATTCATTTTTTCAAAGAGACTCCTAACAATCGACACGCCATGATGCGTTCGCTCTCTCGACATTTGCAGGTGTTTCCAAGCAAAAACCATCGAAGCGAAAACCTCATACATTCGAACAATCTTCGATTCAGACAACAACTCGGAACGGAGACGAAACAGTTAACAAAAAAAAGGTCGAATCGCTGGATTACAATGGTTCACAGGAAGCGACGCTTGTGGATGTCCAGTTAACCGTCGAAGCAAATAACCGAGCAGAGGATGTCCCATTCGTCTCTCTGAAAAGTAAATTAACAGGTAAAACAATACTGGGATACCCTCTAGAAATTGGAGTATTGCACGATCATGTCGCGGACATGACTCCGAGAAATGAAAACATTCGACGCAACAACGAAGGAGGAAGTAGTGGATACCATCGACGACTTGTTTGGAGAACTTCTAGAAGAACCCCTGTGTGCTATGTTACTAACTCACTGTTTTTTAAGAATCCACAGGGCGGGAAAAGAATAGGAAGTGTCGAAGACTCGGTTTCTAAATTTAGAAAGATCGGAGGTGGTGGTTCGGAGGGAACTTGTGTCCCCGTCGAACTTGTGTTCAGAAAAGTGCTGGCGGCCATAGGTAAGGTAAGATCTTGAAACTTATGAATGTTTAAATCTCATTTTTGGATAAAAGCTAGGAAAGCATGAGTTTTAAGGGTTGCACAAAATTATGGTATAGTTTTACGTGAATTGCTTGTGTTTTCTGCCCTTGCTTTTTTGCAGCTATTCAATCTTATACCCAATATTTCTTTTAGAATATATTACTTCTGCTCACCCAAATATATACTACATTTATTCATTTTATTTGATTATAAAATAACATTCTATCTGTCCCGGATAAATAATTGTTTTGTTTTGTGATATAAAGATAAATTTATTTTCCTTATTTTTTCTTAAGAAAATAAAAAAAATAAGCTTTTTTTTTTAAAGTAAAAAATCATACCATTGTACATTTTTAATCACTTTATTTTCTTGTTTATATAAAAAAAATTACGCATTACATTTAAACTTGTTATTTCAAACAAAGAAAGTTATATTTTATTAAAACAATTTGGTATTTTAAGATGGAGACTTAATTTAATAATAGAAAATATATTTTATTTGTGCTAGATAAACAAAAATAGCAAATGCGCATAAGTTAAAAGAGTATAATAATCTGTTTATTTTCATTTAAAATATCATATTTTGATTCAATAATTTGTGTTTAATTACATTTTAATCCAGGGGTGCATCGATGTTAATCCTATTTGTCAAATAGACCTGATGCCCAATAATACTATTTTGTCTAAATAAACAAATTCACTATTTAAACAAAAATTTAAATTTAATACTTAATTTTAGGCATGCTTCCAACAGGAATCCCAACTAATATAATAACTGTACACACATTTTTGTTGCTACAGTCCTATGCGTTTTTATTTTCCTTATAAAATTATTAAAGAATTGATGTAATATTTTAAATGTAAAATTAATTTTTAATATAATATAAAAAATAAAAAATAAATATTTGATTTGATATTTTTGGAAAAAAAAATTGTGAGAATAGTAAAAATCCCACCCTCAGAACAAAACTAGTTCAAGTAAAAAAACAAAAGAAAAAGTAACAAAAGTTACATTATGTACATATGCTAACAATTTAATTACTTACTATATATATTACTATCTCATCTCAAATCACAAGTTGTCTGCAACTTTCTTTTATACCAAGTTAGTTTCCTTTTACTTGTTTAAATACAATTTATAAAATAATTCATAATAATAATAATAATAGCAAAAAATATAATTGTTTGATCACCCAACAAATTTTAAATGGGACAATTCACTATGAATATTACTATAAACACATTACCACTATATATATAATATACATACACAAGAAGTAACACTTCAAAACAAAATATTAATTTTTATATTACGGATTAATTATCATAGCTAACATATAAAACAGATCCATCGTACACACGCTAGAATATACAAGCTAAAAACCCATGACACAAAAATATTGGAACAGAGAGAGTATTGTTTAATACAGTGCCAACACTGTCCAATTTTCTAACGGAAAATTTTCAATAATTTCACGTAATTAATTAAAAATGCTGCTTATAAATATGAAAAGAGAAGAAATTTTGGAAATTTCCGTAGCTAACACAAATTTGGCAGAATTCTTAAAAGAATGTCAATAACATATATATATATATATATCCATGAAAATAGATTACCAGAAAAGTGAATACCCGATGCTTTCCCGATGCCTCTGGCAAATGTTTTCAACATTGGGAAAAAAATTGTCCTCAGAACCGTTCCTACTCAAAATCGGAGAATCAATCCTCATCATCAGAGTTGTCAAATGTTATTTTTGTACCTTTAGGAGCGTTGGCACCGATTTCTCTGAAATGGGCACCGTATAATTTAGATTCCTGCAAGGATTTGACAACCAAAGGCGTTTCGGATCAGTACAGACCACATTAAACTTGATAACTATCGAAGGAAATTTCATGTGTATATATATATATATGCATTGCAGTGATTACAATTACCAGTAACTAAAATTCATACATGCACAATAGATATGTTTTTCAAAAGCAAAATTACATAGAAGCTCCGTTTCCATGGCGACTTTTTTGAGTTTCTTTGCAGTGTAATCCTTACAATTCACTATGAAAATAGCCTATTTTTTTCTCTCACTAAACATAGTATCAAACATACTATTGGAATAAAAACTAAAACCAAAACCCAAAATTAATCACTAAGTAAAATAAACCCTTTCATACTCTTAATGCTTTTTACACATTGTTCTAATTTCTAACTGTAAAGAAATCCTGGGCTAACATTTAGATGTGAATAGGAGATTAACAAATATATAAAAGATTACATTAAAGGTCTATTTTGAGATTAGTTCCATTGCAATACTTGTTTTCTTACAAAATTTGATAACTCTAATGACAAAATAAATCAACTTGGCATAAAATTGTGACATTTTCAGCCCTACAAATTCACGAGCTCTGACAAAAACCTTACGTGACTAAAATTACGCGCGAAACCAAATATAGATGTGTTATAGTGGGAGTAAAATTAAGGGTGGGTTTGTTTGTCGGTTTGAGTTTTTGGATTTGGATTTTTTAATAGTAAAAATTTGAATTTGAATAGTTGTTTGATGTGATATAAATAGAGGTTGATTGATATTTTGAATGTAAAATAAATTTGTAGTATAATATATATAAAAAAGGTAAACATCAAAGAACCTTGAAACAAATTTCACCAGAGAAAAAAAAAAAAACTGGTACGGCTAACCTTTTTCTTGACGTGAGTCCCAAATTTTAGCAGGGATTCGGGAACGACCTGCTTGGCTTCCCTGAGAACATTTATCAACTCCCCGGAAAGTGCCTAAAAAGAATTCATCAAGAGTATGGTCAGGTACAATGACTAAAATAAATAATGAGAAACACAAATGTATAAGCTAAGCATAAGATCGAATTATACCTTGTTTTCCTTCATAAAGAATGTGTGAGCCACCCCCTTTTTACCTGCTCTTCCAGTTCGACCAATTCGGTGAACATAATCCTCCGTAGTCAGAGGGAAACTGTAATTTATTACAACCTCAACATCAGGAATATCCAATCCTCGGGCAGCAACATCAGTTGCTATCTGTGGAAAATAAACAAGAACAGAGGCTTTATGAAATTGCCTAAAGATCACATTAGCTATCGAGATGCCAATTGCAGAACTAAGAAATCCTCTAATGAATATCCTACCGAAAACTTTCACTAACTTTATTGTTACTAGAAAATTAATGGTGTGGCCAATCATTATATAGGATGGAATAAGAAACAGTGACGTCGGTGGTAATCTTATCTGGATATCTCCAGAAAAGATTCAGTAGGGACAAGTGGAGTATTTTATTGTTTTTGGTCATAATATACAGCTTAAAAAAAAAATAGAAGAAACCTACCAATAGAGGACTTTTTCCATCCTTAAATTGAGACAATGCTTGTGTTCTTGCGTTCTGTGCTTTATCACCGCTAATAGAAACAGCTTTCCAACCCCTAGTGACGAAAGTGGAACATAAAGGATCAAAATTTTATCCATCAAATAGATCGCAGCGTGTGACGAAAGTAACCCAAACAATCAAATGAAAGGGTAAACAGAAAGGACCTTTTCTGAAGCATATTCTCCACCCGAGATGCTTCTTTCTTGTATAGTACAAAAACTAGCACTCTATTTCTGCAGAGATTACAACCGCTTATCACAAAACCTTCGAGGAAAATTTAACATATAATTTCACATATGCTTAGCGGGCTACAAAAATACAAAGGTTTGCGATCAAATTTACAAGAACCACAAGCAATTCCATATAGAGCAAAGAAAATATTTTGCCAGCTAAAGGTTAGTATGTTGGACAGAGAAAACTCGAGGCTTAATTTCTACAACTCTCAAAGTCTGTGTACACAACTTACACCAGCTACACTTACTTTCTTGACTTGTGGTACTTTTCCAACAATTCCTGCAATCGCTGATCACGTGCTCGATCATCCAATACCTTCAACGCCCAGAGAATAATAATAAAAAAAAAAGAATATTCACAAATATTTAGGAACAAGAACACATGCATAAACAGCTAAAAGTAAAAACATACCTCAACTATTTGCAGAACATCGTGATTGGCAGCTAAATCTTCAGAGCCAACAACTACCTGAGACGCATTTTAATTCCAAATAAACAGTGACAAAAAGCAACCAGTAATTAGAAGTGGTTATCACAGAGAACACGCACCTTGACAGGGTTGGGATCCATGAATTCTTGAGCTAATTGGTGTACTGGCAGTGGCCATGTTGCACTAAACATCACCATTTGCCGAACTGATACATAATAATTCATGTCAACAGATCACATTTAAACAAATAGAATATAATAATAGTAATAATAATAACAATAATAATTATTATACTATTTGCTATGAAAAACGAAGGATTCAGATATCTTCCATATGTGCCATGTCAAAGCAAACATACTGAGTAGAGAGAGATTTCCAAGATTTATACAAACATTTCCATGAGACAACAAACTAAACATCTTTAAATTAATATATAATCAAGTTGCAAGTCATACCAGGGCATGTTTGACGTAAGATAGATCGGACCTCAGGTTCAAATCCCATGTCAAGCATTCTATCAGCTTCATCTAGAACCTAAAGCATCAATTGCAATCGGAATCGTTCATCAGACAAAGCCGAAATATATTGAGATGCATGCTATCAGTCCCAAAAAAAACCAGTCACACACTACTTATACTACTTACCACAAAAGATACATCCTTTAGTTGGCACACACCCATTTCAATCAGGTCCTTAAGGCGGCCCGGAGTCCCAATAACAATATCCTGCAAAATGCAACAACAAATAAGGCATGTGTCATACATGCAAATCTATGGAATCTGATGGAGGATCAGATTGCTTACGTCCTTTCATCATCCAGGCCGTTGATGGAATATTTTCTTACCATCATATCACATACGAAAATACAACGAAACCATGTTTATACTGTTAAGACAATGGAGAACTCACCACACCAGACTTTAAAGAAGATATCTGCGGTCCTTTAGAGGTCCCTCCATAGACGCAAACTGAACTCACTCCGCTAGGCTTCCCAGCATCGCAGAGAACATCTGAAATCTAAGATAATTACATATTACTCCCTCCGTCCACCAAATATAAGATTGTTTTACTTTTTTATTTGTCTATAAATATATACACTTTCCACTTATAGCAATAAAAAAGAAAGATCTTAAACACTCTTTAATTTATACCTTTCAATATTACAACAATTTACAAATATACAACAATCATTTGCACACTCAATTTATTCAAAGTTTTCTCTAACCTAGTCAGGCCACTCTTATATTTTCCAAAATGCCCTACTCTATGTCACAATGAATCAATATAATATTATATTCATTAATTTCCAAAGTACACTTACTCTATGTAACAATCAACCAATATAACAATATAATATTATAGTATTTATTAAAACTCATGTCCAGCTCAAACCAGCATGAGATAGTTCCGAATATTTTCAAATTAGAAATATGAAATTGATGAATCTTCAACCAATAAATGGACTAACATACTTGCTGAGCCAGCTCCCTCGTGGGCGAAAGAACAAGACAACTTGGATTCATTTTCTTAGTAGCCTTGCTTTTCCGCTTGTTCAAAACGTGCACAATGGCAGGCACTCCAAATGCAATTGTTTTACCTGAGAAACATACAAATTGGAAATTATCACAGATTATTTACACACAGTTGTCAGGATGAAAAACAAATAGTGACAAAAATCCGCGGTAAGGATGGTGCGAGTATACCAAAAACGCTGGACCATAACGTATATTGTATCAAACTTTTAAACATACTGACCAGGGTATACAGAAAAAGCGATATACTCAGAATCCATGTTTTCAGTATTTTTTTCAGTACCATATGTAATTTGGTATTTTTTCCATCTATAATCCATGGTGTAGCAACAAATACGTAGAAACAAGGAATACTCACCGGATCCAGTGGCTGCAATTCCGATAAAATCGCGACCGTCGAGGAGATAGGGCCAGGAATTCGACTGAATAGGCGATGGCTTGTCGAAGGTCTTACAGCAATCCAATATCTCGCCAGGAAGCGCAGACTCAGAAAACGAATCCAACGCTCTGTACTTCGAATCATTCACATTCTTCCCGGATACGACGACGCCGTTTCCTTCTCGCACTTGATCGGCGCCTTCAACACCGTTCGCTTCCTTCTGAGTCACAGCTTCTTCCTCGTCTTTTTTGGTCTTCTTCTTCTTCTTTCGAGGTGTTTCTTCCGATGCATCGTCGTTTGAGATCGCGTCGTTCTTCTGTTTGTTCTTCTTCTTCTTCTTAGCGGAAAGCTCGGGTGGAGCGTCGATAATTGGATTCCCGTTTTCCTCTACATTCCGGCCCTTGCCTTGCTCCGAATCGAATTCAGAATCGGTCGCTCCTCCGTGCTTTCTTTTCTGCTTGTTCTTGTGCTTCTTCTGGAGCTTGGCATCGCCGTTTTCCATGGCGGTTATCGTTTGGCCGGCCATGATAATGAATAGGGATTTTGGGAGAAACGCAAACCCCCCAAAAAAACCCTAGAAAGAAAGAATGCTGCAGTGTGGCGACAGTCGCGCAACTCCCCCGATAACTGCTTATATAGTTTTTTCTTTTTCTTTTTTTTTTAATATATTATTCGAGTTATAATTTTGATTTCTAATTTCTTTTCAATTTTAGTATTATATATTTTTCTTTATTTTAAATATAGAGATAGTTTGTTTATCATTTCAAGATAGTTTTTTTTTTTTTTTTTTGGTAAATATATCTGATCAATTTAATATAATATTAATATCTTATATCGAATTAATAATTTTTTTTAAGACAATATAATATAAATATTACTTTTTAAGTCATCAAAATTTATAATTATTTGATTGGAGACAGAAATTTGGTAAAATATGTATCAATTTATTAGAAATGTATATCATTTAAATATCTATTATAGTCAATTAAATATATTCTGCCTGATGATTGAAATATGTATTATATAAATTTTTTATATAAAAATAAAATAATTCATAAAACTCAATAGCTTTTTTTCAACTAAAGAACTTGGAAAATTAAAAAAGACAGGCATTAAATCCAATTAAATTTAGATTTTTTTTTTAAAAAAAAATCATGTAACTGTACATTCATATTTTAACAAATTATGATAATATTCATATACGTAATATTTATGAATTATTAATAGAGTTTTAATAGACCATAAATTTATTAAGGAATTTTTCAAAAAATTATTATTTTATTATCTTATTAAATTAGATGATTTTTTAACAAATGCCAAAATCCGGACTGAAAAATTTTATTATTTCAAAGAATTTATTAATTTATAGAAATTTAACCATACTCTATATTGTACTTTTTTTAATAATACGAGAACTTGTGCCCCCAACAAACCATATATTTTGCTTAGGCACGGTCCAAAACATATAATAAAAAAATTATATTGTTTAAATATAAAAGATAAAAAATATATATTATTTTCATTAATCAGGCACAAATCCTTTAAAAAGTGGGTAAAAATATAAAAAACCAAAATACTTTTTTTATTACAACAAAAAAAAAATTGAATATAAATTTAAATAGTGAAAAGAGTGTCTCCAGGACCGGGTCCAGGGCGAGGATCCCACACGGTGCCAAGTTTGTTTGTTTGTGAGCTCTTGTCCCTATTAAGGGACCATATTCTTGGTCCAAAATATAACATCAAGTCTCTGTTTATATCACATCAAGAACTTATTTAAATTCAAATTTATAATATTTCCATAACCGCCAAACGAAGTTCAAATAAAAGATTCGTAGGGCTTAACATCAGGATAAATCCCGGCCAAGATCCAAGCTTTCGTAACACTATTCTAGCACAAGGAAGAAAATGCCCAAAATCACAGCATATTATAGAAACCACCTTAACAAGTCTCATAGATGATTTATTCAGAGCCTATTCAGGGCTCAGAAATTAGGAGAGTACAATCATATTTTGTAGCCCAATTAGACTAACAAGAACAAGAAAATGAAATAAATTGCAAGAAGTGTTGTGTTTTTACCTGGAGTGCCGATGCAGGATCTTGCAAGATGCCTACAAGAGCATCTGCAAGAGAATCTACAGCGATTCGACCGGAAATTTTGGACCAAATGAACAGGTAACATGATGTCCTAAAGTGAACTGCATTCTGCTGCCAATTTCAAGTTCGGATTCAGTTACAAAAGTTGAGCTTCTTCATTACTTTTGCGTACGCCAATGGGACAACACTGGGTTGTCTAAGACGTCGCTTTGACTTCTTAGACTGAGAATAGACAATCATTTTAGTTAATATTAATTCAGGAGTGTTCGATAGATTAGAAACATCAAATTTACAAGGTGACGTTGCGATAATGAAAAACAAAATATGGATGAAATGGTGCGCTCAAAAGTGACAAGCATCATGGAAGAGCCAGATTTTCTTGATTTTTTGGCTAAGATCGTTGTTGGTTTATAACTATCATAGTTCCCAAGACATATTGTTCTAATAAAAATACATTATTTTATTTCACAAAACATCTAAAATACAATAAAACAAAAATTTTAATAACACTTTTACAGTTTCAAATAATTAACAAGAACCCCCAAATTCCTAATAAAGTGTGTGTTTGGTTGGGGTTCAGTGAGGTTTTTACTATTAGCTTTTTTTTTTCCCAAAAAAATCAAAGCAAACACTTATCTTTTATTTTTTATATTACACTAAAAATCAAATTTACATTCATAACACCAATATCCATTAAAATCACATCAAATAATTGTTCAAATTAAAAAAATTTATTGTTCTAAACTCACAACAAAGAACTTTTTAAGCTAAAGAGAATTTCAGTGATGGGATTCAATTCCATCAAAACACCTTTTTCAGCCAAATTATTTCATTTTTAACCCCTAGATCTTTTTCCATCAGAATTACTATAATCAATTTTCACATAATGTTGAATTATTTGGCGTGGAACAACACATTTTTATGACATTATTCAACACCCATGAAACTAAATTCTAACTTATGATGGGAAAAAATGGTGGGAATAAAATTGCTACAATTTGATGAAAATTTGAAATATATATAAGCAGTGGGATCCGTATTAAACAATATCTTATAGTGGGACTAACATAGAAATGATTTGGTCTAATAGAACCATTTACGTTATTTTCCTTCACCTTGGTAGTGTTCAAAATATATGACTAAAATACAGTTAAAAGAGTTAAGATGTGTAAGGCAATAAAAGCCAATCTTGGCGAAGTGAATATCAAGTGATCTTTTCATGAAAGTCAGCAAGAACTTCGGGTGTGTTCTTACAAACAAAAATACCCAACACATTTTTCCATAAAAATTAATATATTAGACACTCATTAATTTTATAATAACTACACAATTCTCTATATCTCACGTCAAAAAAAATTCCTTCAAATAAAAACACAAAACAAACAAACCCTTACATTCGTTTTATTATTTAAACAAAGAAAATCCGCAGGTCAAACATGTATACAGCAGTTAATGTAAGGCATCAAAACAATGCAACAAATCATTACCACAGCATTCCGATTTGCAAGTATAAAAACTTTGCATAAACCTGCTCTGTTGCACAGGGTCTTGTCACAATATAGTAGTATAAATTAATATAGCATGAGACAGATGGCTAACCTTTGAATGTGCATTATGTCTCTTGCCCTCCTTCCATCGTCTGATTTGCCCGTTGCTCATTACCCTAAACCTGCCCTTATAAGACCTGTCAAGTACAATTATAATAAAATCATGAGGCCCGAAAATCTTAGGTACTCAAATGTAGATTTATAACGCGTCATATTCATACGAATAGTATTTCATCTTGATTTTTTTGACTTTGGAAGTTATTGGTGTCATTGGCTTCCTACTCTTCAACTTCCTTTCCTTCTGCTTCGCAGTGATGTGCCGCACTTGTGTCAACTAAAAGAATCATTTCAAAATGAAAAATGAATTTCAACAACCGACAACATTTGTGAAAAACCCTGAATTAACTTCAATTAGGAGTGATGTGCTCCGGAAAATCATACCAGCAATAAAGAAAACAAGCAACAAGAGATTAAAAAATATATATATTCATGGATTCAATATAAACAAATTCTTTGCATATGACTAGAGGTCACGAATTGAACTTTAACAAGTGGTCTTGTGTTAATTGATAAACAAATTATGCAGATATATGCAAGCTGGATTGAATAAGGAATCATTAGGTTTGTGATAGCAAAGCCTCGTGAGATGAATGAAACCAGACATGGCTGTCCATGGAATGGGCCAAATGACCCTAAATTTTTAGGAATTTCATTTCCCAATAATTGATGCTAAGAATAAACCTACAGAGAATTCCCCCAATCAATAAGCTAAAACTAAGATAGAAGAAATTCAATTCGCATCCAAACCTCAAAGCATATATATTTTCCAATTTATATCCAATTTCTACAACATTCATCGGAAGAGATTGCAGGTCGCACGCAGAATCAAATAATTTACGATTCAAAATGCCATTGATTCACTATAGAAAGCTTAACATACAAGATCAACACAACTTTGCCAAAAAAATTGTCACAGGAAGGTGAAATTTCATACTTACTTGGAGCGGAGAGTATGAGATGGGAGGAAAAGGAGCGCCGAGGGGTGAATCAAAATTGGGGGAAAAAAAGGAACGACTGATAGTTTGGGTATTGTGGGTAAAATGCGGACGAATGTGAAGGAAGTGACTGGAGATAGATGAGTGGCGGCGGAGGAGGAGGAGGTAGGTTTCCGGCATAGAGCGGCGCGCCGCCGCCAACGGCCGGAGCTTCGAGCACCATCTCTGCAGCATCTCTCCGCGCCTCGCTAACACAGCGATTATGAATTTTAGGGCGCAGAAACTATAAACTAACAACAAGGGTTCGAAAATAAATAAATAAATATATAGGGGTTTGTTTGTAGTTTTCATAATCCAAAAAATAAAATAAAAATACTGCTTTATCTTCATTTATATGAAGTATTTTTTATTTTTTTTCATTATTTATTTATAATGTTTTTTAATATGAATAAAATATACTTTTTTTTTCGTTTCATTTTATATGTTCAATTTTTTTTTGTAGATATGAAAGGTAGATAAAATCTAATTAGTTAATAATTAAAATAATATACTGATAAAATTAATTATTATGTAAAATAAATCATCATAAATTAAAATTTAAAAAATTAATTAATTTAACTAAAATAAAAAAACTTTAATGATTATATAATTTAAAATATATAACTATTTCTTCTAAAAATAAAATAAAAAGACAAATAAGGTGGTAAAAAAAACTAATTTTTTTATAAAATATTATATCACATAATAATTCTCTCCCGATTGCACGATTAGGTTACTTACTGTATCCAATGTAGAGCTTAATAAATTTATGATTATATGATATGATACTACATTTGTTTTTTCATGGGATTTTAAAAATATTAGTATTATATTATAATATAGTAGGAATAAAATAGAAATAATTAAAATAATTTTATTATTAGTATTATATGATATAAATGTAATGATTAAAATGTAATATATTATAAGTTGTAAGGGTATTTGTAATGTTAGGTAAACAATATAATTACGATTTACATAAAAATGAAAAAATTGATATTTTATTATAAAACAAATTAAAATGAAAAAATAAATATTTTGTTATAGGACGGGGGAATATTATTTTTTTTATTATGAAAAATTTTGTTGGTATTTTTAAAATAAAAATTAATATTTATTATTATTTTTAATGTATATTTAAAAATTTAAATATTATATTATAATATAATAGTACAATAAATGAAAAATATGAATTTAATTTAATATTTTATGAACAATATATATATTGAAATAGTAGATCAAAATTGAAATCTCACAGAATAAATATATTAAGTATTTTAATATATATTCTAATTTTTTAATTATATATATTCAATTTATTTTAAAATTATAAATATTATTAATTATATTAAAAAAAATAATAATAATAACATAATTTATTATTATTAATTAATTAAATATGAAATAAGTCATTTATCTTCAACATATAAAATATTATGTACTCATTTTGTCACCTATAAAAAAATAAAATACTCCCCTACTTATTTGACATACTTTTTTGGACTTGTATTTATATTTAAAATTTATATAATACATAATTAAATAAATATTTATAGTATTTATGATATAATACTAACAAATAATATTTGGTATTTTAGTTTAAGTATATTTTTCATATGAGATATAAAAAAAGAATACTCCCCCCGTCAGCTTATAATATCATATTTATCTTTTGCGTTGTCATTGTACTTAATATTAAAAATATTTATATATTTGTATAGATTTTTTATGCAAATATTTTTTAATTAGTATTATAATACACTAATTGAAATATGTTTGCAATTTTTTCTTAATAAGTATTATATTTTAATATAATAATTAATATTAAAATATCAACCCAAAAAAAGTAAATGAGACTGTTAAACGAAAGAAAAGTAATGTTTTATTTTAAATATTGATTTTTCGTAAGAAATGATAGAATATAAGTATATTATATATATAGAAATAGTACGACTTACATAAAAATCGGGGGAGTTTATATTTTTCAAGGAAGTGAGTATGAATTTATTTATTTACTTTTCATAAAGACCGAATAAAGTCAAATGGCGTTCAACCCAATTAATAAAGGCATATATATACAAGTCTTTGCCATTACAATATATTCCATTTTCTTAAAAACAGGTTCCAAAATTGACCAATCAGAAAATACGTTCAACTTCATTAAATACATATTTAAGCAGAAAAGGGTAAGAAAAAAAAAAAAAAAAAAAAACTTCCTATAACCCCAAAAAAGTGTTTGTATTTTTATTTATCTTGTTTGTTTCAATCAGAAAAATAGAACTTGATAAATAAATTATTTTTATTTTTAATTATATTTATTTTATTATTTAAATATTTAATTTTTACTATTATTAAAATATAATCTTACAAACACATCGCATTTAATTTATAATTTTTTAAAAAATCAACAAAGATATTTCTTTATAAATTCTTATTCGATAAAACTTTTTTTATATGATTAATAATTTTTTTTGTTCGATCCATTCAAATAGCTGCATATTTTTTTTAATATAAATTTCTCAATTGAATTATATATTTTACGGAACAGAATAATTAATTCATATTTCTTACTCAGTTTCTTTTCTCTGCAATTCAATTTTTTACTATCATTTCTCTATAATTTTATTCTCAGTAGCAAACTCCTCATAAAAGTTGATTAAACTAAAGTCATAATAGAAATTGGTTAACAATTGTTTTTTTTCACAACTTATTCACCTGATTTGAGCTACCTTGTTAATGAGTAATTAGTATTATATCTATTTTTTTTTTGTTAATTTTTGCATGAATTAGTCTCAATTGAATAATAACCTTTAAAGTAAATACTAATGATCTAATAGTTAATGAATATTGTGTCTAAACCAAGAGTCCGATTACCAATTGAATTGAGAAATAAACATCATTCTGATTTTTCCATTCATGCGAACAAATTTATGTATTATGATTTTCTTATTCAGTACATTTGAAATAAAAAAATTGACACAAAATTATATTTGTTAAATAAAAAGGAAATAATTTGGTCGTATTCAGTACATTTGAAATAAAAAAAATTGACATAAAATTATATTTGTTAAATAAAAAGGAAATAATTTGGTCGTATGAATGTACTTGTTGGGACTCCCGTTTGCGAATATATGACCGATAACTGCATTTTCCTAATAATTCGAACTTTTAGGTGAGACAGTCATTAAACATCCGATATAATATCAAAGTCTTGGATAGGTCTCGAGTTTGAGCCCCACCTGTTTGAACCGCCCAATATCTGTTTTTTTTTTTTCGAAAACTGCATAATTTGAATAATATAAACCCGAATTTTGTGTCAAATAGAACAAACCCTAAATATCATGATAGAATATAATATAATCTATAATTGAGTTCAACATTTTGTGTACTATTTGTAGTTATTGTGTGTATTTACTTTGGAGAATTAAAGAAAATAATATTATTTTATCCCATACAATTATAAATTATTCCCTTATAAATGATATTAAATAATATATTAATTATTATTATTATTTTCTCATATAATTAAAAGTATTTTAAATCAAATTAATAATCTTATACAATAATTAATTATTTTATCAGTATAATTATATAATTTATTAAAATAATACATATATTATAATTTTATCGTACAAAATGAACACATGAATAGTGTATTTATAGTCACTACTAATTTTTCCATTCAGCACAATAAATACGGTCATAAATTACAAAACAACCCCAAAGGATATATAAGCAATAAATAATTAATTACTAGTTTAGAAAAATATGAATGAAAATATAAATGCCGCGTAGAGACGGGAGCAGGTGATCCAAACCCGGACGTACTTGCAGAAAAAGAACACACACAAAACCCGAGTTCATAGACCCGCGACGCGTCCGAGTTCCAGACTTCCAGTTGGGGTTGTCGCCGTCGTCGTCGGGTAAGTCGTCCAATCCCTAATTCCTCTCTGATTCTGCCCAGACGCTTCAATTTCAGTTCATATGGTTCGATTTCATCTACTATTTCAGTCATTTCGCTCGTAATTTTGTCTCAATTTTGTTGTGCGTGCGGCCGTCGATTGAGAGGTCGGGTGGAGTTGTGGCGTCTGATTAGTGGTTTTTTCTTATTGGATCAGCCGTGAATGAGCGGAGCTGATTTGGATTTCGGAAGCTGAGTTGATTGTTTGATGATCCTGTTGTCTCTCAAGGCTGACTGATTGTAGGGTAAAAAAACTTTGATGTTGTTCTTAGGGTTTTGAGGTTTTAGGGATTGCGTTTGGATAGAATTTTTATTTATTTTTGGAATTTTGGTTATGAAGATAGTTTAATTGTGATATGGTATTTGATGTTTAATAGCTGGAATTCTGATTAGTTCTTTGAATGTTATTGCTTGGCAAGGGCTTGTACTGTTAATGCAGTTTTTGAGTGTTTTGGATTTCGATTTGAAAAGTATGTGGGATTGTGATAATTTGTTTGGGAAAATAGAATAAATTTTATGGGGAAATGTAAAGATTGGGTAGTAAATAAATCGAAAAAACAAATAGCTAATTTAATATAGCCTTGTATTTTTGCTTCCAATTACGCCACTTTTTGAATCCGAACATCATTGCGCTGACGGAAAATAGGCTTAGAATGGTTTCCCTTGTAGGGGAGTTTTTGAGAGATTTGGTAATGATATTTAATGGATGTATTTATGTGACAGGTGATGGGGATCTCATTGTCGAATACACTTGTAAAAAGTATCACCAGTCTTCTACAATTATCGTCGTGTGAAGGCATAACTTATGATCCAGCCTGGAAATATTATGAGAAGGTTGAAGAGATGCTTAAGTTTTTGAAGCAGATTCTGGATGCCATTGTTCACTATGAATTTTCTTCGAATGAAAGCCTTGAGAAAGAATTCAAGGGGCTCTGCCAATCAGTTGATGAATTGAGGGAAATATTTGAAAACTGGCAACCTCTAATGAGTAAAGTTTACTTTGTAAGTTTTTCGATTTTTTTTTTTTAATTTAGAAGTAGAGAAAAAGTAAACGAGATTCAATATCAGATCGGAAGGATCATTATAACTTTATTCTTTGTTCTTTAGCATTACTTACTAGATTCTTTTAGCTTTACAAAGATTGATAAATTTTGCTCGAAATTAGGTTTTACAAGTTGAATCACTTACGGAGAAGGTTCAAGCTCAAGCTTTGCAAATTATTGAGCTAATTAGCTCCTCAGATGACTGCATCCCGGCAGAAATGGACAATTCATCACTGGAGGTAATAGCTAACGAGTTATTTCCTTACCCCTTTTGTACAAAGATATGAATAGGAATTATTGTTGTTACGGTGACGGGGCTTATTGTAACATTAAATACCCTTTTGCGTAACCGTTGACTGCAGCAATGTGCAGCGAAGATTAAGCATATGGGATTGGAAGAAACATCATCTATTATTATGGAAGCTGTGAAGGACCATACAGAGGGTTCTGGAGCCAGCTCAGAGAGCTTGGCTAAGATTGCCGATAGACTGAGCTTGAAATCAAATCAGGAACTTTTGATCGAAGCTGTTGCACTTGAGAAGCTTAAAGAAAATGCCGAACAGGCTGAAAAGATTGCCGAGATCGAGTTCTTAGAACAAATGATTTCTCTAGTCACACATATGCATGATCTCCTTGTTATAATGAAGCAGTCCCAAGCCTGCAATCCCGTCCCGATTCCTCCGGATTTTTGCTGTCCTCTTTCGCTCGAGCTCATGACAGATCCTGTTATTGTGGCATCCGGGCAAACGTATGAACGGGCCTTCATAAAGGAGTGGATAGATCTTGGCTACACTGTTTGTCCGAAGACACGGCAACCTCTGGCTCACACGAATCTTATTCCAAACTACACTGTCAAGGCTCTGATTGCGAACTGGTGTGAATCGAACAATGTGAAGCTGCCCGATCCTACAAGATCTACCAACTCAAATCAGCCTTCGTCTCTACTTGCCAATGCCGAGTCTGTTGGAATTCGAAGGGTTAATAGTTCCGGAACACCAGAACGGTCTTTAGGCTCCCCATTAAGAAGCTCAATTCCATCTGTGGCAGCACAGAGGCAGAGAACATCTCCGTCCCATCCTCGTTCATTGTCGGAAGAATCTTTGACACAGGCTGCCATGAACGGAAATGTTATGGACACAGAAAGGGTGTCACCGAGAAGTTCTGAAGACAGGTCGGATCACTCAGGAGAGAGAAATTTGAGACTCAGTGGTTCACTCTTGACTTCCCCATCCCGAAACGGTGTTGTCGGTTCTGATGAACGGTTATCACAAAGCCACAACCGAACCAATTCTGCCTCCAGCACTCATTCGAATCTGTCGCAAGGAACAGCAGCAGACAGCCATGAACGGGCATCTCAAGCCGATCCCTATGTCAGCGATGCCTCGGGGGAGCTTGCCCCTGAGCCGCAACCCCCTGCCAATCCCGGCGTCACACATAGAGAGCCTGATTTCCCGTATAGGCTCGATCCAAGAGCTCGGGGAAATTCATTTTGGCGGAGGTCGTCGGGATTTGCTCCAAGAATAGTTTCTTCTCCTACTGTCGAAATGAGGGCTGAGCTTCTAGAAGTTGAAAGCCAAGTTAAACAGCTGGTCGAGGACCTTAAGAGCAATTCGTTCGAAGTGCAGAGAAAGGCTGCATATGAAATCAGGCTGCTAGCGAAGCATAACATGGACAACCGCATAATAATTGCGAATTGTGGGGCTGTTAGCCTGTTGGTTAATCTTCTCCGCTCGACAGATCCGATAGTACAGGAGAATTCCGTTACTGGACTTCTCAACCTATCGATCAACGACAACAACAAAAACGCCATTGCGAATGCCGAGGCTATCGATCCTTTGATTCATGTGCTCGAGACGGGAAGCCCTGAAGCACGGGAGAATGCTGCAGCTACTCTATTCAGTCTTTCGGTGATCGAAGAGAATAAAATCAAGATCGGCAGGTCGGGCGCAATTAAGCCTTTGGTCGATTTATTGGGGAACGGAACTCCTAGAGGCAAAAAAGACGCTGCTACGGCTTTATTCAATCTGTCAATTAATCACGAGAATAAGGCACGGATTGTGCAGGCAGGTGCTGTGAAGCACCTGGTTGAGTTAATGGACCCTGCTTTTGGTATGGTCGACAAGGCAGTTGCCGTATTATCGAATCTTTCCACTATTCATGAGGGCCGTGTGGCGATTGGACAAGAAGGAGGAATCCCTGTCCTGGTTGAGGTTGTGGAACTCGGGTCGGGAAGGGGTAAGGAGAACGCTGCGGCTGCCCTTCTGCAGCTGTGTACTAATAGCAATCGATATTGCCATATAGTCCTTCAGGAAGGTGCAGTTCCTCCTCTAGTGGCATTGTCCCAGTCAGGCACCCCAAGAGCCCGAGAAAAGGTAAATTTTCTTTAGATTTATTCTTTAAGCAATCTGAGCCTGTGGTTTGTGTTTTTATTTAAAATTTTGATATGGCTTGTTTGTGAGATGAAATAGAATCTTATGGGCTAACTAGTAGAAAAAATGGCTTCGAATCAAAGCCAAACAAACCCTATGCTGTTTTTTTTTTTTTTTTTTGAATAGTAGAGAATAGTGAAATTATTTGAAATATTCCCTCCGTCCCACTTATCGTATCCACTTTTTCATTTCCGCTTGTCACTTTTCTTTTTTGGAAAAGAATTATACACTTGAATCTCATTTTAAATTTCTAAATTTGTAATTTTTTTAATTTTAATTAGACTAATTATTTATTTTAATCTAAAATTATTTTTATTATACAATAATTATTTTTACTAATACATTTTTAATTATTTACTAATTATATTCTTCTTAAATTCCCGTGTTTACAGTAAAGGGACACGATAGCCGGGACGGAGGGAGTATATAATATACTACGTCCATCCCACCTGAATTGTTTCTAAAAGAATTTTGTAGTAGAGTAAGGAAATTAAGTACTTATATTGGTGAGTGAGTTTATACAAGATGAAAAAGTCTAAAATACCCTTGGATTTAGTGGGGTAGAGTGTGAAGCGTGGATGAAATTTGGGTAAATAGAGGTAAGAGTGAGGATGAATTGATAGTTGGGTGGAGACTTATAGGGTGTGTCATGGGAGAATTTGTTTTTTTATGGTAAGTATGGAGAATTTTGTTAATAATATAAAAGTAATATTTTGTTGAATTATTGACTTTTTATGAGTTGATAAACTGTATATTTTATATATATTGTGTTAATGTAAGTATATAATATATTTTTTCTTGATAGTAATGTTTATGGGGGAATTGTGCCGTTGAAAAAACACAAAGCGATCAAATTGTATATAAACTATGGATGGAAAAGAGCTATTTAAGTGATATAATTTTGAATAGAAAGTGAGGCTATTTAGGTGCGACGGAGGTAACAAATGATTTGATAGAAAGTACTTTTTAACGATTAAAATGCTGTGCTTCCATAAGTTGGATGATTAGTTTTGTGATGTTGGGGTATTTGGTTAAAGGGCATGACTAAGTATAAATATGAATTTAAATAGACGGCAATGAATGCTTAATAGTATTATCTGGATTGTTGAAATTTCTATGTACATGCAAGAAAGTGAATTATATTCGGTAGATTATCTGTTTCAAAAATGTGTTTGTTACCAAACACGACGTGCATTATTCTCCATTGCACATCATTTGTTCGTCGTAGTAAATATGGATCTACTGATCTTGCAGGCTCAGCAATTGCTTGGATACTTCAGAAACCAACGCCACGGAAATAATGGTAGGGGTTGATATGTGTTTCTTGCTTGCTTGCTTTCTTTCTTTCAACTTTTATTTATGTCTTCGTATACTGAGTTATTTGTTGAGCTCTACTTTCTTTGTTCCTCGTGTGTAAATTATGTGTTGTGCCAATATTTGGTTTTTATATAATTTGCTTCTTCATCAGTTTCACCGCTCAACTGTTTTTATTTAATCTCCAGTTTTTGGCTTTTTGATTTGTTCCATATATTGGAAGAACAGCTTGGAATTATTGCCCATTTGTATGCCAAAAAAACAAGAGAAAAAAACAGGACATTGTAAGCTTTTCTCCAGTGGAAAGCCACTGTAAATTTGATTCTGGATTTCTTTTTTATTTTTTTTGTGTGATTATGTTATGTTAATTGTTGGTGGCGAATAATATACAGTACAACCGCACAGCACATGTTAGATTTGATTCTAGCACAATATAGTACTGTTAATATAGGAAAATTACAAATAATATATTGCACATGTTACTTTTAATTTTGGTATACATCACTTGTTAATACAATATAATATATAATATCAAATCACAGCACATTGTAATAGTATATACAATACATGCTCATAATGGTATGTACAAGTAACACAATACTTGTTAGTTTAATGTCAATATTGTGTATATCGATTATAATGTGTATTTTAGCTGCAATTAACGTTCTTTCAGAAAATTTTACTAATTTTTTACTATTTATTATTTTTATTTTCAAAAACATTAAATTATATATATATATTTTCATATAAATTAAAAATTAATTTTATATTCAAATATCAAGTTAATACATATTTATCACATTATATAATTATTTTAATTCAATTTTTTTTTACTATTCAAATCTAAAATCTAAATCCAAACAAAAGTAACTTAATAAACCCTACCAAATGCCTTTTTGTAATCGGAGTAGTGGTGCTGAAAATTTTCATTCAGCACTTAGCACTTGATCAATATGCTTGGTAATTTTTTAACTTTTCGTGTCTGAAATAATTGCAGTCGAAATGTAATGACAGTGAGAATCGTGATGATAATTTTGTGTCAACTGTGAAATCCCTTGTGTATTTTTATGTAATGTTACATAAAAATACTATTTGATCCTATCGACCCCATATTTGAGTCCAATAAATGGATATTTAATATTTATTCTCTGACAACAATGAACTACTTTATCCAGTTGTTCGTTTGGGTGGGAAGTTAGTTGGCCTGCTCCAATAACTGTCATTAGTCATTGGAAGCATTAACTAAAAATTTCACAAATTATTGTCCTCCACTCCACGAGTATAATAGTATTATTGTTATGCTGATGGAGGGGAGGGAGGACTATCATGTATTTGTCTCATTTTTATTTTCCTTTTTAGAGCTTCTATTTGTATGTGTACGTGTAGTGTAAGTTTTCTTTTGTGCATCATTGATGATTTTTCAACTCTTTCTCGAGAGACTTACTCTAGTCTAGGGAGTTTCTTTGACCAGAGTGATTTGGTGAAGAATTTTTGAATGACCAGAGTGACCGAACCCTTGCATTTGCCAGATTGATAAGATTTTGGGTCAAGTTTCCATCTTCTAGATGACATTCTAAATATGTTCATGAATGGTCTTTTGGTAGATTTGGTAAACTTACTCCTCCTCTTTAATATTATTTATAAGAAAGTTCTACTTCCAAGTAATGCTGACATGAGATTTTTCAAAGGCTGATAATTGTCAACAATTCAACTTTGTTGGCTCGGGCCAATGTTTGACGAGTCCAATTCTCATTTAGATTCAAGGTTTGATTTGGGCTTGGGAACCCTAAACCCTAAAACCCAATTCATATCCTTAATATGCTCTATTATATTTATTTATTATTATTACTCAAATAAAATTTCATAACTACTCTACAACTGTATACTAGGTAAAATCTTCGATAGGAATAATAGTGAGTAAGGTATCGGTCGAATATAGCTTGATCCGAAATCCTATCCTAATGTATATTATTGAATAAATAGGGTATTGTGGACATAAATATACTCAAACCTAAATGTATTTGGATCCTACCCGCAATGTATTTGCCTAAAGCGCCAGATCCGACCAAATTTTAAAAAATATATATAACAAATATAAGTCTTCCGATATACCACGCCAACCTATAACAAATATAAATTTGCAAGAAGTCCTGAAAGATGTTGGACTTATGACCGTGAGAGATGAACAGGCAAATGAATGAGCCATCGCCTAACCAAAATTCTGTTGGGCTGACTCAATGGGGTTGGGTTGAGTGGACTTAGTTCACAAATATATATTGTTCTCACTAAACATCACATTAATTAATTAATTAATTAATTATTATTATTTTCAAATTATTTTATGAAACTTGAGTACACATTTTTTGAAGTACCCCCAACGCAAAAACGTAATGAAGAATGTTGATCTATCATCTATAAGCATAACCTAACCCTAAAATATAAATATACACAACCTAAGGTGCAAAAAACATAAAAGAAAATTTGAAAAGAGCAAATTGCAAAGAATATTATAACAACAAATGCACGTTTCACACAGAAAGCGAAAGCATAAACATAAATGCATATATATATAATCTAACCTCAAACCAGATATATAAAAGCTATTAAGCTTAAGTGTTGCATGCCTGTTTATATACTAACACGAATTTCACCATTTAAACACCACAAACACAGGCAGTATAAACACACACACACATATATATATATATATATCCAAGTAAACACCAATTACCAGGACATAAAACTCTACTCACGATAAACTACAAAAGGAATTTTTATGACTACGGATAAGTAATTACCTCGATGGGCGCCTCCGAGCATCAGACATCACCGAAGTAAAGTTGGCCGGGTTTCAGGATCCCATAGTCCCGCGGCAAGAGCAATCAGTGCCCCGAAAATGAGAATCACAATTACTGCAGCCCGTAATTTTTGGTCCCAATAATTGTCTGTCATGCCGTAGTATTGTTGATAAGTTTCCGGCCCCAATGGGAAACCGTCGCGACTGGCAATGTCTGAACCAGGGTCCTGAGTACTGGTTTGTTTTTGCAAGATTGGGTCCTGAATACCTGTGATGATAAGTTTAGTGCACCCTGTGCAAGTGCATTGCCCGCCGAGATATGACGGGACTGCTTGAAAAAACTCCGACAGAAACTTTTTGTATGTCACGCCTTCGATCCTCAGTTTTCGCTTGGTGGTTGGTTTGAGAACCTGCGTTAATGAAAACACAGGTTATATATATGTATGTATGTGTATGTGTGTGTGTGTGTGTGTGTGTGTGGGATGCTTACTTGTATAAATGTTTGGGCAATAACACGGACGACTGAGGGAAGCCGTATGATAATCAAACAGCCCAAAACATTAGGAAAGTGATCTTGGAAAATATTACAGCAGTATCGCAGCGATTGCATTGGAAATCTCAAGGGGGACACGCCATGGCAATCCACCAAAACTGTAATTTGAGGATTTTCGCCACTCACCAAATGAAGAACACCGTATTCCACCTGAGATACTTCACTTATAAATGCTCGTTAGTTGAGAATCCCATTTTAGGTTTAGCATCTATGTTGATGATCTCAACAACCAAAAGAGCTAAACTTGAGCAAAGAAACGGCATGTTGTCTCAAGTATTTATGAAACATACATCTTTGATACCCACCAGCCGAGACCAAATACAAATTGAAAGAGGTAAAAGTTTATATATGAAACTATGCTATTAGATTTAAGTTATACCACTAAATTACATAGTTTAATATGAAAGAGGGTCAGTAGCCACACAGTAATGCCAGATGGGTTCAAAGTGAATCAAGAACTCGAGCTAAGTGCCAAGTAACATATCTAAGTTGTTTTGATTTTCCATTTCCTGAGAAAAAAAAAGGACAAGATGCACACTGGTGCAGACACTACATCATATCACATGTAAAATCGCTAACACTGAAGACACTTCTGAAAAATCATATATAAGAAATTGAAAATATATCATGGAATAATCAGAGGAGTTGAGCTTACCAATTGCCTGAACAAACTGTGGCCTATTACAAGATGGCAGGCGGCAACCCATGCCAAGACGGATAATGAGACAGGGTCGATGCTTCACATCCAACCCATGCCAGAAGACCACATTCGACCAAATTTCAAGTTCTTCTTCAGAGAGAATTCGGTATGTCTCCCTCCAGCTGATTGTTTTTTTCACAGATGATAGAAAATTAGACATATCACCATTGGCAGCTCCATAGAATCTCTGAAGTTCCTCTCTGTTAAGTCTGTACAATATTAATTCCGTCATACTCCATGAAAGAAGGGGCACCAAAAAATACACCTATGCATACACTTCAGTTGGAAAGAAAGCAGATGTTTGTGATATTGGAAAACCTATTCATATGGATGATCAAACTGAGCAAAAAGGTTAAGTCCCTAACAATTGACAAGGTGGGATAGATTACTAGGGAATTAGTTCGAAGAAATGCCGAAAATGACATAATGCACAAGCGGAGCAGCAATAATGACCCACATTGAATTTAATAAATGTCTCTCTAATTTTTACATCATTATATATATATATATCTTATAATACAAGTGCAAAATATTTACCTTTCTGGCAACGAGATCCCCTGAATTTCCAGTTCTTTATGAAGCTGGTCCAACCAGTCAATTGACAAAAGGCCTTCTGGATGATCATTCCTGTACAGTGAAAGAAAAAAATGATAGAGAAGAAATATTAGAAGAGGATGAAAATTAGAGATTTCCAATGTTCTGAAAATTCTAAAATGCAATTCAAATAAGCATGGTTTAGTCTTTCTTTCTGAAAATGACTGGAAAATAAATAAAGTTCAACTCTGCATACACAGTGCTCGGATTAGGATGGAGAATTAGGGAACTCGAGGGAGATAAGGAGCCCAATTGCGGTTCATCATCACTTGGTGAATTTTCAGTATGATTCGAGGGCAATTTGCTGCAGTCTGAATGATCAGATAAAGCATCCACAACGGAGAGAACCAATAATGGGCGAGATATCAACTGAAAACGAAATTCTTCAAAATGTAAGCCAAGAAAAGACAGAAATGTTCAACCTGCACTAAAATGAAATGAACAACAAAAGGGAGCAACAGACATGTTTGCTGATATTTAAAATATTCATAGAAGAAAGAAATTAACAAATATCTGACGTTAAATAAAAAAAACTTCCAACTACTCTCTAATATGTGATTCCAGATAAAAAGAGATTGTGGGCAGTGGGCACAAGAAACAAGGAACACCAAATCTTATAGCTGGTGGAAACTGAACAGCCTCATTCATTATAGACAGGCTTTCCAAAACAAAAGAAGCAACACTGACATGCAACAAAGTATTAGAAAAGTTTTGAAACTATCCAGGTAATTATATTGGATGGGAAAATGCCTGGAAAGAAGGAATGAAACAAATTGGATAGAATTGAGAATAAAATAAGTATTTAAAGCATCTACAATAGACATGTGATTCTAAAGAAACTCTCGTCTCAAACAGGAGAAACAAGAGCTAATTGTTTTAATTGTGCTACTATGCACTCAAGAGGGTTTCTGCATACCCCCCACACAATATGCATATATGTATAAAAACAAAATACAAAAGTTGAACACCAAGCCCATGAATAGCATGTCAAGTTCAATTGTGCAAAATGAATCGAATCTTGAATTGAATAACTACCTGCATTCTTTTAATCAAGAATCCAAATGGTTTCCAGCACTGAAGCCAATTGAGTGGTGGATAACAAAGTACTTGCAAACCTTGCAACCCACTCCAGAGCAAGGGACATTTTGATCGTGAGAATCTTCTAATGCTCTCCAATGCTATAGTTTTAATAAGAAATGATGCCACCTGGCTGCCAGCACCTTTACCAATTTCCCACTTATGTGATGTTGTTGGTCTTAAAGGTTGAGACCGGTTCACAAAAGATTTAAGGCCAGATGAACTTGAAAGGCTTTTAGGTACATTTTTTTTGTTGGCAGAACTGGCCATGTGACCACCTTAAGAGCCAAATGTTGGCCACTAAAAGCTTTATAAGGCAAGCTGAACTAATTCGAGGATCAAGCAAGATTAAAAATAGAAATCATAAGAAAGAGTAAGCAATCATATCTCTTCAGTTAATGGCAGTAGTTAAATGATTAGGGAAAGTTCGACGGATTCAAGTTCAGAAAACCAAGATGGAGCTTCTCAATTTCTGTGAAGGAACAGGAACCTGTTGCCAGAATCATCTTAAAATAAGAAAAAGATATTCTCTGAACCTGCAAGAATATGCAGATTCAATATAAGTAGTTTTCATATGTGACAGATAATGCATTTTCATCTCAGACAAACAATATACCATTGAAAGAATGTTTCAAACTAAATAAATTTGGATTTTCAGCATTGGAAGGCAGGGGTGTTTGCGGCATCAAGAACCAAGTATAAATCATAAAGATTCATTCATATAAAACCTAACAAGTATTCCATTTTAATGAATTGGTAATAGCTACAAGGTGAACAGGTGATATTTAGTTTCTGGACAAAGAAAATGAAATCACAAAAGTGATAAAATACTTAACCGAGAGTCTAGGCTCTTTTGGGTGAAACATGCTGTCTCCATTACACTGAATAAGCAAAAATTTTATATTCATTAAATCTCGTATAGTTAAATCTACCAGAAGAACTAGCTAGCATGAATGCAAACATTAAATAAACATAATCAAAATCTAATAACCTGCAAACATATTAAACATCAAAGTTTAAAAGCTATTGTGCACTCTTTCCAGTAATTTCAAGGTATGATAATATGCAAACTACTGACTATAAATAAATCTGAAAATTGCAAATATTACAACAAGAAGAAAAATGCAGAAATTATCACAAAGAAATCAAATAAGCGTAACAGTGAAATGATAACCTAGCTCATTTTTAGAATATTTAGCTGATTTTCATGGATTGATCCTCCATTTGAACATCACCTTCTGTGAACCATAGTATCTGCATCTCATCATTATGACATCCTTTGGAATCAATTAACTCAATATTGCATATTCCCTCACAAACTAATTCAATCAATGATCAGGAAATAATATCTATTTTAACTATCTCTTTAACACCATGAAAGTTAAAAACAACAATTGAACACAACCCGATCCAAAACAAACAGCACGAACAATTCACGAAAGAAAAAGAATAACACAAACAATCACGCAGTCTCAGCAACCAATAAATAAATAAATAAAATGAAATTATTTGTATTCTGTACAATTCATCGATCCAACAGTTCCATAATTTCCAGTAACTCTTCTAAAACATCCACCAGTCACAATCAATCAATCACATAAAGCATCAATCAGAAAAAGCAAAACCACTCGAATCACAAAAAACACAACCTCTGAAAACAATAAAATTCGAGAAGAAGAAAGAAAACTTACTTCGTCGGTGTTCCTGAAAGCAAAATCGAGAAAAATGGCAGAGAAATGCGCTTTCGGTAAGAAGAAATGAGACTGTGAAGCCTTTGGGGCCCTTCCTTCCTTCCGGTTTGGTAGCGTAGCTTACATTTTGGAATATGCTGCCCCAATAGTAATAAAGAGAGAGTTTAAAATAGGTGACACGTGATACCGACCACGCGGTGCTCAATATATGCACTTAGGCTCACACGTGCCCCAATTACATCGTAAAGCAATGCTCACACGCGCCAATACTTTAGGTTGATTTGATTGTCCTTTTTTTTTTTTTTTTTTTTTTTTTTTAATTATTAAAATTGTGTCCAATTGGATTTTTTAAACTGATGAAATAATTAATTATAATCCAATATATTTATTATTAAATTCGTAAATCAAATTATTGATCCAAATTCGCATCCGTCCAATTAACCTCAAATTATATATATATATATGTTTAAGTAAAATCACTTTTTACATAATTATCATAAAATAACAAAAAAAAAACACTTCGCATTAAAACTTCTATCCAAAATGAACATATATTTTTTTTAAAAATACATAGTATTATTTAATTCAGAGTGTGCCATTTTTGTCAAATTATCCTATTCATATTCCGAAAAAAAATTAATATAGTATTACGTTTATTATTTATATATTACCTACAATCATTTTATACAAAGTACAAAAATTTTTTTTGTACCAAAACTCTCGTACCAAACACAAAACAAACCAACTCTAATAAACTTTTATATTAACTTTTCTTACATTATAGTATCATAAAAAATACTGTTCTCTCCATCCAAATTGCAAGTATACAAACGTCCTATTACAAAGTAAAGTAAATATTTCATCGTATCGTTACTTTTTACACAAAAAAAAATATCATTATACTATTTTTAACTATTTACTATAATTAAAATAATATTATTTTTTAAATCAAAAGTAAACATTTACTTTGTGCATGATAGTATTATTTAAATAAAATTCAAATAAAAAAAATTTAAGTAGAAACCTACCATGCCCATGATTTAAAAAAAATAAAAAAACCCAAAAACCATACAATTATGTTCTAAAAACCCCACAAACAACCCACCAAAGCCAAAACTCTTCACAATAAAATTTAGGGAAACTTGGATTAAAATCCCTCTCAGACAAATATAAAATTCAGTCCTATTAGAAATTAGTTACTCTGCAGTCCCTACTTTATGAATTAGGTTTGTTCTGCAGTCCCTACTTTATGAATTAGGTTTGTTCTGCAGTCCATACTTTATGAATTAGGTTTGTTATAGCTCCCCAATGTGTATTTTTCCCTCAATCACCATTATATACGCAACATGTATTCGAAATAGGTTGATCAATATTTCAAATTTTGTAATATATACCTATATTACTTCCCACTCTACCTCTATTGTAACCTTATATACTTTTAGTTAAAAATCGCATACATTTTCTTTTTGTGAATTAAAAAAAAAAAAACAATTAATTCACGATTTAATAAGGGTAAAGGCAAGAAACCTCTCATAACTCCCCTCACACCGATTTTAAACCCTTTTTCTTCAATCTCTAGGCAAACCGATGCTCTCGAACCTCCGGCAATTAAGTAACAACCGATTCGGTGCAAAAATGTGAAGAAAACAGTTGACCGCTCCCATCCCCCAAGACAAGCTCGAAGAAGTAAGATCTGTAGAGAAGTTTTGATTTGTTGACCTTGATATTATACCTTAGTTTGTTCGATTATTTGAGGTGTAAGTCTTGGTCCTGTGTTTGTATGCATTGGTTTGGTGTTGAGAAGCCCTAAGTGATCGATGTAGTTTTATTTGTTAATCGGATTTGAAATCGTTCATATATTTGCCCAGATACACCGAGTTGAGTGTTTTATTTTGGCACCAATTTTGGATTATTTTATTTATTTAATTTGTGATTTTGTTAATTTTGTAGATGTACATTTTCTTTAGTTACCCGAAAGTTGCATATTTTAGTTTTTTTTTATTGTTCGAGTAATGTGAACTGGTGGTATTTATTTACAAATCGGGGAAAGAATACAAATAGGTTATCATCTGATTTGCAGTACTATGTTTTCATAACGAGGTGGAGAAAATGAAGAAATGCATATTGGATGAACATATTAGAGCCATCAAAATGACTCAATTCGGCCATTTTCTGGACTGCCCAAAGATAAGGTTGTAGTGGCACCGCCTGCTTGCCTTGATTAATAACTTTAGCCCGGAGCCCACGTCATTCAACATCGGAGCTGACATTATGGAAACAACATGATATTATTTTTACCATTTGTTCCCACATGTTAGCATCACCAGATAACTTATTCCATTACCAACATGCTTGCAGAATACATATATATATATATATGTAATATTAATGTATATGACTTTATAATAGCAATGTAGTTGTGTGGGATGTGAAAATTTGGTGTTTAGTTGTGCTATATAGGTAATGGTTGTACTTAGCAAAAACAACGGGTTTTAATCAGCTATTAGAATTCCAAATGATTACCCAATAATAGAATTCAAATACCATAGAAATAACATGATATTATATTTATCATTCGTTCTTACAGAGTTGCATCATCAAATACCTCAGTACATTATTAATATACATGTAAAATATATTTACAAACCTCTACTATTTCATTATATACTTGTGTAATAGAGTTACATACCACTTACTACAATCAAATATACCAGCAGATCCAACCGGTTATATCCTATTGATGCATAAAGTAATTATATTACACCCATTGAATAACGTTACATGTTTTTTAATCACGCTATTGAAAAATATGGCATAAGTTGTTGAATGTAAATGTATTATGCCCAAACCTTTCCACCAAGTATAAATGCCCTGATAACTTGTGTTTCAGAAACCGACCGTTCTTTGTTTGAAACATTCAATTATTGTCGGTAATCAGGGATGAATGTATCATTATAGTATTCCCGTGAATCCCAGAAATCTACGTAATGAATAAACAATACATATTTACCGTAGATGATTGAACAAGTCATAAAGGACTTAGTTAAACTATGTTGGTTGTTACTTGTACATGCTTTATTGTCTTGCCATTGAAAAGTGTGGGCATGTGCTGTCGAATGTAAACGTACTATGCCCAAATTTTTCCATCGGGGTTGGGAGAAGAAGTACTCACACCGAGTTCGTGAATTGGCCCTTCCATAAGAGGATCAACTGCAATCAAACACATTCATGGATACTTGCTACTACACAGATAATACCTAAGCAACCATTATTTATACCTTAAATGTCGGTGTTTGTATCAAGAGCACATACTAACATACTTGCATCAAATACCGATATGCCCTAGCGCAGATCTTACTTACCGATAAAGTTGGTATCACATGCTTCAATATCGGGTATATATACCCTGGTAACTTGTGCTTAGGTAACCAACCATTTTCGGTTCAAAATATTCACTTATTGTCGGTAATCAGGGATGAATTCATTGTAATAGTATTTCCATAACACTTTGAATTATATAAAGAGATAAACAACATATTTACTATAGATGACTAAACAAGTAAAAAATGACTTAATTATATTGTATAATGTAGAATTATACTCTAACATTCACTTGTAGATGGCTAAACAAGTTATAAATGACTAAGTTAAATTATATTAGTTGTTAGAATACATAATTTCTGTCACGAATTGAAAATCTTTAGACTCATTACATAGTAATCTACATCGTAGCACACACAACAATATTCAAGTGAACACGCTAGTCGTAATCTACTATTAGGATTTCAAGTGTTTTTTGCGTAATAGGACAAACACATCTTGTCTAAAATATTTTGACCCATGACATAATAATCAAAACTACTGCACACTTATAAACTCAATATCAATTAGCCAGAAACATTTCAAAGAAGTATAACTTGGTTGAGCTGGTAAGTACTTCAGCATGGCTCCGATGTATCCCCTATTGATTTTAATGTACTAATTCTTATCAAATTATGTACCCGGGCTCTGCTTTCATGTAAATAAAAAATATAACATTATGACATAGGTGGGTAATTGTGTACCTGCATACTTTAAATGAATGCCCGAAGTGTATGAAACGGTAATCAACACATATTTATTATAGATTGTTAAACAAGTAATGAGTGACTAGGGTAAGTTATGTTGATTGTTACTCATATACCACTGTTCCCATGGATTGATTGGTTATTTAGACCTATTACCCAGTAATACACACCGTAGCACACAAAACAATCTTTGGTCTACAAAGGTAGAGAGATGAAGTACTCCCACCGAGTTCGCGCATTGGACCCTCTGCATGGGATTGACTAAAATAAACTACATTTGAAGATACCTGGTACTACAAATCTAATGCCTATGAAATCATTATTTATATCTCTTATATTGAGGTTTATACTCGGCTCACATGGTTACATACCAGAATCATAAATGTAGATACCCTATATAAGACATTACGTACCTACAATAACAATCAAATATACTTCAGTTACGACTACATATGCTTTGGTAACCTATAGCGGGAGAACATGCATTTTTGCTTAAAATATTCACTAAATGGCAGTAACCATAAATGAATTCAACCATGGTAGTATTTCTCGTAACACCCCAAAGTGTATGGAAAGATAAACAATACATATTTACTATTAATGGTTAAACAAATCATAAATAATTAGTTAATTTATATGATAATATTCCAACGTTCACTTGTAAATGACTAAACAAGTCATGAGTAAGTAAATTAAATTATGTTGGTTGTTAGTATAAATGACTGATGTCATAAATTGAAATTCATTAGACTTATTACGATTAATTCACATTGTTTCATATACAACAACATTTGGTGAGGAGCATACTTGCATAGCGCATGACTCAACTAGATAGGCAAATGCTCCAAGCGGGTCTGCCATACCCCCAAACTCGCATGGTGTACAAAATCCTAGTAATTGTGTACTTTCTGTAGTCTAACGTGTAACTGAACAACGTAATCTTATGGCAAGGTTTTCGAGTTGTGTACCTTCATGGCTCCATTTAATGCATGTAAGGATTTAGCATATAACCTTCATAGATTCCGAAACAGATTAAGACTTAATCCTCATTTGTATGTTTCTAACGAATGTGACATGATCAACACAGTATGTTCGTGTACTTTATGTCACTGCGATTATTAATTATCAAGACCACATTGATATTGTTGGGACAGTAATACGCTACCACCAGATGTGCTTCGATAGATCAACTAAATACTCCCCCAGATAATTCGTGTGTCTCTATTCATTTATTTGAAACCTGTGTCATTGAATTATCGTACATAAAGGAGAACTGTCACATACCCGTTGTTCATGTCCATATACCATCAGAATATCCAAATTACAACAACAGTTCTACGCAATTTGAATTTTGCTATTGTATATTTACCTTCCACATTACATTTTTATCAATTATGCCAAATGTAATTACACACCAAAAAGGACGTTTAGAACAAAAACAAAAATTACACTTCAAAAGGCCTACAGTACCGCAGCTTTACAATTTCTTTTGTTGTGCCCTAGACAACCACAACGTCCACATTTTCGTGACTATTTTATTTGCTGCGAGTCATAGCATCATTTCTTCGATTCACATTACAATACGTCTTCTCCTTGGAAACAAAATCATGAATAACTCTGTCGAGCTACATCTCGATGTCTTCTCAACATTCTGCCAACTCATCGCCTTTCAAACCCTCTGCGCCTGACCGTGTCTCTCCACCGCTGCATAAACATTAGGAAGATAACACATACGTCTCATTATTCCGTTCCAATGTCACAACACCCGCTCCGCCACCACCTCCCTGTCGCCACAACACCCGCTCATCAATGCCCTCAAACTCGCCGCCTCCTCCGACTTCAATGGCGTCCTTTGAATCAATTTTTTTCCCTATCCGACAAGCCCCACCCGGCTTAAAAAAATTGACAATGCATTCAAAATGCTCGATCCTGGGCACGACGCCATACACATCTCGCAAAGCTCACCTAATCCAATCCTTTAATCGCCAAATCCAAATATACACATGCCACGAGAGAAAAAGTAAACGTCACCCGATCGAGATGAATTCCCGAGTCCTCCATCCTCGAAAACAAATTGACATCCTTTTTTTCCTGCAACATTTGTTGCAAGCCTGGAGATCATAGCGTTCTGTGTTATTATATCTCGTTCAGGCATTTCGTCGAACATCTTCTTAGCAGAACAAATGCAGCCATATTTCGAGTATATATTGATCAACATATTGCCCAATTTAATATTCGATCGAATCTCCAATTTCTCAAAAAATTATGAACCCAAACACAATCCCAACAATCTGTGTCTTAGTTTTGAAAAAAAAAAAAACTGAAAAAAAAGGTTAAGAATTGCGTTGAGTCTCATCTTATTTCAAAATTTGAGGATTTTTTGATTTCCTGATTCTAACTCTATATCGGAAAAATCCATCATTACAACTATAAGGTTGTGCTTACTTGGGTTCCGATGACATCGCTCAATTTTGACTTCCCGGCGGCTAGCCTCCATGGAAAAAAGAAGCGTATGCAAGATTTAAGTGGCTGCCGGTTTTGATTGATACCATAGTAAACTATCAAAAAATCAAGCGAGAGAAATCGAATAATCGTGTGAGGATAATTAGGCGGAGGAAGAAGGGGATGAAGGTAAAAAAAAAAAAGAAACAAAGAATTAAAACAAATATTATATGTAAAATAGGGATTGCAGTTCAAACAAATTTACGTAGGAACTGAATCTAAAGTTCATTATGCATTTAGGAACTTTTATCCAATTATCCGTAAAATTTACCAAAAAATAAAAATAAAATTCACAAAGTATCACATACATACTACCATATATATATAGAGATATAAAACTTAACCTTCGACACCATGCAAGAATCAAAAGAACACTCCCAACGAGGCTAAATGTAATCATACAACAACAACAAATCTCAAATCAAGAATTCCCTAATCTACACCCTTTTTATTTACAATCCCCAATTCAATCAAAAATCAATATAAAGTCCCCCCACACCCACCCACCCACCCTTTTTTTTTTCTCAAAAATAAAAATAAATAATTATCAAATTTTTACCTTCTCCCGCTACTCGTGGCGGAGATACGGCGGCGGCGAGCTCACGTCGGTGGTGCTATAAAACGAGTCCTCTGTGGGCGCGATATAATTCTCCTCCTTCTCATCGTCCCATCTCACCACCTCCCGAATGTATCGGAACGCCTCGTCGACGGTGGGCCGGTCGCGCGCCCGGGTCTGCCACACGAACAATTTCTGGCCGGTGAGCGAGGCATAGACATCCTTAAACTTCATGGCGACGTAGAAGTAGGCCTGCTGGGCGAGGGATTGGTTGTTGTTGTGGGGCCGGACGGGGCTGAAGTCGGAGAACCAGTCGCACGCGCCTAGCGGGGCCCGGGCGATCTTTTCTTCGAAGAGGTCGTACTTGTTTAGGATTAGGACAAACAGCGTGTCCTTGAAACACGCCTGTCTGATCACGGCCTCGAAGAGTTCCTTGTTTTGGATCATCTTGTTCTTGACCGTTGAATCGGTTGCGGGAGATGACGAGGAGGTGTCGGGAGATGCCGCCGCCCACACCTGGTCGTAGTCGCTTAGTGCGACGCAGAAAACTACCACTCGGACATCCTCGAACATTTCTACCCACTTGCAGCCTTCGGACATTCCCTTCGCGTTGATGCGGATCAGTTGGTACCTGTAATAACACGGGAGATCGAGATCAAGATCTTTAGTCTCTAGTTAAATTTAGAATAAACTACAAATTAGCTCCAGCAGAATGTGTAAAAGAAATAAAGTTACTCCAAAGTATCCCTTTTACCATTTTCGGCAGTCTCACTCCAAAGTATCCATTTCGTAATCATACATCAATACCAAAATACCCTTAACTTTTACCTAAATTACAAACACGTACAATTACTTTTTACATAAAGGGCCAAAATGTCAAAATCTCTAACATATTTTCACTAACTAATACAATACTATTGTTTCTTAATTAATCTATTACAAAATCCCAAAGAGTCCCTTTGGACCGGGACGGAGGGCATAAATTTTCCTTTTTCTATATTACAGTAAATTTATATTCAAAACACCTCATCTATCACCTATTTATATTACATAAAAAACTATTCCAATTCTATTAAAAAAAAAAAAAAAACACTATAGATTTTTTCTCAAAAAATGCAAACAAAACAAACCATAGGTGCTTAATTTAATCGAAAATTTCTAAATAATCTTTATATAGGTAATTTGTAAGTTACAATGTACAAATATAAATATAGAACCGTATGCAAAATTTTATTGCATAAAAAACTCTCATATTAGTCCAAATAATGCATAAAATTCCCCTACTTGTGCACAAAATAATACCGAAACATGAATTTTTGTGATTTTTCGATTAACACGAGCACTTACTCAACAAATTTACACAAAATATTTTTATATATTCATATATATATATAAACACATTTAATACATATGCATTTTATTTAAACATTTTTACGTCCAAATTGGCGAGACTAAGGTTACTATGTTAGGACAAGAAGTTAAAAACATTACTTGGTGAGCGGAGGCGGCGCAGATTCGAGATTTTCGCCGTAGGTTTCAGACATAGGGCTACGATCTTCCATGGCGAACTCCATAAAAGCCAAGCCGTTTCCTTGTGTGACCCCTTCAGCGTACAGTATATCGCGGTCTGAGGGCTCATACTCGTTGCTTGATATTTCAACGGCCTGACAGGCAAAATATGAATAGATCATACATAGTCCCGAAGCAAATAATATGGGATTTAGTCACACAAGAATAGAGATCGGAACTACATAGAATTGCTTATATAGATGCACAATGTGGATGCCTTAATGTATACAATTACCCAAAAATATTACTAAAAAGATACAATGTATGTATGCATTGTATACATACAATAATAAAAGTCAACAAAACACCCAAAACATCATTTCCCGTAATACTTTCACAATTCTCCTATCTCACAACAAAGACATGTAAAACTATAAACACTAAGCAAACACACTCTACTACTAAGATAATTAAATAAACATTGAAATTGGATTACATTAGGAGATTAAGAGTGTGTTCACTTACTAGGTCATTTCTATAGGATTTCCCAAAAATATTAACAAAAAAATAAAATATATAATATACAATATATACTATAACAATAAAAGTCAACAACAATAGGCATAACATCATTCCCTATTATACTTTCATGATTTTTATATCTCATAACAAAAACACTTATAAACTATAAATACTGAACAAACATACTTTAAATTTAACAACCATTGAAGTATAAAAGTAAGAACGAAACGGCACTTTCTAACAACACCATTAATATATAAGAACTAAGTTCACACAATCTTTCCGTATTATTTGCACAGATTGGTTCACATAAATGAGTTAAGCGACTCAGCTAGAATTCTATAAGTATTACAAAATTTTCGACAACCTTATGTCAAATAAATCCATTCAAGTATTCCAACAATATTAGCGACAAGGACTAAGGAATAAAGCAAAAAAAACGATGGTAGTAACTTACCCGGCTCAAAAAGTATTCGGCAACGTCGGGTAGAAAATGGAGTTCGTTCTTCCTCTTGTACGTTTCTTGTATAGCTGGATCTCGCCACACCTCTTCAACGAGCGGAGCGTATTCCCGCGTTGCCGCAGGAAAGAAAGCATCCAAATCCCCGGTTGCTATGATATCAAGGAGCCAATCGGAGAAATGCTTCAGCCGTGGATTGAGAGAAAAGATACAATGATTATCTTCCGCGGCGTCGACGCGCTCTTCTGCGTGGATTTCATAGCCAACACAGCATAAAAGCTAACGCATAATATATTTTCGACAAATATATATACATGTTACTGAAGAAATCAAATTTTTATGTGACAACCGAAGGTCAAGGAGAAAGCTTAATGATAATAACATGACAATTTATATATATTTTTAAAAATTACAATTCAATACCTGATTCAGAAACATGCTCGTTGAGACCTTGCCCAGTGGTTTTCGACAACGCCTCCTCCTCAAAACGTTCTCGCCCGTCGAGAAGAATGCTGAGGTATTTGTACATGTTGCTTTGAATCATAAGTTTGATGTCCTGCAGCTCTTCGGGCGTAAATTGTCCTCCGTACAAAAACTTCGCCTGTCATGAAAGGTAGAACGAAAGAAGACGATTAAGTACGAATAGTAAATTAGAGATTACATACCTCTGCCCTTTTTGCATTTCTTAAGTTTTTTTTACTATGCGGTTTCATCATTCCCAATAATAATATACTCTTTTTCCATACAAAACTCATGTTCAATAATTATTTCACTTAAAAATACAATAAAAATAAGAACCTACAAAAACACAAATCAAGCATACTCATACTGTGCATAGATACAAAAACTCAATGCAAGAGTACTCGATGAAAAAATTCCGTACAATTACGTTAAAAAAGGCATTGATAATTGAATGCAGAAGTATCTAAAGAAATAGGAAACTTCGAATGAAAATCATATGTTAACAAAAATACGCTACGGATGGAAATGAAAGAAAGCGGTTAAAAAAGTTACTCTTAACAAAAAGTTAAAACTTTCTAACATCAACGAATTTACCTGCTTGAAAATCGTGCTCGTTCCGGAGCCCGGAAGCCCAAGCAAAAGAAGCTTCTGGATCTTTCTCTGCTCCAGATAATTAGGTACAGCCGAATAGTTGCTCACCTCGTCCCTATGCCCTTGAGGTTGGCCTTGCGGTACAGGCAAAGAGAACAACGAGCACACGAATCGAGTGGATGCCTAAAGAAATTGGATTTAAGAAAATATTTTCCTTGTACAGTCAAAATTACTATCGAATAAAATCTTCTTGAAAAATTACCTTTTCCCATATATTTCCTCTTATGTTGTTTTGGCCTTCTTCCTCGTATCGACCATCGTCGTAAACCCAAAAATGGGTGTCACGTGGACATTGAACATTTGCAAGCTGAATCAAAAGCGATCATAGTTGGACAAAACCCGGGTGGTCTAACACACTAGAATATATAATTTAAGCTATCCTATTTTTATCTTTTACAAGAAAGAGGGAAGTCAAAGGTTGTTTATATGAAATTCTTGCACTGAAACATTCGAAAAGCCGAATCTCCACTTTACACACCAAATTTAATTCCACGGAATCAAGACCAACGTCATAAATTTGAAACTAGAGCATAAAGCATCGAAACTTCCTTATATATACTTTCAAGGAAAAACAAATGCCAGACGCAATCCTCGATTCTGCAACAAATTTAATTAATGTAATAGAATCCAATGCAGCTGTCATAAACTTTTTTTATAAATGTCTTAACGTCAACGAGTTCAAGATTTCCTAAACTATAAAGAAGGAAAAGTTACTGAAATATTACACATGAAAATATCGATCAAGAAAAAAGCTTCATAACTAACTACAATCATGACCTCAAAATTTTTTGACCCCACACGAATCGATATTTAAATTCCAATCTATAACAGAAACTACTTTTAGCAACTTTTTATCAAATCTTATAAATGCTACTCGGCTCGAAATTCTTTGAAGGATTTTGCCAAAAACCAACTATTCATCCAAAATCCCCCCCTCCCCCACAAAACTTCAAATCAAACAACTAATTTTCATTTTCTATATTATACTTAAAATTAATTTTACATTCAAAACTTCACGTCAACATCCTGTTTATATCCCATCATATATCTATTACAAATCAAAATTTTTACTATTCAAATCTCAACTCAAAATCCAAAGGCCTAAACAAACACACCCTAAATATCCTTTCAATTGAATTGTAGAAAATAATCACTAAAAATGCCCAAAACAAATCGACCCTAGACTATAGACTGCTATCGAATTCTTTAGCTAAATACATTACATTGCCATAGAAACTTAAAACTAACCTTTAGTATCCTCAACTCAAGTTTTGTGATCTGCCGACCGTTAATATACACCTCCGTATTCCCATTGCTAGCGTCGGGACTAAGCTTTCCCGTAAAATTCAAGTTCGAACTAATAATTCTATCGGGCTTCTCTCCCTCCTAACAAATCAACAAAACCAAAAAAAGTATAAACTTTTGTCAATATAGCAATGCAAACGAAATAAATAAACATTGAAAAAAACGAGTTAACCAACGATTTTCACCTTCCCCCAAAGGCCCGACTCTTTATCGTACCAATACCTCCCCGGCTTCAATTTCTTCGGCGGCAGCGGGCACCCGAGAAGCTCCGCCATTTCCTCCGATTTCAAAGGGTACCCGTTCACGACGAGCTGCTCCGGCCGAAGCTGATTCGCCGAGCATTCCTTCTCGGCGTTCATTATTTGCTTGACCTCCAAAGGGCTGAGCAGCCGCGACAACAAGCTCGAATTTTTCCCCAATTTCGACCGTTTCGACTCGTCAATCGCCTCGCCGATACACGTCACACATTTACGCCCTTCCGGCATCGATCCCATCGCCCGCAGCACGCAATTCCCACAATACTTGGCGTCGCACACGAGGCACGCTTCTTTGTTCTCCCACTTCCCTTTTCCGCACCTGTAACACACTCTCGTCTTCTTCCTCTTCTTCTTCTCCTTCGTCACTCCGACGTACTCCGGAAATACTTGCTTCTCTCCATCCATCGATCTTCTCTCCGACCTCTCGACCCTATTGTACGTCGTATTGAACGTAACCACCGTCGCTCTTTTTCCCTCTCCGGCCAGCCCCCTAGGCCCCCCTGGATCATCATTCCCCGAGGCAGGCGACCCCGAACCCGACGGCGAGCTGAAACCATCATTCTGCAATACGGAAGCCATCGATTCCGAACTTCCGGACATCCTAGGACTCTGATTGCCGGGACTAGCTACATTCGCAATACGAGACATCGGTAAAGGGATTGGTTCTATTACAGGAGCCGAATTCATCGATCTTCTAGACTCTACTATTGGATCAGCTACTGGAATCGAATCCACATTCATGTTAAGAGGCTCGACTCTAGGCAGATCATACATTACAGGCGGGCCTTTGTACTCTAATGCTATCGAATAATCCAACTTATCGCCGTCGTCGGGGATCGGAGCCCCCGGAGGAAGCATTTTCCTCACCATCTCCCTCCAATCATCTCCGCCATTGTTATCCATCTTTTTTCACAACACGATTTTCCACAGGCAATCAATGGGAATGTTGAAATCCCCCAAAATTCAATCGAAGATTAAAGGTATGAGCAATTAGGGTTTATTATTACAAAGGATAGGAGAACTAAACTAAAGATTACACAAAATTATGATGTAAAGAGCTCGTAAATCGATCATCAAAGCCATATCAGAAGCAATTAAGATCTCTGTGATAATGCCTGACACCCTAATTTTGGCGATTCAATCGATCCCAATTCCCAATCCAAAACCCTAGAAATTCAATCGAGCTAAAAGAAATTCGCAATCAAATCACTAAATCAACAGAAAATTTTGCAAAATCCCAGTCACCAAATTTCAATCCCCGAATCGATTCCCCAATTTTCGCCATCACCAAAAAACCTCGAAATTAAAAAAGTGGGGGTTCAGAAAAATGGTGGTGATGATACAGTGGGGTAGAAAATGGGGAAGAAAGAGTTCTTCAAGTAAGGATGGAGCATTAAATGGATCGATTTGGGGAAGTTGGGTGAAAAACTACCACCAAATAAAGGCAACCTTTTCTACAAAAGATCTGGAAAATGGAAATCAAGAGGAGTTGAAGGGAGAGAATCTACCCTTTTAGAGAGAGAAAGATTTATATATATACATACAGATACATACACATATATAATAGAAATAGATATCATTACACAGTACATCTCTGTTGTTGTATGTACTGCAAAAAGATAAGGATGGGATTTCTATGTAGAGCTAGCTGGACGATGGTAAAGAATTCTTTATATTTCTCTCTCTAATTTATACGAGAGAGTGGGGAGTGGGGTGGGTCAGGGTGTGGACAATCATATGATGGTGGAGGGAGGAGATGACTATGAGGGGTTTGGGGGGTGTGACAGAGGGGCTGCTGATGGTGAAAATGGACGGTGCTGATGTATTTGGGACTTGAGGTCCGGGACCTTGTGATGTTTAAAAATGGCGGAGGCATGCTCTCTTTGTTGTTGAAGGTTGAAGCTGGTCTTTCGAATATCTATTCATGGGTATAATCGTCATTTGTAGTGACGTTGAAAATCGCCTGATGTTTTGGTATATTTGCAGGAAGGACCCTAGAGTTTCTCATAATTACTATGGCCGGGAGAATTAACCTCAGACTGTCGAATTAATGAATCATACAATATTAATAAATCGCTTGATGTTTTATTATATCTGCGGCAAGGACCCTAGAGTTTCTCATAATTACTATGGCCCGGAGAATTAACCTCAGACTGTCGAATTAATGAATCATACAATATTAATAAATAGCCTGATATTTTATTATATTTGCGGTAAGGACCCTAGAGTTTCTCATAATTACTATGGCCGGGAGATATCAACCTCAGACTGTCGAAGTAATGAATCATATAAATATTACTCCCCCTCTCGTATTAATGTCTATTTTTATTTATAGCAAATCATTTTTATAATATAATATTCCCTTAGTATAAGAATCCTTTGAAATTTTGAAATAAATTAATAAACTTAGTAAAAATATGTAAGAAATTTTTGATATTTTTATTTTTTTGATTTTTTTATATAAAATAGTTGCAATGATATATTTGTAATTTGGATAAAAATTAAAAAATATTAATCATAACTTGTGTCTAACTAAAATAGAAGGGAATTTATTTAATTAGAAAAGAGATAAATTTATTTATATAAATATTTATTATTTTTTTATAAACATTTTTTAATTGAATCAAATAAAAATCATATTATTTGACTGCTATCAAGCAGCGTAAATATTTACCTATTCACTAATAAAAAAATAATAATTTAATACAAAATATTATTTTTAATATTATCTTAACATCTATCCAAAAATGAAAAATGAACCCATCCTTAAAAAAACACACAAACACAACCAACCACCTAGCACGTTTTAGCCAAATATTTAAAGCAGCGGTGTGTTTTACTATTGATTATTTTTATATTCTGAATTTGATTTAAATAGTAATTTATATAACATATATTTATTTAAAATCATTCAAGTGGAGATTCATAATCAAAACAATACAGGCACATAACAGAACAAAACAAAACAGAGCATCCCTGTGGAAAAGTTGAACAAATCTTCCAAATGTAAAGATTAGGAGAGATTTCTAGGCAACATATATATAAACTGAACATGATTGTTCAATAATAATAATAATAATTATTACTATTATTATTCTTGAAATCACTCAATAAAAGTGGCCATGTGAATGGCACTGTAAGAAGGATAGGATGAATCCAATCCACTCACACATTTTTTGTTTGTGTTACACAACAGAGAATATTCCCTCAAAATCACATTTTGTCCCCAACGTCATCCCCACCCCACCCCACCCCACCTCACCCCACTCCCACTTGAATCAATCAACTTTCCTCTCCTAATTTTTCACACCCCAACATATAACTTTAGATACATTACTCAAAATTTGCCACTATAATATATAGAAAAGAAAATTTATTCAAAAGAGTTAGAGATCATCCTCTACTCATATTATGTTTTATTTTATTGTCCAAGGGAGGAATATTTGATGACATCTTCCAAACATCCCATCTTCTTATTCTTAATTAGACCATTAAAAGTATATTCATTTTTTTACCATTTTAATTTGTTTACTAAAATTATATTTATATCATGTTTAGTAAAAAAAGTACAAACCATTCTTCAAAATATGACTACTAATTTTCTATCTATTTACAAATCGTACAAATGACACTAGTGGATTCCATATATTTTTTACAGTCAACACACACTAGTATTTGTTTACATAATATCTAAGTTTCATTTTTACTTTTATAGAATTTCAAAGAAATATACATAAAAAAAAAAAAAACAACTTTAAAAATACTATTTCTCTATCTAGTTAATTTTTTTGGAATACTACATAAATAGCATATGCAAGATTTACTAAAATATAAAGATATTTCATGCTATTTACAAACTAGATAAAAAAAAAAGCTTCATATCAGTTTTCACCAAACTACTGGTGTGTTCGTTTGGCAAGTTTTTCAAGATTTTTACTAATTCACCAAATTTTTCTTAAAAAAAATAAATCAAATGCTGATTTTTTATTTTGTATGTTATACTAAAAATCAATTTTATATTCAAAATATCACATCACTACCTATTTATTTATATAACGTAATACAACTAGTTCAAAATTTTTACTATTAAAATTCCAACTCAAAATCCAAACCCCAAAACAAATGCACCCTAGATATATCTATTAATTCATGTTATCAATTAAGTTTCATCCATAAACAAGTTTTGTGTTCTTCACTCAAGTATATAATCCATATCCCATCAAATATGCAGTAATAACAAGCATGTTATGTAAACAACATAAACACAAAAATATAGTAATAATGGCAAACTCAGGAAAACATTGAAAATCCGTACAGCAGAATAACCAAGAATCTTCAAATCATGCTCCAAAAGCTCCCCAAAACATTATCTAAACAGGCTTATTAAGAAAATCCAATAATAATGAAACACACAAATAAGAAATTCTACCACACAAGCTTATAATTTCATAGCAAGAATCTCACTTAAGCATGCCATATATTAAGAACCAGTAATTAGCTAAAGATCGTTACCTGATTTTTAGCTGTTATGATTTGGTGTATAATGGTTTTGATCTGTTGAGGCCACTCAGATGGGAACCGAAGAAATAGCACCAGTAATTGCTGTAGTTCGCGGATCATTGCTCTCCAAGCAAACACCACGAGGATCTTCTCTCACTAGCAAGGCAAGAACATTGAGTGAACTCCAGATTTCGATCACTTTGCTGCTGGAGTCACCCAAGGTGACAGCAAATACTGCATCGAACCCACCTGCACCCGGGACACCAGCCAACAGAACCCCTTCTGTGTTCATTGTGGTGTCTAGCAGTTGGGACTGTGACTCGGGCTCAATCTATGAGGGAGATGCAAGAAAAATGAAAGATCAGATAGGAATTGTGTTTCTGTAAAGTACTGTATAATGATAGTGATGGCCTAAAACACATTTGTTTATTGTCTTCAAGTATTACGACCAATGGTGTGCTTCTTGGAATGTCGAAACAGATAGATGTTATTCTAAGGAAAGATTGATTCAGCCTTTGACTAGTTACAAGCATGTTAGAGAAATCCATATAAGGGTCACTTGTGCAATGAGGAAGTTTTGTTAGCATAATCATCTTAAAAGAATTCGATGTAAATAGAGAGACAGGTAGATAAAGATAGAACTCAAGTAACATGTTTCAGCAGAAAGGAGAAGAACCTACGGGAATTCCGGCAGCCACACCCATTTTACGCATGTTACTCCTGATAGCAAGCATGGCATCTCTAGCTCCTACAAGCTCTTTAATTACTTCTATTTGGGTTGGGTCTGCAGCTCTCTCTGTCCACTGTAAAAAAAATTCGGAGCAAACGTTGAAAAAATAAAATGAAATACTAATAAGGGAAAATAAACAGTTCAGAGAGTTAAAGAACAAGATGTCTAATTCGCCCATGTTAGTCTTCTAGTAATATGTTTCACAGCAGTACGATTTTAAGCATAGAAACTACACTTTAATTTTGACATCAATAAATGGAGTCAACAAATTTTTGAATTTGCAAGATATATATATATATACCTTCTCTGATATAAGCTTGCTGCAAATGTTGATTGCGTTTTCATATGCATCATTATTTGTTTTTGCTAATCTGCATAAGGCATTCAGGTGCATTTCCAGGGTGGAATTTGCTTCCGACAACTTCTTCCATGTTTCCAAAGAGTTTTGAGGATCAGACTTTTGCCATTTTTTTACAGCACCAACCATTGAGACTGTTGACGATCCACCCGTCCCAGGCTCTCCAAGCAACTGCACGAATGTCATAATTACAAAATCAGCTACAATTAAGAACTAACCAAAACAAGTATCTGACCATATATTTTGGAACTTACTAATGTCATCATTGGAGGCAGCGAAAATTTTGTCCTCTCATGGTCCCAGTTGGCATTTAGCACATCTCCTATGGCTTCTTTTATTGACACATTATGTTCCTGAAACCAAACAAAGAACCAATTTTCTAAATGGCACACCATTCAGCATATATATAGCAAGTTCTGAAAAAACCATCCACTTGCTTTGGAAATTTCGTTACAGAAACATATACGATCTATGTCACAAATATATACAAATTTGTAATTAATTATAATTTCTAAATTCAGTGATCCACTGCCCCTGCATACGATGATGTGCACTTATGTCCTAAATGATGTCATTTCTAGTTTCCAAAGAAAGTCCATATGAAACTCTCTGACATTATCAAATGATCATACACTTCCAAAAAAAAAAATGGTGGCCCTGGTCAAAGACTCAAAGATTCTCAATTTCTAATAAAGACAGTAACATCTATAAGACAATCGCATTTGAGAAGAAAATTGAACTCATTCAAAATTCCACACCATATCAGATTTCTTCAGCGGGTTCAGAATGATTAATACCTGAGCAGAAGAAAGTACTTCTGGTGAAAATCTGACATACCGTTGACTGCCATATACAGCAGAACTCACATCAAAACCACTTCCAATTTTACCCTGGGCTATACAATGAGCAGTTTGAGCAATAATATGGGCAACGTCGAGGTCACTGGAAAATTCATTCCATTGAAGAGGGTCTTCAGATTCTGATGGAAGAATGACCACTCCAAGGTAATGAAGTAGCGCTGCGACAACTGCAGTTGTCATGGCCGCTGATGAGCCTAGTCCAGTTTTAGCAACTTCAGGTTTGCTTTCCTGTCCACTTGACTCTTCTGTGTTGAAGGTAATAGGAGAAAATGGTGGAAGGGAAGCCAATGATTCTGGAGTCAAAGGCAGGGCACGTTCTTCAATCTGCCCAGGAAGATAATATAATCTTGCTGACATTTTACATAACCAAATCATGCAGAAACAAATGTGCTAATACTTGTCAAACACACCGTGAAAAATAGAACCACATGCATGGTAAAGAGGATTGAATGACTCTACGCATACATATATTAAATATTTTCACCGATATGAAAAAGTCGGAGTAAGCATACCAGGTTACGGTATGAGTAAAATTCATTACAGCCCAATATAGTTATGTCCAGGCCTGCATCACTAATACACAATACACATTAGAATTTCTCATATCACTGAATCTAGAATAATAGTAATAAAAGATCTCCCTGTAAGATATTACCCAGCAACAGAAGTTTTTGTAGGTCATCCATCTTAGTTTTGTCCAATCTAGTTTCTGCAGCTGCTACGGCGTATTGTAATGCATGTTCTACAAATGGGTTTCTTGACCCGCTGAAGATGAAAAGAGCAGAAACCTCTGCTTCAGAAGGTGATTAATAAAATTATTTGTTAAGAACTGATGCAACTAAAAGTCTAAATCACAAATGGATTCCATATTCAAATCTTACTGTCAAAGTGAAAACACAGTATTGATAGTTTACCTCGAAGATGTACACTGCAGCTGAAAATCCTTAAGTGACAACTTGTACATGGTTTCTCTTGCCATCTGAGGAGAAGTCAGCTTCACATCCGTCCATGCCTGAATTGAATATATAAGGGCATTAATTTCTTCTATAGAAGGAATATGGGTATTACTATCAAACATTTCAACCATTAGGTAGCTTACTCATAATAGATGGGGACAAAAAGTTAACTTTCTTATGCGTCAATAAATTACCCATCAAGTACATGCAATTATTCTAGGAAACAATATGCATAATATGACAAAATCTCCATCCAAATGGTTAAAGGGTTTGTGTATCAATGGGTTTGTTTACTTGTGATTTCTACACCCCTTTTTATATATATATATTTAATCTACGAATTTCCCTCCAAAAACATCACTTAACACCAAATTTCTACTCAACACATCACATTCAATAACTATTTAACTGAAAAGAATCAAAAGAATACACACACAAGTAAACAATCAAAATAAAAAGATAACATGAAAAGGTTGTTAACTCAGCACACATCAAAGTTAATCGCAAGCAATGACCTCCAAACATCTAATATATCAACAAATATGTTAGAATGAGATCCAACAGAATAAGCATATAATGCGCAGTATAGCAATCACACTCGGCAATTAGAGAATAGAAACAAAAAGTTTCTATACAGAAGTTTTTAACAGTCTCAAGTTTTTAGAGAACATTGGCATAGAAAATTGAAGGAGCACCACTATACTCTTGTAATGCAAAAATATTTTGTTCATATATACAATAGGATACTCAATTTTAAAATTAAATAGGCCCATTCAGCAACTTTGTATGATGCAAAATCTCAATATAATATAAGATTCTGTATTTAACATCTGCACTATAAAGCAAACTATCTTAATAAATGATGAAAAAAGTACTCAAGCATTAAGCATAAATTATAATATTTATACCCAATATAACATACCCATGACCAACTTTCAGATTTGATTTCATCATGAAGTGGCTTCACTATTGCATAGAACCGAGCATTTGTGCTCAATACAATCCCAGCATTTGGCCTCTCCAAGATTAGGTATCCCCCGGTGATTAAAACCTTCCCCGGAGCAGAAGCGACGCTGCAAATCAACGATTTAATCACAATTAATATAAGCCAACAGTTTATCATCACCAAATATTACATAGCAGTCAGTCATGTTAAAACAATGTTCGAAACGTAGGAGAAGCAAACTCACACTGCCATTTGTACCAATTATTGTACGGCTATCCTCAAGTGGACCTGAGAACAACAACAAAGTATTCAATTGAAGATAACTTACTACATAGATAAAAGAGAAACAGTAAACAAAAAACAACAATATGTTTCCGACTCTGATTCCGATTCCGTTTTTCGTGCTATTCATCACATTTTCACCCCTAAAAAGCATTGTATCGAACTACATTTTCATTTAAAATACTCCATTCAAAATGTATTTTACAGTAAAAACTTCCTTCAAGCATTATTCAATTCAAAATATTACATCGCAAAACACATCCGAACAAACTCTGGCAGTGAGAGACATCTACAATAACGATGAAAGCTTCTTCCTAGGAAGAGTAATCCCAAATTCAATGAGGACACAAGCCAACAGTTTCCTCTTCCCCAATCAATCCAATCGTGCATCATCACAATTGATAAATTAGGTAAAATAATCACCCCAATCTCACTCAGTCCTTTCCTAATTCCACCGGAAGCTCAAATATTATTGACCAACAGGAAATTCAAATCAGTCGAGCCAAAATTGAAGAAACCCAAAACAGCGACAGACAAAATCAGAAACAAGCGCATAGGAATTCTAAGGGTACCTGTAACATGTGAATACGAATGGTAGTGGAGAAAAGGAAGAAGAAGAAGCGTCTTACCTAATTGGCGGCTGCGGAAATAAGTGAAAAGGAAGGCGACGATCAGTGGACAGTCCAATGCTCTTGCAGTCAGTCCCGCCGGCGGCTGGCCGAATTAATTAATACAAATATACTGTACGAGAATACTTATATTTATTTTTATGTTATGTTGGTATAAATTTTCAGTTTGAATTTTTTCGTAATTACTCCCTCGTCATTAAAATTATTAATAAAAAAAGAAAAGGATAAAAATAAAAATTTTGTTAGCATTTTCTTTTTTAAATACAATTTGTAATTTATTTAAGTATATATTTTGATTTTTTAATTATATATTAATTTTTAATTAAATTATTTACTAATTTTAATCTTTAATATATAATTATTTTTATTAAATAATAATTATTTATACTAATACGTTTCTTAATTACCTACTAATTATTCTTTACCTAAATCTATAGGAATAGACCCCAAATATATGAAATGGTGGGAGTATAAATTTTTAAAAAATTACGATTTCAATATAAAATATTAACTTTTATCTAGATTATATGTAGAGATATTAAACGAACTGAACCATTCGTAAACTCAGCTCAATTCGGCTCGGCTAAAGCTTATTCGCAAACGTTAACGAGCCAAGCTGAACAACATAAACAGACTCGTTTGATTAACGAACGAACACGAGCTTTGTTGGCAAACATTTGTTTAAATAATATATTTATTATAAATATATATATACATATAAAATTATAATTTATAAATAAATAAGATATTAATTTAAAATATATAAATAAAATAATTGTAAATTTTCTTTATAATTTATATATAAATTTAAAAAAATAAGACAAATGAGCACGAACGAGCTTAATCGAGCCTAAACGAATCGAATAGGAGCACGAGCTCAAACAACAAAAATTCTTAACGAGCCGAGCTCGAACACTACGAACGAGCTCGAAAGCTTAATAAAGGAACACGAGCCTTGTTCGCGAACGTTAACGAATACTTAAAATTTGGCTCGGCTCAGCTCGTTGATAGCTGTAATTATATGTTATTCATACCTAACATATAAAAAAATAAGTGAACACATCCGTGCTAACACAAATAGCCATGGCAATATATTTTATACTACTTCGAAATCCAACGGTAAAGGGGTAGAAGAATGCAGCAAATAATAGGCAAAGAGAGACCAAAAATCAGCAGACACGAAAACAGAGAGCAGCATATCTACAAATTAAATTTGATGCCTTCATCATCAGCAGAAGTTCCTTTGAAGATTGCAAGCTTCCCCTTGTGTTCAAGCTGTTTCAATGCCCGCATCAGCACCGTTCGATCCATCCCGTGAAGCTCTGTTTATAGAAAAAAACCCGACACAAACATAAACAACCAACAATAATGTAAGTGTGAGTAAAAAATAATCGAGGCCAAGATCCCTCACCTGTTCCTTGAGACTCAACACCCGAGCGTATCTCCTCAACGGTCATAATACTGTCCTCAAGACCATAGTCCTTAACCTAATAAAATGTATTGTATTGTATCTCCGTCATCAAAATATATGTCCATTTGACCGGATACAACGTTTTAAGAAAAGTAGGTAAAAATAGAAATATTTTTTTTTAAAGTAAAAAAAAAAAGTAGAAAAAAGTGGTATTTTTTTACTAAAAAAAAGAAAAATAAATTTAGATGACAACAAAAAAAGAAAGTGAAGAGAATAAATTTAGATGACAATCAAAAAAGAAAAAAGTGAGAATAAATTTGAATGAAAGAGGAAGTACATCTTATCGGAAGCAAGTAATAGCTGTCAAAATTTATGTACTCCCTCTATTCCACATAAATTGTCTTACTTTTTCTATTTTTGTCGGTCTACATAATTTGTTATTTCGATAATATGATTATACACTTTAATCATATTTTAAATTTTATTATTTATAATTTTCTTAATCTTAATTAAACTATTTAGTTATTTTAATCTATAACATTTTTCAAAATTCAACCCCCCCCCCACTCTATAAAAAACAAAACAAATTAGATTGTCTATTTTATTTTTTAATATTATACTGAAAAACACAAACTCCAAACCCCCAAAGCAAAACTCACAAATTTAATAATCAGTTCTGCCCATTCTTGTATCCGATGCCAATGGATCAGACACTTCCTGTGGCTCTTATCCAGCCATTCGGCCCGTCCTGTCGAGTTTGAACTTGATCTAGTGTGATACCAAATGTATTGAATGTATGGTGTAAACACAGTAAGGAGATTGTACCTTCTGAAACCAATGCCGACAGGAATGCCTCTCTAGCTTCGTGACTTAGAGATCCTGCGTTCCAGACAAGAAATTGGAGTTCGGCAGCAGGGATTAATAGAAAATTCTGGAGAGGGTAGATTTTTTGCACTATAGAGGACTATAGTTGGCAATTAAAAAATATAGCACTTGAGTAATCAGTGTATATTATAAAGCTCAAGAAATTGAGATAGTAAAAGCGGCAAATACATGTAATTTCGTAGATATCTAGTTAGAAGTCTAAATTTTAAAAACTTGAAATTAGTACAGCTCCTGCGTCGCCCTCACCGGTTAGCGCTGTATGACTATGAAGATATGTAACTGACATAATTTGTGGAAATTTATAGGACCGGACTTTGATAACTAACCTTTCCAACAAACAATGGACATTATTTTCAAGACGACCAACCATTCAAACCAAGAGAAGGTAGCAGCCAATGAATTTAAATTTGCATTTCAGCCATTTCTCAGTTGTAAGAAATTCCTAGCTTATCACTTTAAGTTCTATCTCATAGTCCTTTTAAAAATGGTGAAACGAGAAGTAAAGCATGACTAGCTCAACCCTTCAAGGTTTTGGAATTAGTACTTCATATAAAAGTAGGAAATTGTAAAATAAATTGCAACATATAATATGTTAAGGTTATTAAATAGTTGAATCTAAATCATTGCTAAATCAGTGCATCACTTATACAAGCAATAAAAAATCTTCAACAAAAAATTCACCTGATTCCATCTATGCTTATATTATTAGAAGTTCAAAAGACGAAACAAACTAGAAGTATTCATCAAATCCAACTATCCATTTTCCTAAGTTTCATCAATTGTTTTTCTCCTTTTCAATCAGTAAGAAGAAGAACACTATAGCAGATTAACACTATAATAACGAGATGGTAAAAAAAATAAAAGAGTGGTTACTTTCAATCACCGGATTGCTAAACAACGGGAAGTCTTCATCAAGTCCAATGGTAAAAACTTTTTGGGTCCGACAATAATCAAGTATCAACTCCTTCCAGAGTTGTACCTGTTTTTCTCTAGTGTCTCTCACTGGCTGCAAACTAGAAGAATGAAAAACATTACCATGGAAATGAATTAAGCCCTCAAACCCAAATATTAAATGAATCAGACAATATGAGGTTGACTTGTGTTAACTAAGACAGTAAATGATCAGCATACAACTGCAGCCATATATCTGTCTCATTCCATTCCACCGACACATATAGTTTCTGATATCTTCAACTTTATTAAAAATCATTATGGGTTTTTTCACTTGTGTTTCTTTACCCCATTTTTTAAAATTCAATCTACCATTTCCCTCCGAAAGCATTACAGCTAATACCCATTTTCCATTGAAAAATCCATTGAACAACTATTTTCACCTCAAAAACATTTAAAAACACAAAACAAGAACAAAAACAAAAGCACAAGTGAACAAGCCCATAATAGAAGCATCTGCTATCCAAAACATTAGATGTATCATCCAATCTAGCAAAATATGTCACCTGAAAATGATTGACTAGTTCTGCAATCTGTATAAATTCATCCACTCCATAATGGTAAAACTCAAGGATACGAAAGCCAACTTTAAAAAGATATACTAAACTCTAAGAAAAATTTTGGAATAGATAGAAATACAATTAGAGCCCCTTCAACTCCAGATTATTAAACCTTCCTTCAATGTAAAACACAAATTCATCTATATGATTAGATCAACTTAAACACTTGCTCTTTTTTCTTTCTCTAACAAAGTTCTGCCACAAACTTAAGCTTTGGCAATAAATCTCACCCTCTTCATCAAACAATATGGAACACCATTATCTGGAGTGGCATTGAACATATGCTATCTCATACAGTATCATCCAAATAACTAACAAAGGTTCAACCCAAAAACCCAAAACAAAACAAAAAAAAACAAAAATTGGAGGCATTACGTGAAATATGGAGGGTAATTGAAGAAGTGGGGCAGCCTAAATTCACCCAAATTCTGCATATCCTGCCCCTCTTTGCTTTGAACAGGAATCAGTGGCCTGCATGTACAAAATTAGCAGCTACAAGTAAAGAGTGGGATAAGAATTCTAAATCATAGAGCTCTAAGAATACTGATTAAAGCCGGCAGCCAGTGTATTTCAGATAGTCCAAATAGTGTTCATTCATAGCTTTATTACTTAGACAGTCCTCTGGCTCAGCAAAAGACCAAGGCAAATTATACGGGAATGAATTCAAGGAACTCTCTACTTTGAATATAAAAAATTCTTGAATAAAGGCAATCTATATATATGTGTATTATACTTATCTCACTCACATTATTGTGAATCGGTACCTAAACCAGGAATCAATCGCTATATTGTGTAATTCATGAAAAACCTAAACCACTTCAATTAAAAAAAAAAAAAAAAAAAAAAAAAAAAAAAAAAAGAAGCATAATTCTTCCAACAAAAGAAACACAAAGTGTACCCAATGATTCATCTAAGAAACGCACAAACCAACAAAAATTAAACCAATAAACTCAAGCCATCGAATCAATCTATAACTTAACACAGTTACTTACAACTAACACCAAACAATTGAAACAGAAAATACCATAGCATCCGGGCATTGAAAAACTGATAACATAAAATAATTCGAAAATAGTGTAGGAATCTTACAAAGCCTCCGACGATTGACGAAAGTGTAAAAGAAGTATGTTCAACGACGATGAAGCTGCCCTGTCTTCGAGGCCGACGTCGATGACCGGAGAAGAAAACTTCGACGAGAAATGTCGAAAGACGGCTTCTTGTTCTTGATTGATTTGTAAAATGGACGAAATTAAAATACAGTATTTAAAAATATATAAATATATTAAAAAGGGCTGTGTCCTTTCCCGAGTCGGATCGGGTTGGACGCTATAGGGTAGAGTTGTCAGACGGTTTCGAACCGCCGGTTCATTAAACCGGAACAGAAATAGAAGTTTTATCGGTTCAGTTTCGGTCCAAATTTTAAGACATCAAAACGGCGGTTCTGATTTAATTCATCTCAAACCCTACCCACAAAAACACGTTGCGGCGGTTCTCGGTAGAAAAACGTTGGGGAAAAATGCACGATGAACCGTGAAAATTCCGGTTTTTAATGTAACGGCGGTTTCGATTCAAACTGGAATATTCGGTTCGAAATCGGTGAACCGCCGGTCTGGACCGGAGGCTCGAAACGGAAACCGATTATACGGGTGCGCCCGGTTAACTCGTTTCAACCCGGATTATACGGGTCAGCCCGTTTACCGACCTATATAATCCTCAAGGCCCGTTTCTATTTTTCCCCCTTCTTCCTCGTACGCGAATTTGTGTCGCCTCTGCTCTATCCAATCGACAATTTTTCTCGTTCGTACCTTCCACTGACGTGATTTGGATTTCTGATCGTTTGATCATCCTTCTGTCTCTTTTATTGTAGGGTAAGATTTTTATGCTGGTTTTAGGGTTTTGAGGTTGAGGAATTTCGTTTATGGAATGTCTTTTTTTGCCTTTTTGTTATGCAGTTATTTTGATTGTGATATTATTGTTTGCAGTGAGTTTTATGTTATTAATAATTCTTTGAAAGGGATTTCTTGGCAAGGGATTGTATTTCTAGTTATGCAGATTATTTGATTGTGATGTGATGATTTTGTTTCTGATTATTTTGGCTTTCAATTTAATAAATCATTTTTGTGGATGGTGGAGTGATTGTCTGAGCCAAACATTGTTGTTTAGATGCCTTCAGGAAGTTTCTACGTCTTAAAGTTAATATCTTGTGGTGTTCGATGATATGTTGTAGGCAGGCTGTAGACTTGCAGTGTGTTACATAGATCATTCGGTGGAAGTATTACAATATTGGCTATCCAAAGATATTTTGATTCTATATTTGGTTTTCCGAGCTTGAATTTTTTAGCATTCTTTTCAAATTTTTGTATGGTGACCATGTGTAACTCATGATTTTTCCCTATAAAATTTCATTTGGTGCACTAGAGTAAGGACAAAGATAGCACTTTGCTATGTTCATTTCCTCACATTTTTTTTTAATTTAAAAAAGGAATGAAATAGTGTGTCATTTTGATTTTAATGATAGTGATTGTATCTGTATTTTTGGATGATTTGCATTTATGTAGCTACATTTTATGCCGACTGGATGGTTCTGTTTAGGTTTGCTGATGAGTTATGTATATATCACAATGTTCATTCAAACTGCTTATAATATTTGTTGGCTTTAGTTGATATCTTCAATCTTCTATTATGTATCAGGTTGAGAAGTCACCATGGTTTCAGGGTTAATAAACGCTAACCCCATTGTGTATGGAAAAAAGGACCGTCGATCTCGAAGTGTGCCTAGTGAAGTGGACGAATATGCAAGAGAAGAAATTGACCAACTAGAAATTTTTGATATCCTTCAGTGCATTTTATGTGTTTGTTAGTATGAACCTTTCATACTTAAATTGAGTTTAAATGTTTTAGATTTTTGAGGGGTTGGGAATTTATTGCTCAATAGTCCATTAAATATATGAACCTTTGCTTTATATTTTGAGTTAGATGTTGGCCAAAGATTTTCATAGTGAAGTTTTGATTGCGGCAACTTTTTCTCACTTCTTAAAGCCATCCTCTTTGTGGTGCTAATGGTAACTTATTGTTTGTACAGATGCATGCTTTAAGCTCTAGTTAGGTGATTTCTGAATCAGCTTGTTGCTTCTCATTTTTCGGTATCTTATTTGAACTCTTCCGGTGTTTTAAGGTGGTGGTTTATTTGTATTTCAAGGAAATCTTCATTTTACGATTAAAATAATATGTTCTGCAAATATACATTCTGCTAATCTACTGGTTCTATGATTCTGTCTATATGCTTTTCATGGTAGTTTGGAGTCGAGCAACTGCCTGAAGATTGATACCTGGCACAAAACCATTTTGTGGCAAATAAATTGTTACACTTAATTAGCTATTGTACATCATATTAGAGATATCAAAGATCCCGAACACCCTTATTCATTGGAAGAGCTGAAAGTTATAACAGAAGATTCCATTGAGGTGGAGGATGGCCGCAGTTCTGTAAGGTAGAAATATATGCATGTTCGATGCACTATTCTTTGTTAGTTATGAAATTTTTTAATCCTAACTTATTGAAACTTATCTGTTTTAGAGTCACGTTTACACCAACAGTTGAGCATTGCAGTATGGCTACAGTTATTGGCTTGTGTTTGCGGGTCAAATTGATGCGATCGTTGCCACCTCGATTCAAGGTACCCTTGTCCAGAATCTTTTGTGTGACATTTACTAATTAGTACTCTCTCCATCCCACTTAATTTGTCCACTATTTTTATTTTCGGCCGTTCCACATAATTTGTCATTCTATTTTTTTGACATATAATTATACATTTTAATGGCATTTTAAAATTCATAATTTATATTTTTTTTTATTTTAATTAAATTATTAATCATTTTAATTTTAATCTATAATTATTCTTATTAAATCATAATTATGCTAAATGGGACAATTTACCTGGGACGGAGAGTATGTGTCCGTGAATCTTAGCGGGTTTAAGCTGTTCTAAAATCTGAAAATGCATTTATGTTATACACACTATGCCTTTATTTCAATATTGCTTTAAATTTCTGGTTACAGATTGTAGGCTTTGTTTCCGTTGATCTTGTATTTGTATTTTATGTTTAAATAGTGGTTGAATTTGATGTTTTGTGATAGTAAATAGCATACTTTTATATGGAATAGCGAAAGTTGCATAGCAAAGAAGTTGCATACTTTTATACTTTCGGAGTCATATTTTTATTCTCTCACAGAAAAATCACATCTAAATTAATGTTCAAGTCAAAACTCAAAACCAAACGCCAAAAGAAAACACGTATGCCTACCTTGGGACGAAAATCTAATAATCTTTGCTTTTATTTTCTTATGGGAAAAAATCTTTGCAACATCTCGCTTAATTTGTGATGTCTTTGCATTTTCATTTTTTATCTTTTTGAAATAACATAGTGTTTGATAGATGTAATAATTTTCTTATATATATAAATTGATAAATTAAAAGTCTTCTCCCCCATTCTTTCTTCGCAGGTGGATATCAGAGTAGCACCGGGTACACATGCCACTGAAGCTGCAGGTCTCTCTCTTTCTCTCCCTCTCTCTCTCTCTCTCTCTATATATATATATATATATGCCCAACTGTTGTAGCTTTGTCTATGATGATTACCCGGTAGGACGAGGCTTATATATGTAGATTTTTTCGTCGATTTTCACCTTAAGTTAATTACTTGTGCAATGAACACATTATATATGGGGGATTTCTAGGCTGTAAAATTCAAGCATTTTTGCTATTGCTACTCGGCATAAACCTAAACCAAATAACAAACATTTTAATTCTTAGACAGTATGCATTTACTCATCTAGGAATGGTCACTAATCTTACTCTAATCATCGCATTCTTGTTTCACACCCCAATTTTACTACCCTGACTCGACTGATGTATTGTTTTGCAGTAAATAAACAGCTGAACGACAAGGAAAGAGTGGCTGCGGCTTTAGAAAATCCCAATATTGTCGACATGGTCAACGATTGCCTTGCGCCTTCTTATGAATGAACAAGACAGAGGAAGATGATACAGTAATAGAAACTAAACTTTTTTTAAAGTCTTTGTTTTTTTTTAGCATTTTCATCTATAACTTGATTTGTTCTTCCCAGTTCCCACTTATTTCGTGTTTTGCTTCTGTTTGTGTTGTAAAATTGTGTTTAGCAAGCTGTTCGATTGAAACAATAATTTATTTTGTTCTATATATATATATATATATATATGTATGTATGTATGTCAATATATTTTGTTAGTGTTGTAATGAATCAAATATTCAACTCACATTTGTTAGTATGAAGTTTTATGCGCACGGCATTCATTCAAGAGGCAGACGTGTTAAGGGTGTGATTGGTTTTTATTTGAAATTTAATTTAAATAATATTTGTATTTGATTTTTTTAAAAAAAAAAGTAATATATTTTTATTTGTAATGGTAAAAAAATAAAGAAATAAAAAAAAACAAAAAGGTTTTCTTGATTTGAGTTTATGTAATCGTTAGGAGTTACGTCTAATATTTTGCAAATATATATTCAATATATTGAAAATTAAGTGTAAATAAAAAAAAATATAGATCTATTTTTATAAGAGTTTGGATTAAAAGAATTTGTTTAGTAGGTTATAATTTATGTTTTTTCTTTTTTTTTAAAAAAAAAAAGATGAGATAATAATTTAATATGCTATATTTATATAAAATTAATATATTTTTATTAACAATTGTAAATTAATAAAAAAAAAATTAAAAATAAAATGAGAGAAGAACATAGCAAGTTTGTTGATTGTTAATTTTGACTTCATATTTCAATTTAAGATGTTATAATTCATAAACTCAAATAAATGCATTAATTATTAACAGTCGAATCGTTTTATGTTTATAGTAAATAGAATTCAAACAATCAATTAATCATATAATTGCTCAATTAACTGCTTTTCATCGTAAATATTATAAATCAAATTATTCATTCTAATTACTGAAGTCAACTTCTCATCGTAAAGTAAATATAGCAATTAAAATTCTCCCTCCTCCTAATCATATATATCTAATTGTTTTATATATATATATATATATACATATAGCATTAGTACAATATAAAATAAATAAATAAACAATTTTGCCCTTAAAACCTATTTATTTTTTAATGCTATTGTTTGTAATATTATGTATAATAAAAAATACTTTTACTTAAATAATATATTCATCTTATCGACAAAACAAATCCCTTAATCTTGCCATAAATGTATTTTGAATGATGTATTAAGTTGGAGACGATGAGAGTGTTGATTAGAAGTAGCAAACAGCGCATGCATATTAATATAATACAAATGCTACCATGTATGTACCTATTACCATAATTCAAATACAACATATGAACAAATAACACATACCACCACCAACAACCTAATTCATCTTCCGATATATATATTCGTATTCTTCTCGTCGTAAGTATTTGTTTAAATAATCTATTCCCCCTAATCACCCAACCACTTATTTGCGATGAATATCATTCAAAATACCATATTCTTCCTAATAACTCAAAACACTTATTATTCTCGCGACATATATAATTGAAACAATGTATTCTTCTTAATAACTCAAATCACGCGTCTCAGTCATAAATATTCACTCTAATCACTCACTCAAAATATCGAACATTCCTCAAATCACTTATCCTTGCGACAAATATAATTAAGATAATGTATCATACTTAATAACTCAAATCACTCGTCTCGTCATAAATATCCACACAAAATATCGAACATATGTATATCATACATGCATGATTCCCATTCCTCAAATCACTTATTTTCGCGACAAATATAATTAAAGATAATACATCTTTCCTAATAACTCGAATCACTTCGTCTTGTCATAAATATCCACCCTAATCACCCAAAGTATCCAACACATGTATATCATATATGCATGACCTCAAATCACTTATTCTCGCGACAAATATAATTAAATCCTCCCTACCAACTCAAATCGCTCCGTCTTGTCATTAATATCCACCCTAATCACTCAAAATATCGAACATAAATTTATCATATACATTCCTCAAAGCACTTATTCTAGCGACAAATATAATTAAGATAATACATCTTTCTTAGAAACTCAAATCACTTCGGCTCATCATAAATATCCACCCTAATTACTCAAAGTATTGTCATTTTTATCGTCATAGTTATCATATATGCATGATTTCCATTCCTCGAATCACTTATTCTCACGACAAATATAACTAAGAGAAATGTATCCTTCATAATAACTCAAATCACTTCTCGTCTCCTCATAAATATTATCAAAATAATCTATCCACTCTAATCACTCAAAGTAACGAACATATGTGCAAGATTCCCATTCGGATACTCCAAGAAACTCCAAAACTTGACAATACCATATTCAAAATGCATCGAAACTTATACTTTACGAAGGAATCCATGCATTCACAAGAATCATTCCAACACAAACATAGAAAAACCAAATGTAATAAACACTAATTTAATTAAACTAAAGAGACTCACCGAGAAAATGAAGCGGGAGCGCAGCGGGATCGAGTTCCCAACAGTCCTTGTCGAGAATCCCCGACACCTGATCGCCCGAAAGCTTCTTTGCCGGGATCCGATGCGAGAATTTCCTCATGTCATCCTTTCTTAGACACACAACTGCATTCGCGCCAATCGATCGTCTCTTGAACACTGCTTTGAACCCCTCCACCTTCTCGAGGTACGCTAAACTCGTCCCGTGCATGTCGCTGTAGCTTCTCAAGCAAACGACGATGTCGTATTTCCGGTTCAATTCGCCGTACAACGCCCATATCGACCCTTTCTTGGGATATATCCTATACGTCTGTCTTGCAGCCCTTTCGCAATCCACAATGTGTGAGAATAAATTCACGAACTGAATCGACACATTGTTGGAAATCTTGAAGCTCCCACATGACTGACTCATCGATTCTCCAGGATGATTTTGATTAACTTCCAGCCAGCTCAGCATCACCTTGAACGGATTTAGGGATTCGATTTGATCGATTACGGCATAGTGCCTCGGCATTCCGTCGCTCTCGTCGTACACTGCCCACACTTGGCCTTTCTTGAAGCTTCTCTCATGTCTATCGACGTCAAAATCGTGAAAATCAGCATCCTCCACAGCCAACATCTCCACATTACTATCCTTCTTCTTGGAGCGCTGATTTTTCGATGAGTGTCTTTGTAAAGCTTCCAAATTTGCTAATTTTGACGATCTTTGCCTCTCCCGTTTCCCTCTCGTTTCTGTTGCTTTCCCATTCGCCTCTCGATTCTTCCAGTTGCGATCAATTTCAATTTCGTCGTCGGCATTCTTCTCTTTTCCATGTTCTTCTTCACCTGCTGCGGCGATTGCCATTGTTGTATCTTCATTCTCTACGTTTTCCAAATCCTTTTCTTCTGCCCCTTCGGAATTCTCCACCTTCTTTTTCTTCGCTCTCGATTTTCCAACGTCAATTTCATTCGGTCTCATCGCTCCCTCGCCATTGTCGAGCTTCTTCTTCTTCTGCCTCGTCAACATTCGTAGTTCCGATAAAGTCATTGTTGCATCTTCCCTTGCCTCTGCTTTCTTAGCTTTCTCACTCTCCATTGTCTCCTCTCCAACTCTCTGGGTCAATCCATTCTCATAGCTGCCATTATCGCCGCCACTGCTGCCACCGTCTTCCACCGGATTAACATCGCCAGTGGCCTTAACCTCAACCTTAGCAATTCTCCTCTTCATCCCTAACCCACATTTCTCCACAATTCCTAATCCATCGCCTCTTGCAATCCTCTCCCTAATCCTAGCACTTGCCCTAACTGTCGGCGGCACGCAGCCATTCTTCTCGGAATCGTCCTCGGCCTCCACAGCTGTGAAGGTCTTCTTGCAGCTAGGGCACATCAAGTTATGCCCTAAATATTTCCGCTCGAATTGATGCAGCCGCCGGCAAGACGTGCACGGTGTCCAGAACGTCTCCGGCGGCGGCCCGGCGGTCAATTCGGACTCCTGAGACGATTTCGACTGCAACGCAACCCTAAGCCTCGTGTCGTACTCCTTCCGACGGATCCTATCCGAAAGCACACGCGCCGCCTCTCCGACGAGCTTGAACGCCTCCTCCGACGCCGCGAACGGATTTTTGTCCGGGTGAAGAGTCATCGCGAGCTTTTTGTAGTGCTTCTTAATGGTGTTGATGTGCGAGAACTGCTCCACCCCTAAGATTTGATAGTAATCGAGAACGGAGCTACCTTCGGCGGCGGAAATCGGCTCCGCGGCGGTGCGGAGGATTGTAAAGGCGGCGAGCATCTCCGGCAAGCCGTTGAGAGATGGATGAAGCTTGTGCGCCTGTTTGGCGTGCTTCGCGGCGGCTTTGAGGTCGCCGGAAGTGTAGGCCTCCGCCGCTAAGGCCTGTAGCCTAGAAGCTTCTTCTTCGGGCCGGGCTAGGGTTTCTGGGCCCGTTTCGCCATTTTCGTCCGACATTTTTTCGGTGAGGTGAAGATCGGACGGTGGGAAATGAATGGGAAAATTAGGGAGAGGAGATTTCAGTGGTGGGAAAGGCTAGAAGTGGCGTAGGTGTTGTTAGAAGGTCCCGGGATCGCAGCACCGGATAAATGAATCTGAACCGTTGGTTCTGTAGATTTAAGTGCGGATTTATTTTGTTCTCGGTCTTAATTATATCAATTTATTTTAACCTAAAGTTTCTAAATATTTCTTGCAATTTACATATATACTTATTTATGGAGTATATTTAATATGATTCCATCTTATTGAATAAGCTTTGGAATTATAATATTTTGCAATACTTTCTTAAAATAAAATGCTAATTCTTGGTTGCATAATTTTAAAAAAATATAAATACTTATATGGACATATACACGCACTAGTAATTAATGGATAAATAAGGATAATAATGTGTTCCTTTGAATTTTTATTTTTTTAACAATTTTGAATTTCAATAATATTTTTATTTATGATTTCAAAAAAAGATAAAGTTATATTTTTATTAAAATTTAAGAGTTTAAAAGTCAAAGAATAAGTAAATAAATAAAATCTTTAGAGTTTGATTTTTAATTTTTATTATATAGTTATTACAATTTTCTATTAAAAAACTTAGAATACAATGTCGAGATTTTCTTTTATAAAATGTTTAAAAACAATAAAAAGATTTAAATAATACTTTTATAATTTACAATTAAACAAGTTTGTTTTTTAAATACAAATTTTCAATATATTTTTCAAAAAAATTAATATATTACACAAATTCATTATTTTTATATTATTTATACAACTTTAAATACTTTACAAATAAAAAATAAAAAATAAAAAAAATAAAACCAAGATACAAAACAAATACACCCTTTAACACACTGTTGACACAACCTTTGTTTAACCTTTCAATTGAAATATAATTAAATATAATTAGTTTTTATTTTAGATTTTTGTTAAAATTTTAATTTTTGTATGCAAATTAAAATAAATTAATATTTTATAAATATATAATATAATAAAATAATACTAATTTTCAATTTACCCTTGAAAGTAAATTCTTTTAAAAAAAAAAAAATTGAATTTAGACATACTAAAATTGTAAATATTACTCTTGATATTTTGGGCATATTTGTAAAATAATTTGAAAAAATATATTTTTAATGTAAAATATAAAAAATTATGTAAATAATATAAAATTAATAAATGTGTATAATATATTAAATTTTTAAAAAAAATGTGAATTTTTTTTTTTTAAAAAGGAAAAAAAAACAGACCCTTTAATTATATAAGAAAACTTCCTTTGTGTAAGGGTTTGTTTGTTTTGTCCAAAAATCCTAAGCTGCATTTCTCGAAGAAAGATATTTATTTTTTTCACAAAATATCACATCATACATCATTTTAATACCAAACTCAAACCAAATTTTTTACAGAAAAGTAACATATAATTATAATAAAAGGTAAAATTCACTTTTGACAAGATCAAGGTAAATCCCTTTCAGAATTTTCCATCAAATTAAGATACCACCTTAGTTTCCACGCCCAGTATTTTGTCAAGATCTCATACCATTGCCATTGGTATTATAACATAAAGATCAAGTTAATAGAAAATTTAAAATAAAACTAAAATTAAATCTTATAACTTAAACTAGGATTTTTTAAAAAAAAAAAAAATTGTAGAATTTTTACAGAATTATTGTTCACTAATTCGATATATTACCTATAGATGTTAGATGTAATTTCATTATACAAATTAAACACAAATACAGGGCGTGTTCACACAATTAAAATATAAAATAAAATAAAAAATTCTAGACACTTCTCAATTAATATTATAAAAATATACTTCTTCCGGCAGACCTAATTACACCACAAAACTTGAGCACGAAAATTTAAAAATAATACTAATATGAAAATAAAACAAATAAAGTAAAACGAAAGCAATATAAAAAATATATTAAAATGTTAATATAATTTAGTAGGATAAATAAAAAAATAATGACAAAGTAATTATTATTTATTAAAATAAGAATAATAAAATTATCAGTGAAGAAAACGGTTTACTATATCAAAAAAAGAAAATGTTACATAATTATCCCAAACAAATAACACAATATATATAACTTCAAATATATGGTGCTTTTTTTTTCTTCCTTTCTTTTCAAATATGATGAAGTAAATAATTTAGAATGAAGGGAGTAAAAACGTAAGTAATAGAAAGCATCTACCTAAAAAATGTAGTAGTATTTTATAGCCCCGGCCAGAGAATCTGACTTAAATACAAATGATGTTCTAAAAGGATAACTTTTTTTTTTTTTTTTTTTTTTTTTTTCGCAATCTGAAAATATTAATTCAGTCAAAAGCAGGAATAATAATAGAGAAGATGGCAGAAAAGTACCCGATGAAAGGTGGATGGACGGATCAGATCACACTATGCGCTCCAACTCCCTCGCGTAGCTGAGTGTCTGATTGATCAGCTGCAATGACGGGATCTCCTTGCAAGGGATCGATTCTTTTGCTCTCTGGAAAAACACGCACCCATTCTTCATCTCCCACTCGGGGTGCTCCTGCAATGCCCGTTTTTATATTTATATTTATATCGAATGAATGGCATTGAATTCGACGAATATAAAAATATGAGATGAGTGAAGTGGATGGATGCAAGAAATTTCTCTTCCTTTTTTTTTTTTTACCTCTTCGACGTATTGAAGCAATTCTTTGTCGGAAGAAAACAGAAGCATTTTCTTGGCATCGTTGATTGAAAGAGAATCATAGGCTTTTTCGCTGCAGCCAGCTATCTCATCCCTACCAGGAACACAACTGAGATATTAATGGGACCGAAATATTTCATAGCCAAAAGGATGCATATCTAGAGAGAGAGCCATCAGTGAGAAACCCAAAAACTGAGACAGGGAACGCAATAAACTTAGGTGTGTTTGTTTGGGAAATTTTTCCCATTTTCCACTTTTCATCAAATTTTTCCTCCCCATAACATCAGATCATACATCTATTTTTTAATTTTTTATATTATACTTAAAAATTAATTTTATATTCAAAACATTACATCGTACAACTATTCCAATTCAAAATTTTTATTATTCAAATCCCAACTCAAAATCCAAATCCCCAAACAAACACACCCTTAATGCATTCTCATACCTAATGCAAATATTCAGGAAAGAATGAATTAATCGAATACCAAACCTAATGCATTCTCATAATATATGTAGGCCATAGTATGGTTTAATTTCCTTTTGTTTCGCTATCGTGCTATTAAATGCAAATAAACCAGGAAAAAACAAATTAATCTAATCACAAACCTAATACATTCTCATAATATATGTCAGTCATAGTACGGTTTAATTTCCTTTTGTTTCATTATTGCGCTCTTAAATCCAAAAAAACCAGGAAAGAACGAATTAATCTAACCACAAACCTAATGCAGAACATGTGAGAAGAATGTAGAGAGCAGGTATAACATTCATTATCGAGATTGAAGATTAAATTGATCTTAATCAAAACTGTATAGCATCAGAAGCTTTACCTCACTGTCTTTGCAAGTAAGTCCATAAAGTAGACATATGTTTCATGTGGTACAGTTTGTCTGGCACTCAACACACGGTTATAAGCTCCTTCCATGAAGGATTGCTCCAGCTCGACGGCATGTTTGATGCAAGGGTTCTCCAAAGCACTAGGAGAAAGTAACTCCAACTCAGTATGGAATTCAGCAATTCGGTTTTGTACAAGGAGCCTCAGAAGGTTGAGACCTAAAATGGGATACTCCTGAGGGGATGATTGGAGCCGACCGCTGCTCAAACAAGCGAAAAAATGGGTCATATATAGTGATTATTAACCTAAAGCAGCTCCACTCTAACAGATAAACATGAACAATAAACCTAAACACCGCATAAACATTTGAAGAGCTCAAATGATTTACATTGCCAAAAATTATAAAAACCACAGACCATAATTATGTAATACATATAGTTGTAGGGAAAAATAAATCCCGAAATTCAAGATATCCATCAATGCCAAAGACACCCAACCAATTCATTGTCGCGGTTTATATAGATTTATATATTCTGTAAAGAACTAAAAAGATCAATACAAACTCAAAAGAACAAATTTAACACTTAATAAAACCATGTTTATATCCTCAATTGGAATAAAACAATATAAACTTCACCCTCCAGAAGATGGGTTTTGTAACCATATTTTTATTGCATCAAATCTATTAGCAACTGTTGAGAATGGATGATTACCGAGCATCTGTGTAATAGGGTTTCAGTTGGAAGAAGTCCCTCTCAAAAGAATCCTGGTCCTCAATCTTCACACTTAAAACAACTGCATGCTCATATATGTCCCCTGAAAAAACAGAATACTAAATAAATAAACTGAAGATTGCAGAAGATGAACACAACAATGGAGTATGACATCGACAAAATGTCGAAATGTTTTTACTTGCTAGCGTCAATTCCTGGACTGCATTTGGAGTTTCTTCAAACAATGGAGGTAAGCTCTTGAACCCCGTCAACGAAACCTGCCATAGTAGATTGTAATCAGAACTTCCATAATTCACCAAACATAACCTCTAAGCTTAGATCCAAGTTCAAAACAATTCAGTCAATTCTAAGAAAGCTTCCCCGTCAAGCTGAAAGGCAAAATCTAACTATCTCAACACAAACACCAAAAATGACCAGTTCCGGTGAAATACACAGATCTAACCTATTCATTCATTTTTCTTTTAACACATTTCTCGTCTTCGTCGATAACATTACATAACCACAAGTTTTAACAGCAAATAATATCCAAATTACATCAATCTACTGAAAACCTAGATGCGTTTGCATCAACTAAAACACACCAAATTAAGGCGACTCACATACGATAGATTAACCGAACTCAGTTTCAAAAAAAAATAAAATAAAATCGAGAAATTAAACAGATATCAGGAATAACAAACTTTTAAATAGAAATTAAACTCAAACCTTCAGCTGCGAGAGGAGTTGTGTGCAAGTATCGAAATCCTTCCGCACAAACGCCGCTTTGAACCTCTCGAACACTTGAGATACCTCTGTGAATTTCGGATCCATCTTCGCCCTCTCGTTCCGTCTCCCTGGAACAATAATCGCACTTTTCTTTCTACACAAGAAAGAGACGCTACTGAGGCACAGCAAACAAGGCCGACGACGAGCGTTGCAGGCTTATATATGGGCTATTAATAGGGACCTTATATATAGGCCGGCCCAAATATTTCCAAACCGTGTGTTTTTAAAATATTCGATTTTTTAATTTTATTTCATTTAAAATATAATTAATGTTAAAAAAAAAAATTTAAAAAAAATATCATATTTAATAATTTTTCTCTGCCCTTTAATATTATATAAGTTTGTTTAATTATTATACAAAATTTATTAAATATTCATAAAAGATAACGGTATAAATAAAAAAAATTAATAAAAAATTATTTATTAACGTAAAAATAATAAAATTACAAGTGAATAAAAATTATTTATTATAAAGACAAAGGTAGTATTTGGTATTTACATATATTAAATTAAAGAGTTTAGGGTTTACTTGTGCTTAATGTGATTTGCTTAGTTATTATGTTTGATTGAAAATTTATCTGGCCTTTTAAAAATAACGGTTGGTAGATTTTCACGTCATAAAAGAAATATTGATTCTTTTGTTATGTAATTTTAAAATTTTCAAACATACTTTTTATTTATAATTTTGTTCTAATTGGTTTTTTTTTTTTTTTCTAAAATATTAGGAGTAATATTTAATACTACAATTTATTTTATGTAAGTTGTTTGTGTGTATATATATATATATATAATTTTTTTTCTAAGTTTTGATAAATTTAAATTAATTAGTTGTTAATATTATATAATGAATTCATTCAATTTCATTTAACTTCCGAACAAGTGATGCCTTAGGCTTGATTTTTTCAATCAATATAAATAAAAAATACAAGGAGTACATACCCTTATTTCATTTAACATATATTTGAAAGGTAACATATGTTATCACACCAGGACCATGTGTGGCAAATAAATTTGAAGGCGTCGAAGCATAGGAGTTCTCAGACCATCCCTTGTACGAAAATTTATTATATATACATGTGTTCATAGAACCATATAAACAAGGAATAAAAAAATAAAAAAAAAATAAAAAATAATAATAATAATAATAATAATACTAAAATAGATATTGATATGAAACAAAAAATATATATATTTTTATATTTAAAAAATAATAAAAATACCATAATATAATTACACAAACTTCTAATTTCTCCTTCTTTATATTTATTATCTTATTATTTTATCATTTTCATTTGTCTTAAATCAATTATCACATTATCATAAATAAATAATTGTGTCCCATATCAATATAAAATTACTTTTCATTTTTTCAATATTGTTACACAAAATACCATTATTTTCATTCTATCTAAATTAAAATACATTTACTAAAATATCAAGTAGATCATTTAACATTTCATCACCCCAACTAAAATATCAACATTTCTTAAAGGGTGCTAGAAAAATAGGAGATAATACATCCTAGACGGAAGATTATTACACAGCACAAATCTTTCAAGCCTTTATCACGTGGCATTATTTAAACTTCCCGCAAAATTATGCTAAAATGGAGCTTATCTTAAAAAATAAATAAATAAGTAATATAAATAATAAATAAATAAATAAAATGCAATTAACAAAATAAATAAAAATGCAATTAACACTTGTGTTTGGCTTCTATTTCAGATATAAATCAATATTATTAATCCAACAATAATTTTTAATACTACTTGTGTCCCATAAAAAAAATCTTATAGGTTATTTTTTTTTTAATATTAATTATTATATCAAATACCTGCTTAAAAAAAAAATTAAACCTTTATTTAACGCAAAAGCCTTTATTTAACGCAAAAGCAAACGACGTCTTTCTTGTGGGAGGAGGTAATATAATTTTATTTTTTCTCTTGAAAAATTATATCAAAACATTATATAAACAAAAAAAAAAATTTTAAAAAAAACCCACAAGAACCAAATAAACTCTATTAGTTTAGAATATCACATACAATTATTATTCATTCTAAAGTACTCATTCCGTTCCAAATCACTATGCAGCAGGTTTTTTTTAGGTATGTCCCACACTTTCCAACATTTTCAAAATAGAAAATAATTAATTATATTAATCTCTACCTACATTTTATTCTATCACATCACCCAAATAAAAAAAAATATATTTATTATTTATTCACATCTCTCCATCACATCACCTCATTATCATACTCTCTCCCTCTAATTTCTATTGTCCTAAAATATATTTGCACGATTTTTTAGGTAATTTTCGTTTTGTTATGAATTGACAATTTTACCCTTAATTATATGGTAGAGATTAAAAGTAATAAATGAACGAAGGAAGTATTTAATACTACCCACCTAAAAACTAGTATCCAAAACAAATGTTGCAAACGGAGGGAGTATATACTTAGTATTATTTAATATTCATATGAATATATTTCAACATATAAAAAAAAGAATGAGCTGGTGTAAGTAACAGGGCATCAAGATGTTCCAAGTAAAGAACGGCACAAATCCAAGAACACATTTGAAAAGGATCAATAATACTGCGAGTAAGTAAAGCCTTTAAGCCTCAATACCAGGTGCCAGAACACACCATATATATATATATATATACACACATACAGGCACAGTATACACCTACAGGCAGAGTATCATTGCCGTAGTAGTCGGGATTCGTCGCCACGAAAACCCGAGGCCAGGCCCCCCGAATATGCACAGAATCTAAAACGCCTACTCGACTAGAGACACTCCGAGTCAAAATGATTTCACAAAACGATCATCGTGCACATATTAAAAAGGATCAAACGATTAGGAGGTGTCGAAAGTGAAATTTCTACGATTCGCAACTTACAGTTCACTGGCAATCGCTTGTCGATGGTAAGGGGGCTTTTGTTCCTTTCATTTTCTTCACATCCCGACTGGAACAAATGAGAATCCTTCGAACCATGCCACAAAATTCTCTGCAATTATAATAGAATCTTGAACTATAACCCGGGCTTTGACTAGCGAGCAAGATCAATATGAAATGATTTAGAACTGTTAAATGAATCAAGTAACTCGCGAACTAAACTTGACTCAACTCGTTTATAAAAATAAACGAGCCGAACTCGAGCTCGAAAATTATTATTTTTCAAAACAAGCTCGAGCTTGAGCTCGGGTCACGGGCAGCTTGATTGAGCCCGTTAGTGAAGATATATTTGTATCATTGTATATAGCCCTTCCGTCCCGGCTACCGTGTCCCATTTATTGTAGACACGAGAATTTAGCAGGAGTATAATTAGTAAATAATTAAGAATGAATCAGTAGAAATAATTATCTTAGATTAAGATAATTAATTAGTATAACTAAAATTTAAAAAATTATATATTAAACCATTTAAAATGAGATTAAAATATATAATTTTGGAAAATTGACATAATAAATGGGACAGACGAAAATAGAAACATAGACACGGTATATGGGACAGAGGGAGTATTAATATTATATATGTATATTTTAATAACACTTGTATTTATTAATAAAATTTAAATATTTTATTATAATACGTACAAAATTTGAGCAAAATTCAAACTCGCTTGAGTTTGAGCCTTGTGAGCAAAGCTTGAACTTGAAATCAAGCTTAACAAGCCAAGTTCGAGCCACTATTTCAGCTCGAATCATAATCAAATTGAGCCGAACCTGTACTGATAACATGTCCGAGTCGAACTCAAACAATTAATACTCAAGCTCGTTAGACTCGTTTGACAGCTCTATAAGTAAATAGAATGGATTGAAAATACTCACATCCATGGATCGTCGCCCATCAGCATCATGTCACCTTCATCGTCTGTAAATACGACCTCCCATTTATTTCTCGGCTGCAGCTCTCCTTTGATTTCAAACATCTCTTCCAGTTCGGTTATGAGCTCATCATAACCGTTCATTGTGTTCAAGTCCACTGCACGGCCAACGGCAACTCCTTGCATTTGTACCTAATCAAGTCAAAGACAAATATCAAATTGAAAGTTTTGTTCTATTCCTAATATTGAAGGCCTTCGAATTGCGCTGAGTACCTTGGTGCAACTTCTGGCATGGCGGCTCTGAACCTCCTTTGTTGGTAATTTCGAATGAGATTTCTCAACTTCTTTTTTATCATTCCGAACGCTGGATTTATGCTCTGAATCAGCTGATAGCATTGTGGTTGGAATGCGAAATTCGAAGCCTTCTTGTGACGCGTCAATAGATTGCGATGAAGGATGCCCATGAAGAGGTACTAAAAAGGGGTTTTTGAGGTCGAACCCGAACAACCTGCATACTGCAACAGCATCTGATTTCATTTCATTATGCCAAGGCATCGACCAAATTGATGCACTGTTGAGATCCTTTGTCTCGTCAACCAAAACACTTGGAGCATTCAAATTAGGTGATTGTTGCTGCTCTACCCCATCCAGACGAGAGTTTAAGGATTGTGCGAGAGTCGTGGCAATGTCAGCTTGTTTAGCAAATGAATCATCGATTTTGCTTTGTTTTCTTTCAGGGCCATCATTTATTTGGCGTGGCTCCTGAGATAGATTCCGGGTTGCTGGGGCAGTCCAATTTTCTGCAGTATGTTACACAATGTTGAAGAGAAAGGAAGATAAATGAAAATCAAAGCTAAATCCAACCTGGGATTTCCACATGAGCTCGAAGCCTCTTATGCTTTGTCGTCAATGGCTGCGCCGGATTGCACACAGTTGCCGTAAATGGCTCTATTTCCCAAGGAGAAACCCTTTCCGGTCTTGGAATGGATGCAGGCTCATCCCATTGGACCTACGAATATTACGGGGAGCATGAAGAACAATCAGTTTTTGAGAAATAGTTAAATGCAAACAAATGGATGGTGTTGGACGTAGTAACCTTCAAAGATCGCCACTTAGAGTCGTCCCACTGAGAGGAAATGGCGTCGACACCAACTATTGTACCAGAATATCTGAATGATCAAAAAAATAAGAACGGGTACTAGAAATACAATCATTCGGTCTCAACAAATATAATGGTTGTCTAAATATACTGAAATACCTCCTCTCAGGAGAATCTTCCCCCTCAAACCGCATCTTGAATCTCATCCCGACAGAAAATTCATGGCTTACAGCTTCGAGATACTTGTTCAGTCCTATAATGAACTGACTTATTCTGAAATGCAAACAAAAACATTAGAAATTCAAGAAAGGGTATTGGGTACGAGTAGACAAAAATAACATGTAGCAAACCTTGGCTTGTAATAAACAACAAAAAGGGTGTGAGTTAAAAGCGCATGAGATGCTGTCGCGAGCACTCCCAAGTGCATGCTCTGACTTGAAATAACTGATGATGGGATTGAACTATGTTGACGGGTATGGCGCCGGACCCCCACTCGTAACTCACCATTCTCCCCCCTAGAAACAGTATATAAAGTATCAATTAGGCCAAAAACATCTTGTATACCATCAAAGATTTGCTTATACCTTAGAAACACAAACGAATCCCCAGCAACTAATCTCTTAGAAGAAACAAATGTACTCCACCCTGTTGTAAGCAAATGCCTCCTAGGCTGACCTGTTTGGTTTCCATCAATATGCATTAACCCGGTCAAGAAATGAGGGAATCCAAACTCTCACAAGGCAACCAATCACGATCATCACTAGGTGTTAGACCAACCAACCAACCATGCAATTTTCTCATGAAATTATTAGATAGATGTCTATGACAAGTACTTTCTTTATTTACTAAATGGATCTTTGTTGATCACATCTAAAGCAATTCTTGAAGGTTACATGGTGTATTACCTCTATAAATGTGCTTGAAAGACCATTCATTTCCAAGAAGATCCTTGGCTATCAGCTCCTGAGTAGGTGTCTGCTGAGTCATATCCTGCACCACAGTAATACCAAACGTTATACAAGTTGCACATAACCCGAGCATATTTAACTGAAGGATGAAATTTGGGTTTAAAAAAGGGGGGGCAAGTATCAAGAAGCAAGATGGAATCATCAATTATTACCAAAGGAGGGAGACAATCATTGGCATGTTTCCGAAGGACCGAGAATCCACCATGGGTGCTTGTATCAGATGCCGTCAAAACTTTGCAGAATGAGTGGACCGCAGGTCTATGAGGCTCATCCGAAGATTTGTCAAGACTTTTTGGTTCAGTTTGCTAACAATGATAAATTCAATCAGCTTCCAATTGTTAAGAAAAAGCCAGCTTCAACATTTCCAATAGTATGGAAAAGAAAACTGCGCAATTCTTACATTTGCTTCAGGCATCAATGTAATCTGAGCGTACACTTCATCAGTTTCTTGCTCGGCCTACATAATAGACATTTCAACAGATTGCATAATGTCCTAATATACTCTAATAATGTTTGCTTCTTTGAATTGATATTTCACACAAACTTGTTGGCTATCGATTGTCATATGATTTTGAGATGGTTTATACAGGCTGCGGAAAGAACACATTAATGTCACAAATTGAAAATACATGACAGAAAAGCTGAAAGGAGATTACCAGCAGCTGAATGTTGCATACAGAACAAAGGATCTTTGAGGGCAGATTAAACATAGGTATCCTCTGATTTAGTTCTTGATTTGTTGAAGCCTCTAACTAGCAAACAGCAAAAACAACATACGTTCAAACAGTATATGAAACATCAACGTTCCACAAGATAAACTCGAGATTGTTCAATCAAGCACAGTTTCCTTAAGATCTGGATAACAAACAGAAATCCAGCAGCCTTACAAACAAAGCTTACTTGTTCCATATGACCCTGAGGAAAGTAGTATACTCTTTCCCCAACTTTTGGAATATCCACCAAAGGGCCAGCGCAACCCTTCCATAACTCGTCATACAACGCATCCCTCCTACCGTCCCCTGAATTTCCACCAAAAAGGAAGATTGAAGAAGAAAACTCAGTTTAATGAAGAAGCAATTCACAAACATCGACGATGAATCATCTCAGATGTTCGACCTTCAGATAAAACACCAGTGTTCTGTTGCTGCTGCTGAGAAAACGACCCTCTATTCGCCATGAATAAAGAAATTCTCCTCTCCTTTGGAGAAAAACTCTAATCTAATCGATCCTCAACCAAAGTTCATCCATAAAAACATACGAAACTACATTACATTCACCTACTCCGTAACTTCACCCGCCAAAATCCCAAAATTCAACAAACGAACAACCATTTTAAACCTTCAATCCCTGCAGAAACGCCGGAAACTCAGCATTTACCGATCAAACTAAAAATAATGCAAAATAAACCAAAAAAGTTGAAATTCCTCCATATTTTCCTCCTTTCTCCTTCGCCTCCCCCAAGTAATGGACGCGGAGGAGAGGCAATGGAGGTAATGGCGGTGCAGAATCCCAAGGAACAGCACTGTACACGCCTCGATTCGATGCTTTATCTCTCTATCCTCTGTGCGTTGTTTTTCTCGCGAGTAATAATTTCAATTGGCTTCTTCACCCAACGGGTTTGGTTGTCTCCTTTTTCACTACAGCCTGCCATCAAACCTAACCAACTAACCGTGGTTAATATACCACTAACCATAGTTATACGGCTTCGGTTACTCCATTTCTTCGAGGCCCTTCCAAGAACTCCTAGGAGCCGCGTCTCTACACTGTTCTTGAAGAAAAATAAACCGTCGATCATTTCTGATCTAACGGCAGCCCCGTCTCGGGACCCCAGATCCGTGGACCCTGCAAATGAATGAGCGGCTGTCGGCGCGTGGAGAATCATCGGCGCGTGAAAAGCTGTCGGGGTGACGGCAGGCAGCGATCAAAGAATTTGAAGTAATTAGGGCAGGGTGGGGTGGGGGGCTGTGGGGACCATGGGACACGTGGGGAGCAGTAGGGTTGGTACGGGGTGAGGCAGGGTGCAGTGGTCCAGAAAGCGTACAGATCAGCAGAGGCTTCCACGTGGCAAAGATGATGACGTTAGACCCAGTCCAATTGCATATCCTGCGCGCGATAGGACCACTCCATGTTGTAGCAGAACCCTGCCCGCGCATGTGACTTGTATATAATACTCTAATTTTTTTTTATTAATATTATATAAAAATATATTTTTTTAAGATGTAAGTTACAATAAATACTACTCCCTCCGATAAATATATGGGTGAAATATTTGATTTCAATTTTTAACAAAATATATTAATTTTTTTATAAAATATTATTTAAACAAATATAAATCAAATATATCATTTTAAATTTTAAATTTTAAATTACAATCAAACAAATTTTTAGTATATCTTGAAAATAAAAAAAATAATTAATTACAATTTATTACATCATACAATTCAAATAAAAAAATAAATATATAATTCTTTTTACACTTCACAAGGAATGGCTAAAATATTTTTTTTATGAATAAACAAAATAATATTAGGGTGTGTTTGTTTGGGGGTTTGGATTTTGAGTTGGGATTTGAATAGTAAAAATTTTGAATTTGAATAGTTGTATGATGTGATATAAATAGGTGTTGATGTGATGTTTTGAATGTAAAATTGATTTTTAGTATAATATAAAAAATAAAAAATAGGTGTTTGATTTGATATTTTTGGGGGGAAAAAATTGGATGAATAGTAAAAATCTTATTAAATCCCCCAAACAAACACACCCTTAGTATTTTGAATGATTTTATAAGTTTAATTTAGTGCTGAGTGCTAAATGCAAAAAGACACTTTTACTTGTTTGACTGTTATTTGAATTAATTTAAATTTTTATTTAAATAGTATTATATTTTATTAAAAATCGTACCTAATAAATATTGTTCATTTTAATTTTAATTTGAAATCAACAAAATAGATGTTTGTTTTTGAGATTTTTATTTTGAATAATAAAAATTTAATTTAAAATATTTATTTATCATGATATAATTATATATTAATGTAATATTTTCAATATAAATTAATTTTTAATAATATTAATTCAATTCCAGCTACTGTGTCCTATGTTGTAGACACATAAATTTAAGATATATATTTGATAAATAATTTATAATGTATCAATAAAAAATAATTATTATTATAATAATAATTATTATAAATTAAGATAACTAATTAATTAAAATAGAATAAATAAAAAAATTAGTATTTAATTTAATTTTTATTTTAAAAAAAAATCGAAATAGTAAATCAAATAAAAAATTTAACTAACACCCTTCTCTTTATTTTGGCCACGCGCTTAATCTTGTTGGTCTATACTTGACAATAATTAATGCCAACTGCTAAGTGCCCAAATTTATTACCTATGGTTGTTTTTTATTTAACAATTTTCTTTTTTAGTATTTGTAAAAAAAATATAGTACTTCTTCACTCAACATAATTGACATTAATTGCTACTTCCTCCATCCCAAACATTATGTAATATTTTTTTTTTTTTTATATCTCGAATATTCTGCAATATTTTTAAAATAGAAAATAATTAATTATACTTAATCTATATCCCACAATTTATCCTTTCACATTATCCAAATAAAAAATTAAAATAAGTATATATTTCTCTCTCCATCACATCACTTAATTTCTAAATTATTCTACTTAATATTATCCACCTGAAAATCTGTGCAAAAAACAAACGTTGCACTTTGTTTGGGACGGAAGGAGTACTATATTTTAAAAATCAATGTTAATTAGTTAATAATAGTGAGTTATATATTATTTTATTATTTTTTATTATATTGTTAAAAATAAATTTAATATATATGATTAAAAAAATAGAATATATATTTCATTATTTTAAAAATTATATCGCACTAAAAAATATATACAATATAAATATTATTTTATATATAATAAATTTTATATAATATAAATAAATAAAAAAATTATTTATTTATTTATAATTAATATAAATTAATTTTATAAAAAAAATAAAGTTTTAAGTGTGAATAAAAAAAATACTATATTTTTTTAAAGAAAAATGGAAATAAAATTTTGAGTCAAGTGTGATTTATGTTACAAGGTATAAGTCAATTAAATTAATTTATATTTGTCAAATATATTTTAATTAATCAAATGTTACCAAAATAAAAAAGTATCATTTGTTATAAAAAAAAAAATAGTGTTAATTGCGATGAACTGGATAAAGTATTACTCTCCTATTCCCATAGAAATAATAACGTTTATTTTTTGCACGTATATTTTTTAATATTAGTATTATATTTAAATTATAATAAAAATGATAAAATGCCCCTATTATTACTATTATATAATATAAAAGTAATGATATTTGTATAACATATTGTAAGTTGAAAAGAGTATTTATTATGTTAAGTAAATAGTACAATTACTAAATTAAAAAATAGTACCCTTATTTTGGGACGTATATGAATGAAAAATAGAACCTTCTTATGGGCCGAATGAAGTATTTAAGGTGTTTGTTTGAGAAATTTTTACGAAAAATTCACTATTCATCCAAATTTTTTTCCCTAAAGTATCAAATCAAATACCTATTTTTCATTTTTTATATTTCATCCGTCTCAGCTACCATGTCATTTTTACTATAAGATAACTAATTAGTCTGCTTGAAATTTAAAATTTTAAAATAAAATTAAAATATATAATTTTTTTTAAATGAAAAGTGACAAAATAAATAGGACAAACAAAAATTGAAAGATGAACACGGTAAATAAGATACTAAAAAGAATTAATTCTACATTCAAAATATCACATCAACACCTACTTATATAACATCCTACAACTATTTCAATTCAAAATTTTTACTATTAAAATGCAATTCAAAATTCAATCCTCCAAACAAACACCCGCTAATAATTTACCATTTTATACATAACTTGTAAACGAGGGATTTATTAATTGTTACCAATGGGAGTATAATTATAATACATTAAGCTGAGGGGCAAATTGGACATTGCACCAACCCATTCTCATTACACTCACCACACCTTTCTTTGCTCTCCCCAATAACGATTTTGCAACTTCCGCCGCACCCCAAACACGGCACAAACCTAGCGCCGCCGCAACCGCCGCAGCCCTGCCGTCCGACGCCACGCGCCACCCTCGCCCAGTTCAGGATGCGGCTGAGCCGCCCCGTCTCGTTCAGCGCCACCGCCTCCTCCACTCCGCCGATGTACCTTCCCTTCACGAACAGCCGCGGCACCCCCGCCCCCTCGCCCAGGAGCTCCCGGAGCTCCGACCGGAATCCGGCGTCCAGTGCCACGTCACGCTCGTCGAACACCACCTGGTGCGTCTCCAGCAGCTGCCGCACGCGGTTGCAGTCCTCGTACGTCCGCCGCACGCCGCCGAGGGAGGTGGTGTAGATCACGACGGCGTCGCCGCCGCCGGTAGGGCACTTCTCCTCGAAGTCGGCCAGAGGATCTCTCTTCACGAATCCGGCAGATTTTCCGGCGTTCTCCCGCTCCTGCCGGTCACGGACGATGAATATATTATCCTTCAGCGACCTCGCCACGCCGCCGGCGGCCGGAATCTCCATTGCCGGCGAGCTCGGCTTCACCCCTGCCGGTTTTGCTGTCGCCGGCGAACTCGGTTTCAACCCGGTCGACTCGACCGGTTTAGCCGAAACTTTGGCCTCCAAATCTTCCAAGGTACGATAAGACCGGTTTTTCGGCAACGTCTTTTCCGGCGCAGCGGCGGCGGCGGAATCCGGCGCCGGAGCTGCCGCGACGGCGGCGTTAAGCTTAGGCTTGAGATCCTCCAACGCCTTGCTGACCTCATCCCACGACCGCGGAGCATCCTCTAGGGATTTGAGCTTCTCGAGAATTGGGGGCGGCACGTGCGAGGGTTGTTTATCCACGTGCGCGTCGTCGCCGGCGGCGGCGGCGGCGTTGTTCTTCAGCCAGGGTTCTTCGATGGCGGTGATGTCGAAGACGGCGAAGCTGGACTGCGCCGGCCGGTAGTCGCCGGCGTCGACGGCCTTGGAGGAGGAGCAGCCCATTGGATAATTTGTGGGGGAAATGAGATTTTAGGGTTTTTATTTTAATTCTTTATATATATATATAAATAAATTCTGGATTAATTAATAATATACACCACATAAATAATATAAGGCTATAAATTCCTTACATTATTATGTTACACAAATATTATTAATTAGCGCTACGTAAAAGACAAATTATTTTTAGTGTGGAGAATGAGCTAACACGTTAGCAATTATTAAGGTGTGTGTAATATATATATATATTTTTTATTTTTATAATCAGTTATAATTTTTTTGATCGCATTTTACTATTTTATTAAAAGTCCAATATATATATTTATTAAATTTATATATATTCTTCATATTCCCATGTTTATTTATTTAATTATGGTTGGATTTGGAATATAGCATTGTACAGATTATGATTATGCTTAGAAACACGTTCAAACAATAGTAAAGAATTGAATGAAAAGAGCATGAAGGGTGTGATTGTTTTCTATTAATATTATTTTTAATATACATTGTTTTTAATAATAATATATAATTTTTATAATATATTTAAAAAATAAAAAAATAATTATTTAATAACTCTATCACAAAATTTCTAATAACTAATAATAAAATTTTTAATTTTTGTAAACACTAAAAACATAACAGCAATTTTTTGAATGAAATTTTTTTTATAACATACTAAATAAAAAAAAAAAGTTTTATGTCTAATTTAATAATTTTGAGAATTAAATAAATAAATTTTGACAAATAGTATAGGTCAAAACCATACCTTCAAATCATAGGTAAAAGTATATAAAAGAGAATCTTGAATGGACACAGTTAAATTCGAAGTAATACCCTATTTACTATATATTTTTTTAACAAAAATATATTATTATTATATTTTTTTAAAAAAACTATTATTAAGGTCCACAATTAGAAAATGAGACAATTTTGTGGGCTCATCGTGAGTTGCCATAAATCCCACAGCTAAATTTGTGGATGGGATTTTATTGTCTTTTGCTTTATTTTGTTGGCTTCTGTTACATTCACAACTTGGCAAATTATATACCAAGCTTAATGCTAAATTATTTCATTTATATTTGCTTTAACATTATAAATATATATTATTTGAGTTTGAGGTTTTATATTTTATACTTATTTATTTATAATATCATTATCGTATCAATTCAATTGAAATTTAAATTATACATGGAAATTTTTTTTTTAGAATATTACTATTACTAAATAAAATACAAATTATAAACATGAAAATAATATTCAATATATATTTATGTCGGAGAAATACGGTGTCTTGTAAGATCACAACAAAAATGGCTAAATAGTTTTTCGAATTATGTTGAGCATGTTTTCTAAATACAATAATTTCACCCTACTGTCTTTCACGGGTATAAGGAATTTTGCATATGAGAAAGGTAAAAAACAACTCGATTTTTTGGCAAAAAAAAAGTCCCGAGTAGAATAAAAGTTCGGAAATCTAAGAGTATATGGATGTAAAATAAGTGTGAAATAATTTTATTTCTCAAATTGTTAGAACTTGTTAAATGAACCCAAAACATCGTGTGTGTGTGTGTGTATATATATATATTTATACACATAGGAAGATATCCTTTTTCATATGAATTGAGTAGACATGTCTTTTCCTCGAGAACAATCATGTTGGTTCGATTGAAATTTAAACAATATATGTGTCTCTTTATTTTTTAATTCAAAATTCAACAAACACAATTGTTTGATAAGAACACACCTTATCTTTCAAAATTCCAAATAACATATTCTTCCTTAGCTAGGTATAGAGCTATTAAACGAATTCGATCTGTTCGTGAACTCGGTTCAGTTCGTCTCAATTCGTCTCTGTTAAAGCTCGTTCGCGAATGTTAACGAGCCGAGTCGAATAATATAAACAAGTTCGTTTCGTTAGCGAACGAGCCCGAACTTTGTTCGTGAACATTCGTTTAAATAATATATTTATTATAAATATTATATATACATATAAAATTATAATTTATAAATAAATAAAATATTAATTTAAACTATATAAATAAAATAATTTAAAATTTTCTTTATAATTTATGTATGAATTTAAAAAAATAAGACAAACGAGCTCGAACGAGTTTAATCGAGCCGAATACGAACACGAGCTCAAACAACAAAAATTCTTAATGAGCCGAGCTCGAACACTACAAACAAGCTCGAAAATTTAACGAACGAACATAAACCTTGTTCGCAAATATTAACGAACACTTAAAATTTAGCTCGGCTCGACTCGGCTCGCCTCGAATCTTTAACAGGACTAGCTAGGTATAGTCACACAGAAATTTCAAAATATGATTCATTCCTTATGTGTGATCACGCCGAATTTCCGTACACGAATCATTCGTTAGTGTGGCCACGTCATGCATTCATTTTAGAATTTTGTTTTTATTTTATTATAAACTTCCGTAGGTTACAACGGCGATATTAGCGTCACCGAGCGCACACACCACTAGTCATCATGTCAGTGTTTTGCTTAATTTCAACGTTCATTGACTTAGAATAAATTCGATTGCGCTAAAATAACCAATACTATATATTATAATTGTGAGCAAACAAGGATGAAAATGCTCAAAAAATTACCTCAATTGTTTACAATTTACATTTATGTCAGTGTTATTCAAATAAACATATTCGAAGTTTGTATGATATCCAAAATTGGAAAAAAAAAAAAAAAAAAATTAGAATGCTGATTAGGCTATCAACATATGTTACAGATTGTCATATTAGTATATATTAATTTTGTATCATATTAATATAAATTTTATAATGTTAATTTATACTTTATCTGCCACCAACTTATTTGGATAACACCCCAAACTATTTTCTTTTCTTTATATATATAATCCTTACAAATACAATTTTATAAAATATAGGCTAAATTGCATAAAATCTACAGTTTGACGAAATTTTCTATATTTTTAAAACTTGGGTCAAACTTTCTCGTAGTTTTATAAATTATGTGTCTAATTTCCTTGGCGGTCATTATTTAACGGTATTTGACCTAAATGCACCAAACTGCGAATAAATTTTATAATCTCAATTTCTAAACCACTAAACTTACAAATTTATTCGTCGTTTGGGGCATTTAGGTCAAATACCGTTAAATAAGGATCGCCGAGAGATTAGACGCAAAGTTTATGAAACAAGAGAGAAATTGACGTTGTTTTAAAAACATTGAAATTTGGGGCAATACGACGAGTAAATTTTGTAGCAATTTAGCCTGAAATCTATCACAAACAAAAGGTAAAGACAAAATAATAAAAAAACTATAAAAATTATACCCATCTAAAAAGTCACGTGAAAGCAATAACTAGCAAATAAATTGGATACAAGTAGAAGTATAATATCTTTCCTACAAAGTTTCTATGCAACCATTCACCAGTCGTTGAAATGTTAAACTTCTTCAAGGGTAAGCTAAGAGCATGACCATAAACATGACATTCAACTTTGATTATTAATTATGATTGACAAATATTATTTTCAATTACTAAGACAATTTCAACATGTCTTGACAAAACATCAACTGGTAATAATGAAACATTAATAGCACGAAAAGAAATTGAGAAATAATTAAATCAGCAAAAGGCAATAGAAAAAGTTAGATAATTCATACTACTAAACCATTATAAGGAATACATTCAATTTATAAACATTTTATATAATAATGTTCTATGACTAGATTCAAAGCTAAATTTTAGCACTATTCATTTTTTAAAAAACACAACATCCAATTTTGTATTTACAATATTATACACAGATACTTTTGGAATTTTGACACCATTCTTCTATAATATACATATTTTTTTTTAAGAGAATATTGTATCAAATATATATTTTATGTATTTTTTACTATTCCTTTTACTTTTTTTTTTTTTTTCTTATTCAAAACTTTGTGGATGTGTTTGGCAATTAGCTGATAGCTGTTAGATGATTCAATTAGCTGGTTTGATTAGCTGATTCGATTAACTATTTGTATTAAAATATTCCGTAAAACAACGGTTTGATATTAGCTGTTTATAAGTTGAGAGGACATTTCTATTTTATTTTTGTTTCTAATATATTCAATTATGTTCTTTGAGTTTAGAATGTTTAAAACTTTTTGTTATTAATTATTGAAAATTGTAAAAATATTATAAAAGTATTTATTTTTATTACAGTTGGATTTAAAAAACAATATATTTTTATTAAAATATATAAATAAATTTTCTATTGAAAATGATGTAAAATATAAAATAATAATTTTTTCGTGTATATATTTATTATGTTAGTTATCGATTAGTTCATTATATTTATAATTTTTAATAAATTTAATTTATTTAATTTATTTTTAGTATAAAATTTATATAATGTAATTTTAATATAAAAATAAATTATTAATATTTATATTTTCTATTTTATGTTGATTTTAATAAATATATATATTTTACAATTAAAATAATTTTTATATAAAATTAATTATTTTAAATTTATAAAAGTAAAACTATAATAGTATAATAAAATATTCTAATATAACTAATAAATAATCAAAATATATTTATTGTGTAAAATACCTAATAAATTTTCAAGGGTATATAAGGAATGAAAAAAAAATTTTACAAAAAAAACTATTTCAAAACGATGGATAAGTTAGCTTTTCAGAAATTAGCTTTTTGGGTAAAAAGCTAATTTACATCTAAATTAGCTTTTTAACTAGTCAAACAGCTTTTAGCTGTTGCTCTTAAAAAAAGCTATTTGCCAAACACCCTTGTTTAGTATCTAAACAGAAGAAACATATGACTTTGTTTACATACCAAACTTTCACTAAATTGACACTATTTATTTTTGAAAAAATAGCATATTAAAATTTTTATCTCATAAAATATCAAATCAAATACTAATATTATACTTTCTCTAAACTTCCAAAATTCCAAAAGCTCTAAAAATTCCGGAGTAAGCGGAATCTCTTCGGTACATTACATTCAAACCAAACCAAAATTTCAAAAATATTTTCCAAACATATTTAAAATAATCCGCTCTCAAGCTAAGAAGTACTTCGACTATCGTCCAAATTTTTTTCATTTTTCTTTTTCTGTTGTCATCCAAACTTATCCCTATTTTCTTTTTAATAAAACAAACTTTTTCTACCTTTTTTTTTACTATAAAAGAATTTTTTTTATATATTAAACTATTTTTCTTAAAATATGTAGTCGGTCAAATGAGCATAATTTTAGATGAAAGGAGAAAATAAGTTGAATAAGTTTTAGTGCTGACAAGTGGCCCTTGTCTACATACTCGAACAAAGTAGAATTTAATTTGGTATTTATATGGCAAAAATTCAGGATGCTTTAACCCAATAACTGTAGCACATGTGAAGAAGCAACAAAGAAACAGGGGCTTATTCTAACATATACAACAACAAATTAAATTTATCTCTATTTACTTTTTAGTGTTATTATTCTAACCAAGAACCAATGCCCACATGCTTTATTGATGGACACTTCCAAAACCCCTTAATTTTTGCTACCCAAATTTCAAGAAAAGGCCCCCTTAAAAAAGGGTGTCATTTTCCTCATCAACATCCGTGACCCTTTGAAAAATTCAATCCAAACATGTTATGCCCATAAATACCGCCTGAAAACAGCATCAATTTAAAATTTTCTCTTCTAAATCACCACTACAAAGACAACCTCATAATTCTAAGTTCTCACACAAATTATTATTATTATTATTACCAAATCTTTACTAATTATCAGCTAAATGGGAAACTGCTCATTTAGATCCCCAGTCACAAATTCAGCGCAAGTAAATGAAGAGCAGAGACGACAGCAACAACAAGAAGATGCAATAAGAGTGTCAGCAATCTCACCTGTGAAATGCCGTAGCGGCGTGTGGAAGGTGAAGCTGGTGATTGATCCGAAGGAATTGGGGCAGATTCTGTCCGAGGAAATGAACACAGAGGCCCTCATTGAGCAGATGAGGATTGCGGCCAATTCGACTCCTAAGAGAGGGAGAGCTCATTGGAGTGGCCTGAATGGATCACAATTTCTCACAAATGTATGCATAAGTGTTTAGTTATTTGAGCAGTTAAGTATGTAAGTGTGCATGTATGAATGCAATGATATCATAGAAGTAACCTGGTATGGAACTTGTTGGAAAATGGGGCGTCTTGTTGCTTAGCATCGTTACATTTCGGAAAATTTCAGTGTTGCTACTTATTAAAGTAATGAAATAAGCTTATAAAAGACGTGATACAAATGGCATAAACTCAAATAATAACCTAATCTAATAGATGTAACCAAATAATAGAACTCTGATTTAAACTATAAACCAAATATCTAAAATGACGTAGAAACTCAAGTGGTATCGAAGATGACACAGCTGACGTTATCAATGTTCTTAACTGAGTCAAAGTTGGAAACAAGATTTGCTCTCAACGAAGTTAGGGTAAATAACAAGATTCACTTACAACAGACATAGAGTCGGAAACTCGTTCTCAATGGAGTTAAAGTTGAAAGCAAAATTCTCAATGTAAATGAAGTTGGAAGCCCGGGCTCTTAAAAAAAAAAGAAAAAAATAAAATTGATGAAAAATAAAATTTTGGCAGACAAGCAACTGCAAACATACTTGGAAGATTTCAAAATTGGAAGATCTCTGTGTACATTATAGATTATGATAACATGGTTGCATATTATTAGTAATAAAATCAGGTGCCTACAAACTAGATATACTCAAATAATAACAATCTGAATCTAATCTAATAGATATAACCAAATAATAGAAACTTAATGTAAATCATAAACCACATATCTAAAATGTATACTGAATCACAGGCTGGACATAATTCTACACTTGCTTAAGGAAGTTAGTCCACTCAAGGAGATAATTGATAAGGTGAAAAGACAACAACGATATTAATTAGATCAAATTGACTTGTTTAAATTAGTTTTAAGATGAGTTATTCCCAGAAGACACAGAAAATAGCAATAAACTATACATTGGTTGAGTACAAATAAACTCATGTTTATATATCAAAGTCACAGTACAAATAAAGTATACTAACCAAAGTATCCTCCAATATTTTCTTTAAATGTTGGCTGCAGATAAATGACATCACTGGTTATCTCTTGACCTTGGGCTCGACTTTTTTCTTCCTGGAGATTTCACAATATTAAGAGAAGGGAGCTCGGTAAGCCTTAAGGTTTGAACTTTTGTGTGAATCATAATTCAAACTAATAAAACCACATTTGACCTAACAAATGGTAAGAGCAGAGCAAGAAACAAAATATCATAAACCGTGATTTTCCATGATTAAATCTCCAATTCATGGCAAGGATTAGGCACAGGATAAGTATTTGCTAAACAAAAAATGTCAACTCGTAGCATAAAACAGGATGCCTAAGCAATTCACATGAAAAAAAAAGAATTCACTCTTTTAACAGCCTAGTAAACACATAATATATGATCTGCCTGTTCTCTGGTATCAAAAGGCTAAAGAAGTTTCTACAACTATTTCAGCCATATGCAGAAATCAAAGCTAATAATCAAGACATTTCTAACTCTTAAACAGATTCTTATGGGTTTATTGGGTCATGCTTTAGAAATCTTATGAATAAATCTTCAAAAGGATGAAACCTATTGATTGGTGTCTGCTGCGGCACCAAAGTCGAAGGCAAAAGAGTTTAAGAAGATATCAAGCACTACCTTGATTTATCCTCCTCAGTTCTTTCAGAAGCCTTTCTACCTCTTCCAGAGACAACTTCATCCATACTCTGTCCGCTTCTTCTGTACCTGCCGCCAGATGCCAAATATGCAGGACAAGGTCGGTAAGCTTTTATTGGCCACCAGCCAAAGCCCGGGACCGTGGCAATTCCACCTTGAATCCTTCCTTCACCATTACAACCATTTTCGATTTCGTCTCGGCCGCATGCCTTACAACCCCTACAGGATTTGAACAAGGAGAAGAAGATAATTGTTGTCTAACTAGGGCAAAAACAATCAACTGTGAATAGCTAATTTACACATCCAAGTTGGAGTTTCTTTAAGTCAGAGACACTGGATTAAAATTTTCTTCAGCAAGGGAGAATTATTTCTTAGAAAGAAGGAAAGAGATTTATCTATCAAGTATCAAGATATGCCTTCATATGATTTAACTACTTATCTATTGCTACTTCAAAGATATGAATCTGACCCCATTGAGGTAGTACTTAATACCTACTTAAAACACTATGGCACCATTCAAAGTAGTAATGTATGTGTTTTCTCATCGTGTAAATAAAATATAAGAAATTCTCAAGATATCAACTATAACGGAGTTGATTCGATGTTTCAAAATAGATATGATTCATTTGCCAACAACACAAATGCATCTTTGGGAAGTAGACACTAAATTTAGAGTGTTGCAAGCAGTGGAAATAGAGTGAATATTCGCAGGAAATAGAAGCATGTAATAAAGCAGTAAGAAAGCATGACACCACTGTAATGAGAATATAGCATACACAAAGATTTACAAGAAGAACCTAAGGTTATGCAAAACATTGTTAACCGAATCTACGAACAAATAATTTGCAGCAATGTGTTCTCACTACATTCTATAGATAAAAGAAATACAATGTTGCAAATGTTAGGAAAGGAACACAGGAAGACAAGCGTCAGGTTCCGGAAAAATGCCAAATCATGCAAAGCCGCACTCCATACTGATAGGGATGAGATAACAAGCTAACTCAAGACCTTGCAGGCATTGGGTGTTGTTATCTCATCCCTATCAGTGTTTGCCAAAGGTTTTTTAGATTGTTAATGATATTCGTGGATTTGAGATAGTACCTCCTTTGGGTCTATCATCTTTCAAACATTTTTCGACTATGTCACCTCATACTTCACATAATAGCTCCTAGAGATATCGGACTAGGCAAACGACCAATTTTGTACAGATTCAAACACCGTTTTGTGTGGGAAGGATGATGAATTGAAGGATATATTGTTCTAAATCTATGAGTGCAATACCAATCTAAATAAAAAGGGACATCCCCTGCTGCCAGTAGACACCCAGTATGGCTTTGCACAGCCATTGTCATCCCATGTTCCTTTTCTTAGTTTCTAACAATTTAAAAAACCTTTTCAGGAATTTTGGAGCTCTTCAGCACATCGATGTCTTCCACCTACATGCAAAGGACACACCATCTTGATGGAATTATGCTTGGGATCTCACCGATTTACAATTTTGGAGGATTCTCACGGTCTCAACGAATTGCCGTCATCAAAATTCCCTATAGTGACAACTGACAATGTCGCTTGCACTACCACAGTGGAACAATTCCAGCGATACCAATATCAACACAGCTTATTTCTTTGCTCCTATTTGTGTATTTTACGTTACTGTTCGTTGTAGATAACCGTTCGTTTTCTAAACCAAGCTCATTCCTAGCAAATTCATCAAGCATAGAAGGAGGGGAAAACCTAAACTAATGCAGATACGCTTTTTCAACCATAAATTCTCGAGGAATGGAAATCAAGACGGAAGCAGACAAGGAGAATATGCCAATATTAAGAAGCAAAAATAAGAACAAATTAAAGCGGGCAACGTACGCGAGAGAAGTAACAGATCCTCCGGCGGTGGCCAAAGGTATCTCATCATCAGATGAAGTCTCACGCTCTTCTGCATCTTCGTCAACAACAGCAGCACTCTCCGGCGACGAAACAGAGCACGGTACCGCAGCACCAATACAGCGTAGGGCAATCACGGAAGACGAAGTCGAGCATCGGTGAGCATTGCGAACGTGCTTGGAGAATGGCGCAGGCTTCTGCGGCGCGAACGAGAAGACTACGGTGGCGCCACAGCTGCCGGCGGCGGGAACGGTAGCCGCCATATTATGCCTCCACCGGCTCTCTCGCCAAATGCGTGGGAAGATTTTCTCACACGATAAGATTATGTTCACCGCCAGTCCTCACTTACTCCACTCTTTATTTATTTAAATTAAATAAATATCAATAAATAATTCAATATTATTGCTCAGTTTATACATAACTATTTGGAGTTTATGTTGTAAGAGTATAATATTTTACTAAAGAAAAATATACTCCTATTCTATTTGATATTTTTAGAAACTGAATGGGTGTTTGTTCAGTGTTTTTTTTTTTAATTGTAAAATATAAAATTGTGTCCGTAATATCATTTTATATTAAATTTTAATTTTTTTATAACAAAATAATATATATTATAAATGATTAAAAAATGGACTGGGCAAACAAATCTTGAATATTCAGTGTCTTCAAATTTGTTGTCTCCTTATTTTGAAATTCACTGCTTAGAGTTTATTCTTTTACTATTTTAGATTCAAACCGATTTATTCTTTGACGGTTTAAACTGATATAATATTATAATTTTTAATATCAAACCCAGGGTAACTTATCTTGTCTAACCTAGTTTTTTATAAAAAAAAAATCTCAAAGGTACACACCACCATGCTAGATTTTTTTTCTTTTTATGACCACCAGACTAATTTTAAATTTTTATGACTTGAAAAGCCGCAGTAACTACCCAAAAATACGCACTAAGTAAAAGCCCGATCACTGGACTAATTTTAGTCGTACATGCGGTGTTGTAACTTAAGTTATACTAAAATTCAACACAATAACCACCGCTGTATAAAAGAAAACAATTAGAGCGAACAAAATGAATGCCGAGAACCTCAGCGGCATGCGAGAGGGAAAGAGGGGGAGAGAAACCATCTTCGGCGGCATGCGAGAGGGAAAGAGGGGGAGAGAAACCATCTTCGATGACTTTTTTCAAGAGTCGAAATTTTCATCTAACTAAGGAGGAGGAACTGTACCACTTGTCAATTTAAAACAATTACTTACTAATCGACTCACTCGCTGTAAAATGAATATCTGCAATATGTAGTTGCGGCTGCCGGGGGGTTGTTGAGTTAGAATTTACTCGACCCCTCCGTGAATGATGACGACCGAGCTGTGGTGGTGCACCATGCGCCACCGGCCGTTGAGCCGTTCGTACACATTCGTCACGTTGAATGGCCTGTTGTCCACGTCGATGTAGGCTTTCATCGTCACCCACGCCATGTCCGTCAGCACGCGCGTCCTCACATCTCGTATCTGGAAGTCCGCCACGTTCTCCCAGCTGAATGCCAATTGCCAACTCTCCATAACTGCATTGTAACTAGAATACACAGACTTCAGGAATGCAAACCACGCAAGAATCGAGGGTTTCTTCACCCAATCAAATAAAAAAATTCGACATAATTTTCAATCAATTTATATATACCAATCTCTCAGTAAACAATTCAACACAAAATATTAATTTATAATTACTGACTTGTTTCTTTGTACATAGCATAAAAAAAGGATATCTGAAACTAAACAAACACACCCCAAGTTTCGACAAAAGCAAGGATTTGAGGGCATAATTTTGCTATTGTAAAGAAAGCATACGCATTCAGATGGTACAGCTTAAAAAAATTAAATTTCCATCGATGCTACTCTTGACAATACACCAAAAATTTCAGAATAAATCTTATGGAGCATACAGCACTAGTGTTTGTATGCTACTTCCTTCATCCGCAAAAATTATGTGGCTTTTCTTGGGCGTAGAAACTAAAATTGTAATAGATAAAAAATAAAGTGGAGAATTATGAGAAATTTATTGAAGAGTTATAAAACATAACAGGGTAAGTAGAAAAAGTAAAAACAAAATAGTTATTATTTCTTAAGGTAATGAAATTTTGAGTGAATACTTTTATTTATTATGAATAGATCATGTATAAGTTTAGTAGACATAAAAATAAAAATAAATAAATATATAGAAAAACTGTCATAATTTTGCCGAATGAAAAGAGAAATTCAATATGTGGGCTATGTGCATCTCATTTCCACTTATAGCCAACCCCAGAAAAGTTAAACTGTGTGCTCACCGGTAACTTTTGTAACTTTCGACACTATTCAAAACTAAAGTTTCATAACTTCTATTTTACCGGAGCCCTAACAATTCTAGCAGAAATGATATACAGGCAAATAAATAAAAACTACAGAGCCATTAAATCTAACTATTTATAATACCCACTTATGTATCGTTACGATGATTCAAGATGGAGCCTCAGCATCTATAGTCAGGGTCTTTACATCTTTACAACTTTTTGATGTAAAATGTTTAAGCCGTAGCTGAGAATCAGCAAATAACCACAAACAAAGGAATGCAAAATTAAAGAGACTACGTGCACATAATTTCGAAGGATCAAATCGGAACAGATAACAATAACAAGTTGATAGAGAAATAGTTCATAATTCTCATATATAAAAAATTTAGTGCAAGAGAGAAAAGCCACATACCCACTAAATGATTCACCAGTTGCATGAAAACACTTGACGTAATCTGCATTAAGCCAAAACTGGCCCATAGCTTGAAGCGACCTTTCCTTAACAATTCTAAAGAATTCGGCGTTTGCATTAACTACAGCTCTTGTAGCAGCATAGTAAGCTTTCCATCCATTTGTTGGTATCACGTTATCTTGCTCTAAAGTGAAATCCTTGGGAGCAGAAATAAAACACAATGTGGTGAGCATTACATGACACCTTCAACATGCTTACAACGAATAAAGTACTGAAAGTAATGAAAGAGAAAATCAATAGGCATGTACTCATACACATGTACTATCATAAGGCTCTCTCAGTCTGAGGATATGGAACAACATGCAAAACCATGCATTGAACCACTGACAATAACCGAGTACCTAGTGGTAGAATAGAAATTGTAACACGGAAACTAACATAAAATCCAAAAGTGAACTATTGAACTTAAAATGTAAGGCTTATTTCCAACGTTGAAAAGGTACCAAGCCAACCTGAAATAAACTTTCTAGACTTCATCCTTTGGCGACCTCCGGATTTACAGTCAACAATCAGAGGGACATTTTTTCATTTCGTTATTACATTGGAATTTTATATTCTCAGTGGAAAATTACGGGAGTGTGTTCATTTATCTTGACATTTAAAGAAAGGGGAGAGGAACTATCATCACAGTGGAGAAAAGAAAACCTCCCCAAACTTGTATGCCACGATGAGAAAAATCAATTGAGCCTCATTGCAGACATTTGACAAATGCTTTCGGGAAATAAATATAAAATTTTGCGTGTTGCACCAATCAAGTTCCAGTAGATTTTCTTCCAAGCAGCAAACTATCATTGATCGTCTAATGCAGTGGAAGATATATTGATTAGCATCTAGTATGTCTGAAATTTTGGTTTCATATTATTTTCTCTCACTGCTTTTTTCCCCTCAGAATTTAGTATTACCCCAAGTGTTAGAAACTGCTAACATCGTTAATTTCTTTCCCATCAGTTCAAGAGAATCCAAGTACATTACCAAGTTTAAAAGGGTAAATTCCTTCTAAAATTATGAAAATCTTGATGTTCTGTAGAACAATCTGATTTAAACCACCCAAACGAACCATGTCCAATCCAATCCTAAGATCTCACTTTCAAATTTCAATTTAATCAATGCGAACAAAAAAAACCAATACTGTACCAATCAAACCCACACGGCATCAAAATTACAGAGAATTGTTCAAAGATCCAAACCTTATGATAGAGCGCCTTCCACGCATTGTCATCATTGGCCGCTTTCCGCATGAGCGAATTCGTCATGGACAGACGGCAGAGGCTCGGGTAATCCAAGTAACTGAGGGCATGCGTCGTTATCTCCGGAACCAGTTGCTCCATCATCGACGCTCCGGTCTGCCTCTCGACCACCATATCTCCACCATTCTCGTTAGCGCCAACGCCACTCACAACCGCAGTCATTTCCCCACCGCCGCAACCAATTCCACTCCCCCCGACGGCACAATCACGATCAAAATCACAATCACAGACCCCTGACACTTCCAACTCAACAGCGCTTCGCCGGCGAGATCTCCCTTTCAGAGAAGACAAAACCGTCGGAATTAGGACGCAGAGAAGGGTCGCAACTAGCGCTACCACGAATAACCAATAATCCCCTGTGAATTTAATGCAAGAAACCGCAAACTCCATTCATAAGTCATCAAAACGCAGAAGATATTGTTGCGGCACCAATCTCTGCAATTCATGAAAGGAATCGATGGTTTTTTGGGGATGAATCAAAAACCCTAATTTGGCGAACTTCTCCAAACAGCAGGGACTGATTTTGTAACTGAATTGATAAAAGAGAAAGGGGTCTAATGTAAATATTGTTCCAACTGAGGGCTATTTTCGTCATTTTATCCATATTGACTATTTAAGATTTTTATATAGTATTTTTTAGAATGGTTAAAAAGGAAATAAATATATAAATAAAAAATTGTAATAGTTCCATGATTCTATTTCTATACAATAAATATATATAACATTTTTTCTATTTTTAAAATCTTTTAAAATTTTAAAAATTTCAAAATTAAACAAATATATATATATATATTTATATATATCAAATTAAACAACTTGGAACGGCAAGAGTAATATTTTAGAAGTTTTAGTATACTTATGTTCAAGTAATTTATCCACCTTCCTTAAGATATAAATTTTTAGGTACTGTATAATTAGTAGATGATTAAAAATATATTAGTAGAAATAATAATGATTTAATAAAAATAATTATAGATTAAAATTAGGATGATTAAATAATTTAATTAAAAAAATTATAAATTATGTTGAAAAAAAAGTAGACAATTTAGATGGGACGGAAATAGTATATTTAATTGAATATTTTATATAATTAAAATAGGCATTTGATGGCAAAGTTATTGTTGTTTGAATGATATCAAAAGCTTTCATAAATCAATATACAAACATAGGATTTGATTTTTTTAATGTTTTAATTATTTTTTTTTTTTTAAATGAAGTAGGAAGAATAATATAAAAAATAATATTTTTGATTGAATTATGCATTTGTGTGAGAATATAAGTTTTGTTCTCCCAATAAAATTTTCAATTGCGATTCTAAAAAACTAATACTCTATTTGTTCCATAACAAACTATCCATTTTTTATTTTAGTCCGTCAAATAATAAAGTATTCATTTTTTTTAACAATGATCTACCTAACATTACAAATACCCTTACAACTTACAATATATTACACAAATTACCTTTATATCACACAATACTAATAAGATTATTTTAGTTATTTTTACTACGTTCCAATATAATATTAATATTTCTAAAACTACGTGTAAAAAACAGATGAATATCTAATCATGAGAAAGACGAAATAATAAACAATACAACTTCTTTTTTTATAAAAGTCAAAATAAACTTTAAATACTTATTAAAAAAGTCATATATTCAACCTAAACTAATATATTTTATACTTTTACATAATTCCCCATATTATACACCAAAATCAATTCATTAAAAAATGTTGCGCGAACAGAGCCATATGAGTTTGTTTCATTTATTAAATACTTCTTCCGTCATGCAAATGTGTGCTCATATAATCGGGCACGAGTTTTAATAAAAATGAGTAATAATGATTATTTTTTTATATAGTAAAAAAAAATTACAAAAATATAATAATTTTTTACTTAAAAAAGAAACGAAAATATTTTTCAATAATAACCCCCAAAAACAGTGAGCATAAATTTGAATGACGGATGGAGTAGTTTGAAAGGATATATATATTTTATTTAGGTACGGTATAAAAAATTATATAGGCAATATAAAAATAATAAAAATACATAATACTTCCTCTGTCCAGTTGGAAGGGTGGCGTTTGCTTTTTGCACGTAAATTTTTTAATATTAGTATTATATTGAATTGTAGTAAATTGAAAGGGTATTTATAATGTGAGATAGATAGTACAATTACTAAATTAAGAAATAATAACCTTATTTTGGGATGAATGAAAATAAAAAATAGTAATATTTCAATAGGACGAATGAAGTATATTAATTTTTTTTAACAAATGTGTTGGTTTGTTTTCACAAAACAAACAAACAAAAAATATTTATATTTGCCCTATCCCAAAACAATCTATTGTATTGAATTAGTGGTATGATATTTAAGATAATATAATTTTACTAAGTTACTTATATTTAGGGTGTGTTTGTTTGGGGATTTGGATTTTGGATTGGGATTTGAATAGTAAAAATTTTGAATTTGAATAGTTGTATGATGTGATATAAATAGGGTTTGATGTGATGTTTTGAATGTAAAATTGATTTTTAGTATAATATAAAAAATAAAAAATAGGTATTTGATTTGATGTTTTTGGGGGGAAAAAATTGGATGAATAGTGAAAATCCACCAAAATCCTTCAAACAAAAATGAAAAGTTCTCCAGATTTTCTGCCATTTCTAGTCCAATCCGTGTATAAATATGTTAAAAACACCAGAAATACTAAAAATCGCTGCAATGGTGTTTTGATCTTTTCAGTAATACATCGATGATTTCATTTCATATACTCTGTTTTGATTCGTTCGTTTTTCCTTGTCTTCTTTGCAGTGTGGTATCATTTTTGCTGCTGTATATTCATCTCTTGAAAATGTTGAAATCTTCAAAACGATCAACTAAGGACAAAATTTGTGCTCAGAGAATTGAGGCAACAGTTTTATTACTATGGAAGATGATACAGTTTCCCATAGGTGCAAAAAGCTTATTCCCCTACTTATGGTTGCCATGACAAATTCTGCCGAAACCTCAAACACGCCATTTGCAGTGTTCAAGCTTACATTCCCTCATAAGAACCACACAGTTATTAGTACATTCTCAGCTACTTCATCGACCTCTAGTTAGCTAACCGCGGGTGCGCCCTACCTCGTCCCATGAATCCATTCCTTTGGTAGACACTGTTCTTCTGGAAACTTGGGAAAGCATTAGATTGATCGTATTCAAGGTTGTAAGGCGCGCCGGGGAGGTAGTTGTAGACGACGAACGGCGTCCTAACCGCATGACTCTCATCCTTCCATGTGATGGATCCGGAGATAATCGGATGCTGCGAAATGGCAGGCCCGGTGATGTTAACGGTGAAGGTTTGGGTCTCTCCAACAGCCGAGAATGCGAGGACAGGAGGCTCAACGACGACATCGATCAACGCTGGGATGTATATAACAGGTGTGTAGTTGGCGTTCGCCTCGCCGACATTCGTCACTGTCCTGGTGAAGGTTCCTGAAATTGTCTGCCCTTCCTCGACGTATAAAGAGAACGACGGGTAGTTAAGGTCCCAGGCTCTCCCCGGGGTGACGTTGTTGCAGGTGCTGTTGTCTCCGGTGACTATCCGGAGGGTGGTAGTGTTGTATCCCTGTTTGCAGAGGAAGTTGATGTAATCTGCCTCAGTGGCGTCAAATATGAGGCCCGGATCCCGAGCATCAGCAGGGTTGATCTGCCCTGAGCCGTAGGCGAATTCAAGATCGTCGTGTTTGCTCGGGTCCATGACACGAGCTGTTGTCATGAGCGCGGACTTGATCGCGGCGGGTGACCAGTTGGGGTGCACGGCTTTGACGTATGCCGCAGCGCCGCTGGCGTGTGGGCAGGACATCGACGTGCCTGAAATGATGTTGAAGAGTGTGCTTCGAGTGTCGCCGTAGTAGACTGATGATCCCGACAATGGCGACCATCCGGCTAGAATGTCGACGCCGGGCGCCGTGATATCCGGCTGGCGATAAAGCAATGCAACTATTTGTGTTAGTTACATATAAATAATTAAATTATGCGTATTTCTTTAAGTTTAAACTTTTAAGTTGAGTTTGTTTGTGGGTTTGGATTTTTGAATAATAAAAAGTTGAATTGAATATTTGTTTGATTTGATAAAAATAGAAGTTCATGTGATATTTTGAACGTAAAAGAGATTTATAGTATAATATAAACAAAAAAAAGTTATTTGTTATGGTATCAGAGCCGGGATATCTCGTCGACATGCAAGATTCGTAAATGGCGTATATCGATATGGAAACGTGTATGTTTATTTAACAATTATCTATGATTTAAGCTTAATGTGAGATCGAAATGACATTGTTTGCTAACCTTAAGGATGTCGGGAGAGATCGCGCTCGGTCCTCTAGAAGAGAATGAAACGACGACGGGCGCCATGGCATCTTTCCACGCATCGCTGAAGAAGATCGTCGCCGTGGGATTCCTGGTAAGGATCGACAGCTAAAGTTAGTTCGATCATGAATCGTTTCGACTTTCATAAGCTATATCGAACTGCTCGAATCGCTTACTCCGAGCTCGTTATGTATTCTTTTACGAGCTTTCCATCTTCAGGGCTGATCAACGTCGAAGGAAACGACCAACTAAAGGCGACGTCCATATTCTCGACGAGCACATCGGACATAATTTGGCCGGCGCCGTTGGCTTCGATAATCGCAGAGCCATCCCCGAGGGCTTCGCAGAACACGATCTTTCCAGCCACCATGTTAGCGTTCATCGTGCCAGGGAAGCAATATCTGGAATAATCAGGGCTTGATCCAATCGTGTAGTTCGCAGCAACGCCTCCCCATATCAAAGGGTACGTCGTCCCGTTGAGATCGAACACGTTGATCGTTATCCCCTGCATTCGTTTCGTTTCGATATGTTAGAAATAGACAATGACCGTTGTCGTTATTTACGTACGTTTATGTCTCATCTTACCGTTAGGATTAAACCGTTGCCGAGCTGCAGCCTCGCGACGAACTTCCTATCAATGGTGCTCGCCGCGACGGTGAGTGTCCACGGCGCGAAGTTGGAGACGGTGACGGGATAAGGCCCGGAATTGCCAGCCGAGTTCGACGTAAGGATTCCCTTTTTCATGGCGTGGAAAGATCCGATGGCGATCGGATCGTCGAAATAGTCGCTCGGGTACGACGATCCGAGAGAAACAGAAATGATATCGACTCCATCCGCTATCGCGTCGTCGAAAGCTTTAAGGATGTCTGCGGAACCGCAGCCGAAAGCCCAGCAGACTTTATAAACGGCAATTCTCGCATTCGGTACGCCTCCTCTCGCAACACCCTCGGCTAGACCAAAGTAACTCGCATCGACCTCGACCCCTGCAGCAGTCGAGGCTGTGTGCGTCCCGTGACCTTCGGTGTCCCGCGGAGACATAATGTCCGTGACGTCTGATGCGTTGTCACTGTCGTAGAAACGCGCTCCGATGATCTTGCTGCAACGACGACGACGACGATGTAAGAAAAATCATCCTCGAGAATATGTAGGATTCAGACTAATTGAAATCGCGGTTTTTTTTCTTTTACTTGTTGCAGGTGAAGTTCTTGCTCGTGCATTCGCCCTTCCATTTCGCCGGTGGAGCGCTGAACCCGGAGTCGTTGAAGCTCGGATGCTCCGGCCAAACTCCTATTACGATCGAAGAGAGGTAATAACTTGTTAAAAGCTTCTTTTTTTGTCTTAACGAAGTCAAAACTATAGTTCTATTTCGATTTAAACTTTTAGATGAGATGATCGTTTACTACCTATTTCGATCGAAGAGAGGTAATAACTTGTGAAAACAACTCCTTTTTTTTAGTCTTAACACAGTCGAAACTACAGTTCTATTTCGATGGAAGAGTGGTAATAACTTGTTAAAAACAACTTCCTTTTTTTGTCTTAACAAAGTTGAAATTATAGTTCTATTTCGATTTAAACTTTTAGATGAGATAATCACTTACTACCTATTTCAATCGAAGAGAGGTAATAAACTTGTTATAAATAATTCTTTTTTAGTCTTAATGAAGTCGAAACTACAGTTCTATTTCGATTTAAACTTTTAGATGAGATGATCGTTTACTGTCTATTTCGATCGAAGAGAGGTAATAACTTGTTAAAAACTTCTTTTTTTGTCTTTAACGAAGTCGAAACTACAGTTCTATTTCGACTTAAACTTTTAGATTGAAATGATCGTTTACTACCTGTGTCTAGGAGTCCTATAACGACGTCGGATTCTGGAGGAGCTCCAAGTTTGTTCGTTGTGAGATTCACAAAGTCCCACGAACGTGTGGTGTGAAGCTTGAATATACGGTTAGGATTCACCGAAACTACGCCTTCCATTTCTGCATACATACACACATATATATATATATTATAGATTTATCGTAGTTAAACAAACATCGATTGTCGATGTCTTTTTATTGCAATGCAACGCTTGCCTGAAATTGTTTCCGCCTCGTCTTTTGTCAGCTTAGCTGCAAATCCATTGAAGCTTCGGCCGTAGCTGTAAACTAGCGACTCCTTCGCCAACGACGCGCTGTAAATACCGGTAAAACAATATTACAATGCAGTTTAGGGGAAAAAAAAAAAAAGTTACCGTAGATAAACATATATATATATGTAGTAACCTGCCGAGAGCTCGATGCAACATGGCGTGGTGCTTAGCTGCGATGGATGATCCTTCTTTGGGAGAGTCTCCCATATAAACGACATGTAGCTGCGAATGTACGTAAAAAGTTCGTATCTTTTATGTATCTATCTATCGATCGATATATATATATGTATGTATGTATATCGAACCTTTCTGTTGAGGTTGCGGCAATGGCAGGCGAGCAGAAGTGACGAGAGGAGTAGAGGGTAGAGGAGCAAATGGAGGACGCCCATGTTGTAAGAAATATGAATGAGTTCTTAAGCTGATGTGCCGAATGGTTTTGTGATATAATGAATTGGATGGTTGGAGTGTATATATATAGAGGTGAGGGCTGATTTGATTTTGATTTTTGATTTTTGATTTTGGATAATTGATATAATTAATTAATTAGCTGTTGTGTGTTTGAAGGTGTGTTGAGAATGCCGATGCCGATTGCCATTGCCATTGCCATTGTTGTCGAGGTGCTTCGTAGTTTACAGGGACAGCTAATTAAGTGCAGGCAGGTAAAGTTTATTGCATTCTTTATATATGTCTGTGTGTGTGTGTGTTACTATGCATTGTTAAGTTTCTTTATATGAAATATTGGCTTTGTTATCATCTTCAACATAATATATGCAACGACACTTACAACGCTTATCTAAGTTACAGGATGGATAGTTTGTATTTATATACTTATTTCTTTTTGTTTAAATATATTTTACAAGAAGAATAGAAGATAGATATATTTTTATATGAAATAAGAGGAAAAAAAAAATTATAAAAGAAATTGAGGGTTTTCTTTTTCGATCGGAAAACTAAAATAGTAATGTTCTTGTTATAGTATATTATGAAATAATAATATTTTATTGGTGAATAGAAGTATAATAGATTTTTTTGACTTTTTTGTTGTATTAGTGTTTTGATTATTTTTATTAAAAAAAATTAATAAATATTTTTGAATACGACATATGAAAATAATATTTTGAATTGGACGAAAGAAGAAAGAAGTATATTTCTACGGAGAAAAGTAAATTTGTTTATTTTATCCATGTATTTGAATATTTTAACTGTGTTTAGATAATGAAAAAATATAATATATATATAATCACACAATAAATATAATACATATATCTACCCACTTATAAAATAATTACACTATACTTTTCAAAATATTTTTATTTTATATTACAATTAATTATAATAATAATTATGTTCAATCTAAACGCACACAAATTTTTGGTATTATTTTTAAGCCTTTGTATCCAAACAAAGGTCTAAAGGGATAGAATATGTAGTAGAATTTTTAAATTAACACAGGTTGCTGAAAAATCAATTGAAATTGGAGGTGATTAGGATTGCCGATTGGATCCATCCACGTTAAAATTATAGATTTAAACTTTGGATTACTTCAGATTTTACCTACCACACATAATTCGTTTAATATAATTTGTTTTATCCAACCTAACTTGTGCTATTAAATTCGACAACAAATTTAATCAAAACACACTCAAAAAATAACGACGACATATTTTCACATAATAAGAAAAAAAATAAAAAATAAAAAATAGTAGAAATAGATACGCAAAATATGCTTTCCCTTTTTTTTTCCCCTCATGGTTATAGTAGTTAGATTCAACATGAAAGGTGATGCTGTGAGAGAGGGAAAAACATGAAGAAGAAGACATACCTGAAGCGTCGAGCAAAGGACGATTTCCGTTGTTCAGCTTTTCGTCTTAGGCGGCGGCAGCTGCGTAGCAGCCGCTTCGACGTACTGACTGGCGAGTTTCTTCACTTTCTCGCCTTCCTTAATGAGAAAGTTGGCGTTCTTTTCCTTGGCGTGGTACTTCATGACTTTCTCCGTAGTTTTCCCCACCGCCCAACGGTATTGCTCGACTGTGATCACACCGCTCTTGCAAAGAGGCCTTATGTGCTCTTTTATGTACGATTCGACCTTCCAAACAAAAGAAAATATAATATGCGATAAATATGTACTAATTAAAACCCGAATCAACACATAAAGTATAGACCGAGAATATTTATGAAGCATACAAAAAATGCGTATTAATATTATATAAATACAGTACATGAACTGACAACGCATGATAATAGTGGACAAAACACATAGCACATATTAATCTCGACACAAGAGGTGGCATGTTAACACAACACACATGTAAAGTACGATCTAACAACACATGACAACATCGATACCACACGCGTCCTATTAATTACGATTTACTTGAACTAAAATGATAAGGGTACTACTTTAGAAAAAAATATATATATTCATTTTCATTCAATCTCACACCTATTTTACATAAAAATAAATAAATAAATAAAATTAAAGAGTAAAAGGAAAATCAAAGATTTACTATTTCCAAACTTTAAAATAAACACATACTAAAATTATAATTCCCTAAGATAACTAAAACACGCGACAAAACACTCAGAAACGCAAAAAATAGAAACATTTCCATCCAACTAAGTCTACCAAATCAAGCTAAAATGAAAAAACAAAAATAGAGTAGGTACCTTCTTCATAACTTCACTATTTGGCTCCGATTGTTTCGAGTCTCTTTTGGCCGTCTTTCTCTTGTCCGACGACTGCTGTTTAGATCCATCCAGTGCCGGTTCTAAGCTCTCCATTATATTCCCAGCTGGTTGTCCGGAATCATTGTTCATCTTTTTAGGCGCACAATCGCCGTTATCCTTAGGCAATGATTCATTATTTTGGGATAAATCCAATGGAGCCACGGGTAGAGTCTCCGGATACTTATTAACAATTGGTTCTTTATCAGGTCCATAGAGTTCTTCACATTCTGCAATAGAAGGCTCCCCATCATTATCACCTAAAGAATTTCGAACGATCTGGTCATCGACGTGATCGACTACCCCATTATCGACAGCCGCCCCTTCATTCCGTGAGCCAGGCAGGCCGGATGAACCAGCTTCAGCTTCAACAACCGTCGAGGTCGAGGTTTCATGATTCGCCGTATCTGGATTATCATTCAGCCTCTCGGAATTAAGCGAGGAAAACAACAGTTTGATCTTCGGCTCTTCTTGCTGCTGGTTAGATACAGTAAAAGAACTGGCGCCAATGAAATCGTCGTCTTCCAAATTATACTCAAAGTCGCCATAAATGTCAAGATCCGGATGCGGATCAGCCTCGATTACATTCTCCGGCCCGTCCTCCTCCTCGGCCTTTTCCGATAAATCAGCTCCACTACAAGTGCCCTCTGTTGGATGGTCAGGACTATTTGGAGGAGAATCCGACATGAGCCCAGCATTTCTCAAAGCCTCATCGACTGCAGAATCCAAAGAAACATTATTGTTTACCTCACATGGTTCGTCAGGGAGGCGATCGGAAGTGGAGTTAGGATTCGATTCATTAGCTCGGTCTGACTCAAATGTGTCGGGTATCTTACGTATCTCCTGAGAACACAGATTCATGTACACAAGCTTGCTATTAGACCTGTCAGCAATTTGCTTTTCGATATTAACTGCGTCAGCAACAGCCAATTCTGTTTCAGCAGATCTACAAGCTGTGGACAGATTTGCTTTCTTCAGAAAGTGCTCGGCCAGGCGATAAAGTTGAGCCTGCATAATAACCAGGCGTTAATAGATTAAGACATCAGGTAAAAAATATATATTTTTACTCAAACAAAATTACATAAACTCCATTGTACATCATTTCAAGATGGAAGTATTGATTTCCTAAGAGGCTTAGACAAACACATTTGTGTTGACATAAAAAAATAACTGCAGAATTTACCTGCCTAATCGATACAGGGACTTTATTATGACGAGCAGAAGCCAAAACAGGCCGCGAGTCTTTTGGTAGTTGAGCCTGTTCATAACATGAAAATGAACTTAAGCATAAAATTAGGAAGAGAAGAGATAAGTCATCAAACTTTCTTTGTTCATTTTCAACTCAAAATAAACTTCGAGCGAAAACTTACGACTAACCAGTAAAGGATAGTGTCCTTTGAGAATCACTTTATCCTCTTCGCTGTCTTGCGTGCGCTTGGTTGAGGTTGCTGTCTTTCTTGCTAGAAGTTCTAATGCCCATTTTCTTTTATCCCCGGGTTTACTTGCTGAGTTCTTCTCTGAAGAGACTTTCGTGCTACCTGATACGGGAGGACGTGATGCAGAAGATCCTTTTTTGGAATGTGCCTCAATCTTCTTCGTATCATTAACATTTGAAGGAGGAACAATAGCCTGAGACTTATCAATGGGTGGTGGTGCCGAGACTTTTTTAGTCGAATCACTTCCACTTTTCTCTTCAGAAGCATCGGGAGCTTTCAAGGCAGAGACAGGTTTGATATCATTCTTACGTGGGAAGACAGAAGAGTCGGCTAAATACAATCTTGAAAGAATAGAACCCTTTGCCTCGTCGTCATTCTCAGGTACTTTCTTCTTCCCACTGTTAGAGTTGTCTCTGAGGAGGTCCAGAACTGATTGTAATGTTTGAATCTTTTCAGGCTTTGATGCCTTTATGCAGCGGTGTTTCCAGAACTCTACTTCACATTCCCTAGTCCAATCCCGTTGTCGCTTTCCGCCAGCTCCATATATTTTCTTCGTCAAACTTTCACGTATTTTTCCCTTTTGCAACAATGCCTTCTTGGCTTTCACATCCAGAGTTGGATTTCTATTTTCAGTCGCGGATCCAGCCAAAGCAGTCCGGAAAGCATCCAAAAGTTTTGGATCAAAAAGCTTTTGTCTAATATCATCGGAGGATTTGTTACGAGCTGCTTCTCTGATTTTTTGTCTAATCTCTTGAACAAGAACCAAAGAATCTTGATCTTCGCCTGCTCTCCTCATTATCTTTTTGAGCCTTATGTCAGATGATTTTTTATTTCCAAGCTGTTTAAGAGATTTCCGATCCGACCCCTGAACTATATCCATTACAGAAGTACTGCTCTCCTTTTCAGACCTGCACTTAACTCTGTTATCCCTGGAACTACTTTGAGGATATAATGTTTTGGGTTCTTCAAATAATGATGTTTCATCCACCAGACTATCAGGCTGACTGCTGCTTTCAGCTTTCCTTTTCTTTCGAGAAAATCTGGTCTCAGTATTAACTTCTGTTTCTTCATCGTCAGCATTTCCATGCGCATCACTGCATATATGGAAGTGTAAGAAAAAGGAAAACAAATAGTGCACACCTTAAAAAGTCATTCATATATGAGAACTATCCAGCAAAACAATGTTGATGTCAGAATAACATAAAATAAAATAAAATAAGGAGATCTTCAATGTACGCGGTTAACACAACAATCTACAAAACCTCTAAATGCATACTCTTTTGTAGTTTGTTAGATTGTATATTTGCAAAGTTAATCAAATTATACTAACTAGTGAAATTCATTTAAGAAGAAGAAGGTAAACTACTCAAGCATAAGAGGATAGATGCTTCTCAACATTTCCTAAAAATTACAAATTAAGGTAAACTACTCAAGCTAGAGATAGCATATCTGTTATTGCTACACAGTATATTCAGAAAGCACACATCTTTCAAACCAGAAACTCTTTATTTTTGCAATGAAATGTGCTTATCATGCAGCAAAGTTAACAATAAGTCAAGTCTTTTAATCAGCAGAGATTATCAAAAGTTAGCACTTTTCCAATAGTAAGTGTATTGATGCCAAATGAAAAGTTCTCTCAAAAGCCTTCAATAGTGTCAATTAGCCAAATATGAGCAGCAATTAGCCACGAAATTCTTCCAAAAACTAGGCATGGAGAAAATAATATATATCTATATACACATATATACATACACACAAATAATGTCTAAGAAGAACAGCATTGATATTTGAGATGTTAATATTCATGCATAACTTAAACAAAGAATCCTCACTGTATGACAACCTGCTCTCTGTTTGCTTTCTTTTATAACCAACATGTTCACTTATGGGTTCTTCCTCATCAGCTATCAAGGTTTTGGGTAAGATCACTTCGATTTTATTGGGCTCCATGTCTTCAACTGCAAACATTTCAAAGTGGATACAATAATGGAAATGAGATTGACTAATTTTCCGAAAAAGTCTTTTCGCTCAAGACCATATAAAAAATCAGCACTATTTTCAGGTTTCATCTTATACCTGATAAAGGATCTTCTGTGGTTCTTTTCAATTCCACCATTCCAGACGCATTATCTTCAGTTATGCCAGTGGATTTCATGTCTCCTTAGAATACGTATAGAAAAATACAGGGTAAACACCTCCACTTATCATTATAGTATCTTTAGATGGAACTTTCAAATGAGAAGTAGAAAAGTAATTGATAATGCAATTACCAGATGTATCAGTGCCCGTGGCCGTACCAAGACCAAGATTCAAACCAGGGTCGGTCATGTCACTAACTACATGTATTGGGGACCATCCAGATGAATCATCAGCAAATATCTTTACCTCGGAGGGGGGTGATACAGAAGGCAATGCCCCAAAACAATTATCTTGAGATAGGAGAAGTTCCATGTCTTGAACTGATTTAGGTTCATTGCCAGGAAGCACTTCTGATTCAAGCAAGTTGGATATAGAATTGAATAACTCAGTGTTCTCCACATTTGTGCTACACCCAAATACTGAGTCACTTGGTTTTTGGGTCCCTTGATTTCGGTCAACAAGTGAGACAACCACAGCTGTCTCACCTTCATCAGCCACAGATACTGATACTCTACCAGAGAAGGAAGTTTCAGCTAGAAAATCACCAGTGGAGATGTCGAAGCTACTTTGGTAGCTTTTTCTCAAATCAGAAACCCTGTCTGACTTCTTTGAGTCATTCTCAGTAATGCACCTGCATCAACAGCAACACTGTCAAAATAAAAAATAGATCCCAATTATAATGTGCCGCCAAACACATGAGGAATAAAAATCGATAATGTTTATACTCTTAACGGACTGGTCAGAATTACTGCTTGCATTAAAAGAGATCATTTTGTGAAAGAAAGAGCTCATAGAAGTTTATCCCCTTGAAAGTAAGTAATTAAGAGGAAGAAAAAAAATAAAAGAATAATAGTACAAGCCATTGCTTGGTTGAACATGTAAATGTAAAAACTGATTAATTATGATCATTTTGTGAAAGAAAATGAACTCAAAGAAGTTTCTCCTGTTGAAAGTAAGCAATTCAAAGGAAAAAGTAGAAGAAATAAAAGTATAATAGTAACAACCTATTACTTAGTGGCACATGTAAATGTAAAAACTGATTGATTACCGTGGGCACAGCCATGAGCTATCAGAAGTGCTTTCAGGGTCAAACCCCACACAAAGGGCATGGTACCTAAATTCATGCAGTACACGAAGAAGTCAGGAAAACAATATAAACACATTTGTAACCTCTGATCAACATGTGTACAGATGATAAAATATCAGGTTGTTTGTAAAAAGGCTTGAACATCCAGATAGAGCTATTGAAATTATTTAAGTGTTCCAACCCAGCCAGAATATATGATTCATGATTTCCAGAAGTTCTTCAAAACGTGAAGTATTCTCCCCTTGTGACTTGACGGTGCAGGGGAAGGGTTTTTGGAATTTAGCCAGCACAAGTCAAACAATGGCATGCAGTTTCTAGATTTTAGATGTGTTCGTCCCTTGCATAAACACAAATGCAGTATGGCACAAAGCCAAATGGCATGGTCATTTTTTAGGTCAAGGTGAAGGAAGAAGAAACATTAATAAGTAGAAAAGGAAATATAAGATAGATGAAAATGCATGAATAATTATAAGATTTCAAGGAGAATATCCCGGTGCTAAAAAGTGCTCTTCACACCAAGTAATCAATGAGATTAGTTTGAAATTGATATGAAATCACAAGAGCAACAGAAAACAAAGCTGAAGTTCCAATGAGAAAAACAAGCAGCCAATTTGGAAATTAGGTGACAAAAGAAAAAATAGAATATAGGATGCTTTCTGCTCACCATTTATCACAAAAATCACAAGCAATGGATGTATCAATATCTAAATCTTCTTCGATTGCCACAAGCCCACTCCTAATTTTGCAGTCATTTCCATCCAAGCAGACAACTGCCTACAATGGGGCCAAAGTCACCAGATTGCATTCTCCCACCATCATTAACTTAGAATAAAAATGGTCTAAAGAAACCAGTAATAAAAAGTTGATCAAGTGTAGGCATGGATAGCATGTTCGATCTCACAGCCAGTATTTTTGGATCCCAAGTTATTTGACCACAAAAGTACCAATATTCCAAAATAAATATGAACTCATTCCTACTTTATCATAAATTTATGCCTCAGCACCAGAAAACCATACTGCCATTTCTCTTTGTATTAAAAAAGACTTCAAAGCAACTTTGATCACATAATATAATTCGAAAAGTGAATAAAGAGGACCAAAAATGAGATTTCACAGGCATTGCAAGACTGCCATCAACTTACATTTTCATCAATATAGTATGAAGGAAATGAAAGAGTGTTATTTTTCCCTTCAATGAACCAGTCATCATCTCTGCAACAAAATATGAAAATCCAGTTAGATTTTGAGAGATTACAAGATGTGTAAGGCACTGTAATTGACACAGGATTAAGAGCGCCATTGAATCGAAATGAAAAATTCAATCTAGTGCAGGAGCACTGTTCTTCAAAGATTTTGAGTATACCATGATCGCCATCTATTGCAACCTGAAGCAAATATATGTGTTCACAAAAGCAGTAACAAACGAATTTCAATTTTTGATCTGCTGGTTAAATTCAATAATTGAGGACAAACTAAAATTTTAATGAACAGATTGTACTATTTTTGGTAACCAAATCATTTTCCTTGTCATTTAATATTTAATTCACTCTCTCTTGGTATATGAATCAGAAAAGAAAATTGTGGAATAAATTAAATTTGTTCCCATATAAAAATTTTCCCGAAATTATAAAGTTTGAGGATAGACAATGGGTAAACAACTAAATTTTACCTTTTGCGATCAATCAGCAAGACATTTAGACAAAAAAATCCAGTAAGAAAAGCAAGCAATCAGAAACCTTTACTTCCTCACATTTTCACAAGGTATAACCTTTCCTCAGCTCAAAAAAGAACTATCACATGCCGTATTTCCTAGATTGACTAAACCAACAAAAAAGACACCAACTCTTCCATCCTCTTCTATATTGACAATAATGAACAAGTGAAAAGATTGCATGTGATGATCGCACTTGAGACAGATGTGGCAAATATAAGCATCATTTAATAATATTACCTTGGAGCTGTATCCTCATCAGTCTTGTTGCCACCAACTGTATCATATACCTTCAATGGTTGCAGTTACAAGCATGAGCAAGTAAAAATATGAGAAAATTTGTGTGCAGCACAAAAATAGATATGATTGACTACAATAGTACAAGTAACATTTTATTCAAGAAAATTTATGCAGTGAGAAGAATTGCAGCAACTGTTGAAATATAAAGGAAGCGAAACAGTTCATAATCACATTCACACGTAAAAAGTGCTTGTATGAAAATAATATAATAGCCTTGTGCATAAAAACCAAATACTTTGCGGACATTGGATCAACTCAAACAGGATTTATGAATAAAAAATCAAAACATTGATTTCATCCTCAATGATGTTTTCTTATGTTACTTCAGTTTTTGTTTTCATTTAGTTCTAAGTAAAAGAACAGAGTTACGAAGGCACTTAAAATAATCCGTTACCCACAGGCACACAGGTTATAAGTTGAAACTCATTCTGGCAAAGGGGACAAAGGCTCGTGATGGTCGCCCAATTGTCGATGCAAGTAAAACAGAACCTGGAAGGTATGAAATCGTTAGAAATCCCGACCAGGCCCGAATTATCAGCACCTTCACAGTTACAATCAAGAAAACAAGCCGGAAAACTGGAAACTATTCATACTAGCTTTATTGAAAAGTTCTCCGAATGAAGCAACAGTGAGATCAAAAATACCGATAAAGAAATGACCAAGAACAAAAGAAACATATAAAAAAAGAAAAACAAGAACACACAACATCACCATTTACATACCAATGCTGGCAGCAATCAAGCACACCTCTGTCAATCACAACATCACTACAAATCCCACACCTTTCGCCCTCGAAACTCGAATAGTCCTGCACTCCAAAATATAGAAACTAAACAACTGAAATGTTTTCATCTCAAAGCAACAACCAGCAACCAAATTTCAGTCACATAATCAAAAGCATCCAACCATCACTTAAATAAGTAGCTATTATCCATCCATAACCCTACAAAACAGTCGCTTTCCCCAATTCAAATTGCACAACCAACCTACTTCAAACTCAACCAAAAATAAAATCAATTTACCCAAACAAATTCTTACCGCACCACCATCATCAAAACCGTAGTTTTCATCCTCGGAATTATCATCGGTAACCAATTCCACTTCCATCTCACCTACGAAATATTCACCAAAACACAGCAAGAACATAATCGAAAACCTAAAAAATCTTTTAAAATAAAAATAAACACGCATTAGAAACTCAAGACAATTGAAATACCTAGAACCTAATCGCTCTCCGTGCCAGAAAATTCATCAAAAACTGGCATTCAATCCAGAATAATAGTCCGCAGATAAAGCTTCAACTGTAGCTAAAAATCCCAATCGACGAAACTGCTCGACTCGATCACACCAAAAATGAGAGGAGAATCGAGCAGCAGATGCGGGAAATAATTTATTAATTAAAATTACTTAACGCCGCGTTTGTCTGCTGTGTTATTGAATTTCGGAATTTCTGCAGAGATTTTACCGCCGTTTTAAATGGGCTGCAGTTTATATTGGCCCATAATTTTTGGGCCAAATCGGCCCATTAAGAACTTTCCTTTTCAAGCGGCCCAATAACTATATCTGACCGTTGAGTACCGTACGGAAATTTGGAGTGATTTGAGTAAATTTGGCGTGTGTGGGTGAAAAAGGAAAAATAATGTGAAACATCTTGTCCACATGGTAAGATTAAATAAATCATCACGTGCTTAAATGAATTGTAATCTCATTTATTGTAAATGGATCCATTGGAATTGAATTGGATAGGCTTAGCTGTAATTTAAATTTGATTTAGGTTTGAACTTAGGTTTAAGGAGGGAGCAATTGGTGGCATGCCAAAATTACTTCAAAAGATCACTTGCAAAGCAAAACTCAAATATGTTCTTATTTTTTAAATTTGTTATTTGATTTCGATTTAAATTTCCCTCATTTCGATTTTCACTTCTTAATTAATCAACAATATATAATTCCAATTACTTACATATATAAAAATAATTCCAATTACTTATTTTCATACTATCTATAAAATCAAGATTAATGATTCCGCCAACAGTATGAAATGAACATATATTTAAATTTGCCTATATGAACATATATCTAAATTTGCCTATTTTTGACATTGAATATATTGCCTATATTCCTAGTATAGCATTGAATAGCAGGGAAAGAATGAGGACATTGTATAATTTATGGTTGTGTTGTTTTGTAGGTTTTAGCAAAGATTTTAATTATACTGATTCTTTTTTCTTTTTTTTTTAAAAAAAATATATATAATTTTACATTCAAAATATTATATCAACCACCTTTATCTATATCGCATCAAATAACTATTCAAATTTAACTTCTTACTATTAAAAAATTCAAACCCAATAACTAAAATCCACGTACAAAAATCCACAGACAAACAAAACCTACATGTTTGAGTCAATGAATGACATTTCCACCGACAAGGTTTGAAATTTTTGTCAATATTCATCTACAATTATATTTAATATTAACGTTTTACTATTCTAATTTTTTTTTATCTTTTGGTTAAATTTGAAATAATTTAGTTTAAATTTGATATTAAAATATTATTTTATGGCCTTTTTAGAATAAAAAATGTGTATTCTTTTCGAAAAATACATGATGTAATTAATAAAATTTGGTAAAATCGACCTACAGAAACAGAACATGTGTCTAAACAAAAGCCCGTGAAATAGAAGTGAATATATTTACGAACAAATCTTGTTTCAATCCAAAAAAAAACACAACATATATCCTCATATTTCACCTAAAATTCCCACATATTTTCAACTAAATTGATATATATATAGAGAGAGAGGGTAAGAATCATACCATCACTTGAAAGTGTAAGTCTTTGTATCCAAACGAAGATCCTCTCTCCACCATTGATGTATTCCATGAGCATCCTTGAAGTCCCTCGCCGGAGAACGGTTCACCGACACCGTCGCCGACGGAATAAGATGAACCGGGTCTCCTCCGGCCGGCCGGCCCAATGCATTCATCAAGAACCCTCCGATCGAGTGCTGCGTCGCCAGCCGTTCGATCGCCCCGACTCCCATATCCTCCATCCGTTTTCGGTGCTCGAAGTACCCCACGTACTCCGAGCATATGTCGTCGGCCGGATTCACAAACAAGCCCGGGACCCACGCCGCCAGCGCGGTAAACGAAGCGTCGGAAGAACGGTCGGTTCGGTTCTTCGATGCCAGAGCGAGCCCGGCGGTTATCACGCTCCCCGCAAATCGAATCCCATGCTTCACCTTCTTGTCCTGAATCCTCTCGATCGGGGCGGAAACGAAGGGCGGGTTGAACAGGAACGACTCGAGGAGAACGCCTGTCCTCGCCGTGGTCTTCCCGGCAAGCATCGCCATTGCGGCGCCGAGGGAATGCCCGGCTAGCCAGACATTGGAGCTCCCGAACGTTGCGACGACGTGTCGGACGGCTTGTATTGCTGCCTCAAACCGGGGTGTCTGATGCAGACGGTTTTGGAGGATCTGGACGTTGAGTTCGATGTCTTGTGCGACGGCGTCTCCTTTCGTTATCGTGCCTCGGAAAGCAATCACGTAGCGCGGAGCTTCGCCGTGATTTTCGACCGACTCCGTTGGCGCGAGTTGAAATATAGCGCCGAATATGCTACGGTCTGCGTTGTCGACGAGCAGCTTATATATCTGAAAATCGAAGGACTTCCACCATGGAGGGGCGAGGGCTCGGGTCTCATCTCGTTTCTCTTGGCGGTCTCGTTCCAGAATGTATACACTTTGAACCATGCATGCAGCAACGGACCTTCGGTGGTCGGGATCTGCCCTGCGAAATACTTGTGTAAGAAAAACAGATTTAAACAAGGTTTCCGAATCCTCTATGGTTGTGTACTTTTTGTAGGTTTTAGCACAGATTTTTACTATATAGATTCTTTTTTTCTCTAGAAAGATATCAAATTTACTACAAATTTATTTTACACTCAAAACACCACATCAACCTCTATTTATATCACATCAAACAACTATTCAAATTCAATTTTTTACTATTCAAAAATCCAAACCCACAAACAAACACACCCTATATGTTTCTTTAAAGTCGATCTTTGGTTTCGTGTTATTCAACAAATTTTTTCCTTTCCAAAACTGTCATATCAAACACACATGGTAACAAAAAAATCAATTTTTCATACCAAATATTGCATCAAACACCTATTTTCAGACACCATTTCGAGACACATTTTTACTATTCTCAAACCGTAAACTCATAATCCAAATCTTAAAGAATCTCGACTGTTCCACAAAATCGTGTTCTGGATTTCTGCTACAATCTTAAAGGATGATTAACAAGTCAAGTAACGTCAAGGCTCCGATGGTGCTTCGAGCGGCTAACTCAAACAAACAAGTATTGTACTACAAAAGTAATAAAAAAAATTTAAGTCTACAGAATCCAAGTCCCAAAACTTGCATTATTCTGAGCTTTTATCAAGTATGTTTGATGATCTTGAACTCGAGCTCGAGCTCAAGCATCATACAAAAAATGTAGTCAGGCCTGAGAATACTGCTACTTGTACTCAACTTGAATTTACTGATAAATTTGATTAGATCAAGAGTTAGAATAAAATCGAGCTTAGAAACACGATAGCATATCAGATCTCATGTATGGATACCGGATATAAGATAGAGCAGCTTGGAATGGTCATGAATCCATAATTGATCGGCAAAGAACACAAACATTGTAGAGCATAGGTCATACCAGTTAACTGTGGTGAGGTGCAAAGGTCCTGAGAGGTAAAAATTTTCCCTCTCCGATACGATAGGATCTGTAGGATCAATAATTTCAGTTGATGACGACATAACTGGATTTTATGTCTGAAATTGTGCTCCTTACACCTGCACAAAATCGCAACATATTAAATGATTAAGGTTAAAATTCACTAATTAATGCAAACACCATAAAAAGGAAAATCGGGTACTATTACTCTAGCACACTTTATGAAACAGTTGATGAAAATCAAGTCAGCTTTCGCTGATCCCTACCTTTATTACAACAAAAGGCAATAATGTTCTTACATGACTTCAATTAAACACAAGATCAATAGTGTTGGATAATCAGTAATTGAAGAAACCGCAGAAAGAATAACATCGCAACAAAGAACTGATCTAAAGAAACCTTTTTTGTTTTTAAGTCACAAGAAAAACTGAAATTACTTGAGTTTATCCCTCCAAACAGAGAAGGAAACACTCGATACCTACACATGCATCTTTTTTCCCGTTCCATCTTTCGAAACTCCCTTTCTCCAATCTGTAACCAGTCACCGGGGAGACTAATCCACCCAACTGGCGAAATCTAGTATTTATAAACTAAAAATTGGGTATAAATCAAGCTTAAGATTCAGGACCAAGCCTACATACAGGTGCTTGCAAGCCAAAACACCATCCGAGTAGAACAGCAACTATAATTCAATAAGCTCAACCTTAGTGGCCCGAAAAACCTCTAGCCACATTTTCGCGTCCATAGCAACCGTCTAGAACGCTCTATTTGCCTCGAAAGGCAATAAACGCACTCCAAACATCTATCAAATCCGAATTTCCATTGCACTTGGCTATATGTTCCATGAAATATTCACCTGCCCATTCTCACTCTACCTTTGTTTCTCAAAAGTCAAAACCCCTCTTTCTACATTTCTATTATGATTCATGAAGACCATCCAACCTGATGGCTCTACAATATGTAAAGTCTTACGTGTAAAACCAGCCATGATACTACAAGGTATACTTTCAAGCCAAAAAAATTCCTCCAAGTTTTGGAGCCATAAAAAACCTATGTTATGTTTCCATCGACACTTTAGGAACTTTTTCAATATTTATAAATAATAAAATAAAAAAAAAATGGCATCAAATACATTTTTCATCTCACAAAAAGTAACATCAAATAATCAATTTTTCTATATTCTCAATATTTTCCAGAACTCCAGGATTTCCAAAAACTTCTAGTAAAAGGGGTCCGATGTCTGTAGTTAATTTGGGTGAAATTACAGCAAGGAAAATGTAGGTTTCTCCACTCAATCAATCCAATGAGAAATATCCCTCACAATACAACAAACAGTGAAAACACTCCGAACATTTATTCATAATCAGTAGAACATTTTCCCTCTCTGCTCGGATCTGTCAGATAAATCTAAAAACACCAACGATTCACATCCTAAAACGACAATCAAAACAAATAAATTAATCAAATTTAACAAGTGAATACTAATTCCGAAACAAAAAGGAACACCGCTTGCCTAGCCTCCAACCACGAATACAAATTTCATCGACTAAGCTTCAGAAAACAGAAAATGAAAATCACAAAAATGAAAACGTATATTAAAATTCGGACTGAAACGGAAGCAATAGAAATATAGAATACATTACGCCAACCAAATCAAATCCTGCTTAACCGAAAATACATTAGCGAATCATTCACCTCCAAAGTAGGGCTCGAAGTTGCAGGCAACGCGATCTACAGTTTCCGTCTCTCCCGCCCGAGATCGACAGAGAAGAGAAAGTCCGGTCGCGATGCGATTTATCTATGCTTCGCTTTCGTTTTTGTTACTTCACTTCTAAAGTCTCTATTATTAAGAGGGTCATTTTATAATAATAATAATAATAATAATAATAGATTTTTAACATATGTTTAATTGTGAGCTGTTGGTTGGACGTTACATCTAAAATTAGGGTATGCATTTAATGTTCAAAATATGATAAAATTTAAATTAATATAAAGTCGGTGCTGCTGCTGCTGCTATGTTATCATCAATATTATTTATTTTATATACATGAGAATGTGTTGTATTCAATTTTTGGATATTTAATTTTCGGACGATCTAAATAATCAGTCAAAAAATTGGTGAAACTCCATTATGATGCTATTATTTCGTATTTAATGATTAGGTGAATAAAATGGGAGTCTGCTAAAGAGAAATTACACAAATTGAATCAAGCTTGGATTATAAATCAAAATATAAGGATAAAATAGTATGAAAATGCAAACGGAATTAGAGGGTGTTTGGGAAACAACATTTTGAAGAGCTTTTACTTATTGAACCGCTTTTAACTGTTTGACCGGTAAAAAAATTAATTTAGGTGTTTAGTAAATTAATCCAAAATTCATCTACCTAGCGTTTTGAAATACCTTTTTCATTTTAATTTTGGCTATTCCTTATTTACCTTTAAAATTTAATTATTTATTTTATACATATAAATATATTTTTATAGCAGTATTTATTAATTATTTTTAATATATTTAATTTATTAAATTATATTTTTATTTTTGTAAATTTAAAATAATTACTATTATTAATTATTACACATAAATTATTTTATTTATAAAGTATATAAATTTTTAAAACTAAATTAAATAGAAAAAAAAAATTATTAATTTATTTATAATTATTAAAACAATAATTAACATAATAAAAAAATATATACGAAAAATTTATCATTTTATATTTTACATAATTTCAATAAAAAATTATTATTTTTTAGTAAAAATAATTTTCTCAAATCTAAATAATAAAAATAGAAATAAATATTTTATAATATTTTTAAAATTTTCAATAATTAATAACAAAAATTATCATAAGTTTCAAACCAAAATGAACAAAATTAAATATTTTAAAAAATAACATATTAATGTCCTTAATAGTCATTTTATGTATAAACAGTTAACATGAAAACAGTTGTTTTACCAAACACTTTAATATAAACTACTAATTGAATCAGCTACTCAAACCAACTAATTGAATCAGCTAAGAGCTAAAAGCTATCTACTAATTGTCAAACGCACCTTAATAAAAAAGTCAAGACACATAAATAAACAAGAGTCGAAGAAAAACCAAATAAAAAAGTCAAGACACATAAGTAAACAAGAGTCGAAGAAAAACCAAATATATATATATATATATCTATACAAAGAAAATGCAAATTTTGATTGTTTGTCATTTACTTTCCCATAGTGTGTTTATTTGGGGATTGGATTTTTTTAAATACACTAGTTATCCCATTTTTTCTTTCCAAAAAATCAAATCAAACACCTATTTTTCATTTTTTATATTATACTAAAATTAATTTTACATTCAAAACATCACATCAACACTTATTTATATAAGATAATACAACTATTCAAATCTCAATTCAAAATCACAAACCCACCCTAGTAACTACCATAACTAATCTTTTTTATTTTGAAAAAAACCCAAAAAAAAATCTAACATAGGCGGACAATATTATATTAATATTAAAATTTTAATTAAATAAAACTACTTCCAAATATTTTAAATATCTGAATTAAAACAAAACCAAAATCGAATCAAATATAATTATTAATATAAATTTTAAAATATATTTAATTTTGTTAACCCAACCAAAAAAAATATAAAAAATCAAAATCGAACCAAACAAATATCAAATATACAGTATTTGTATTCGAACCAAAATTGCTTGGTTAACCGAAAATTCAGTTCGATTCAACGGATCGACAGTTCGGTTTGATTTTTTTGTCCACCCCTAACATCGTCAATCTAAACCCCCTACCCTCTTCAATCTAACCCATCCGATCCTCATCTACCATGATGAACGATCCGAATTTTATCATTACAGTACTGATGGGTGCATCCCCAGAACAAACACGGTTAGTGAAACCAAACAGGTCTGTCTAAACGGAGCCTTAACATGTCTAATCCACAGAAAAAACAAGCACAAAATATTTTTGGAAACATCTATCCCAAGTAATAAGCACACAACCAAAACAAACATACAACATGTACATCATATCTCAAATAAAAATTCACATTTGGATAAAATAATATATATATATATATGCAAGCTTTCAAGCATATATACGTCCAAGAAAGATAAACACACAATCAAAATAGAAGCTTTTGGACATAGTTAGCCCACAAGAAGTAAATCTACAAGTTTCTAAGCACACATAAGATCAATAGATATAATAACCACACATAGAAAGAAGCCTGTCCCCCATAGAAAATAAGCACTGTAAAAAGCAAAACAAAAAAGAAAACATATTCCATAGGGCAATCCCAAATGATAATAAAAATGTAATAAAAACAAATATACAAGTTTCGAGCATGTCCACTAACAATTAATAAGCGCACAGTATGAGAACAGATATGCACATACTTCTCAATACATAGTAAGCACACATTCATACTTCTATGCAAGTTTTCTAAGTACCCTTGCCACAACAGAGATAATAAACACAATCAAAATAAATATACAAGATTTCAAAGATTTTCATCCGCAACATAAAATAAGCATACAATCATGAGAAATATGCAAGCTTTTCTTTCAAACACACTTGCTCCAACATAAAACAAACACAACCCAAACAAGCATGCGAGCTTCCTGGCACAACTACCCCAACAAATAATAAGTGCACAATCCAAATAGTTACACGGGCATTTAGGGATGGATGCCCATAACAATTCAAAACAAATATACAGGCTATCAGCCGTGCTTCACAATCCAAGCATATATACAAACTTTTGGGAACACCAACTCCAACAGATGATAAGCTTATCGGCAACCCACACACTGTATTGAGTTTAAGATACACTTACCTCTAACAGAAAATAAGTACACAACCAAATCGGCATTACAAGCATTCGAGCAAATCTTACCCAGCCAGATAAGCACAGTCAAAAATAAAAAGGGAGGCTTTCAAACACATTAGTCCTCAATAAACACTAGCACCACAATCAAAACAAATATGTAAGCTTTTGAGCAAGTTCAGACCTAAAAGAAGATAAATACGCGGTCAAAACAAATATTCAAGCTTTCAAATGCCTCCCACCTACCCAAAAATAATAATCAGCACATAAATGAACAACAAACTTTCAAGCACACCAACCCCAACAACAGGGTTTAAGGAAAAGGCAGTAACAAAAACTAGCATAGCAAACAACCAGAGTGATAGAGAGAAACAAAGGACAGCATAATAAAATTGGTCCTTAACCTCTTGAAGGCTGTCATGAAACAAATTGAGTGTTCTCTCCAACTGTCATGAGATATAATTGAATTTACCAAAGGTTGTGCTACCTGATACTCACCGGCCTTCAGATATGGTAAAGGCAACAACAAAAAACCACCAACAATTTAAAACAAATAAATGGGATCGCTAAAGAAATCTAATTTTTAAATAAAAGCCCAAGTCTCTGGAATCAATCACTATATCATCCCATTCAAATGAGGATTCTCAAATTTCAGCTCATTCACAACATCCTTAAACCTCACGAATTCTGTTACCAAATCAAGTAGAAATAATAAATTTCCAACATTAACTTGCAAAGTATAAATATGATGCAGCATGTGAACTCTAAGCTAACAACAATACTGTTTACCACGCTATGCACTGACCACGTCTGAGAAGAGCATATTCAAGTCTCTCACCAACCAACAAAGAGTCAATAATATTGATGCAAAGATACACGGATCATCATTTCTATGTGAATGTGCATAAATATGCGTATCATTTTGAATTTTAATCCCTCACTAAAAGGTTTATGGTCAAACCTCACTTCACTTTATGTCCACCAACATTATACCAAAAACACAGAAGCAAAACAGCAACATAAAAATATATACAAAAAATAACAGATAAATAAATAAACAGAGATAGAGTCTCAAATCCATGAATGTTGGCAAAACTTTCACAATCAAACCAACACCTCGAGGCAAATGACCTGCAAGAGGTACTCTGCAACAAGTGCTTAGTGACCAAAAGCTATTTCTTTTATTGCCATAGGTTGACCAAAGTTTCAAGCATGACCATAGCTTTTGGATACACTTTCCCCATGACAATGAACAAGAAACTAGTCAAAACAGCAATATATAGGCTTTTAAACACATTAGCCACCAACACAATATGATGCACGATTTAAGGCACTATGTGTCCCAACAAAAAACAAACATACAATTCAAAGGGATCCTATAATTAATAACACATTGTGTTAGATGTGTGTATTTACTTTGAACACACTTTCCACAGGACAATGAACAAGAAACTAGTCAAAACAGTGATATGTAGGCTTTTAAACACATTTGCCACCAACACAACATGATGCACGATTTAAGGCACTGTGTCCCAACAAAAAACAGGCATACAATTCAAAGGGATCCTATAATTAATAACACATTGTGTTTGATGTGTGTATTTACTTTGAGTACACTTGCTAACAACAAATAATAAGCACATAAGTAATACAACTATGCAAGAGTTCAAGCACACATTGCATTGAAAGATATTAAACACATTGCAGAAAGTCTACCTCCAAAAGACATAAGCACATGCTGAAAATAGATATATATAGTGGACACGACCAAACACAACACAAAGAGAACATACATTCCAAACAAATATACAAGCTATGAGGCATTCATGGCCCCAACAAAAATTCAGCACAATCCAAATAAATATGTAGGTTTTCACTATGCCAACCCTTAAACAATAATATAAGCACATATGTGTAACAAAGCTACAAGCTTCTGGCACACCTGCCCCTAATAATTAATAAGCACACAATAAATAATAAAAAATAATGCAAGCTTTGAGGCACCTTTTCCCAGCTGATAATAAACGCACAATCATAACAAATGTGCAAGCTTTTGGAGACGCCAATACAAGATAAGCACAAGGTAAGAACAAATATGAAGACAACACAAAATTAGCTTACAGTCAAGCACATATGCAACCTTCCAAGAACATCTACCTTCAACAAATAATAAGATCACAGTAAAAATAAAATAAACAAAAAAAGTCATGCAGGCATTTGGGATGCATGCACCCTAACAAATAGTAAGTATACATCAGAACAAATATACAAGCTTTCAAGCATGCTTGCTCAAAGTAGATAGCAAGTACACAATTCAAATATACATACAAACTATTGGGCACGCTAACAAAACAAACAAACCATTAAATATATTATGTTGACTGCACTGCAGCACCTCCTTTGATGCAGGAATCATTAAATATATTCCGCTGACTATGAAAGATTATTTAAAACAAGTATAACACAAGAGATAATCGTACCTTCAATATACCTTCAGTTGTCAAAACCATGAAAGCAGCTTCAAAGGCTGTTTCAAAATGTTGGGAATTTACATTATTAGGAATCTCTTATCTGATTGACTATGAAAGATTATTTAAAACAAGTATAACACAAAAGATAATCGTACCTTCAATACACCTTCAATTGTCAAAACCATGAAGGCAGCTTCAAAGGCTGTTTCAAAATCTTGGGAATTTACATTATTAGAAATCTCATATCTGATTGACTATGAAAGATTATTTAAAACAAGTATAACACGAGAGATAATCATACCTTCAATATAACTTCAATTGTCAAAACCATGAAAGCCACTTCAAAGGCTGTTTCAAAATCTTGAAAATTTACATTATTAGAAATCTCATATCTGAAAATCAAGGAAACAAAGAAACATAGATCAAACAGAATGGATTCAAACTAACATCCATAATATGTTCAAAATAGGGACCATAATGAGTATACAAATCACAGAAAGAACCATTATCACAAGATTATTGCATCAAAACCAAACCATGGAAAGTAAAAGTAAAATTAAATTGTGCACACCTCACACCCTTCATATGAAAGATTTCATAACTATTCCAATCCTTGCATTCCCGCCTTTTATATGCTGAAATGATAGGTAAATTCAAGTAGCAATGTTAAAAGAGCATCAATGTAGAAGTAGAAAAGAAATGAAAAAAACCTTGTCTTTACTGCCGTGAGTGCAACCTCTAAGTTCACAAAGAAAGAATTTCAATCATATGTACCCACAATGTCTGCATTATCAAAAGCAAAAAAAAAAAAAAAAAAAAAAAAAAAAAAAAAAAAAAGAGAGAAGTGGATGCATGATCATTTTCGAAAAAATAGTAGCAGGAAAACATCATCATGACTACAATCGAACATAGGTTGAATACCACATTTATGAGTTTTAGATAGACCCCATAACATAATAATAGTTACTTCTTTCCTTATCAGCACCATGATTCATACTGAGATATCAAAAATTAACTCCTATATGATAAGGTAAAAAGACAACCAAAAAATTTAATAAAATAACCCAAAATACTTCACAAACACCTCAAACAGATTTGCTTTTCAAATTATTTGTAGGCTTCTGCAGTAAAAACCATATCAAAAAAGGATACAACAATGAAATTGAAGGGTTGATAAGCATTTGACATTCCTAACCACTATTTATTTTACCAATCTTTTATAACTTTCATCATGAGTAAAAAGGTTGGGATCAAACTTTGAATATTTTAAATAGTTATAGTTTCTCACTTATACTCATCACTTTCAGAAATAATACAAATTTCACACTGTGTATCCTTGAGGGATTCAAACATACACAAAATTTACCATAGTTAAGATTAGATACAAAAATGCTACCAAAATGGCCAGACTCTGAGAATTATACAACCTTGGATGCTTTGATATTTGCATAGCCCACCTTGGTTCCAAAATCTTGTTTTAAAGAATCTTATGCTCAAATGAGTTAAGAGTACGTTAGTCCAAAATGGAATGTCTGAGAAGAAACAAGCACACATTTTCCAACATTAACTTGAGAAGCATATTTATGGCGCAAAAGATAACTCTTATCCCACATACCTCTTGCTTAATGAACTCCAGACCAGGGCAAGTAGTTGACAATGATAGTGTGCACTGACCCACTTCTGGTAAAAAAAAGATAAAAATTATCAAACTAACCATTAGTGTCAATAATGATGATTGGATATGAATATTACAATACAAATTATTATGTATGTTTAACCCCTCACTAGAGATTTGTTTGGTCAATCATCAAACCACTTTATGCCCACCAGCATGACACAAAGGAACAGAAGCAAAATATAAACTAATATAAAAATGAAACAAATGAACAGAAACAGCCTCTTACCCCACTATAATTGGCAAAAGGTTATACAATTCACCTCCATATCCAGATTCCAGGTGAATGAACCTGAAAGAAGCCCTTTGTATTAAGTACTTGGTGATAAAAGCTATTTATTGCCTTACCATATAGCTCCATCATCTTGCAGCATAATTGTAGTAAAGTTATTGTAAACTCAAATGATTAATATAAATGTAAAAATAAAAATTAAAAACAAACAAACAAACAGATTTTTTCATGGAACTTAATGAATAGGGAGTGCAAATCAATCAAACAATTGCATTATAAGAAGAATGGCAGCAGCAAGAGCAAGAGGATTAAGCAGCATTGGAATAGACAAACATACTTAGCACCACTGATAATGGAGCATTCTTCTCATTCATAAAAATAGAAAGATTTGATCAGAAAATAGGTCAAGAGAACTTGGAAGCATTGTGGGGAAGTGAACAAAGCTGAAAAAGAAGTCATGTTTGAAAATTTGGCAAAAATGCATTTTTGGACAGAAAATCAACTTTAAATAGGGAGCTACTTTGTAAAATGATTCAATGCCAAATGATATCTGATTCATATGGCGCTATCATTTGCCATGAAAACAATGAATATGTTTTATACAAGGTAATAATTACACATAGAGCCTAAAAACTTAATGGGAAGATTTATAAATAAACCACAAAATGTAACATTTGTAAATGTATTATTCCTCCCAAATATTATACCAAAATCCAAATACAGACCTAGACCCAAACCAAGACCCAGCTTAGACCCAGACTAAACTCAGATCCAAATCCAGACGAGATCTCGAACCAGACCAGAACCAGACCCAAACACAGCCCTGCCCCAGATCCAGACCTGATCAAGACCCAAGCGAGCCTTGACCCAGATCTGGACCCAGCCCAAGCACAGGCCCAGGCATAGCCTAGAGCCAAACCCAGACCAGACCAAGACCCAAATCCAGACCCTGGCGAAGCCCAGAACCAACCCCAGCCCACCCCGGATCCAGCCCAGAACAAAACCCAAACTCAGCCCAAACCCCTCAGCCTAAACCAAGATCCAGCTCAAGCCAACCGAACACAAACCCAAGTTGAAAAGAAAAAAATCATTTCCATTCCATTTTTATAAAGGTTAAAAAAAAAAATTAGAATACTTTGGGGCAAAAATCAATTATGGATAGAAAACAAACTTAAAACAAGAACTACTTTGGAAAACCATAACAATGACATAGTCAACTACTTCAAATTCATAAAAATTGTTACATAGTTACAAATGAAAAACAAATTAAAACATTCCTTTTCGAAAATTTGATTGTTGTGATTTATTGTGAATCTTTGGAAACAGTGATGAAAACAAATCTTGTAAGAGTTACTCAATCATCTACCATGAAAACTAAGAATATGTTTTATATAAGTTACAGATATAGAGCCTAAAACTGAAATGAGAGAATTGTAGAAGAACAGATAACATATGTAAATGTATTATTCCACTAGAAAATAAGAAGGAATTATGAGATAAGTCCCCTTTAGAACCCCACAAACTCAGCATAAACTAGATCTAGAACCCAAACCCAAATCCAGACCCAAACCAGACCCGAACCCAGCCCTGCCCCAGATCCAGACCCAGATAAGACCCAGGCCAAGGCCCAACCTAGAACCAAACCCAGACCCAGCCCAAGCCCACGCCTAGGAAATTCCCAAACCCAAACCCAGACTCAGACCAGACCAAGACCCAGCCCCAGACTCAACCCAGACTCAGACCCAGCCCAGACCCAAATCCAGAACCTGACCAAGCCCAGACCCAACCCCAGCCCACCCGAAACCCAGTCCAGACCCAGACCTACGCCCAGCCCAAACCCAACTTAGATCCAGGTCTAGACCTAGATCCAAACCTGACCCAACCCAGACAAGGCATACGCAAGCATAACCTAGAGCCAGACCAGCCACAAACTAAAACCCAAGCCAGGCATAGAACCATCCCAAGAATTGGACATGGAGTAATAAAAGTAATCATAATAATAACCAAAACCAGAACTAAACACATCCCACCAAAGATTAAAAAACAACTCACATACTTCAGGGCAATAAACTTATATTATGAATAAATATGTAAATCTGCAGCACCAATGGCATAGCATAACATAGCAATTGATCCCTAAAGATTAAGAGAAAGTTGCATATGAATTAATTGCAAGAGACAAAAAAACGTTTCCAGGAGACAATGAAAATGAGTTTTTCTTAGATGCAAAAGACCATAGGAATTGCACCGGAGAATAAATTAAAACATTTACAGTGTAGGGTTCTCACCAAAAATATGACAGAACCACAGAAATGAATTTATAGCATAAACTTAGAGAATTCTACGTACCAAAGAGGCGCTTCTTGAGAGGCCAAGATAGTAGAAGCAGATGTTTACCTTACCGTATTTTCCAAACAAAATCCAGAAATAGAAAGCATCTAGGTTTTGTAATTCACCTGCACGAAAATATCGATAAAGTAAATGAATATGTCAAAACCCTAATTATGAATTCCAGAAAGTAATAAAACTGTCCAGGCAATGAAATTAGAGAAAGACTTGAGAGAGAGAGAGCCCAACCACAGATATGATTGATAATCGAATCTGATTTCTAAAGAACCAACATTCCTGACAGAGAAATAAGCGTTTGCAATTGCGTACAAAACGAAAGAAACAATAAAGAACTACTCTAAACTTACTTACAGACACCATTTCAGCAGAGGAGGAGGCTTTCCTCTCGATTCTCAAATCTATCTCAAACGTCTTGAATCGTCGATGAACGTCTGCCTGGTGTTAAGTGTAAAAGGGCAATCGACTTCTGCCTATATATATATCATCGTCTTAATCCTACCGTTAAGAATTAAAAACAAAATTAGTGCGTTGTTACCATATATACAATGCCGAATGCCAGTTGTAATACAAAATTAAATCGGGAAGTAATTACTTACCATATAAAACATACTTTGTAGTTATGCTAGAAAATAAAAAAACCCAAATCATAATCTCTGGTTAATTAATGTGCAAGTAACACTACAGACAATATAAATATTACTCTTTAAATAAAATACTAATAAAGCCGTTTGTTTATGTTAGAAATATAATACCATATAAAATATACTTTGTACTTAAAAAATATATATATTTATATATTATCAAGAAATTGATTAAATAATAATTAGAGCTGATGGATTGAATGCCCGTCTTACTTTATAAAAAATTGGATCGTAATTTTTCGATTCCATTAAAATGTTGATCTAAACAAGTCAATTTAAGTAGGTTATGGATTGAAAGTATGTGACGAGTCAGCCAGTAGGCCAAATACTTGTAATAATTTGCACTTTTTTGTGGCATGTCACTCACATTTAAAAATAGTTCTAAAGGTCTTATCTACTTAAAAATTTTTAAAAATAATTTTAATAGTGTTTTATAATATTAAAAAATAAAGATATTTATATAAAAAAACAAATATAAAATTTTTTTACTGTTATGTATAAAAAGATAAATATGATCCTTAGAAGTGGACAAATAAAATGGTATTTTTTATTATAATAAAAATAATTAAATATTAATATTTAAAATATTTTTTTATTTTCACATAAATTATAAATATATGATTAATTCATAAATAAAATATAAAGAGCAAAATTATGTTATATTATCATTAGCTTAAACCAATTAACTAATACTCCCTCCGATTCCAAAACTATATGAACATTTGAGATGTATACAAAAATTAAAGAATAATAATATTATATTGATATTAAGTATAAATGTTTTTCTAAAAGATTAAAATACTCATACTTTATGCCATTATTGTGAAACTAGTTAAACGAGACTATTATTTTGAGAGAGACGAAAATGACAAAAACTGGACTATTGTTTTAAAACGAAAAGAATACTTTTTATGATTATTGTTCTTCTATTGAAATGTTATCAATGTTAATCTCGTAATTATTTCAATTTTTCATCTTTTATTTTGTTTGTCTTTCATATTTTACTATTATTTTATAGTTTTCTTATTCTAGAATCTATTGGCAGGTTAGTAAAATTAACTATAGTTTTTCTTTAGTTTTTGCTATTATTATTTTTTAGATACATCGACTAATTATATTTAAAATTTATTATATTAGCTATTTATTTTAAAACATTTATTATTTAAATTCCACTATAAAACTATTTTAAAACTTTTTTAGATGTTAATTATGAAAATACTTATAACATTAATATATATTTTTTAATATTTAGTTAACTGAATTGGATTGACTAAATTTTTTCGCCATAAATCGATACACAAACAACCCACTTATTTTCTTTCTATGGCAGATTTAGAGCTAATCCATCCCTCTAATCAAATTTGACAGATATAATAATAATAATAATAGAAAATTGCCAAAAAAAAAAAAAAAAAAACCCACCATATGCCAAATTATCATTTTTGTAATTATTTTTGTCATTTGACAACGTGTTTAGTTCACACCAAGAGCAATTATACCCGACCAATGAATAAAAATAACTACTTTTGCAAATATGTAAAATATATATTACTATCGAAACAAATAAAAACAATAATAGAGTTTTTGCAATTTTCCCATAATAATAATGTTAAAATAGATGTAATAAATATAAATCGACCAGAACAAAACCCTTATAACAACAAAAGCGACTGTAAACTGTTCTTGCATTTTATTGCCTTCCTTAACAAAAACCAACTCATGTCTTTTCTTTACTCAAAAACACAACACAACAAACACAAAACACAAAAATCACAAATATAGCAAAAGGGGAGATAAGAACCAAACCCATACTCCACCTTTCCTCAAGTTCACTTCTCCAGCGCCGCCGGCGGCTCGTAGCCGTACGGGTTCTTGCTGGCCCAGTTCCACTGGTCGCGGCACATCTCATCGATCCCGTATTTCGCCCTTTCGCACAAACAATCGAGTGAGAAGACAAACCGGGTCGATAAAAATGTAAAGATTTTACGTTACGAGCAAGCAATTATATAATCGAAATGCGATGCGATTTGCTAGAAAATGCTTACTTCCAGTTGAGCTCGCGCTCGGCTTTTTCCGTTGATGCATATACGATCTCGGCATCACCGGGGCGTCGATCAGCCATCTCCAGCGGGATTTTCTGTTCAGTCGGGATTAAAAAAAAGAAAAGAGTCGTCAATGCACTAAGCACAACGATGATGGCCGGGTATTATAGCTTGAAGAACTGACCTTTCCGGAAACTTTCTCGAATGACGATACCATTTCCAACACGGATGTTCCCTTCCCGGTTCCGAGATTGTAGACTTCGCACCCTGCAGTTTTGTTTTCGACGGAATTACCAGAAAATGCAAATTTTAATAAAACAAAAAATATAAATATTTGAAACTACATCAGCTAAATGCTACTCCCTATGTCCGCCAAATTTATTCTCACTTTATTTTTCAGTTCGTCCGCTAAATTTATCTCATTACTAATTTTGGCAACGTCAACAAATCAACGTTTAATTATTATCTTTCATTCAACACTTATTTACAACAAATACCACTGACTTTATAAAATTTTCTCTTCATTTATTTTAATTTTTAACTGAATTTTCAAAAATACTCTCGACTACCTATCCCTTTTTCAATAAAACATTAATTTTTCTTAAACTCCGTCACCCAAATGTGCTAAATTTAATGGATAGGAGGAAGTATTAAATAAGCCAAATCACTTGATTCTCATAATACTCTTCAAAGAAAACGAAAAAAATATATATTTTTCTCAATCGAACATTTTAGTAAACATGCTTCATTATTTAATAAATGTAGTCCCACAATATTAATAAAATATTTTATTATTTTAACTTAAAAGTACTAAAATACGAATTTCAATGCACATTCATTGTTAGATATGTGACCTTACATCCTAAATACTTTTTTATTATTTTCGTCCGTCACACTCAAAAGTATGTATTTTCTTTTTTAATAAAAGTAATTATACAATAATACCAAAATATAAAGGCAAAAATGTCAAAATCTCTTATGCACTTCCACTAACCAATAAAATACTTTTATTTTTTAATTTACTACAAAACTCCAAGATGCCCCTTTCAAAAGGTACGGAGAGAGAATAAAACATTACTAGGAAGAGAGTATATTACTATTAAAATGCAAAATAACAAAATTTTCCTAAATTCAAGCTCAATCGAGCAGCTTGCAAGCTTGGCTCGGGCTAGGCTCTTTTATGATATAAGGAATTTTCAATCTCGAGATTGGCTCATCTATTTCTATAAAATTTTCGGACAAAACATTGTGTCATTGAGCCAGTAATGGTTAGAGGTACTAATTAATTGCACATGCACAACATATTACTACAAACTAAACAACATCGAGTCAACGTATCTGAGTAATGTCAAAGAGGCGAAATTCACGAGGAGAAAAAGAATAAAGACGAAACAAAGGAAAACAGTGGACGCAGAATACGTACCTACAGAAGGGTCAGAAAGCTTCTTCAAAGCAGCAATATGGCCATCTGCTAAATCAACAACATGGATATAATCTCGTACCTGAAAATCACAGATGCAGTTGAAAAAAAATCAGAGACTTCCATAGTTGATGCTTTATATCAATTCTTGAATCTTCGAGAAAATGAAAATGGTGGATAAAAAATGATTGAATTTGCGAAAACTAGAATTAAAGATCCAATTTTTAGCGTAAATGGATACCCCGGTTCCGTCCTTTGTTCCATAATCCGTTCCGAAGACTGTCAGTGCAGGTCGCCTACCAACAGCTACTTGCTGCACGAATGGCATGAGATTGTTCGGAATTCCACGAGGATCTTCACCTATGTACCCGCTTGAGTGTGCGCCCACCGGGTTGAAGTACCTCAACAATATGATTTTCCATGACTTGTCGGATTGGTAGATGTCTCGGCAAATTTCTTCAATGAAAAGCTTTGGTAAAGAAAAAGGGATAGTTTAAGTTAGCCGGCAGAGAGCATTTGTTAAGAAATGTTTTTTAAATAAAAGTAACTAATGCGATACCTTTGTACGCCCATAAGGATTCATAGCACTGATGGGGGACTCCTCTGTGCAAGGCACCACTTTCGGCCATCCGTAAACAGTTGCCGATGAAGAAAACACGAGCTGAATGAATAAATCGAAAAATACAAGACCATGAAATACATACACATATCCGTGTGTGTGTGTGTGTAAATATGTACAATAACAGCAATGAAATTTGGCCATACATTTTTACATCCGTGAGCGACCATAACTTCGAGCAAAGTAATTGTACCGATGAGGTTATTGTCATAGTAAAGCAAGGGCTTCTGCACGCTTTCACCAACAGCTTTTAATCCAGCGAAATGAATAACAGAATCGAACCTTCATTAAACACAATACAAATAAACTAATGTTAGCATCAATATAAAAAAAAAAAATTCCTTCAACTTGGTAAAGAGATCTGTTCCCGATTAATTTCTGCGAAAATATCTTGAAGAGTTAGTTTTCATAGAAACACTATCACCTAGAGAAATGCATTTTGGATCGACCACTTCCTAAACTGTTCCAACCCCAACAAGAACCATACTCGAAAAAGAAGAATATGATCCACATCATCAACTATAGTATGTTTCATTCTCCAGTCGATTCCAGAAGCAGATGCCGGTATTGAGAACTATAAAATCAAATAACATGATCACGCAAATACTCACTTTTCAGAAGCAAAGAGCTTCTCAAGCGCCGGTTTGTCCCGGAGATCAATCTGCAACGCAACACCAAGAATCACATTATACAAGTCAAAAATCCGTAGTTGTATATAAATTCAACCATTGAATGAATTAGGACTTCAAACAAGTCAAGATGAGCCAATGAGTATATATTAACCATTAGTATACTCGAGTTTCAACTAAAATATAACTCAATTATTTTAGAAGTACTAAATTATAAACAATTAGTCATACACTAGAAAATCAAACTCACTCACGAGCCACGCAACATGATTCTTCGCTCAAAGTCAAATTTGAGCAAGCAAGCCAAGTACTTCTTCGATCTAACTTGAATTGACTGAGCTCAAGCCAAGCTATGTACTTATTGGCTCAAACTAGAGTTCGACTGAGCTCAGGCGGACAAGCCAAGCCAAGCCATGTACTTATTGGCTCAAACTAGAGTTCGACTGAGCTCAGGCAGACAAGCCAAGCCAAGCCATGTACTTATTGGCTCAAACTAGAGTTCGACTGAGCTCAGGCGGACAAGCCAAGCCATGTACTTCTTGGCTCAAACTAGAATTCAACCGAGCTCACGCAGACAAGCCAAGCCAAGTATTTCTTGGCTCGAGTTTCAACTAAAAAATTACTCAACTATTATAAATTACTAAATTATAAACAATTAGTTGTACGCTAAAAATTCAAACCGCTCATGAGCCACGCAACGTGATTCTTCGCTCAAAGTCAATTTTGAGCAAGCAAGCCAAGTACTTCTTCGATCTAACTAGAATTGACTGCGCTCTGGCAAACAAGCCAAGCCAAGTACTTCTTGGCTCAAACTCGAATTCAGCCAAGCTCAGGCAAACAAGCCAAGCCAAGCCGAGTACTTCTCGGCTCAAACTCAAGTTTGACTCAGCTCTGGAGTAGTGATTGGATCGAATTTGAACTTGATCGAACTCAGGAAGAGCTCTACTCCAATGGATGTCAGGGCATGCAGGATGCAGCCCCAAGATCTAATCAACAAACGAACATCAAGCAAAACTACAATTTTATCAAATACCCAATCAGATCAGAAATCTTTGAAATCTTTGCATCTAATAAGAAGAACACTACACAGATCAAAACAAAAAGCAAACTCTATTTACTATCGTCAGTCAATCAAACTGAATACAACAGAAATTCACTTCCAGAGAGTTCTACAACTCTACAGAACACTCTCTATCGACACCAAAAACAGCAGAGATTAAAAAATAAATATAAGGATAGGATCACGCGGGAACTGGAGAGCATCTCAAGATCAGTGGAGGAAAAATACGGTGAATCTATTGAAAATAACAAAATAGAAGACCTTGTGAAAAACGAGATTGGAGCCATGGTCGCCGGCGAGCTCCTGGACTCGTTTGAGGGAGATCTGGGAAGAGTTGTCGAGGTTATCGACGACAACCGCCTTGTAACCGCCGAGAAGTAGCTGGAGCACGGTGTGGCTTCCAATGTAACCTGCACCGCCGGTCACCAGTACAGTCGACGCCATTATCGATTGATCGATCGATCTGCAAGAACAGAAAGGGAGATTTGAAGGAAACTGTGGGGAAGTGAGTAGAGATTTATAACGCCATTGTAGAAGCCGACCGTAGTTGAAAAGCTTTTGAAAAGCACCGTCAAAATAATAATAATAATAATAATAATAATAATAATAATAATAAATTACATATGTAATAATAATAATAAAATAAATAAATAATGTTTATTTATATAATAATACCCAAGTTGAAATTATTATAATCTATTTATTTTTAAAAAAATATATTAAAATTTTGATATAACAAAACTTTTGGTATATTAAAATTTTTTATTAGTTTTTATTATTATAAAAAATATAGTTGATCCTGACCATATATTGAAATAAGTTTGATATTTTGGTCTAAACACAAAAAAAAAATAGTGTATCCTTTTTAATACTTTAGTATTCCGTATATCAATTTATAATAATAAGTTAATATATTAATATTAGAATTATTATTTTTAATTTTAGTATTTTGTATTCCCTCCATCCCATGTAATATGTAGACACGAGAAAGTATAATCAGTAAGTAATTAAGAAATATATTAGTAAAAATAATTATAGATTAAAATTAAGATAAGTAAATAGTTTAATTAAAATTAAGAAAATTATAAAATTTAAAATTTAAAATGCGATTAAAGTGCATAATTATATTTTCAAAAATAAAAATAACAAATTATATTAGACGGACGAAAATATAAAATATAAATAAATTATATGGGACGGAGAAAGTATAAAATAATATATATTGATACTAAAACTTTAGTAGGGTATCAGAATATATATTTGTTATATCTATTTTTTATATTTAAATTTTAGTACAATATGGATATTTTTTTTAATATTTAAAAAAAATGGGTACCGTATATAATATTTTTAAAAATAAGTCGTCCTTTGTTCGGATTCTGATTCTGTCAGCTGAGTGTAGATGTGTTTGCTTTTGCTTTGTCAGAGACTTTTACCATTAAAAACCATTCGAGTGATTTTTAGTAATGGAAAAACAAATTATTTTATTTTGTAAAATATTTTAAAAATAATAAAATAGTAATATTTTAATAAATTTTTACGTAGTTAATAATAACCTACCAAACTTCTTAAACATTAAAATAACACAACTTGCATTTCTTCTAATTCATGAAGATTCCTTTTACCCGACAAGTTGCCACTACATTTCGATGAAATCGATTATCGTAATTAGGGGAAAATTATTATTATTATTATTATTATTATTATTTATTTTTTAAAAATCTTGATTGAATACACCAAAATTTAAAAAAAAAAATTAAAAATTTGAATTGAATACACCGGAGTCCAATAAAATTCAGGGTGTGTTTGTTTTGGGGATTGGATTAGATTTCCACTATTCATCCCATTTTTTCCATAAAAAATATCAAATCAAACATATATTTTTTATTTTTTATATTAACTAAAAATAAATTTTACATTCAAAACATCACATCATACAACTATTCAAATTAAAAATTTTTACTATTCAAATCCCAACTTAAAATCCAAACCCCCAAACAAACACACCCTGAAATAAAATCTATATTGAATACAACCGGTTGAAATTTTAACGGTAAAACAAAACATGATAAATTATTATTATTAATTTTGAAAAATATTTTTGAATGAGAAAAAAAAAAAAACAAAAAAAAATTGAGATTTTTGCTATACAACAAAACGTCGGCTGAAAAAACTAGACCGGTCAAAACGAGTTAGTGGGGCGGATTGGCCCACAACCCACCCTAACCCGCAAATAAGTGGGTTGTTTGCGGGCCTACCCACGGCGGAGCAGATCAAAATTTCATCAGCCCAACCAACCCACTGGCGGATGGCGAGTTAAGCGGGCTAGCCCACAGGCTTTTTAAAAATATTAATAATATAAATATTGTAATTAATATTTAAAAATAGCTAAAAATAGTTTTATTATAAAATTTAAATAATAAATATTTTAAAATAAATAAAAAATATAAAAATTCTCAATTCTAAATATTATTAATTAGTGTATTTAAAAAAATTAATAATTAAAAATACTTTATTTTAAAAATAAATCATAATTAATTTTATAAATTTGTAAAATTATAAAATAATAAAATGGAAGACGAACAAAAAAAATGATGAAAAATCGAAACAAATAACAATGTCATGAATAATATAATTAGAGAAGAAAAACAACATATTGATAATTTATTTAAGCTAATGATAATCTAAATTTTATTTTATTCATTAATTTATTTATAATGATATGTTTGTAATTTATAAAAAAAATAAAATATATTCTTATATTAATATTTGATTAGTTTCATTATAATTTTTTAATATGATAATAAAAAATAGTAAAAAAATACATTTAGTTAGACAAGTGAGTATTAATTATTATATTTACTTGACCGCTGGCTAGCCCACCCCACTACAAGCTAACACACCCTCAACCCGCGACCCACGCAGTTGGCCCATTTAAGCCCGCATTTTAACGGACTTGAAAAATTACAACTCTAACTCTCCCTAAAAGTGCGGGACGGACAACCAGACAGGCTCAACCCATTTTGACGACTTTATCAGAAAACTAATTATTGAATTCCTATCACTAACTCACTATCGTCTACAGACAGCACCAAAACCATAATTATGGATTGCTTCCAGAAATGGCAAAATCGAAGACTCTAGATGTGGATGGAAGCAGCTCATCAATTAACCATTTTACAAGCAAGCAAGCAATCCATACGCACTAAATCAAGCACCGACGAAAGGGATAGGAACTATCGAATACAGTACGTTCTTACTTACCCGAGGAAGACGATGATGAAGAAGAAGAAATAGCTCCTCAACGAGAACTTGGAGGATCAATTGATTGAAGCAGCGGCAAGTCGGCAACAGCAGTTAGGTTTCTTTTATCCTTGGCTCGATTGAACAGAAAAGGTTAAAAAGAAAAAATTTGTGGAGATGCGGGGAATCGAACCCCGTGCCTCTCGCATGCGAAGCGAGCGCTCTACCATATGAGCTACATCCCCGTTGTTGAAAGTTCTCTGTTTGTTTTTTATTTAAACAAAATAAATCACATAAATGCAAATAAAATGTGTTCTGCAATAGATTTTATGGAAAAGGATATATTCTAGAATTGCAACTAGCTTTTGTCTTTTACATAAATGACTCCAATAAACATGGCTTAGATTATACATATTTTTTAAAGAATTAAACCATTTTCAATAAGGTTGGGCCGAATCAAATTTTTTATTCTATACATGGAGTTACTATACAATGTTACCCGAGAATGGAATAACTATTTTTTATAATAAATTTATCTTTTAAAAATAAAATATAATTTTATTTGAATAAAATGAATCGTTGGTCTCAAATCACTCTTGCAACATATTTTAAATAATTCCATAAATAAACTTTTTTAACGAATTTGACACACTGAAAAACACGTGTCCGCTGAGTTGGCCCAGCAGACATGTGAAAAAATTATTTATTTATTTATTTTTAATTAATATATATTACCAGCTTGGCATGCCGCGTAAAAATCACACTTCAAACACACAGTACTGTCACTATTTATACTAGCATTAAAATTCTCCATACCTAACAAGAATAATAAAAATTTAAAACTAAAAACTAAAAACACTAAACAAACTAACCCCACCCCAAATGTGCAACAAAAGACTGAACAAAAGAACAAAAACAACAAAATCAAAATCTACATTGGAGCAAAGATGGCATTGATCCAAGTAAATCATATGACACTATCTACATGTTCTTTTTATTGCAATTGAAACAAAGCTGCTAGAACAGCAAACCATCAAGACAAACACAACAAAAATATACAGACGGCAAACACACAAATAAGTTTCGGTTAAAAAGGATACCGGACAATCTTGTTCAAGTTCGAGTCTTTTCCGCCATCCACAAAGCTATTGAGAAAGATCAGAAACAGCCACCCAACTGCCGAAGAGTACAGAAAAGGGAATCGTTAGGGTACTGCTTAGGACTAAGCTTACCTTAATCAGCACATTAAAAAAAAAAAAAAAAGGAAAAAGAAAAAATCCACGACATGTGTTGAATAATTGAAACAATGTAGTAACAGTTCATACTTTTCATATTCTACATTTATATTTTATGTTCTGGACCAGTTGGCAATCATATATGAACCGATTCAGCAAGATAATTCATTTCAATGCAGTTGGAAATGCAACTTAATGATATATGTGTAAAGTGATAACAATTCGATATGATGCAATGAATTAAGGAAAAAACTAAAATTTCTAATATGTGCAAATAATACAGGTAGCTATACAATAGACCGTTGATGCTCTTTGCTCGGCAATGAAAGATCCAATGCCTCAAAATGCTCGATTTTCATTTTAATGGAGCCCCGCCCTAGACCCAAAAAATTTAACTTTAAGAACTTGCGCAATTGGCAATCTTAAATGAACTAATTCAGCAAGATAATTCATTTCAATGCAGTTGAAGTTGCAACTTAAATGTATGTACATATCCGTGTATATGAATTAACAAAAAAAAAAAAAACACTTTTTAATCTATCTAAAGAATACAAGGTAGCAATATAAAAATAGGTAATGTTCTTCACTTGTTAATGAAAGATCCAACGCCTCAAACATGTTCATTTCTTATTCTATGCAGCCCGGAACGAATGGCATCTCATCAAAAATTCTAATTCTAATTAACTTCTAATGTGATTTGAGGGATGCCACAGAACTTATATAATATATGTAAAAAATATAAGTTAGCAAAAAAAAAAATTCAGGTTTTTTCTAGTTGTAGGTTCTTACATACCATGATAGCATCAATTTCATCTTGAGACACAGGAGTTCTCTTGGGCTGATCAGTAGCTTTTCCTCCAGTCGACATGCTGGCTGAAGTCCTGGAGAAATATTTTTGTACAAGATCCTCATTTGTTGAAGCCTCTTGTGTGTGGGATGTCGAATCTGAAAATAATCGGTGAGCTACTTAGGAAGATAATAGAAAGTAATATTCAAAATAGATATTGATTATTTATTTAACTTAATGATGTGTTTTTTCAGTAGAATTTTTCGCCGTTCAACATATAAACACCTAAAATATTTGCAACATGATTAAACAGTTTTGTGCTGATGTTTTCTATCGTTTAGCATATCTCTTAGTTGGTTCAATCATATTTTATATACCAGTCGACATTAGTATGTGGTTCGGAAGAAATTTTTTCCGATTGATATATAACCATACAACATAGTTCAACAGTTCAGTATTGATGACTATGTTTTCTATTGTTTAACAGATCTCTTACTTGGTTCAGTAGAAATTTTTACACTAGCAGTTTGTATATATAACTATCCAACATATTTACAACATAACTCAATATTTCTATGTACCAATGTTTTACAAGGTTTCGCAGATCTGTTACTAAAAATACACGATTTCCCAATAATATTACGAAAAAATACAAATATATGATATAAAAACACAAAAAAGAAAAAACAACATTCCCTATATACTTTTATGATTTATCATACTTCACAACAAAGACCCCTAAAACTATAAACATTAAACAAACATACTCTTGGTTCGATCATATTATCTATATCTATGCCGGTAAATATTACTGAATTCTAGAACAGATTTAGCAAATAATCTACTCCCATTATCATTTTGTCCAAGTCAAGTGATTGAAAACTCATTATCCAAATATAGCTAGAGTGATGCAGGGGAGTTCCTCATGTTTATAGGAGCAGATTATCGCTCAGATACTGCTGAAACTGCTACAGAACCCTTGTTCTTAAATTCTATCACCTGTCCTATAGATCATCATGAACTCGATTTCCAAATCCATCGCATATGCAAGAGGTAGTGCTAACATACTCTTTTCATTTTTATTTTTTTTTCCTCTTCCATATATTATGTATGTATTAGAGTTTAGAACATGTGATTATTGGCTCAATTGTGCCTTTTCTAGTGGAATTAAGTAACTCGATATTGCACAAAACATATCGATCACTTGGAACACCAACAGTTTCCAGAATCAGAAACAGGATTTTCCAAACTGACTATGGAAACAAACATTCGCGAAGAAAGCCACAATTAAGCATCGTTACACCATGGAAGCTCGTTGAATAGCCGAAATAAATAAATATATAAATAATCACACCAACCAAACCAGAAAGTTGCAGATTACCACGTCGAACACGAATAACCTAACGGAAACAGATGGGAAGAGGATCAAGTACTCTGACCAGAAGGCTTGGGACGCCTCTGAGGAAACTTGATCCGCGGTACTCTCTTCATCACCGGCCGGCCTTGCGTGCCTTCAACACTGATGCTTCTACGCCTTCGAGAGGATTACCACACGGAAATGGGGAAACTCTTCTAGGAACGAACGAACCTTCAATTTCCATCGCTAAAAGCTTTGACGAGAATACACAGATGCTAAGTTATGGGCCGGATCGGATCATTAAGGCGGGCCAAAAGCCCAAAATAAAAATGAGCCTGGCCCATTTTGATGAATTTACAACTTAGCCCCTTCGACTAATGAGTCATCCAATTAGCCCAAAATTGAAATTCTCATTATTTGCGCTAGTTCAAAAAATATGTTTGTCATTTATTTATTTATTTTTATATATGTTAAGAGAATAGTATAGACAATATTTCATATACCAGATATTATATAATTATAGTCTGATACATAATGTTTTAAATATAAATTAATTTATTCAATACGAGTACTTGATATTATAAAAACAAGCTTCTATAAAATAAATAAATATAGATATCATAGAAAATGTAAAAAAGTATTCAATAAATATTTGTTATTAACATTACAAAACTACAATCACAATATTTTCCTTTTTATTATCAACATCAAATATGATTTTATATATATATATATTTAAATATTAACCTCTATTTTTTAAAATATTTCACAATTTAATTTATAAAAAGGAAACGAGAATGATGTAATTTTGTGACGAAATCCTCAACCTCCTATGCTTATGGACACTCACAACATTTAAAGCAAATAATATCAATTAATGTCACTTACACAGAATAAAAAATAAAAAATTTAAATACTACAATTTTCGTAAAAAAAACATTTACTAATTTTAAATAGTAACCGTATATATATATATAATATTTTATCCTTCTACCAACTTTATATTATTTTTCTATTTTATTATCCATTAAACTTAGTCATTATTTTTTCCTTTTTTCTTTTTTCTTTGTCTAATAAATTTAATCCATTCATAATAAATAACTTTACAATCCACAATTTTATTACCTTTTTCTAACAAATAATAATGGGTGTGTTCATTTACCACGATTTATCGAATTTCTAATTTACAAATACAAAATCAACTAAAATATCAAATCAAACACATATTTTTTTATATTATATTAAAAAATAATTTTATAATTAAAATATCTCAATCATATAACTATTTCAATTTAAAATATTTACTATTCAAATATCAAACAAAAATCTGAACCCCCAAACAAATACACCTGTAAATATCAAATATATTTATTTGATTTTCATTTGAAATTTAATTTTTAATGTAAATAATATTTTATATTAAAAAAAATCAAATAATTCCACTTCAATTTTAAACATGAACCTCAAATCTAAACCCCACAGGCCACAGGCCAACAGGATCAACTAAGTTACTTCAAGAACCTGAAGCAAACTATTCAGATAATCACAGAAGCAATAATCTTCCTTAGATTAAGCTAAAAGCAGACATAGCATAAGATCGAACCAAACCGAATCGAAACAGGTAGTAAGATAGCTGAGTGTCGGGATCAGACAGGCATTTTCTCACAACCATAAACCGAACATAAAGATTGCACCAAACTTACTAGTAATTACATAACATAGAGGAGTTCAACTAGCATCGATCCATATTCAGACATTATAATAAACTACGATCCATTGTCAACATACAGATAGGTTTTGATACGCGTACCATTTATTTTAGTCCATAACTTCACCCGGTGCGCTTTCTTTTCTTGCTGAGATTCTCAAAGACCTGGTGGACATCTGCAGCTGTTATAGGCTTCGAAGGGTCCGAGGTTTCCTGTGAAGGCCAAAAATAGCTAAATAAGATGACATTTTTACTATACAAGATAAAATAATACTCTTTCCATCTACTAATAGATACGTTTTGTTATCTAAAATGTCCACAGGTAAATGACTGTGTCAGCAACACGCTTATTTGGCCCAATAAACATATAAAACAAGCAGATAATGTATAATTCTTCTGTCCTGATTCAAAATACTTTTTCTTTTATCATTTTCGTCTATCCAAGTATCCCTTTCCTATTTAAAAAAAATAATAATCATACATTAATATCAAAATACCCTTAATTTTTACTTAAATTACTAACAAACAATAAAATATACAATTACTTTACACATCAAGTACAAAGACAAAAATATCAAAACTCTTACATACAGTGTACTATATAAATATATTTACAGTGCTAAATCAATAATATCATATGTATGCAACTATAACATATGTTGAATTTGTATTATGTTGAAATAAATTGTATTGCTTGTAGTTGTATCGTGTGTTTTCCGTTAACATAGAATGTGCCTTCAATAATATGCTAAATTATAAAATTCAACACAACTGCCCCAGCCCCACCAAAATATCCTTTTAAACATATATATTTCTTATCAATTGCAAACCCTTACAACCCAAAAATATTTTAATATTTACACTTAGTATTTTAATAAAATTCAACACAACAAGGATTTGTTAGCTTAGTGTTTTTTGGTGGACCGAATTTTCATAAATATTATTTTAAAAATACAATATATACACACATTAACACAATATATAATATATATACATCATTCATTCACAAAGTCAACAATTAAACACAAAAAATTATTTTTTATATTAACAACATAATTCCCCATACCTAACATAAAAAAAACACATCTATCCAAAAATACAAAATAATCAAACCCAAAATATATATATACTATATAGATAATAAACTGGGAGAGTATATTGGAAATAGATAATGTTTGGCGTACCAGGAAGGAGAAGATCTCATTTTTCATGTCAGCAATTCCGTTTAGTATTTCCATCTTCTCGACATGACCAAGATTATCGAGAAAGCTCATCTCAGCACCCTCTTGTTTCTGCATATTCTCGCTTCTTTTCTGCTTCGCCATTACCTCATACTCAGCAATGGAGTCCTCATTGTCAAGCAAGAACCCGAGTCCCCTCTGGCCATACATGTCCGTGCATTTTCCACACCTACAGAGGGCTTCCCGCCAATTTTTGGAGAGAAACAATGGCTTGCCACTGCCTGTAGCCGGTGGGGTTCCAATCATGTCTTCGACAATGCATTTATCACTTACGCCACTGGATTCAGGAGATTCCTTAGCTACTACTACTACACCTTCAGCTTCTGCTTGTTTGGGAAAAGTGTCCAAATCAAGGTGGCTCACATTAGATTCATTAGGACCAACTGTTTGGTTTGCAGTGTCTGAAGTATCCGATGTTAAAATGATCTGAGGATAGTAAGTCAGAAAATAGCAAAGACTGGTGCATGTCTGGCAGATAAAATCTTCATAGAGAGGCTCACCCTCTTCGTCTCTTGGGATCTACATGAAGGGAGAAGACAAACAAAACATCAAATATATGGAGAGCAAGGGACAGAAACATTTTAGTATTACAGAACTATGATTTCATATCAAATAACCTAATATATATATGTATGTATGTACACCAGAAATGATAACAGATATCATTAATATTTGGATTTAAATGTAGCACCGTGTGTTTGGAAACATGAAATCTATAATTTTACTTTTTTACCATCAATGAAGTGTCAACGGTAGCAAAGAATGAATTATAGTATAGGTGCTCAACTAAATCTTGGCTGTGTATTGAAATGTAAAACGCTGTGAAGCATATTCAACTCCTCATAATAGTATTTTCAGGAGTGGGCTGATCCGTGATAGGAACAAGAGGCTACCGTATAATATAGGCACAAACCTTATCATTAGATTGAAGACCAATGTGCTCCTCGTGAAACCAATCCTCGCAGATACAGCATTGGATCATCTCAACTTGTTCTTCGACATTGGGGTCAGGATAGGGCAGATCACATGTGCAGTATGTACCCTTAAAATTATGGTTGTACTTATTTTCAGTGTTCTCTACATCTTTGTTAGCCATGAGCTTGCAGAAGAACTCCCCAAATTTTGAATTCCCACAGTCACACCTGAAATTTCTTTTGGTCCATAGTTCCACAATCTAGTCAAATTAAAAACCAACCGTAAGATAAAAATATGCCATGTGAAATTTGGCTATGAGATTGGAAAGCCACCACTGTGTTCAAATTGTTAAAGGGCAGATGAATAGGTAAAATTCTATTCTTATAATTGCAATGCATCTCTAAGAAGTAACAACAATGGGATGATGAAGCAAAACACAGGAGGAATGGTAAGAATCAAAAAGGTCTACAAAGAGACAGTGATAAAGATAATCCAATTCTTAAGCATTAGACTTTGACGTACATATTTCCAAGCGCCAATTTCTAGTGTAATCACAGGGCCGGCATCAGTCCCTCAGTGAAGTTGCTTTCATTTAAACATAGGTAGCCAACGAGATAGGAAACATTAGGGTGTGTTTGTTTTGTAAAATAGTTTTAAGATATTTTTTTTATATGAGATACAGAGAATTGTGTAGGTAATATAAAATTAGTAAATGTATAATATATTAATTTTTTGGGAAAATATTTATAAAAAAAAAAACATGAAAAAGAACACACCCTAAGGATTTGTTTGGTTTTGATTTGAAAGTGTGTGGTGATTTAACTTTTTGTTTCAATAATATTTTTATGTGATATTTTGTGAAAGGCAATAGTGTATTTTTATAGATAACTGTGCGAGGTGAATAGTAGAGTTTTTTTATTTGAAATAAAAAACAAACACGCCCTAAATAAAACCAATAGAAATTATCTCTGCTGTTACAGTCAACATTAATTTCACTTGACTTCATGTACCTCATGCCCTTCATGGCAAGATAAAGAACAGGCTGTGCACACACCAGCATTTCCATCAGGAGTGCAGGTCAAACATGAGAAAATTGCTTGCCTCTTGATATATCCTTTGTTATAGGTACACTCCTTGCCTTCGTCACCACCCAGGACCAGATCGGCCTCCTTGAAAAACCATTAAGAGATAAAAAGAAAGACAGTCAAACAACCAACCCCAAGTCCTTAATATTAAAACACGCAAATCTGAGAAAAACACGCCTATTTATAACCAGTAACAATTCATTAAGTATAGTTTGTCAGTGAATTGACTAATGAGATGAATGATAAATAACAAAGTAGTGACTACATAACTGTTACAACTGAGATTCATTGGGCATAGATTTAAAATTTTCGGGGTACCAACAATCTGACACATCTGCATTGCTTAACGAAGATGTTTCTTCATAAACAGAAAAATATAATTTCTTATGTAAGAAATTGTGAAAGTGTATCAAAGAATTTCAGGAAAGATGTGAGAGCACGCATGGATAAATAAATAGCCTATTGCGACGTGGTGAACTGTGCGCAAAAGCAGCAAGCTCTCCGCGCCAATGAAACACCACGGGGGACAGCAGGCAGGATTGCACAAAAGTATTTCAGAATAAGTTTCAGCTTAAAACATTACATCAAATATTATTTAAACCAAAAGTCCATACCTTCAAACCAAATCAAGACTAAAAAGAAACATACTTGAGCATGATTTTGATACAAACAGATATTCTTCTAAAATAAATAAATAAGGAATATATAAAAGGCTGAATGTTTTACATATTACAAATAAAGGGCCAGGTTATTAGAATGGAGTTTTATATATTTGGTTCATGTTAGAATTAAGGTTTGAATTCTTGTTCCTATAATTTCCCTCAACACTTTGAGAGGAAAATTAGTATGGTGTGCTTATTCGTGTTTTCATGAATAATTTGTTTCTCACAAATAAATCATCAGATGTAACACTAACTATATACTTAAAACATTACATTTGGATCATATTTTTCATTCAAATTTTCACAACCAACACATACAACTAGTTTAAAATATCCCCATTAACACTTTAGTTTTCATTCAAAAATTTCAAAATCAAAAGTACTCCCAAATCAGAAATGAACAAACCTTTCTTCCTCCAAACTAACTTTCTTTCAACAACACTCCAAAACAATCTTCTTTACAATTTATTTTCCTTTCACTCTCGCATCCTCAAACCTACCATAGTGAAGCACTCTTGGCTTGAATTGGACCAATTAGCATAACCAAAAGCACATAACACAACTCCTCCCTCGATGTTTACAAGTTCTTTACTGGTAATTCAGATTCAGGTAGAGCCCATATAAAAAATCATTTATAAACTTTTAAACAAACTCAAAACTTCAAAAGATAGAACTATCTTAATCCCAATTCAGACAGCCATCACAGACAACTACAACCAGCTTCTTCCCCAACTCTGATTGCTCCAAGCATTCTACATTTCCCATTTTAAAACCAATCATTCATTTAACTCACTTAGGACTTGCTAGTAGACATTCTTCTTTCAAAATTTAGAGATCCTAGAAACCACGTGTTCGTACTCAATAATTTCAATTTACAAATATGTATGTGTATATATATACATATATATATCAAACCATCACTATAATTAGCAAAACTGAAACACTCACCAACTCCTCTTCTTCAACAGCTTTGAGGTAATCCCCAATTGAAATCGTCTGATCAGCCTCAGCTTCATCATCAAACCCGTCTCCCATTTTCTATAAACCTTCAAACCGAAAAACACAAAATTATACATACATATATTCAAAGAACGCACTCTATTCCATCACTCGATGATCAAAAAAGTACCCCTAAAACTATAAACACTAAACAAACATACTCTTGGTTCGATCATATTATATATGCCCGTAAACATTACTGAATTGTAAAATAGATTTCGCAAATAATCTAACTCCCATTTATCATTGTGTACAGGTCAAGTGATTGAAAACTCATTATCCAGATCTAGACAAAAGTGGTGTAGGAAGGCTGCGTTCTTTTTGAATTATTTTTTTTGGGTTTCTTCACTATGCAGCCTCGTGATTCTAGGTAAAAAATAATCTATGTTTTTTTTCACAAACCATCACATAAAACCACTGTCTAAACCAAAAAACACACAGAAAAGAACACACCCAAAGTCTGTAGAGTTCCTCAGGTTTATAGCAGCATATTATCACTCAGGTACTACTGAAACTGCTATAGAACCCTTGTTCTTAAATTCTATCACCTGTCCTATACATCATCATGATCTCGATTTCCAAATTCATACGCATAAACATAATCTATCATTTTTTTTCTCTTCCATATATTATGTATGTATTAGAGTTTAGAACATGTGATTATTAGCTAATTTTTGCCTTTTTCTAGTGAAAAAAAAAAAAAAAAAAAGATGCAGCTAAGGAACTAAATATTGCACAAAGCATATCGACAAATTCGAACACCAACAATTTCCAATATATCTGACTAGGAAACAAACATTCGCGAAGAAAGCCACAATTACGCATCGTTACACCATGGAAGCTCAATGAATAATCAAAATAAATAAATAAATAACAAATCGCACCCAACCAAACCGGAAACAGATTGGAAGAAGATCAAGTATTCTGACCAGAAGACTTGGGACGACTATGAGGAAGCTTGATCCGTGGTATTATCTTCAACGCCGCCGGGCCTTGCGTGCCCCTAAATCTGATGCTTCTACGCCTTCGAGAGGATTACAACTCGAAAATGGGGAAGCTCTTCGAGGAACGAACGAACGAACCTTCAAAAAACGCACCCTATTCCATCACCCGATGATCAAAAACCAATTATTTTTTCAAAATTCTTACCGAAGATTCCGTACTTCACGACACTATTCAACACAAGGGAACCCTAGGCCATCAATAACACAAGTTACACAACCCAACACCAAACACAAAAAAATTTACCCGAAACGAAGATTTATTCTGGAGATTGCTTCCAGATGATACGATTCGCGGATGTACTTGGACGAAGCTGTTTGGGCATTCGGAATTTAGAGATGGACCGATGGGCTTCTGTGTTAGGGTTTCTTTTTCTCGCACTTTGGGGGTAAATTTAGGGCTGAATGGGGAATTTTCCCGCCAAATGGAGCCCCAAATTTTTTGGGTCTCTTTTATTTGTTCCGTATTTTTAATAAAATTTAATCAAGGTTTTTTTTAAGTAAATTTTTAACTTTTGGATTTTATTTATGTACAAACTTTCAAATTTTAATGAAGTAGTATTCCCTTCCTCCCCTTTTTATATCTATTTTCTATATCTCTTTTTTATATTTATTTTATAAAAAAATGATTTCTTTTTATTTTTTAGTTTTATAATTTTCAATTTTGAATATAATTAATAAATATAAATTAATTAAATTATATTTTTAATATTTTATTTTTTAGAACTAACTCAAAATTCCTTTAATTCTATTATTAGGAGTACTATTTTTTTTAATATTTTTATTTTATAGGAATGTTGTAACTTTAAAAAAAAAAAAAAAAAAAAAAAGATTGTATTTTTAGTTGCATTTTTAATATTAAAAAAATAAAAATACATTTATTCTTCTTATAAAATATTTTATTAAATATTATTTTAATATCAAATTCAAACTAAATTTTATTAAATCAAATCCAAACTAACACACTCTTATTTGAATTGTGAAGATTTGTTTTGAATTTTATTTTAAAATACTTCCTTTGTTATAAGATATGTATTTGTTTTTTTAGGGTAAAATTTAAAAAATAATAGTATTTTAATTTAAATGAGTAGTTAAGTAGTGTAAAAACAGTTTTGCCATTTTTTATTATTTTTTTTTGATAAAAATATAATAATGCGGTGATAAAATATATATATTTGTATAAAATAGTGGGATTATGATTACTAAAAACTGAAATGTATACCATTACAAACGAAAAATAAAATAAAATAAAATAAATAAAATTGTATAAAATGAAATAGAATGAATAATATTTATAATACTTTGTTAAAGAATAAATATATTTCTTATGTATTTTAAAAATTATACTAACTTCGTTTCATAAGAATGATACTATTTTCTATTTTTGTTCGTTCCAAAACAAGGGTACCATTTCATAATTTAGTAATTGTACTACTTAGTAACATAGTAAATACTCTTACAACTTATAATATATTACACAAACGACATGACTTTTATAACACACCATACTAATATGAGCATTTTTGTTTTTTTTACTACAAACTAATATAATACTAATATTAAAAAATCTACGTACAAAAATCAAACGGGGCTCTTATTGCGGGACAGAGGGAGTACTATTTTTTTTCACTGTCCATTCAATTTATGTTTATTCCATTGATAGTAAAAAAAGTCTATTTACTCATAATTTCTATTATTCATACCTTAATATTTTGTATAAATTATATTTTAATATTAAAATATTATTATTTTTATACTTAGTACTCAACCAAAATTATATTATAAACTTTTCTGACCAATGGTGTATATATATTTTTTTTAAACGCATAATTTAAATAATAAAATTTAAAAGAAATACATTGTGTGAGGTTAGAGTATTAAGTTTGAATTTTTGCAAAGTATAAAGACTTAATTTGAATAGTTTTTCTTTTTTCTTTTTTTTTTTTAAATGACTATTTGAATAGTTATTTAATATAATATAGATATATGTTAATGTGGTTTTTGATTCGTTAATTTAATATTTACCGTAATATGTAAAAAAAAAAAAACAAAAATATTTGATATAATATTTTCTATATAAATAGTAAAAATCCTACCAAAAATCTTGAGGATGTGTTTTTTTTTTTGTTTTGTCTTGGTTTGCATTTTGAGGGTTGGATTATATATTTTTTGTAGATATTGTTTTATTTGATTGTTTGTGAGAATAATAATATATATAGTCAAATAATTTAAATAACAATAAAATTATATAGAAACTAAAAAAATATAGACAATCAGAGTCATAGTCTGAACCAAGATAAACATTTTATATAATGTAAATGTGGTGTGATGTAAACTGGTTGTTAGGCTTTCAACACTTCCTTGAATGTATGAAAGTATTTAAATGGAAAAATATTTTGAAATATTTTGAGCGTGTTTGGGAATCAGTTTTTTTAAGAGCTTTTAGTTTATTGAACAGTTTTTAACTGATCAGTCAAAAAGCTAATTTAGGAGTTTGGTAAATTGGTTTTTTAAAAGAGTTTTTTGGATCCAAAAACTAATTTTCGAAAAACTCATATACTCAACGTTTTGAGAGAGTTTTTTCATTTTAATTTTGGTTATTCCTTATTTACCTTGAAACTTAATTATTTATTTTATACATATAAATATATTTTTATAGCAGTATTTATTAATTATTTTTAATATATTTAATTTATTAAATTATATTTTTCTTTTTGTAAAATTAAAATAATTACTATTATTAATAATAACATATAAATTATTTTATTTGTAAAATATATAAATTTTTAAAACTAAATCAAATAAAATAAACAAAGCTTATTAATTTATTTATATATATTAAAATAATAATTAACATAATAAAAAAATATATACGGAAGATTTATTATTTTATATTTTACATTATTTTAATAAAAAAAATTATTTGTTAGTAAAAATAATTTTTTCAGATCTAAATAACAAAATTAAAAATAAATATTTTATAATATTTTTATAATTTTCAATAATTAATAACAAAAATTCTTATAAATTTCAAACGAAAATGAACAAAATTAAATATTTTAAAAATAGCATATTAATGTCCTTAATAATCATTTTATATATAAACAACTAATGTCAAACCGTTGTTTTACCAAACACTTTAATACAACTAATAGATCAGCCAGTCAAGCTAGCTAATTGAATCAGCTAACAGCTAACACATCAGCTAAATCTAATTGTCAAATGCACCATTTTTGTAATAATTTGTATAGAAAACAAAAATATTACTTTTATTTTTATTATATTTGTCTAGTTTACTTTTGATACATATGTAATATATTATAAATTTTATCATTTATTTATTTATTGTCTCTAACTTCTGAATATTTTTTTGTTCTAAATTATTTTAAGGGAAAAAAACTACAGGTAAATTTTTTAAAATAGATAAATAAATAAATAAAGATTTTTTATTGTGTGATTTCAAATTGAAATCAATATTATGTATTTCACATCAATTTTAATAAATATATATATTCACAAAATATTATATCAAAATATTATTAAACATCAATTTAAATCAACATTTTATTTAAAAGCAATTTCAAACTACAATTAAAAAAAATCCTAAAAATATCACCAGATAAATATAATAGTTTGTGAAATAAAATAATTTATTTTTATTTGAACAATATAGGTTGAATATTAATATTTTTTATTTTAAATAAAAATAAACATACCCTAACTTGTGATTAAAAATAACTGTATGTAGTGTTAACACAAAAACGTCAAACAATTAGAGTGTATTTGTTTATTACTTTAATTTAAAATATTTTTTTATTTGATATGAAAAATCACGTTGATAAAATTTAAAAAATATATTATATGAATATATATTATGGTTTTATATATATTAATTAAAAATCTCATCTGCAAAAATTATACAGGTTAATAATATAATAAAAATAAATTATTATTATTATTTAATATGAAAAAATGGACAGTGAGAGTCCATCTAAAGCAAATTCTAGAAGTCAACTTAATTGGGAAGTCTTATACGCTGAGATGCAAAATAAGTAGATATTCCACAATATTACGCGTGTTTCACCAAAACACGACTTTGGTACATTATGCGAAACTAAATAAATAAACGAATTAAACTTTAAAAAATGCGACTTATATGCCCCACTTTCGTCGCATCAGACCCGGCCCGGCCGGTCAACTGCATTTGTCCCGGGCCGTCTGGTTAATATCAACTATCAAGACATCAATTGTTAATCAGGGATGCGTTTGTTTGGACGTTGTAATCTTAAATAATAATATTTTAAATTTTAAAATATATTCGAATGCAATGTAATTTGGTTTTCGATTTAATATTTTTTTATTGAAAAAAAATAAAATCTTTCTTATGAAATGTTCAAAAAAATACATATTTAAGAGTGTTTGAATTTGTTTGATCATATTTTAAAATTAATTTCAAAAAATAGTATATTTTTAAAAAAGATCGTACAAAATAAATAATAATATGAATTTGAATTTGAAATGATGAGAAAAACAAAAGTTTTGATATTTATTTATTTTTTAAAATTATGGTTTAGATTTCTTGATTAAATAATAGCTTTGAAAGTAGTATAATAAATAATTTGAAATTGTTTTATTATATTATTTCATCCATCTCACATATTATGTCCATTTTTTCAAATTTGTCGGTCTTATTTATTTTGTCATTTTTTATTTTTAGAAAAGAATTATATTTTTCCGTAATTTGACAATCTATCAATTTGTTTATTTTAGTACATAGCTATCTATTTTTTTTTTAATAATTGTACTTTCTACTAACATTAAAAATAATTTTATAACTTATTATATATTACACAAATATCATTACTTTTATATCACACAATATTAATAATATTATTTTTATTTTAATTATTTTTACTTTATTCATACCGTAATATAATACTAATATTCCTAAAATTCACTGCAAATGAATATATAGATAAGGGACGGAAGGAGAAAGTACATTTTAATTTTATTTTAAATTTTAAATTTAATTAGACTAATAAATCATTTTAATTATAATTTATAATTATTTTTATTATATCATAATTATTTTTAATAATATATTTTTAATTATTTTTTAATTATACCATTGTAAATTCTGGTATATACAGTAAATGAGATACCAAAGCTGAGACTGAAAAAATATTATTTTCAATTTATGAAGTATGCAACTCATTAAGGTTCAAAAAATCCATTGACCCGGCCCGCAACACTGTAACACATCGGGCCGGGCCCACGTCATTACAGAATATATTTCCTTCAGAGTAGACTATTCAGAGTTCAGAGCAATTCTCCTCTCCAATCTTCCTAGAATGGAGCTTCAACTGAAACTGCTCATCTTCATCTCTTCAATTCTCACTTCCTTCACAAACTCCGTCCAATCCGCCGATTCCTGCAATCCTACTTCCTGTGTTCCCGGCCAGCGACCGCTCGTCAGTCATCCTTTCCGGCTGAAACTCCGGCAGCCGGAAAATTGCAGTCTCCCTGGCTTCGACCTGCACTGCAACAGCCGGAACCAAACGATCCTCCGCCTTCCGAATTCCGGCGATTTCGCCGTCCAATTCATCGATTACAACCGCGGTAAGGTCTTCCTCGACGATCCGGACGATTGCCTCGCGAATCGAACGGCGAATTTCAGCGTCGCCGGAACGCCGTTCGTCGCCGATCGGACGGAATTTGACCTATACAATTGCTCGTCTCTGTCGGCGTACTTTTCGCCTTTCGAATCGTTTGTGCGGCTGCCTTGCGGCGGCGTGGATGGGGAAACGAACGGTACGGTTGTGGTGGCGGCGGTGAGGTCGGCTTCGGAGGCGGCACCGCCGCCGGATGATTGCCGGAAGTTCGGTAACGCTTCGATTCCGTTGTGGACGGATACTCGACTCTGGCTTGGGTCAGTCGTCGCTTTTCAGCTGAGTTGGAGCATGCCGGCGACTGACGACGACCACGACCGTACGGTGTGCGGGTATGGGTACGGGTACGGGTTCGGATACCGGCCAGTGCCGGGTCAACCAAACAGATGTCCCAGACCGCCGTCTGGACCGGGTCAGTTGTTTTATGCGCTTTGAATTAAATTATATGAATATATAAATATATAAGCTTTGGTTTTTCCTTTTTTTTTAGATATTTTTTTTAAAAAATTAATACAATATTAATATTTATTATTTTTATATTATTTACATAATATTCTGTAAATAAATCATTTTCTAACAATATTACAAAAGATACGCACTCATACTTTATTTGATTTTAGAAGATTAACAACTATAGTATACTGTACTTTTTCCGTCCTGCTCCAAGGTCTTATTTACCTTTTGCATCGTCATTGTACTTCATATTATAAATATTTTTATATTTGTATAATTTTGTGTACAAATATTATTGCAATAGTATTATAAGATACTAATATAAATATTTTTGTTATTTTTCTTTAATTTGTACTATATTTTTATATAATAATTAATATTTAAATATTCTAACACGCAAAAAATAAATAAACTCTTATAGTAGACGGATGGAATATTAATAAATATACTTGTATGAAATGAAAATTTCTAAAATACTTTAAGTTAAAATGTTTAATGGGATAAAAAATAAAATATGTGAAAATATTTTGATAAATTAGAAAATGAGAATCACATAAACTAAAAAATAAAAATTAAATATTTTGGTGAGACCATACAGACAAATAAACTTTTTAAATTTAAAGGTAAATGTCTCATTATTTTTTGCGTGATCTAATATATACTATTTACTTTCGTTTTGTTTTAAGGATTTCATTTATTTTTTGGCGTGTTGATTTTTAAATATTAATTATTATATCAAAACGTAGTATAAATTTTAAAAATTGCAAAAATACTTACATTAGTGTCTTATAATATTAATAGAATGTGTACAAAAAATTATATAAATTTAAAGATATTTTTAATATTAAATACAATAAGGCAAAAGGTAAAAATGACCTTGGAGGCAGACAGATGGAGTAACATATTATTTCAATTAATAATAGAAAGTACTCATTATTTTTATATTATTATGGATGCGTTTCTTTGGTTGAGTTTGAAAAATTTTAATTTAAATTTAATATTAAAATAACATTCGATGAATGTTTTGTAATTATGGTTAAAAAATTACTCTCTCCGTCCCACATAATTTGTCCCTATTTTTTATTTTCGTTCGTCCCACATAATTTGTCATTTCCTTTTTTGAAAAATTAATTATACACTTTAATCATATTTTAAAATTTAATTTTTTTAATCTTAATTAAACTATTTAGTTATGTTAATCTTAATTTATAATTATTTTTACTAATACAATTTTTTAATTATTTACTAATTATATTTTAACTAAATTATAGTGTTTACAGTATTAGACCCGTATTAGGTGGGACGGAGGGTTTTACTAAAGTAACACATTGATCATGATCATGATTATGATTATTATTATTATTATTAACAGGTCTTCCGAAAAGTGCCAAATACGCCCTTGGAATAGGAGTCGGAATCCCGGCCCTAATCTGCTTCGCAGGCCTGGCGTGCTACGGTTGTGGACTGGTCCGGGCTTCCCGCCGCCAGCAGCGCCTAGGATCTCAGCTCCCGATCGTCACGCGTTCTTATGAGTCCAGCCCCATCGCCGGCCTCGATCAGCCTACCATAGCCGCGTACCCCATGACAGTTCTAGGGGAAAGCCGCCGCCTCCCCAAGCCGACCCACACCACTTGTCCGATTTGCCTCTCCGATTACGAACCTAAGGACGTCCTTCGGAGTATTCCTGAGTGCAGTCACTATTTTCACGCTAACTGCGTTGATGAGTGGTTGAAGCTCAACGGTAGTTGTCCCGTCTGTAGGAGTTTGCCGGAAACTTCATCCAGCGATTCACCGTGTTCTTCGATTCCGTCGTCGTCGTCATCTCCGTTGCCGCCGATCGACAGGTGAACGGTGAATTTTATTAAATTGGGGATGAATTTTTGTTCCAGTATTTGTTCCTGTTTATTATATCAATAATAATTTGTTTTCAATTGTTCTACTCCAAAGTTTTGCATTGGATCTGTGAAGTTTGTGATACTCGATTGTTTTGCAGGTGTTTACAGGAAACTTCATCCAGCGATTCACCGTGTTCGTCGACACCGTCGTCGTCATCTCCGTCGCCGCCGATCGACAGGTGAACGGTTATTTTATTTTGTTAATTTAGGGGTGAATTTTTGTTCCAGTATTTGTTCGTGTTTATATCGATTGATATTTTGTTTTAAATTGCTCTTTCCCCATGGTTTCGCGCTGGATCTGCGACTTTGTGATTCTCGAATGTTCTGATTTTCTTTTACCGGAAACTTCATCCAGCGATTCGCCGCCGCCGCCGCCGCCGCCCCCGCTTGGCCGGTGAACGGTGATTTTATTTTATTCTATTATATTGGGGATGAATTTTCGTTCATAATTTGTTCGTGTTCATATCAATTGATCATTTGTGATTTTCGATTGCTGTTGCATAGTCGTATTGATCGATTAAAGTAGTTCATCAGTGATTCAGTGGTTACGATGAGTTCAATTGAGAATTTGAAAATCATATTGAAACTTGATATGTTCTTCGTTTCACTTGCTCAGTTTGCAAAATCAATGGCTGTTCTGTTCCTCCTTCCCTTCTTTTAAATTTTCAATCATGGCTGATTCTCAGTGATAATCTTGTTCATCATTACTAGCTGACCCAGTTCAGATGCTATATTATTGTTGGAGCTAAAATTTGGATGGTTCAGGACATTTCGTCAAAATCTATCGGTGTGGATTCCGAAAGTATTCCAAAAAGCATATCCGTCGTCCGATTGGGGGTGGCTCCACCTGCACGGCTTCGAGCCTTGCAATGGATTTAAACTAAAATCTAATGGAACCAATAAATTAACACGAAACTAATCTTAAATTAACAAAAAAGACAATATAAAGTAGGACATAATTTGATAAACTATTGAAAAAGATTAAGAATAAACTAGATTTAGATAAATTGGTTGTTCTTTTAGTGTGTCGTGTCATTTTTGCCATATTTATTTTAATGTAAGCAACCACCCTAAATTCTAGAGAGAGTTAGTTATTTTTTAAAAAGTTCTTAACTCTTCATCAATTTCCTCGACGGTCAAACATGGGCTTGAACCATGTCATCCGTATCTCTGGGAGTTAAGATTGGGTCCGACTGTCGCCTCCACGGCCTGAAGCTCCATTGCTTCTAAGCGGCCTTCACAGATCGGGGTTCTACAGCTCCATTGTTGTTGGATTGCCTCTTGAGGCTCTTTTGTGCGTTTTTGTTTTCAAACATCAGGTGTTTTTGGATCCATTTTCAACAACTATATTTAATTATGATATAAGACACTTTAAACTCTTCAAACGCTTATGATTTGTTTCTTTTATTTTTATACCTCATGTTTTTACTATTTGGACTATGTATTTTTTTTTTTTTTTTTTTAAAAAAACATTATTTCCTTACTACAACAACTCACTTTAGGGACTGGGGGACTATTTAAATTCTCAAAGAGATCATGTATATATATTTTTTTCATAAAATATCATATCAAATATCATTATTTACAATTTTTCGAAACTCTAAAAGTCTTTTTTTTTTTTTTTTTATGACGTGGGAATCTGCAGTCGCTACCCGAAAGTGTGCACTGGGTAAACCTCCGGTCGAACCGAATACTCTGCAAACCAGGCCCGACGGAAAAGTCACACTAGGCAAAACATGTGTGGCAGGTGACCTGAGGTGTCGGGGTTTGAACCCATGACCTCACTGTCACGAGTACAACCTTATCTCTTTATTTGAGTTTAGGGGGATTTAAATGTTTTGGAATATGAATTACTGAAAAGCAAAATTTTAGATGTAATATATTAAGGGTGCGTTTGCCAATTAGCTGATAGCTTTTAACTGTTAGTTGATTCAATTAGTTGTTAGTTGTTAGCTGATTTAATTAACTGGATTGACTAGTTGATTCAATTAGCGGTTTGTATTAAAGTGTTTGGTAAAACAACTGTTTGACATTAGTTGTTTATACATAAAATAACTATTAAGGACATTCATATGTTATTTTTTAAAATATTTTTTTGTCCATTTTGGTTTGAAATTTATGAGAATTTTTATTATTAATTATTGAAACTTATAAAAATTATAAAATATTTATTTTTATTTTTATTATTTAGATCCGAGAAAATTATTTTTACTAAAAAATAATAATTTTTTATTGAAATTATGTAAAATATAAAATAATAAATCTTTCGTATATATTTTTATTATGTTAATTATTATTTTAATATATAAAAATAAATTAATAACCTTTATTTTTTCTATTTGATTTAGTTTTAAATTATATATTTTACAAATAAAATAATTTATATCTAATAATTAATAATAGTAATTATTTTAAATTTACAAAAAATTAAAAATATAATTTAATAAATTAAATATATTAAAAATAATTAATAAATACTGCTATAAAAATATATTTATATGTAAAAAATAAATAATTAAGTTTTAAGGGTAAATAATGAATAAGCAAAATTAAAATGAAAAAGTTCTTTCAAAACGGTTGGTAGATAAGTTTTTCAGAAATTAGCTTTTTGGGTTCAAAAGGCTCTTTAAAAAAGCTAATTTACCAAACACATAAATTAGTTTTTTGACTTGTTAAATAGCTAAAAGTTGTTCAATAAACTAAAAGCTCTTCAAAACGGTGTTTCCCAAACACCCTAAATGGATAGCATATAGTATAACATTTAATGTTTTGAATAAAATATATGTTGTTATTGTTGTTGTTGGTAGTCTATTTTTTTTTTTTTTTAAGAAATAAAAAAAAATCAAATTATTTTAGGTTACATAATGTAAAAATAAAACAACAAATACACTTAGTATTGTCAAGAATAGTTTGGTGGTGTGGAGAATGAACTTATGACCATGAGGCCTCATTAGTTCAAATCAGGTATAGTTTGCAGGATATTAGGTTCGCTCAAGATTTATCTACACTTTTGAGCAGTTGTGGATTCCCACTATATTTAAAAAAAAAAAAAAAAAAAAAATCAAATACACACTCCTTGGTTGTCTAGTGTTATATTTATTTTTGATTAAAAATTAATAATGTATTGAATATATCTTATACGATTGAGTAAATATTTTAAGATATTTTATTAAATAATGCAAAATTTTAAGTTATTTTACCAAATGACATTGTTCGTTTTTGGTATAATGTTTCAACTCTCTCTCTCTCTCTCTATATATATATGTTACTTTCTAATTTATTTTGTAACCCTAGATTAAGAGTATAATAAAATTTCTAATTTGGTACCGCCTGTAAATTAATTTAGATTGAACTAGATAATCAATTTCACTAAGTTTATATCTTTTCCTTTTGTATTTTTGCAATATTTCCATAATAGTTTACATACTATAATTATATCAATCTCAATGTTTATTTTTATTATTATTATTTAAATTAGCATTGTATAGATAGAGAATAATTAACCCTTTGTTTTTTATAGAATAAATTATCCAGTCGAGGATCGTAAGGTTTGTTCACATATTACTTTTGAATGAAACGATTCTCAATAAATAATATATAAAGACAATAATATGCATATATTAATATAATATAATATATAAGTGAATAATGCAATATTAAATATTATTTTTTATATTACTAATACAATTTCTCATAGCTAACATAATAAATATGGGTGAATTGATATATAATGAAAAACATGAAAATAGGTCGATCACGAGGAGTTACTTAATCAAATAAAGAGCGATCTATTTTAGTAAAGATCCGTAAAAAAATAAAAAGAAAATATTTTGTTGGGAATTTTATTTTTAAAAAAGTTAAAGTAAAAGAAAAATAATATATGTTGTGGCATATAAAAATATGTAATGTGTACCGTATAACTTGCTTACTATATCTAAATCACAATATTATGATAAATGGGCTTGTTGGATTGCCAACATTTAGGCCCAAAATATTACAATGTAGGCTTAACAAATATAAAGACTTCAAAACACATGGGTAAAATGTAAATAATAATAACAACAATAACAATAACAAAAATCACAAATTTTGTTAGATAAAAATTTTGAAAATTTAAAAAATTATAATATATATATAATATGTTTTAAAATGAAATAAATATTCAAAGTGCTTTTATTTTTTATTTTTTTGAAAAAGGTTATTTTTTTAAATAATCACTTTGTTCTTGCAACATCATTTATCTCCCAAAGACAATAATAAATAATACAAATTTTTTTTACAAAAGTAAAAGAAAAAAAAAAGAAAAAAATCTCAAATATTCGTTAACAAAAGTTAAATATTCAACTTAAAATAATATATTTTATATTTTTGAAACAATTATTCGTTTCACATACAAAAAATCAATTTATTTAAAAATGCTGCGTGAATAATGTATTTTCCTTAAAAATATTATACCATTTAACGCTCTTAATTAGTATAAAATATTTTTATATATAAATATTTCATCAAAATTATTTTTCAAATTAAAACATAGCGTGTTTACTTGTCAAGTTTTACACTTGATTTTACTATTCTAATTTCTTTTTTTTTTCAAACATATCAAATCAAATACAAAATTTTTATTTATTTTATTACACTAAAATTTAATTTTACATTCAAACTAAGACCGGTAAACACAACCAATTAGACACAAAATTTGGAATGAGGTATTCTATTAAATGTGGGCCCAGGATAGTAGTAGAAATTAGTATAGGGAGTGCATTAAACGACGTCGTGGGCGGTACAGTTAGGCAGTGACGTGTCGCTATCAGGACGGTGGATGCGACCGAGTCACGCTAACCGACAAAACAGACCTTTTTGGGAAATTTATTTAATACTCTTTTTACCCAACCAAATTAATTAATCATCACATTTGGCACTTATCTGTAATGACACTTTTGCCCCTCCTACTACCCTCCTATTTTTCAACTTCACCGCCTCCTTTGCAATGTTCTAATTTCCAACCTGCGATACACTTTCACATTTGGAGGGGCCTATTTACGTAATTTTCAAAAAAAATTGTTTAATGTTTTATAAAAAAATTATTTTTTGTCATTTAAAATATTCTATTAAATACTATTTTATTTTTAAAAATTTTACTTTTAAATTTCAATTCAAATACATTACGATTTTTTCCTTTTATTTATTTTTTTTTAAAAAGATCATTATGCAAACTCTATTACTCATTCTATCTCATTTTAATCAACACTTTTTCTAATTTTTGTTTGTCTTAGTAACAATTGATATTTTTATATTTATTTAGTAAAATTTACTAAATTAAAAATATATTTAACAAATATAAATTAATTATGTAACTTATAACGTTATAATGTAGGATTAATCAAAATTCATCTATTTCAAACTCTCATAAAAAAGTTAAATATTTTTATCTACATTTAAAATTTCATCTCTTTTATAGAATTATTTTATATTAATTATGAATAAATAAATATCATTTTTATTTATTATATGATAAAAAATTTATTTTTTACAAAATAATATTCATGTTATATATATATTTTTATTGTGATATAATTTTAAAATATTTAAATATATATTTTATTTTTCGATAATATATATTAAATTTAAAATTATGAATATTACTAATTACATCAAAATAATAATAAAATAATATCACAATATTATTAATTAATTAAATAACATTCTTTTAAATATTGTGTCGAAATGGTTCAATTCAACCGGAACAGATGGAGTATAAAGAAAAAAATATATCCTCTTCGTCCTGTGAAATGAATATTATTTTATTTTTATAAATATATTTTTTAATGCTAGTAAAATATACTCCCTCTGTCCCAAAAGAATTGTCTTGTTTTTCCATTTTCATCCGTCTCAAAACAATTGCCTTGATTCCTTATTTAGTAACTGTGGTCCCCACTTTATAACAAAATTATTTATATTTTTTCAAACTATCCATAATTATTACTCTAACATACTCTTTAAAATTTTTTCAAAAAAAACAAGGATATTTTAGTAATTTGCATTTTACTTTATACTCACTTTCAATTAAATATATTATTCATTAATTATCGTGTCAACTCCCACAAGACATCTCTTTTAGGACGGAGGGAGTATGTAAAAAAAATATCTTATTAATATTATGTGATATAAAGTACTAATAAGTAATAATATTTGTATAGCATATTGTAAATTATAAATGTATTTATTATATTAGATAAATAATAAAATCATTAAATTAAATTAAAAATTGATATTTTTATTTTGTAACGGACTTAAATAAAAAAATGATACTACCGCAATATTAATATTTTTCTTATAAAATATTCTATTTAATCAATATTTTAATGCCGAACACATCCTATTCATTTTATTTATATTGCATACTTTTTAAAAGTGTGTGCACTATTCATATAATCATATGCAGTAATTTTTTAGAATGTTGATTATCTTTTTAAAAAAAAATATATATATATATACTCCATCCGTCTCAGATATCATGTACACATTGCCATTTATGCTCGTCCCATATACTATGTCACTTTTCTTTTTTGGAAAATGATTACACACTTTAATCTCATTTTAAATTTTAATTTTTTTTTTTAATTCTAATTAAACTAATTAGTTATCTTAATCTTAATTTATAATTATTTATATTATAGAATAATTATTTTCACTAATACATTCTTAATTATCTACTAATTATACTTCTCCTAAAATACCGTGTATACAGTGTAGCAGACACGCTATTTGGGACGGAGAGAGTAATATAATATAACTCTCTCCGCGAAGGTAACTGTTCATTTTTTTTTATTATTTTTAAAATATTAATATTTTATAAATAATAGTACAATATAATGATAAAAAATACATTTTTACCGCTAAAATTATTCACCTTTTAATGATATTCTTTGTATGATTAAATAAAAAAATATGAGTATTATTTATTAAAATAAAGTATATATTTATTTTTTAAAAAATAACTATATTAAGAATTAGACAAATTAAAATGATACTCCCACCCTCCCTTAATAATATATCTATTTTCCTATTTTGGTTCGAACAAAATATTTATTTTTATTTTTTTAATAATTATATCATCTATCTAACATTACAAATACTCTTCCAATTTACAATATATTATATAAATATTATTATTTTTATATCATAAATATTAATAAAAGTAATTTAATCTTTTTATTTTTATTTTTATTTTGTCGTTTAAAAAGCAAATAAATATATAAAAACGGGATGAAGAGAGAACTCAGATAAGAATGAAAAAATAATTAGAATGAAACCCAAATAATGGTGTGAAAAATCAGAGTGCCAAAGCTGAAAATTGCACGGATGTGGGTTGACTTAGTAAGGCAGTGTTTGGATGTGCTGTCTCTTTCCGGGAAATAATCAATGTGAATCAGTGGACCCATCACAACCCTTGTCCCTTCTGCCAAACAGACCCTAAACTAAAAGTATGGGATTCACAAACTCCCTTAACTTTTCCTAAACAAAAAATAAAAAATAAATAAATAAAACTTGTCCAGTTTATCTAGAAGCTTTCTAAATTGATGGAGGATTTTTTTTTTTTATTCTTTTTAATTCAAAATATTTATTTTACCCTTTTATTTATTTCATTAAAAATATTTTTTAAAAAATAAAAGTAATAATATATTAATATCAAAATACTCTTAACTTTTATTTAAATTATATATAATATTACATATATAATTACTTTTTATATAAAATCAAATATAAAAATATCAAAATTTCTTATGTACTTTCAATAACTAATAAAATATTATTATTTATTAATTTACTAAAAAATTCAAAATATTATTTGAAACGGAAAGAGTATACTTCAATACTGTTAATAGGAATTTGTAAAAAATACAAATAAAAATTATATTAAATAGTTAATTATCATTTATTTACTCATTTTTAAAAACTTAATAATAAATTTTTAAGAACAAACATTTTTATTTTATATACTACATTTATTTTTTCATTATATTTTTTATGTCAACCGTTGAGTTTGTGCCACGTGTCCCATTGGTTGGGAAGCCATGCTTATTTATTTTGGTACTGATATACACCTCTGTTATAACATAGTTAAAAATAAATAATTATAATAAATATACTTTAAAAGTATAAATTTTTAGTTTTTACTAAAGTTTTGAATATTTTTAAAATAATAAAATATAAAATATTTTATATTATATTTTATTAGATAAAATAAATATATAGTTCATAAATAGTGCCAACATTTTAAAAAATAAGTAAGAAAAGAAAATCTAATTATTATCATGCAATTGAAATAATTTCCAACTATTATTTCAACACCTTATACTAATTTTAACTAAATTTGTTAATATAACTATCATTTTTAGTTTAATTTTAACTTTTTTTACCTTTGATTTATTTTTTTGCAAATTAGACTCGACGGACAAATCACAGTAGGCCATTTTTTACGGAATATGAATATGCAACCAAACAAGCATATGAATATGATCTTTTGGATTATTTATTTATTTATTTATTATTTAATTAGAGATTCTAAAAAAATATATTTTCATCCACAAAGCATATACATTATGTTCAAACTAAACTACTACTCTATCGATCCCATATATTTTGGGTCTATTCCGTTAGATACAAGAATTTATATAAAGTATAATTAATAAGTAATTAAGAAGTATATTAATAAAACTAATCATTATTTAGTAAAAGTAATTATAGATTAAAATTAAGATAATTAAATAGTTTAGTTAAGATTAAAAAAATATAAAATTCAAAATATAATTGAAGTAGATAATCATATTTTTAAAAAAAAATGACAAGTTACATGGAACGAACAAAAATATAAAATAAAGACAAATTATGTGGGGTTAAGAGAGTAATACTTTTTACTATGCATTATTTTCAATAAAAAATAAATAAATAAATTTTTCTAAATATCAAATTAAAATATTATTTAGTTTTGTATTCAAAATATATATGAATCTCTACTTATATTATATAATACAACTATTCTAATTTAAAAGTTATACTTTCTCCGTCCCTTATAGACTTGTTTGGGTTGGACACGGAATTTAAAGAATATTGATATTATATTGATAGTTAGAAAAAAGTACGAGTAAAAGACTTTATTGTCTTTGTGAGTGCAAGAAGTAGTGATAATTGTGTAATAATAATGAAAATAGTAATAATTTTACGGTGATATGAGTATTTATGAAAATGAAACTATTATTTTTAGATGAACAAAAATAATACACAAGATTATTGTATTGAGATGAAGGCCGTACGTTAAATATAAAAAGGCCGTACTTAGAATTTTTTAATATAAATACGTGAAATTTATCAATAATATAAAAATAATTTTAAAGTATGTGTTAATTTTTTATGAAATAATTATATATATATTAAAAATTATATAGTAAAAATTTTGTCCGTGAACAGAACCCAAATATAAAATGAACATGGTTGTAGATTTTAAAAATATTCTCAACAACATGAAACGTGGCGGGAGGGAAACACGTATGGGCGCCATAGTTATGAGTAGATATGGTAATGACGTGTCCCCGTTGCCATAAATGCATAAAGTGCCTTTTGCCTACACGTGTCCTCTATACAGTGCTTTTGTGGGCCCATCTCATTCCAAAGGTCAAAATGCCGACTTTGCACCTAACATAACATAAAATAATAATAATAATAATAAAACGATTAGGGTATTTATTATGATTAACTGAGATCGTACTCCATGAAGGGTGTGTTTGTTTAGGGGCTTTGATTTCGAGTTGGGATTTAAATAGTAAAAATTTTGAATTTGAATAGTTGTATGATGTGATATAAATAGGTGTTGATGTGATGTTTTGAATGTAAAATTGATTTTTAGTATAATATAAAAAATAAAAAATAGGTGTTTGATTTGATGTTTTTGGGGGGAAAAAATGGGATGAATAGTAAGATTTTTTTTACAACCGAACACACTCGAAATATACTTTTATGGTACATTATTTTGAATTCGTCTTATAACTTATTTATTGTTGTTTAAAATATAATTGGAAATTTTAATTTAATTCTCTTCGTCCCGTATAATAATGATGCAATAGTTATTATATAGTAAAAATAATTATAAATTAATATTAAAATAATTAAATTTTTAATTAAATTTTTAAAAAATATCAAAGTTAAATTGCGATTAAAGTGTATAATTATATTTTTAAAAATAATGATAAATTATGTGGGATGAACGAAAATAAAAAAATAAAAACAAATTATATGGGACAGATGATGTATAATTTATATTTTTTAAAAATTTTAATTATATTATTAAATTATTTTAATTTTAATATATAATTATTTTTATTATATAAATAATTATTTTATTAATATATTTTTTTATTATTAACTAATACTAATACTTTACTTTAATTCTTATATCTACCATCACAAAATATTTTGAACAGATGAAGCAATACTTTTTCTTTTAATCAATTCACTTAAATTTATGCATTACTAAATTTGACAAATTTAATAAATTAATATTTAATTTAACTACTAATCTCTACTAAATATTTATTTACACCAAATAGTATTACTTCTATTAGTATTTTAAAATAATAAAATAGAAAAAATACTTGGGCAAAAATATAACACATTTTGTGCTAATAAAAAGATATAAGTATAATTAAAAGACAACATATTATAGGCAACACAACATTGACAATATACTATTTGTATTAATATAATATAAAAGAACCATATGATTACTTTTAAATGTCATTTACAACTATTTTTAAATTTTTACGCAAAAAATAAATGTATTATTTTTTAAATTGGACGAATATAGTATATATTAGAAATATTGATAAATCGAAATAAGACACGCACTCTAGTTTTTTTGGTTTGGATTTAAGATTTTTATATGAAGTTTAATTTAAACATTAATTTAATATTCCTTTCTTTCTGGATATTTTGTTCACTTTACCGTATACACAAAAATTTAAGAATGGTATAATTAGTAAATAATTAAAAATGTATTATTTGAAATAATTATGATTAAAAAAATAATTATAAATTAAAATTAAGATAACTTATTAGTATAATTAAAATTTTAAAAATTATAAATTAATTTTTTTAAATAAAATTAAAGTGTATAATTCTTTTCCTAAAAGAAAAGTAACAAAATAAGTGAGACGAACAAAAATGGAAAGATGGACATGAGAAGTGAGACGGAATGAGTATAATATTTTATAAAATAAATAATACTACCTTTGTCCTATTGAAATATTGCAATTTTTCATTTTCGTCTGTCTCAAAACAAGGTTACTATTTTCTAATTTAGTAATTGTACTATTTACCTAACATAAATACCCTTCCAACTTACACTATATTATCGAAATATCATTACTTTTATATTACACAATAATAATAAAGGCATTTTCGTATTTGTCACTACAACCCATTATTATACTAATATTAAAAAATCTACGTGCAAAAAGTAAACGGCAACCTTACACCGGGACGGAGGAACTACTATATTTTTTATTAAAATAGTACCGAATACAATTTAATAGTGAAAACTTATTGTGTGTTGGTTTTTTAAAATTGTTTGAAAAAATATATATATTTTTTTCTATGTAAAATATAAAAAATTATACAAATAATATGAATAAATTGAATATGTATAATATATATATATATTTTTTTGAAAGATATATTTTATTTATTTATTTAGTAAAAGGACGTACCCTAAATTTAAAATGAAACCAAACCGCTAGGGTTAGCTAATGTGAACTCGTGCTAAACACAATTGAAATGACGGGCTTGTTATGAAGGTCCAGGACTCGGAACCCATCAACTCCTAACCCTCCACGCAAGAGAAAACAAGCACCATCAAGGGTCTATATACATCCGGTCCTCAAGTCCTGGACCCCTCTTACCAGAAGATGCTAAAAACGAACTCCTTCGCAGCTTGCTATAAATACATCAAATATACATCAAATTCCACAAAATTCTTTTACACGATTCACAAAATTCGATCCTTATTTTTCATCCAGGATAAAAAATCCCCACTAATTTCAATTTTTTTTTTTCCTTCAAAATTTAACAAATAATGTCAGGAATTCAAAATTGTTTTCCTCAAAATCAGTCCGAAATTGGACATTCTCTGTCCCAAATTCTTCTTACCACAAAATCGAACCCTCTAGATTCAATCTTTTCCTACTGCGACTCGGCTGCGAGCCGCGTCGCCGAGCCGCTCGGCTCGCCGGTGTACCTGCGGCAGCGAGATTTGGTGGGCCGGTTCTCCGACGGCGGGCGGTGCCGGGTTATCGGGCCGGGTAAGGCCTACAGAGGAGTGCGGCAGCGGCAGTGGGGAAAGTGGGTCGCGGAGATCCGGCTCCCACAGAACCGGGTTCGGGTCTGGCTCGGTACGTACGACTCGCCGGAAGCCGCCGCCTACGCCTACGACCGGGCGGCTTACAAGCTCCGCGGCGAGTACGCCCGGCTCAACTTCCCGAACCTTCGCGACCCGGCTCGGATCGGGCTCGGCGACGCGGCGCGAGCCGACGCCGTCAGGCGCGCCGTCGACGCGAAGATTCGGGCGATGTGGCAGAAGGTCCGGCGGAGGAAGGCGTCGCCGGCGGTTGTGCCCCGCCGTGGATCGCCGTCGGGAGAAGGCGGAGATGAGCCGGCGGCGAAGGGAGGAGCGGAGCCGGCGGCGGTGGACGGGGAGAGTTGCGGGAATAGTGTTTCCGGCGACGGTTTGTGGGCCGGCGGCGGCTCGGCGGCGACGGCGGCGGCGGAGTTGGAGATTGAGGAATGGCCGCTGGCGCGGCTGCCGTCGTACGACCCGGAGTTGATTTGGGAAGTTCTTGCTAATTAGGTGGTCCTAGGGATTTGCTCCAGATTGATCCAAGCCGTTCATTTTCGTGGATTTGTTTTCTTGGTGTTGAAGTCCCGGATCTTTATAAATTGCATTGAAAATTGATTGCAAGTACTTTCAATTTATTACATGAGTTTAACGATACTTTTTTGCTTTAAGTTCTTTATACATGCATACGTTTTGCAATTTTTTTCTTTTGTTTTTGCTATTACTACTTAATAATATATTACTCTCATTATCCCATTTAATATGAGTGTATTATTGTAATCACAAGAATCTAGGTAAAGTATAAATAATTAAAAAATTTATTAGTAAAAATAATTATTATTTAATAAAAATAATGGTAGATTAATATTAAAATAAATAAATAATTTAATTAAAATTAAAAAAATTATAAAATTTAAAAATTAAAATACGATTAAAGTACATAATTATATTTTCAAAAATAAAAATGACAAATTATGTGGGACGGACGAAAATAAAAAATAAGGACAAATTATGTGGGATGGAGGAAGGGAGTACATCAATAATTTTCTTATCACAAAATATTACATTAGTTAATTTAATTTAATTTTTTTTTATTATAGATTGTGTTTTTTTTTTAAAGATTTTTTATTATTTAATTGTTTTTATTTTAAATATCAATTTAAATATTTATTTTTTATTAAAATTTAATTGTATATTTAAAATATAATATCACTATTTATTTATATTTTTTAAAAAATTATGTAAATTAAAATCTTGTTATTAAAAAATTCGGATTCTTGAACAAACATCTTTAAAAATTTTGGGTGTTTTTTTTGTAAAAATATTTTTATATGGGGTGTGTTTGTTTGGGGGATTGGATTTCCAATCTACTATTCATCCCATTTTTTTTTTCTAAAAAATATCAAATCAAACACATATTTTTTATTTTTTATATTATACTAAAAATCAATTTTACATTCAAAACATTACATCAACACCTATTTATATCACATCATACAACTATTCAAATTCAAAATTTTTAGTATTCAAATCTTAGCTCAAAATCCAAACCCCGAAACTCCTTTATTTCTATTTCTTTCCTCAATTAATAAATCTTTTTACCTTTAAAACTCTTTATTTTTTATAAAACTAATTTATGGTAATGATAAATAAATAAAATATATTTTTTTATTCATTTGAATTATATAAAATTTTATTGCTTACAAAATATATTTTATTGAAATATAATTCTAAAAATATTTAAAAATACCAACAACACTACAAATATAAAAAATAATACAATATTATCATAAGTTATTATTAATAATTTAATAAACTACACAATCTAAAATACCATGTTCCTAACAAAAAAAATTCATCTTTCGCGGGGAGAAGTAATATTTAATTGAAAATTGATGTAAAGTATAAAATAAAAAGATTAAAATTATTATTATTATTTTTTTTTGGTAGGATTTCTAAAATTAAAATTAATAATTAAGAATAATTTAGAAAAATAAATAAATTAATATATATATAAAAAGTTACGAGCTGGGCTGATGGCTTTCAATTATTAAATCGAGCCGCCAGAGTAAATATGGGCCGGGCTTCTCGCTCTATCACATTGTCTTCCCGCCAAAATTGAATCACTCTCCCGCCATTTTCCCCCACATAGATCGACATCCCTAAAAAATCGCAATCTCTCAGCAGACATCATATTATCACCTCCTACTAGCCGGAGCCGGAAAAAAACTGCGGCAAGAGAAGTGGCGGCGATCGGAGACTGCGCGGTGGACGGCGAGGGCAACAGCATCTGGTTGAGATTGTTTATTTTTTATTTCTTTATAGTTTTTGTGGTGGCGGCGGCGCTGCGATAGCATTTCCGGCAAGCAGAGCGGGGGGATAGAACTGTGGATCTGGTTGAATTTGACTCTCGTTTCCATTGGCGTTGTTTGGAACAACTTATAGCGACTTATTCTGCAATCGTTGATGGTCAGGGAACTGCGCCTGCTCCATAAATTTGTGAATTTCTAGAATCGTTCTGCGAGGCCACTAGGTTTGGTGATCTTGTTCTTACTTACAAGTCTTACTTCGTTCTCATAATTGTTCTTTCGATAATCGTTTGGTTTGGCCGCGCTGATTGCCGTTGCAGGTTATTAAAAGTACGAGCAGTGGCAAACATAGCCTGCAATTTTGACTGTGATCTAAGTGTGTTTGTCTTTCCCATTCAGAAATCGACCAAATTCTGATCCGTGGAAGAATGGCTGGAGAAAACGTCGACGTTGGAAGAGATGATATGTTGATTGATGGGGAGCCAGAGAACAAGCCGAAGAACGAAATTCTTGATGGATTCAACGTTAATTACCTCAAAATTTACTACGGTACATCTCTGAATCTCCGAATAATAGAAAATTTCAGTGATAATTGCAAATATGAAATAATGCTATTGTTTTTCCAGGTTGATTTTATTTCTGAGTTTCGTTGGATAAGTTGATTATACCTTGTTTTGAATTGGTTCTAGCTGTAAAACATGAATAATTGCACTAATATGATCCATGTGATAACAATCAAGATTCTACAACAACAATTGTGCATTAGAATACATCTTTATTAAGTGTTTGTTTGTAAAAGTTATTGAATGAGACATAGATTTCAAATTTGATAATTTGAATTCAAGATAGGCACTGGATCAGATTTTTTGAATTAAAAATAGTTGTTTGATCGAATGTTTTGTATGAAGAATAGGTATTCTATACGATACTAGTAAGGAATAAAATATTTTACAGTAAGATCGATAATATCACGAAGAAACATTAACGGAATTGTTGAAACACCTCTTTGTTGTTATGATCTTTAACTATATGAGATTAACTACATTATCAATCAAATGGACCATTATTTTCCTCAATCACATTTTTATTAAGGTGCAATATTATACATGTAGGAAAGCTCTTTCCATTCAAGGACGTGCATAAATGGATGTCTTATGGAAATGGTAAGATTTTGGCAGGAACACAATACTATATTATCACCACTATTGCGTCTTTCTTACCATTCTACTGAAAGAAATGTATTTGATCGATGAATTATAGATGGAAAACATCCTGGATGTGATCAGTCTTACTTTGGGCGACGAGAATTCTCCTTCACATTGGATAATGACATCTATTTGCGGTTTCAATCTTTCAACAATGTTGCTGAACTAGGAAATGCTATCAAGGAGAAATGCCCGGTGAAAATTGATATTGGTCCTGTTTATAGTGTGGATGTAAGTATCAACAGCTATATATATATATATTATAGCCACATTAGTTTACAGGATAAAAGCTTTACAACGTAGAGTGCCTAGTTAGTTTGAATTCATGGTATATATGAACTAATAATAGCAGATTAACTAATTAAATCATATAATAAAAGAAATCACTTAGGACCTTTGTTCCTCGAGAAAGCAGATGTGATCTTTGTTGGATGTATGTTGACGATGATCTGATATTTCATGATGTGTTGTTTTAGTAAATATTTTATAAGTCGGTTAAATGTGAGTGACAGTCATACCAGCAATTTTAAAACTGTAGTCATGTATATGTGCCTTATTCTCTTAGGAATACGTCATTGCATGTTGCCACATTGTAGCCTTTCAAACTCCCTTAACGATTGAATTTTGAACTGTACTGCAGCCTGCAAAGAGGCATGCCTACGGACAATCCGGTGATAATGTTTTCACACCTGTAGAGAGGGAGCTGATATTTGATATTGTAAGTAAATCTTTCTCCTCAATTGTGTGAGATAAATGGAATGAGTGAACAAATTTGTTAGTATATATAGTAAAGTGACTTTCAATTTATGTTCGACAGGATATATCAGATTACGACGACGTTAGATTCTGCTGCACAGGAGCAGAAGTTTGCTCTGAATGCTGGCCATTGATGACTGTAGCTATTAAAGTAATCGATACTGCACTTAGAGGTAACAAATTGATTTAAAAGATATCAAATCATCCAACATCCTTATTAAGTTTACAGTCGGGATGAGCAGTAAAAGATTTCAAAATTTGCATTTTGATTAACATGCCTAGAACTGTGCAGATGACTTTGGATTCAACCACCTTTTATGGGTATACAGTGGCCGGAGAGGCGTCCATTGTTGGGTTTGTGATGGAAAAGCAAGAAGGTAATGCTACAATTAATAAAGTCAAAGTTTTTATTAATCCTTGCCATCGACGAAACCACATTGTGCTTCTTCTTTATATCTTTCTCCAGGTTGAACAATGAACAGAGGGCTGCAATTGCTGAATATTTACATGTTCACAAGGTTATTACAAAATCTCATCGACATTCTTTCTACAATAATATAATTTTCACAACATGTCTCCTCATAAAAAAACATCGTATTCTTGGATAGGGAAATGAAAATAGCCTGAAAAAGGTCACTTTACCCGGTCATTCACTTCATCCTTTCCTCGGGTGAGCTTCATCTTCTCCATATTCAATCTTGATCTTAACCCTTGTTCATCTTCCATACTTTCTTGCTTCTGGTCTCACAGGAGATCGTATACCGAAGTTCTTAAAGGGTTCTTTGAGGAGAAGTTTATGTCTACTCAAAACTTATTTACATATGAGCAGCGATACGAAAAGATACTGGAAATGGTTCCGGATGAATGTATGTCCACGAGCAATGTAAATGATTTTAGTTTCCTTTTTCCGGCCTAGCATTATCAGCATTCCTGTTTTCCACATTTGCAGCTATTGCATCCGAGCTTCGAGGGAAGTGGCAGGACAGCAGCAACAAGCGTAGTGCACGAGATGATGTTAATGTTGTTCGATGGGGGCATCTTAAAAGTCTGCTGCAATCCGGAAAACAGAAGGTATTATTACCAAAATGGTGTGCATTGAAAAACATTACATTATGGTACAAAGTATACAGATGCATTCCCTTTGTAAGAACACAAGTGAGATACACACTATACTAATTTGGTGTAAATTAACATTTACATTATGTCCAGGGTATCCGGAGGGGCGTCGAAGAGATTGTGTTCACGTTCACATATCCTAGACTCGATATGGAGGTTCGTATTCCTTGTCATCTGTGGCTGTATTCATTTTTTTTCAATCACTAGATGATCGACATTGGTGGAATGTTTAGGTTTCGAAACACATGAATCACTTGCTAAAGGCACCCTTCTGTGTACACCCAAAAACAGGTATATGTTATGAATCTCTGACTGCACCAAATTAGTTGCATTATGTTAAAATATATTTAGAAGCAATATATTATATATTTATGGTAGTTATCTTATTTAAGAGATTTATAGAATTTTCGTCTTATTTACATAATTTATAAATATGTACGAATTCTTATAATTAAAATAGAGAATTTTAATTTTATATTCTAACACATTCTATATATATATAAATGTGACTTGATCCTGTTTGTATATTACTCGTACTCAGGTCGAGTTTGTGTCCCCATCGATCCACAGCATTGCGAAGACTTCGATCCTTCGGATGTACCAACGCTATCGGGGGTGAGCATATAATGAAACTACATTTGAAGAGTACAATGTTTCTTAATTTGACTGGGTGTGATTGTGAATTTGCAGCTCCTGGATGAACTTAACAACACCAGAACTGATCCCGACGACGATGTCGACGAGAGTATGCCACTTCACTTCACCTCATCTATGTTGCACTCTTAAATATACACAGGAACATATATATATATATATATATAACTGAGATTTGAAGTAATTTTGACAGAAGTATTGAACAAGACATCACTGGGAAAATCAATAAGATTCTTCAGATCATCCTTCTTGGGGCCATTGCTCAAATCCTGCAAGGTATCCACCCCACCCCCACCCCCTCCCTCTCCCTCTCCCTCTCTCTCTCTCTCTCTCTTATATATACATATATATATATATATATTTTAAACAGAGGTAATGTAATGAATCCATTATAGAAAGGTAAGGCTATAGTAATTGGGATTGTAAGAATAGTCTTCAAAATATTTACATATGATTTGAGTTAGTAGTAGTTTGATGTATTGTGTAATTGATTATATATGATTGAGAATGAGAATGAGAATGTGAATGTGAATGTGAATGTGAATGGTGCAGGAAGAAATGGAGAAGTCATACAGTGCAAAACTGGAGCAGACAAAGAACTCCATAAACTGGTAGTAGGCTCTCACTTCCACTAAGCAGTAAGCTGCTACCTGCTTCTTTAAGCACTTTTTATTTTCAAAATCTATGTATGTATATATATAGATAGATAGCCATGTTCTTGTTGATCTTATCCATTTACTTTGACTCTGTTTTTTTATTAGCAGGAGAGGTCACTCTACCAATTATATGTAGGTCATTATTATTATTATTATTATTATTATTATTATTATTATTATGGTGTTTGTGTGCTTTTCTATATGCTTCGGGGCTGAATTATATTTAAAATTTTAGTTACATTTTAAAATAAATAAAGAGAGAATAAAATAAAGGTAGTTGTAATTTTTTTTTTTAAATAACTGTTTTAATGGAATAATAATTAAATATTGATTTATTGATTTTGTCAAATGACAGTAAATTTGATTGATGGAAGCATTATTAAAGTTAGCATATTGAATGATAGAAAAATCAGCTTAAAATTTACAAACTAAATGTCATTAGGATAGAAATGGATATTCGCTTAATTGAATGACAGTGGGTGGGTAGGAATTGAAACCTTCGGGTGTGTTTGTAAAGGGTTTGGATTTTGGGAATAGTAAAAATTTTGAATTTGAATAATTGTATAATGTGATATAAATAAAAATTATTATATTTTGAATATAAAATTAAATTTCATATAATATAAAAAATAAAAAATAAGCGTTTGATTTGATACGTTTTTTTGAAAAATTTTGACGAAAATAATGAAAATTTCACAAAATCTATTTAATAATAAAAGAAAACTTTATAGAAATGGAGGGTGTGTTTTGATTTCAAATAAAAGAAAGTAACACCGTTTAAATTTTTAATGAAAATATATTATTTTTATAAAAATATAATTTAAATAAATTTTCAAGTCAATCTCTTATTTTAAATTATAACCAAACAAACAAACACACATAATTTTGGGACTGTTATGAGTTTGTTTATCTATCTTATTTTTAAGAAATGCAATTTTTTTATAAATATTATAAAAAATATAATATATATTAATACAATATATTTTATTCATTCATAAATAACAATTAATAATTATAAAACATTATTTTTATATTATTTATATGATAATATTGATTTCAATTTGAAATTACAATCAAAATAAATTTTATAAAATAAATTATTATTTCCAAAAGAAAAATTCCAAAAGAATACACATTGAATGTGTCTTTATTTTATTTTCTACATTTTGCAACATTTATGTATAAAAATACAAATGTTTTTTCTGATAAAAAATTCTATTCAATCGCTATAACAATAAAAACAATAAAACAAAAAGAATTTATAATTTACAAACCAAACACACCTTGTAGTATTTTTTACTCCCTCGGTCTGTCAAAGTCACGTTTATTTTTTGCATCATTATAATTAACATTAAAAATATCATTGTATGCCAAATATCGTTTTATTAGTATTATAAGACATTAGTGAAAGTATTTTTATAATTTTTTATAATATTTTTACTATGTTTTGATATAATAAATAATATTTTTTCCGGTCTCAATATAATAGTCTTGTTTACCATTTTTGTCCGTTCCAAAACAATAGTCTTATTTTCATAAATAACCATACCACCGTAAAACTATGCTTTTTTATTTTTATTACACAATTGCCACTACTTTTTACACTAATATACATACAAACACAAAAAAGTCTTTTATCCATACATTTTTACCAACTATCAATATAATATAAATATTTCTTAAATCTCGTGTCTAATCCAATTAAAATTATATTTATAAAACGAATGGAGTATTAAATATTAACACACAATAAGTAAATGAGATCTTAGACCCGGACAGAAATAATAGGTTTTAAAGGTACATTTTCTTGTTTTAATAATCATAAAATAAAACAGTCTAACACATTTTTTTTAATTAAAAAATCAATATTAAAAAATAATTAAAATAAAAATTAAATAATTAGTATAATAATAATGCATATGTGTGGGATTAAAAAAAATGAAGTTGTGTCGGCGGACCGAGGCCGTCCTGACAGCGCGGCATACTCCGCGATTCGTTCCACATAATAATCCATTAATTAATATTATTAATTAACTTACTTAATAAATTAATTAAATAATTAATTATTTAATCATCTTCGCAGTCTTCGCTGCATCACATTTTCATGTGCTCTTCTTCGTCTTCGAACTCTCCAAATCACTTACAGACAACACCACGAAATTTTCTGATCGCCATTTTCAGGTAAATCTGCTTATTTCTAGTTGCATTTTCTCTCTTCCTATCGCTCGTCGTTTTCCTGTTTTTAATTCTGCTGTTTTCGGTTGCTTTGCTTCAATTCAAGCTTTTGCTGCTGTTGATTTCGCTCCATTTCGTTTTTGTAATTTCTGATTTGTTCCGATTCGTTTCAGGAGATTCTCGTTTTGGAGTTTTCTCGCTGGCCTGTTACGGATCTCAGACTGTGTTCGTTGTACTGTACGGATAGTTAATCTGTAGGAAAAAGCTATAAACATCGGGGGTTTTGGAATCAAGCTTCGAAAAAATTGATTAGGTTGATTAAGAAATGAAGAAGTAATTCGTTTTCACTTTTGGCATTATCCTGCTCCACTGAATTCGAACCTTCGTTTTTGTTGCTTTCTGCTTGTATTATGCTCCTTTACTAAATCCACCGATTTTTCAACTCAAATCCTCTCCAATTGTTCGTATTTTGCCCTTTTACTACCAAATCCCTAACTCAGTTCACAATATGCGTTACTCTGATTGTATAATGATCCTATTTTTGGGGGTTTTTGTGCTACTTTTGAACTTCCCTGCATCGGCGGATTCCGATGTCACAACTTGCTCGGATATCGTGCCGATGAAGACTCGCGAAGATCATATATCGATTACAGATTTTGGAGGTTTAGGTGATGGAGTGAGTATGAACACGAAAGCTTTCAGGAGAGCAATTTACAGAATTGAGCACTTGAAGAGGGCAGGTGGTACTGTTCTTTATATACCTCCTGGAGTGTATTTAACAGGTCCTTTTAATCTCACCAGCCACATGACGCTGTTCTTAGCCAGAGATGCTGTTATTAAAGCCACAACGGTATGGCAATTCGTATCGACCTTTCGTTATCTTGTTGTGAATCCTGCCGTAGTTTCTGCATTGGTTTTCGATCTCTCGTGTGTGAGGGATATTACATCGATATGTTATTGTGATGTTCATAAGCTGTGATGGTGATATGCTTGCTTGATTTCATCCAAAAGAGTTAATGCTTTGATAAATTGTGTCTTTTCCGACATATTGCTGTATCGTATGGTATGCAATTAGCCAAAGGAAAATAGACATGGAAACGGATACAAAATTCATCATCATTGTTTGATCTTTTGTGTGTTAGGGATATTACATTGGGATTTGTTATATATGTTCATAATGTTTGCTTGATTTCATCTAAAAGAGTTGATACTTTGATAAATTGTATCTTTGATCATACTGTTGTATGTTATGCGGATTTGTTAGCGAAACGAAAATGGACATGAAAACATATACAAGATCTTTTAGCTTTGATTCTATATGCAATTCTGCAGGATACCGAGCAATGGCCATTAATAGCTCCCCTTCCATCTTACGGGAGAGGGAGAGAACGACCTGGCGGAAGGTACATGAGTTTAATCCACGGTGATGGGCTCGAAGACGTAATAATCACAGGTCAGTTTGATTGATGCCTGCAACCGTCCGTGAGAACGCTCGACCAATTATGATCAAGCCATTTTTAGTTTGTTTTAGTTCTTAAGGCATAATTAATTTGTTTTTTCCTTTTGTTGTTTGGGTATTATCAGGTGAAAATGGGACGATCGATGGACAAGGCGAAGTTTGGTGGAACATGTGGAGGAAAAAGACGCTCGACTTTACTAGACCGAACCTGGTTGAATTGATGAACTCGAAAGGTATAATTATTTCCAATGCAGTTTTCAAGAACTCGCCGTTTTGGAACATTCACCCAGTGTATTGTAGGTAATGACTCGTTTTAGATTCTTGAGTTGTCATGCAATGAACCCTTGTTTATGGTGAATAATTAATTACAAGTTCTTTGTTTGGCAGCGATGTTGTTATTAATCATCTCACCATTCTTGCACCTCCCGACTCTCCCAACACTGATGGAATCGACCCCGGTATGATATAAACAGTTTTCTACATAGTTTTTATATTCCCTATTTTCTTGATTTTACTCTACCTAGCCTAATGTCCTGTAATGTAGCGGTAGAGCTGTTAATTAGCAGAAGTAAATCGACTTCGAAAGTTTCGACTTTGCTTAAGACTTATCTGAAAAGTAGTTCAAGATCGAATCATTAAGTGGTCAAGTTTTATGCTTTTTAACTTTTACGGGATGCCCGGTATATTTGTTTGGGGATTTGAATAGTAAAATTTTTTAATTGGAATAGTTGCGATATAAATAGGTGTTGATGTGATGTTTTGAAAGTCAAATTGATTTTTAGTATAATATAAAAAATAAAAATTAAGTGTTTGATTTGATATTTTTGGGGAAAAAATTTGGATGAATAAATTCCCCAAACGAATCGAACTAAGAAGCTGGAAAAGATCGTTTTACCCTTGACCAAAAATTGCTTTAGAGTGTGTTTGTTTTTTTTATTTTTGAATAGTAAAATGTTGGAATTTGAATAATTATTTGACGTGATATAAATAGATATTGATGTGATATTTTGAATGGATAATAAATTTATAGTATAATATAAGAATAAGAAAAATAATTGTTTGATTTGATATTTTTTAAGATAAAAAGAATTTGAATAGTAAAAATCTGCTTTAGAATGTTTGAACTTGACTCGCAGATCGGTGGTTTATTCCTGTTGTTATGTATATGTATTTTGGATGTATCGTAATTCTCGATTCTACGACAAGTTTTATGAAAGCCTTTCATTTGCTTGTCAATAAAAGTTTGATTTTTAGAATGTATCTTAATTTAAATGTTGTTATGATGTAATCGAATACCAGATTCGAGCACCCGAGTATGCATCGAGGACTCGTATATATCAACGGGGGACGACCTGGTGGCAGTAAAAAGCGGTTGGGATCAATACGGGATCGCCTACAATCGCCCCAGCCGCGACATAACGATAAGACGCATAACGGGATCGTCTCCATTCGCGGGAATCGCAGTTGGGAGCGAAACATCCGGCGGGATCGAGAACGTGGTCGCCGAGCACATAACTCTATCCAAAATGAGAGTCGGAATCCATCTCAAGACGAACGCCGGTAGGGGCGGCGTGATACGAAACATAACGATCTCGAACGTGTACATCGACGATGCAGCTATTGCGATAAAGATTGCGGGCGACGTAGGCGACCATCCCGACGAGAAATACGACCCGAACGCGCTGCCGGTGCTCAAAGACGTCGTGATTAAGGATATCTGGGGCGAAGGCGTGCAGCAGCCGGGTCTGCTTAAGGGTCTCAAAAACGCGCCGTTTACGAGAATTTGTTTGTCGAATGTGAGCCTCGGCGAGGCCGTCGGGAAGAGGAATAAGCCGTGGCAGTGCTCGGAGGTCAGCGGTGGCTCTGCCCGGGTCAGCCCGTCGCCGTGCGCCGAGCTGATCGGCAGCTTACAGACAGGTACATGCTCTAATTTGTCTTGATGAGATATATATATATATATATATGTGTGTGTGTGTGTGTGTATTTTGTGAAGTTTGGGGTGTGTTTCTTAAGTTATGTGATGGTTTTATTTGGTGTTTTGCATCTTTGTGACGTTTTGTTTTTGTATTAACTGTTGATTTATTTATTTATTTGAGAAATGTGTTAGTAGTAAGTAAAAAATTGTTTCGGTTAACAAAGTCTAGTTTTATTATTATTATTATTATTAATATATGATTATTTCAGTGAAATAAATTTAATATACTACTCCATATTTTATATTAAAGACAATGAGAATAAGATTTGGACTGGGATGTGGAATTTCCAGGATATTAGTGTTGTGATTAATTAAATTTTAAAAGCCAAGAAGAAGGGTGTGCTTATTATTATTATTATTATATTTAAATAAAAATATATCATTTTATTTTATAAATTATCATGCCAAAATTGTTTTCTTTTTCTTCGGCAAAATTATGTTAGGTTACTTTTATAGTTAATAAATTTATACATAGTCTATTCATAATAAAATATTTTATGTACTTATAATTTTATTATTTTTATTTAATAAATAATAATAACTCTATCACTAATTTTTATTCAACTGTTTTCTTATCCTTTTTTGATACATTTTATTTTTATAATATTTTTATTTTATTTTTAATATTATAAAATATATACTGTCTCCGTCTATATAAATTTTCATACTCAATCCAATCTATATAAATTTCAGACTATTTAAATAAAAAACTCTGTAAAACTAGACAAATCCTAAATAAAAGGAAAAAAAAAAGTATATTTATTAAATTGAAAAGTGAAATAGTGATATGTACATTTGTAAGTAACTTTATGTCATTTTCAAGAAAACGAAATTTCCACAAAAACACGCACTTCATATTCAATACTTGACCAACTCATACGTGCATTTATATAAATATATATATATATTTTAAATATTTAATTAGTTTGAATTCCATATTTTGAATATAAAAAATATATAATATAAAATTCAATCTTCATTAGGGGCAAACAAGCTGTGCAAATCCAGTTTAGATGGGTCCGTAAGCATTTTGGGTATTAAAATTATTTTATATATTTTAAAATTATTGATATAATTAAGCTTATAAACGAATTTATTATTATTATCATTATTATTATTATTATTATTATTATGTTTTTTTGACACAAAATTTAAATTTTTCCTATTTGGACTTCAACGTTTGAAAATAATACATTTCTTTTTCATTGCAAAACATCAATTCATACATTATTTTACATTATTTTAGTACTAAACTCAAACTAAACTTTTTACAAATTTATCAAAAGAAACATATGCGGAGTATATAATATAGGAATATATATACATTTTACCTGTAGTAATTGGATATAATATATATTGCTACCATACTTATAAATCCACTCATCATATACCTTTTGCCAATTTTAATAAAATACATCTATCCAAACCAAAGTAAAAAAGTATTCGTACTATCTAATTTGTTATTTTAAAAAAATATAATTACACTTTAATTATATTTTAAAATATATAATTTATAATAATTCAAAATTAATTAGATTAGTATAATACTTTTATAAAATTCAATATATTTACAATAGAAAATAATAATAAAAGATTAAAATGTCTTTTTATTTAACAAACTCATTTCTACTGAAAAAATATTATCATATGAAAATATCAGTTGTATATAAAAATACTATAATTTGTTTTAAAAGAACATTACATCGAACATATATTAACAAAATAGCACATCAAATATAATTTTTTTATTCTTTTCAAAATTCCAAAAATGTCAGTCTAAAGAGATAACTTTTCTGGTCGACTCAATAAATATATATTTAATTATAAACGCACACACCCCACACATATTTTGTATTTGAATTAGTCAGCACACACACAAACACTCCTCTCCTCCTCTCTCTATATATACAATATAGAGAGAGAAAGAGGACATAAATACTTATCCATCATCATCATCAATATGGGTCCACCCCACCCCACCCCACCCCCTCAAAGTAATTTCTTACTAATTTCATGTAATAAATACACACGTGGCCACTCTTGTTTATTTTAATTTCAAAAAATACATTACCACATATAGCACATAAAATACATCTAATGACTATTGATACAAAATCTATGTTAATATAATATAAATAATAATAAACAAACAAACTCAAATATTATATTAAAAATCAATTTTACATTCAAAATATCACATCAACACCTATTTCTATCACATCATACAACTATTTTAATTCAAAATTTTTACTGTTCCAATCCCGACTCAAAATCCAAACCCTCAAACAAACACACCCCAAATCATATCTAAACACACTTCTTATTATTTCATTTGTTGGGAGGGGGTAAAAAAGAAAGAAAAATTACCAAGGCAAAAGGGTAACTTTTATTAAGGTTTGAATTGGTCATAAATCCAACAGGAAGGTCTCACTTACTTACTAGGTGGACTACCTCAATTCTCCACACACTCCTTCCTATAGGTCCACCCCACCCCTACCCTACCCCACCCCCCCCCCACCCCCACTCGTTTTCTCCAGTCAAAACTTCAACTCTCTCACCACTCTTTTCTTCTCCATCCCATCTTATAAATTCAAAACCCCAATTCACCATTAATCCCCACAAAAAACACACACATGAACAAACAGGCAGAAAAAAAATGGAAGAAGGATCATTAATGGAGGAGAAAAGAAATGTTACCTGGGAATACATGTCGCTAATCAACGAACTCAATCAGGGCATGGAGAAGGCCAAGCAGCTTCGTTTCCATATCTGCCTCGCTTCCGATTCCGATTCCGACTCCGAATCCGACGCCTTGCGTCTTCTCCAGAGGATAATCTCCTCCTTCGACAAGGCCTTCGCCATTCTTAAATCGAAGTCGTCTGCAAGAGGTCTGCGATTACCTTCCGAGGCTACGAGCGATGAACTCAACAGAACAGATTGTCGCGATCATGGCGCAGCTAAGAAAAGGTAATGCTTGCTTTCGAAATAAAATCGTACCCGAATTTTTAGGAATATTCGATCGGCTGAAATCGATGATGTTTCGGTTGAAATGTGTTGCAGAAAGCTCCAGACTACATGGACACAACAAGTGAGAGTTAGCTCGGATAATGGACTCGAAGGACCTGCCGACGACGGATATAGTTGGCGAAAATACGGGCAGAAGGATATCCTCGGTGCTAAATATCCGAGGTTCGAATTTTTGCAGTGCATGTTATATATATACATATATATATATATATATATGACAACAATTACTGTGCTGAATTTAATTACGCCGCACATAATGACAGGAAAATACGAATTATGCTAACACAGTACAAATCCAATACATGCAATCATTAATTTTAGTATAAAAAATATATTCATACAACATATCTATAAATAACTAACACACATTTATATGTTTTTTGTTAGATGATATAAATGTCCGACACACCTAAAAGCTTAAATTGTTAGAATACGCATTATTTATTTATTTATCTACAAATGGGAGTCAAACAGTGCTGATCGAGCAAATCAGCTCAAATAGCTAATTTCACTCGATCAGAACTCAAAGTATTTCCTATATATATATATATGTGTGTATAGATATATATACGTAAATATATACGATTTCGATAAAAATGACGTATGCATGTATGCAGGAGCTATTACCGATGCACGTACCGATCAGTTCTAGGCTGCTGGGCGACGAAGCAAGTGCAGCGCTCGGACGAGGATCCGACGGTATTCGAGGTCACGTACAAAGGGGAACACACTTGCAGCTACCCAGCTGGCGAAGTTCCGGAGCCGCCGTCGTCACTAGAAAAACCAGAAATGCAACAAAATCAGGCACTAATGAACTTAAAAACTAATCTGAGAGTAAGTACGGATACCTTCGATGCTCAGGAGATGACGCCGACTCTATTCTCGTTCCCGCACGTAAGCCACGATGTCGACAGCTATTACTTCCCAATCAGCAACCTCGACGAGAGTCGGTTGGGCAGTAATTCGCCGCTGTTTATATCTCCAGCCACGTCAGAGTCGAAATACTTACTTCCCACGACCTACGAAATGAGTTCTATGGGGGTGGGGGGTCACAATTATCAGCATTCCGACTGCGAGATAATATCTGCCAATGCATCGACAACAAATTCCCCAATCGGAGGCACAGAGTTCCAGCTCGATCTTGCGGATCTGGATCCCGGCTTTCCATTTAACACGGCAGGATTCTTCTCGTAGTCGCAACAAATAAAGATCATAAAACAGAATAGTTCTACTGCATTTAACGTAGGATTCAATAATGTATCTACTAGCAAGATTTATGATGTATTCTTTCTATTCGCATGAACAAACATCCAAATCTATTCATTTGTTCCCAAGATTTTCGCGTAAAATATTAAAAGATCGTACCTAATACATACCAAGAATAATAACAAGAGAATCCGTTATGTTAACCTCATAAAACAAGACTCGGATGAGGCAATACAGCAATTTTAATTACACCAACAAGAAGATTGATAATATACAACCAAAACATCGATCAGGAATCAGCATTTCAAAGTATGGGTTTTCAGACATCAAAACATCGAAGCAGACAACAGCATATAGGACTACATCACTAAGTTGTGCCTCGATTGATCATTATTAATTAGCATAGGTATCTTCGATTCTATGTTGGGGATAGATATTGCTAGTGTCGCTTCTTATTACCAAAGCCCTTTTTCTTATTGTGTCCTTTCTTACCGCCTTTATTTTTCTTACCCTTGCTGAATGTACCATGCCTGCTATGGTCATTAGCAACTCGGGGAGCAGTGGGCTGTAATAGATGCTTCACATCGAGGATACCGTTTCTGAAATTTCCTTCTGTTGATTTCAGAATTCTTTCTTCAGGCCGACGCCTCTCCACTTTTCTTGGCCTACTGCCACTATATGCTCCAAACCTCCCGAGCAATTCTCTCTGGGAACACAAATTGATTGTTGAAAACCATTAAAAAATAAACAAATTGAATCGAATTTTTGAGAAAAAAAGTTAGAAATATCGGTGGAGATTGAAGAATAATTTATTTTTTCCCTTTTTTTTGTAATAAAAGAGTGTCATAATTAAAATAATAAACTACTAAGGATAATCAAATTATAACATCTTTTAATTTCAAATGCTATAGAGTTTTGGTGATAACAACAAACAATGCGAAACCTCAAATTCTTAAAATAAATTTTCATCAAACCTCTTTCAACATTTTTTCTTCCATTTCTTTTTGCTTCTTCATTGTTGCTCGCGCCACACTAAGAGGTAATCTCTGCTTCTTCAGAGGCTGTTGAATAAATACACAGTCGATATGCAGTATATAAAACAAAGATTCAACTATATAAAGATATAGAATGATCTTTTACCTTTCCGCCAAGGGATACAACCTTTTTATTCTCCAAGTCCTTTTTTTGTTTCCATGTCATATGCGTCGACCCTGAATTTATATGCAGCGCTTACACACATACTTCGATGTAAACACAAGTGCAAAGATAGTATGTCATTCTCAAGTGTGTATTACCCAAAATCTCGATATCTTTAAGGATAGACTTGATATCCATTTTCGGTTCCTTGGAATCCTCTTGAGGAGCTTGAGATTTTCCTTTCAATTCTGACCTCGATTTAGTCATTCCTACAGTTTTCAATTAGCTGCAAATGAATTTTGATTATGTATATCAACAAGATTTCCCCTCAAGTGTATCAATGGACTAAAGAACACATGCACCAAAATGAACAGATTTCTTCACCATTCACCATTATTATTTTTGTGATAAAAGCTTGCTACAGAAGTTTATGGTCCATTTTTATTAGACAGTGCATCTTCTTGTAGCCAAGCTATCAATCCCCGCCCCCACCCCCCCCCCCCCCCCCCACCCTCCCTCTTTTTTTTTTCTCCTCTTATTTGCAGAAACGTTAAATAGAATACTAACAATATGAACTCAAGCACAAAGCAATCACTAGAGAATCTTAATTCCACACGAACAAATATTAAAACACTGAAAAAAAATCACGAACAAATATTAAAACACAGATTGGTACACACTTCATTTTTTTATCGAATCGATTTATTGTGGTCGTCCGAGTAGCAAAAAGCATCTCACGCTACAAACTAAACAAACGAAATTGAATTTCCAAAACAATTAGCGACACTATAATGTACCTGCGTCCGTAAATTAACGCGCAGAGTTTCTTCAAGTTTTCCAGATGGTGGATGCAGAACGATGATCGGAGTTAATTTCGCCGCAAACTTGTTCAATGTTTGGGAATAGCAGAGAGTTTTGGAGACGAAGGTTGGTGATGGAGATGCTGAGATTAGGGCTGGATTTAAATTGAGGTTTTGGGCTTGGCCGAATTCAATATAACACATATTAAAGGGAAAAAAGTCGATTTTTTTTTGTCATTTAAAATACAATAATTAATTTTTATTTTATTTTCTACTATAAACCCGTAGGTGATCAAATATTTTCTTTTAAGTAGGAATCCTCAGCCGCTATCCGAGCACTGGGTGAACTTCCGGTCGAACCTAATCCCTGCAAATCATGCTCAACGGGCAAGTCACACTAAGCGAATCATGTGTGTGGTATGTGACCTGAGGCGTCGGGATTTGAACCCATGACCTCACGGTCACAAGTCCAACTGCTATGATGTGTTTCTTTGTGGGTTTGATGTTTTGAGTTTGGATTTATGAATAGTAAAAAATTAAATTTGAATAGTTGTTTGAGGTGATATAAATAAATATTGATATGGTAGGGAAAAAATGCTCAGCTTGTTACCGTCTTTAGAAAAAGGATATTTGATTTTTATATCAATTGTACAAGACAGGCCGATCAAATTGCCAATGATGTCCCAAGAGAAAATGACATACGGTCATGGGACACATGTCACAAAACACATCATCGCTGAATCCACCAATGGAAAACGTCACTCTTGCTTGCTTATCCACACGAACAGCTCATTCGTCACTCATCCAATGTAAACTATGTGGCTTCGGATGAGCGGTAGTATTTAAACACAACTTCTCTACCATATACGAACTAACAACATTAGTGCAGCTGCCCGAATCAACTATCATGGATATTGTACGCCCTGCTACCTGGAACAAATTTTCTCGTTGTTCGTCTTGTCTACGGTTTGCATCTTCACGTGGTAGAGATGTCAAGGCTCGCATCACCACTAAACTTAAAGGATCCTCGTTACAAACTTCCTCAACAACATCATCATTATCTTCAGCAACTACTACGCCATCACCATCGTCATCATCTACATAACCCCATTGACCATTTTCTAAAATTATAACAGTTCGCTTATTGGGACATTGGCTTGCATAGTGCCTTTGCCCATGGCACTTATAACACGTCTCTTTCCTATGCCCCAACCCCTTTGCCTTGAACCTTACAGCAGCGTCATCCTTAAAATAAACTACTCCATTTATTAATATTAATTATTATATCAAAACGTAGTAGAAATTAAAAAAAATTTGAAAAATAGTTTCATTAGTGTCTTTATAATACTAATAGAATGACATTTGTAAAAACAAAAAAATTATACTAATATAAGGATATTTCTAATGTTAGTACAATCATATAAATATTAACATTTAGAGGTCACAAATATAAAAAAATAAAAATAATTATTTGGTTTATTATTTTTAGAGGAACCGAATAATAAAAACATGAATCCATACCCACAAAACAACACGACATTAGTGAGTTTTTGGAGCTAACTAACAAAATTCTACATTTAATTTAACTAATAATTAATTAATATTTTTAAACTTATAAATTTAACGCACACTGTCCTGCGTATATAATTCGTCCACCGCCTCTCGCCGATGCCGGCGCCGTCCACGGCGGCGCAGCCGATTTTCAGGTCCTTTCTCCGGCTGCCATTCTTCTACGCTGAAAACTCCATTTCAATGAATAAATTCATGTTTTCAGCAATTCAGCTACGCGAAATTTATTACCTCCAATTTTCTCGAAAATACTCTTCCAAATCAAATCAATTTCACAGCCTCCGAGCATCCATCGCATTGCTTCAATCGTGTGCGCTGAATCAGGATCTTTCCGAGGGAAGAAAAGTCCACGCAGGGATGATCGTTAATGGCTATCTCGGTTCCCCACTGTCCGCGACTAGCCTCATCAATATGTACTGCAAGTGCGACTCCATTGCCGACGCTGTATCTGTTTTTGAAGCGACGAAAGAGACGCACAACGTGTTTGTCTACAATTCCATCATTTCTGGTTTGGCTAGCCATGATCTCTCCAGTGAAGCTTTTGAATTCTACTGTAAATTGAGGCAAATTGGTTTATCTCCAGACAAATTTACTTTCCCTTGCGTGATTAAGGCTTGCTCTAGCATTTCGGATCTGAAAAACATCCATGGATTGCTGCTTAAATTCAGGTTGAATTTCGATGTGTTTGTAGGCAGTGCATTGGTTCATAGCTATTTGAAGTTCAAGCAGGTGAACGATGCACAGAAAGTGTTCGACGGATTGCCTGTGAAGGATGATACTGTAATTTGGAATTCTATGATCAATGGTTATGTGCAGATTGGTGAGTTTGTTAAGGCGTTGGAAATTTTCAGGAAAATGATGGACAATGAGCTTTTTCCGAACCGATTCACCGTCACCGGAGTTCTGTCGGCGTTGGCGCTGGCCGGAGAACTTTCCGGCGGGATGTTACTTCACTCGTTCGCCGTAAAAACAGGGTACGGCGAAGGGGTTCCGATTTCGAACGCGTTGATCGACATGTACGGGAAATGCAGGCGTCTTTCGGACGCGAATTCGGTGTTCGAGAAGATGATCGATATGGATATTTACTCTTGGAACTCGATTATCAGTGTTCACGAGCAGTGCGGCGATCACGATGGCGCATTGAGGTTTTTGAAGCGGATGATAAGGTCGGGGTTCCGGCCAGATTCGGTGACGGTCACTGCCGCTGTTCCAGCGTGTGCGACGCTGGCGTCGAAGCACGGCCAGGAGATTCATTGCTACATGATCGTCAACGGGATTGGCGGCGACGACGGCGCGTTTACGGGGAACACGATGATGGATATGTACGCGAAGTCCGGGAGTTTGAGGGAGGCGAGATTAATATTCGACGCGATGACGATCAAGGACAACGCGTCGTGGAATATTATGATCATGGGGTACGGCGTGCACGGGCTCGTCGACGAGGCGCTTGATCTATTTTCCCGGATGTGCGGCGCGGGATTCGATCCCGACGAGGTGTCGTTCGTCGGGGTTTTGGTAGCGTGTAGTCACGCAGGGTTTGCGATCCGAGGGCTAGAATTATTCGAAGAAATGCAGCCGAGGTACGGCGTGAAACCCAACATCGAACACTACGCGTGCGCGATCGACATGCTCGGTCGAGCCGGGAAACTCGACAAGGCATTCGATTTGATCTCGAAAATGCCGATCGAGCCCAATCAAGTTGTGTGGAGGGCATTTTTGTCCGCATGCCGGATTCACGGGAATGCGGGTCTCGCCGAGGTTGCGACGCGGCGGGTGCTCGAGGTCGATCCCGAGCATTGCGGGAATTATGTATTGATGTCGAATATATTAGGAGCCGCAGGGAAATACGAAGAGGTGGCCGAGTTGAGGCGGGCAATGGCGCGGCAAGATGTGAAGAAGTCGCCGGGTTGCAGTTGGATCGAACTGGGTGATGGAGTGAGCGTATTTTTTAACGCGGATCGCGGTTGTCGCGACGTGAAATTGGTTTACGACGGATTGGATTTGCTCACGGCTTGTTTGCGCGAGCACGGGAACGTCGATGTCTTGGAGAGTTGTTAGCAATGTTTTCACGCTCGGTTTGCCGTGACGGGAGCTTTTTGTCGGGCTGTATTGCCCCCGGAGTTGATGTTGCAGATTTGCTGAAAAAATGATCGTTTGTTAGAGAGTCGTTGCTTGGGGTTGTTGAGAGTTTCGGCGACTCTTGTCCACATTAATTTTGTGAGATGAAATAATATAGTTTTATACTAAATTATAGAAATTATTTAATAAAATAATTGATTATTATTATTATTATTATTTTAAAATAAAAATAGCTAAATTTATGCCAATTATTTGGGAATCAACGGGAATTCCCAATCATCAATTCCCCTTCAGCCACTTACCATTGGAAATATAATACTCTCTCGTCTAGCTTATCATATCTATGTTTCTATTTTAGTACGTGTAATTTAGTTGATTATTTTATGTTTTTTTTTTTTAAAATATACATTTTAATCTTATTATATATATTTTTTTAATTTTAATCGGATCAATTACTTATCTCAATTTTAATTTATAATTATTTTTATTATAAAATAATTATTTTAACTAATATATTTTTAATTATTTATCAATTATACATCTTCTAAAAAAAATAAAAAATACCTATAATAGCATAGGATAATACTTTATACAGTAACATATAACTGTTACCAAATGTTACTGTATAAAATATAATTGTACATGATAATAATTTAGGCTGCGACATTTTGTAACGATGTATTTTTATGAGTTGATTAAGATTAATTATCGGTAATTGGTATAAATCAGTACAATAATTATTCACTGTACATCAAATTTGATGATTCGGAGGGTATTTGAGAAACAACTCTTTTAAGAGTTTTTTAGTTTATTGAACAGTTTTGAATGATTTAACCAGTCAAAAAGCTAATTTAGGTGTTTGGTAAATTAATTTTTTGAAAGAGTTTTTTGGACTAAAAAAACTAATTTTTTAAAAGCTCATCTACTAGCGTTTTGAAAGAGCTTTTTCATTTTAATTTTGATTATTCCTTATTTACCTTTAAAACTTAATTATTTATTTTATACATATAAAAATATTTTTATAGCAGTATTTATTAATTATTTTTAATATATTTAATTTATTAAATTATATTTTTACTTTTGTAAATTTAAAATAATTACTATTATTAATTATTACATATAAATTTTTTTTTTTTTGTAAAATATATAAATTTTTAAAACTAAATCAAATAAAAAACAAAAATTATTAATTTATTTATATATATTTAAAAGATAATTAATATAATAAAAATATATATAAGAAAAATTTATTATTTTATATTTTACATCATTTCAATAAAAAATTATTATTGTTTAGTAAAAATAATTTTTTCAGATCTAAATAATAAAAATAAAAATAAATATTTATAATATTTTTATAATTTTCAATAATTAATAACAAAAATTCTCATAAATTTCAAATCAAAATGAACAAAATTAAATATTTTAAAAAATAACATATCAATGTCCTTAATAGTTATTCTGTGTATTAACAGCTAATGTCAAACATTGTTTTACCAAACACTTTAATAGAAACCGCTAATTGAATCAGCTAGTCAAACCAGCTAATTGGATCATTTAACAGCTAACAGCTAATTGAATCCGCTAGTCAAACCAGCTAATTGAATCAGCTAACAGCTAATTGAATCAGTTAATCGCTAAAAATTATCAACTTAACTGTCAAACGCACCTAGTGTTCTAAACCAGGGGACAAAAAGAAAGGTGAACTTGTACAGCCAGATAAAAAATAAACAAATCTAGAAAAAATAAGGAGGGAGCGATGATATAGACTATGATATTATGAATAGAGAAGATAATAGAAATGAAAGTGACATAAATCGAGGGATAAAAGAAAAAAAAAAAGAAAAAAGAGGTACAAGTATTAACAAAGTTATTATTTTCAAGAGATAGAAGAGATATTTGGAATTATAAAAATAATAAAATATTAATATTTAATATGATATTTTGTAAAAAATATATATATTTAATATAATATTTTTTTAAAAATTTAATAGTGCTAAAGTCTACAAAATTATTATGTAAATAGAGTTTTTAGAAAGAACATCATTACAATAATTTATTATGTATGAAATTTTAAAATAAGATTTAAAAAAAATACTGTTATTACTTCCACTTTCAATAAAAATATAAAAATTATTTTATTTTAATAAATGATCACATCAAAATTCGAAACATCAAGGTGTGTTCTTTCACTATTTCTAAAAATACAATTTTTTTTTTTAAAAAATAATAATTAATATACTTAAGTACATTTATTCGGTCACTCGGTATTTCTAAATAGAATAATTTCTCACAAATATTATTAAAAAAAATACAAATATACACGCACACTTGTTTATCATTTTTGTTCGTTTCAAAACAATAGTCTCATTTCTATAAATAATTATATCACCATAAAACGATCCCTATTTTTTCATTATTATTACACAATTGCCACTACTTTTAACAATAATATACTCACATGGGCAAAAAAGTCATTTATCATTACTTTTTACCAACTACCAGAACTATACTTTTTGGACCGAGGGAGTATTATTATTATTATTATTATTATTATTATTATTATTATTTTATGATGTGGGAATCCGCAGCCGCTACCTGAAAGTGCGTACCGGGTAAACCCCGGCTGAACCTAATACCCTGCAAACTAGGTCCGACAGAAAAGTCACACTAGACGAACCATATGTATCACTCATTCAGTACAAAATATTAATACTATTTTTATATTATCAACACAGTTTTCATACCAGACACAAAAAATTAATTCATCTAAAAAAAAATGAGTGAAGAGACATTATTTTTATGTTACTTTCATAATTTTCTATACACATTTAAAATAATAATAATAAAAAAAAAATATTTTCAAACAATTTTACTAAACAAAACACCCCCAAAGTTACACATCCAAAGCATTTTTTGGTGAGATTTTTCTCCCAACAAATTCCATTTTCAAACAAAACACACAAAATAATAAAAATGCAATTTCAACGTCCAAAATTGAAGAATGTAATGACAAGCTAGAGATGTCAGGTAGTGTCAAATGGATGAGACCTACACCACAATACTGTACGTTATTCCTGCAAAGCTCCCTCCCCTCCCAACCGCTTTCGTATATTTGTCCCCAAAAATACACACCACATGATGTTCTTATAATTAACCAAAACAACAAACAATTCGGATGTATTTTTCAATAATTTATGGTAAAAAAGTTCCTAATCAAACGAATCGCTACAGTAAATTGATCGATGATTTAGAAAACTGTATATAATTCGAACTTCGAACTGTTGTACGATTAACAAGAAGCTAATCAAAAAGTATGTGTAAATTTTATGCAACTGAATCCTAATAATCAAACGAATCACAACAGTAAATTGATCAGTGATAAGAAAACTGTGTATAGTTTCAAATTGCTGTACAATTAACCAGAAGCTAATCAAAAAGTATATCTAAATTTTATGGAATAAAATTCTAACAATTAAGTTCAGTACATACCGTTAAACGACGTCGCCGTCGTCGCCGCCGTGTACCTTTCCGACGCCGTTTTCCTCACAAACGATCTGGTTTCCGGCGACAACAGCGCGTCGCATTCCGAACCTTCTGGAATCGTCGAGAGAGAGCCGGATTTATCGTAGAACACGTAGTAGAATCCAGCCTCTTTCGCTCGATCGTGCGCAAAATTAGTTGAGTTGCTAATATTTCTGATCTCGCTTTTCCGTTGGAAGACAGATCTAATGAGGCGCTGCAGAACGCGCGTTATCTTCGACGCCGGCGTCAGCTTCCGATGCGGCGGAGGGAATCGGCGGTCGGATAAGTGCGGCATCGAGAAGGCTCTGGCGGAATTGGCGATGGCGGAGCCGAGCTGCTGCTCGAATGCCTTGAGCTCGAAGGAATCGTAGAGCGAGCTTCCGCTGTCCCATAGAAGATGATCGGCGGCGGCGGCGGCGGCGTCCGGTGGAGATTTGGCGAGTGATTTCTTCTCCATTTTGGATCAACGGAGAATTAGTGCGACCGGAGTTGGTTAGGCGAGTGAGAGATTTGAAGGCGCGGATTTCTCAGGTCATCCCTAATTTTGTTGCATTGCCCCACGGGCTCCCTGTATTAGCCCCACACGCGCCCGCGCGCGTGTGTGTATATATATATATGTGTATATACACAGCGCGCCCAGAGACTCATTTTAAAAGAAAACATATGGGCGTGTTTGTTTGGATATTTAGAATTAGAATATGAGATTTTCAATTTTGAAAGATATTTTGTGTATGTGTGAATTTTTTTTTTTTTAAAATACATTTTTCGTCGTATAAAACATCTTATTATATATTATTTTAATATTAAATTCAATCAAAATTTTGCAAATCACATCAAAAAGATATAAAAAAAGGGTATAATCAGTAAATAATTAATAATATATTAGTAAAAATAATTATCTCATAATAAAAATAATTTAAGATTAAAATTAAGATTACTCTAATTATAATTTAAAAATTTATAAATTAAAAAAATCAAAATTAGATTGAAGTGTATAATTCTTTTCAAAAAGAGAAAGTGACATAATAAATAGGACAAACGAAAATAAAAATATAGATACGATAAGTGGGACAGATAGAGTATTGTTTATATTATATGAAAATTTTAATTTATATTTAAAATATTATATCAATATTTATTTATATTATATTTGGCCTATGTGACTCGACGAAATAATCGGCAATTTGATCATTGGATGAGACAATATCACTCTTAATTAGTTACGATACTTCAAAGTCATCAAATGACCAACAAAGTTATATGAGATTAATTAGTAAGAATACAGGAATCAGAGAGATAACGATTTGTTTCTTTTACACCAAATTAGTCATATGTTGTTTTAAAGTACTCCCTCCGTCTCACCACACTTTACACTATTTTTATTTTTGTTTGTCCCATAACAATTGACACATTTCTATTTTTGGTAAAAATTATGAAATCAAAACATATCTAACAAATATAAATCAACTTAATTAACTACGTAACATACAACATCATAAATGACGTATGACCTACTTAAAACCCCTTTATTTTTACCTCTCTCCTAAAAAATAAATATTTTTATCTATATTTAAAACTATACATCTTTTATAAAATTGATTTATGTTAATTATAAATAAACAAAAATCTCTTTTTTTTTTTTATTTACTTGTATTATAGAAAATTTTATTCTCTACAAAATGATATCCATATTGCATGTATTTTTTAATTGCTATATAATTTTTAAATATTTAAACATATATTTTAATTTTTTTAATCATATATATTAAATTTACTTTAAATATAAATATTATTAATTATTAAAAAATAATATAATAATATCATAACTAATTATTATTAACTAATTAAACATCATCGCCTTAAATACCGTGTCCCTAATAAAGGAGTCAACTCCGATGGAACGGAGGGAGTAATAACTAACAATTTAAAATTTAAAATTCAACTATATTTTATAACTAGCACTTATACTTTTTAAGATTTATTTAATAGTTTTACTTGACTTTTAAATAAAGTAAATTTCAATTTAAATAATAATTTGATATTATATTTTGAATATTAAATTAATTTTTAGTAAATAAAAAATAAGTAAGTGATTAGATAATTTGGGAAGAAAAAAGTAATGAATAGTAAAATTTTGAATTTGAATTTTATTTCTTTTTAAAGAATAAAAAATAATTATAGAAATTAAATAATAGTCAGCTACACCTGATGGATAATTTGTTTTTATTTTTTTTAATTGGAAAAAAAAAAAATAATAAAAATAAGTTTTAAAAATAATTTTTTAAAAAAAAAAAAAAAAATCCACGTGTCCGCCAGGTCAGCGACACCTGGCGGACACGTCACATCCGGCGAGCCACGTGGGCATCTCCGGCGCCGGATGACTAAAACAGCAAAAATTTTTCACTTATGGAACTAGTTTGCGACAGGCTCTACTTACGGGACTAAAATGATAAGGGGTCCGATTACGGGACTAAAAAAACAATTTACCCTATAAAATAAAGTTAATGTGATGATTAAATATTAAAGTAATTTTCGTGCAAAATAGAAAAAAAAAATTAATAAACATTTGATTTGATTTGATGTTTTAGATAAAAAAGAAATACTAGTAAATATTGAGTTTTGAATTTAAATTTAATTTATTCTCTAAAAAATAAAAAATTTAATATAACTTGAGTTTTAAATAATAAAATTTAAATTTAAATAATTATTTTATACAATATAAATAAATTTTGATATGATATTTTAAATATTAAATTAATTTTTAATGTAATATGTGAAATAAAATAAATATTTAATTTAGTATTCTTGATTGAAAAGTTAATAAATAGTGTTATTTTAAGTTTAAATTAATATTTTTAGATAAAATAATATATTTTTATAAAAGTTTAATGATTGAATGTATTATTTTATAAAACTAAATACTATATTTTTAATAAAATTTTGATTTTCTCTTTTATTTATTAGCTATATTTTATTAATAATAAGTATATATACGGATAAAATCAAATTAAACAATTTAATAGAGTCATTTAAGATTATTCTAGTTACATTATTAAAATTAAAAAGAGTCTAAAAATTATAGCTATTTTATTCTCCCTCCGTCCATTTACAATGTTTACATATTTTTATTTTGGGACGTTTAATTACAAAGTTAGCATTTTATTAAATACTCTACTTTTTTTTCACAAATACCTTACTTTACATTACATAATTACTTTTACACAAAAAAGTAAAGGCAAAAATATCATTACACTGCTTTTAACTATTTACTATAATTAAAATACTATTATTTCTTAAATATCGCGTCAAAAGTAGATGTAAATTTTGTAAGTGGACGGAGGAATATTATCCATTGATTTATTTTATAAATTTTAAAAGTATAAATATAGCTTAATATAAAAATAATTTGGAATATCAATTAAATATGCTCTTTGTTCTTTTGGCATTTTATTTTATTTTACTTTTTACTATATAGATACATAATTTTGTATAATATTAAAATATATATATATATATATTAATAAAAATATCAAATCGCGTGTCCCAACTCCCAATTAGGTATTCCGTTGAATTTATGTCAATTTTTTAAAAGTGGTCCAAAATAGGGATAAATTCCATAGCAAAATATTCCACAAGGTACATTAATTACTATTAAACTAAATTTTAAAAAAATAAATATTGTATTATAAAAATAATAAAAATAAAAAAAATAATTGAAAGTAATTGTGGAAATTTAGTTAGAAGTTATAGTAAACGAAGAACCCTAATATAATAAAGTTAATAAGTATTTATTGTAAATAAATGTTGAATTGAGAGTAATAATTACATTTGATTTGTTGACTTTACAAAAAATAATAATAAAATAAATTTAGTACAAAAAATAGTAATAAAGTAAATTTAGTAAACGGACTAAAAATAAAAATAAAAATAAAAATGAATTTGACGAATTAAAAAAAATATGGGTAAACTGTTTTTTTAGTCCTGTAATTGAACCCCTTATCATTTTAGTCCCGTAAGTGGAGTCTGTCGCAAACTAGTCCTTTAAGTGAAAAATTTTCGTTATTTTAGTCCTCCGGCGCCGGAGACGCCCGCGTGGCTCGCCGGAAGCCACGTGTCCGCCAGGTGTCCATTCAGGTCAGCGACACCTGGTGGACACGTGGATTTTATTTTATTTTATTCATTTTTTTATATATTTTTTAATTGGACCAAATAAAAAAAATTAAAAAAAATAAAATAAAATAAAATCCACGTGTCCGCTACGTGTCGCTGACCTAGCGGACACGTAGATTTTTTTATTATTTTATTATTTTTTTAATTGGACCAAATAAAAAACTTTTTAAAAAATAAATAAAATTAAAAATAATTTTTTTTAAAAAAAATTTAAAAATAAAATCAACGTGTCCGACAGGTGTCCGCCGACGGACACGTGGCCTCCGGCGAGCCACGTAGGCGTCTCCGGCGCCGAAGGACTAAAACAACGAAAATTTTTCACTTATGAAACTAGTTTGCGACATACTCCATTTACGACACTAAAATGATTGATGCAGCTCCATATCTTGTAAATATATATACATAGATAAACAAAATACAAATACAATACAAACAGCTTATTAGGAGTTGATATTTATGAGCTAAAAAATTTTATTTTTATTTTTATATTTAAGCAAGTTTTATAGATTGCTTACGCTTAATTTTTGTTTAATAAAATGACTTAGGCTCTCCAACATATTTTTCGATTAATATTTTTCTATTATTTAGTAAAACAAAATTGTTAAAAATATCACATATACAATTTCTTTATTTATTTAAAATATTGTATTACAAATATATATATTTTTTAATTTAAAATACTATATTCATACTTATTAATTAACATACTGATTAATTCAAATTATGTGTTATTTGACTAATTTTAGATTAGCACTATACTTATTAATTCTAATTAATGTACTAACCATTCATGTTAATTTCTTTACATCATCTGTGTTTTTTTATTTTTTGTTGGTAAAAGATGTATTATACTTTCTTTAAAACGATTAAGGTATGTTTACTTGCTATTTGTATATATATATTTTTTGAATTTTAGTTTTGATTTTTTTACTTAAAAATAATACTTCCTCCGTCCCAGATACTATGTCCACGTTGCCGTTTCTGTCCGTCCCACGTATCATGTCACTTTCATTTTTTGGAAAATGATTACACACTTTAATCTCATTTTAAATTTTTTAATTTTTTTTAATTTTAATTAAACTAATTAGTTATCTTAATCTTAATTTATAATTATTTATATTATAGGATAATTATTTTCACTAATACATTTTTAATTATCTACTAATTACACCCATCCTAAAATACCGTGTCTACAGTGTAGCAGATAGATACGGTATCTGGGACGGAGAGAGTATAGATTAAATGCAATCTTTTATTGTAAAATAATACATTTTCATACTAAAATAACAATAATTATATTGGAAAATGAAACCTTAGACGGGAGGGATTATGCATTAAGTTGTATTATTAACATATAATACCCTTTCCGTCCTAATATATATATATATTTTTTTTAATATTAAAAAATATATATATTAATATTTTATTGATTAACATATGATATTTTCTTCTTCCCAATCAAATGTGTATATTTAGCTTAAAAATAATAATAATATTTTATTAATTAGTAAAAATGTATAAAGTAATTTTGATATTTTTGTCCTTATAAATATAACATAAATGAATATTTTTATGAAAGTCAAAGATATTTTGGTATTTGTATATAATATTTTTTACTATGATAAAAAATTTATACTTTCGAATGAGACATAAAAAAATGGTAAAATTACTACATTGTGAGAGAATATACGTTGAGATTAATTTGTTTGGGGGAGTGAATTTTAAATACACTATCCATCTCATTTTTTTCCCAAAAAAATATCAAATCAAACACCTATTTTTCATTTTTTTATATCATACTAAGAATTAATTTTATATTCAAAACATCACATCAACACTTATTTATATCACATCATACAACTATTCAAATTTAAAATTTTTACTATTCAAATTCCAATTAAAAATCCAAACCCCAGACAAACACACCCATCATATGTTGTGTGAACAATTATCACATAACATTCCATCGTCAACTCAATGTGATTTTCTTTTTCTTTTTTTTTTTTAATCATTTTTGTATGTTAACTGGAATATTTTACTTTTTTTCTATTATAATCGTATCAAAAATATTATTTAAACAAAAAAGTCAAATTAACAATCTATTCGGAATCACAACCAAATACATAGGTATCAAAATGTTATTAACTTTTACAAAAATATTCATTTTCTTTTTATACTTATATAGAAAAATTGTCAAAATTATTTTACACATATTCATTAACTAATAAAATACTATTATTTTTTAATAATTAAAAAAATAATAATAAAAGGATAGATTCTATTGGTATAGAAAGAATATATTTTATATAATTTTACACCATAATCGAATATGATTTGTGTTGTCTATATTATTAATATCTGCTTATATAGAGGCTAATTAATACCGTGATTAGTCGTGAAATGACTGAATGGAATGAATATGAACAAATATAGGGTGTGTTTCTTTAGGGGAGTTAAGGGAAAATTGGGTTTGAATTTGGTTTTTATTTGAATTTTGGGATGTGTTTAAATTTTGTTGTTTCTTTTGTGTTTGGGTTGGTTAGGGTTTGGAGAGTTTTGAATTGTATTGATTTTATGAATAATGAATAAAATAATATAAATGTGTATTAATTTTAATTGATAAATTTTATATTGTATGATTTGATTATGAATTTATATTATACGTAACATATATATATTTAAATTTTTATTTAATTGTATTATAAAATTTTTTATTATATTCAAAATGACATATATATTATATATATATTTTTTTTATTTAATTATAATAAATATTAAATAAAATTTTACTGCGCACAGGAAAATGGGGCCAAACATCCCCCGAAGAAACATATCCACAGTTATTTGAAAGAGAAATATTTGTAGTGATTTTAGGTACAGACATTAGTACAATTATATCCATTTGAAGTTTATAAAGCTAAAAAACAAACCCTATTAATTTATTAATTTCCAAAGGTTAACGTCCAGTGCACAACACACCAAATATATCCCAATTATGGCCTCATTTTAAGGAATATATATATATATATATATATTCAATTATTTGACTAACAAATTATTCACAACCACATATTATTATTATTATGAAAATAAATAAATTAAAATAGTTTCCAGCGAAATTGCAACTATGCTGTTGTACACATGACCGTGTAAGACGACAATAATAACTCTAATTACATCAATTAATAGTATTAATATTTATATAAAATATTAATTCAATATAATCTTTTTGTATTTTTATTCATTATATGTTTTTGTAAATATCCAATATGTTGCCAGATTCTTATTAATTCAATTTTTTGTTATTATTATTATCTCTGTAAATTTAAAATATCTTCAAATTTTAAGATATTTTTATTTATTTACATGTAGCTATATATATTGTAAATACTGTCCCACGTTGAAACTAATATTGAGACTCCTCCATTTATGTGTTTAAGTTGGATTTCGAATTCCCTTCTTGATTAACATAGTATTAAAGTAAATCTCAAGTTCGAATTCCACCATTGCTCTTAAAAATATTATAGACTAAACTATTCTTTAGTCCTGTAAATCGTAATTGTCGCAAATTAGTTTCATAAGTGGAAAATTTTCGCAATTTTAGTTCTCCGGCGTCTGAGATGCCTACGTGGTACCTATGTGGCTCGCCGGAGGACATGTGTCTGTCAGGTCAGCAAGCGGGCACATAGATTATTTATTTATTTATTTATTTTTTATCTTTTTAATTTTTAAAATTTTATTTTTTTAAAAAAAGAGACAATAAATAAATAATTTTTTTAAAAAAATCCATGTATCCGCCGGGTGTCGCTGATGTGACGGAACATATATCCTCCGACAAGCTATGCAGGTGCCACATAGGCATCTACGGCGTCGAAAGACTAAAAGTGCAAAATTTTTTTATTTACAAGACTAGTTTACAGTATGCTCTAATTACGTAACTATAATAATAAAGAAGTTCACTCATGCAACTAAACAATCACTTTACCCAATATTATGCATAACTATATAACATACAAACTGAATTTAAAAATAATTGTCCAAAACACGATAACTATATTACGCACACAGACACAAATATATAAATAATTACATATTTCTAATAATCGTCATCTCCATTTTTTTTCCCCAAAACCTACAATACTTATTAAAGCCATTCCAATTTTTTTTACCTCAAAAATTATAATACTAATAAACAACATTGCTCTGAATTCCGAGCAACACTATAATCTCATCCAACAAATTTTTTTTTTTTAAAAAATCTTCCAAACATATATATATATATATATATATATATTAAATTGAAAAAAAAAAAATGAAGCAAAAATTGAAGATAGTAAAGATGATGAACTTACTCGACAACATTGTTGCTGAAGATCTTGAATTCTTTGGCGTCGAGGACGAGCTTTCTCACAGAAGAGAATGCACCCATTAGGCCGACGCAAGTGAACACGGCGGCGATCGACGTATTGACCCAATACGCAGTCGATGTCTTGGTTGGTTTGTAAGTCATGTTGTAGAGGAGCATGGGGAGCACGAAGTCGAGAGGGATGAACCCGATTGCGCCAACCACGGCGCTGATGTCTCCGAAGAACGGAAGCATGGCTGCGACGAGCCCACACAACACAACGTACGTGGAGCGAAGAGCGATCCTCGGGATCAAGTTTCGAGTCGAGAAAATACCCTTCTTCACATCGGCGGATTTCTTCTCCATAATCTCATAAGCCACTTGAGAATACACCTAAACAACATACATAACCACAATTAACGTTTATGTTTGTTCAAATATATTTAGAAAATATATATTATATTTATGTTATTTTTATGACCCGTTATATCCCGTATATATATATATTTTTTTATTGATGAATCTATTTCTATCCATGGTCATGCTGTCATTTTTATACCGTCTTTGTCTCTGCTACTTTGATCTCCATTGACAACATTCTATTTTTTACTGTAACGTCGTTGAGAGTCTTATTTTCGACTTTAACTCTATTGAAAGCGAGTGAGTTCAATTTTTTACTCTAGCTCTATTGTGAGGTAGCGAGTCATGCTTTCGACTCTAACTCTATTAAGAGTGATCGAGTCATGTTTTCGACTCTTGTTCCATTGTAAGCAAGCGAGTCGTGTTTTAACTCTAACGATGTTGAGAGTTCTGCTTTTGACTCTGATCCAGTGGACGACTAGACTGCTTTTCAGTTAATTTTGGCAAATTCAAGTTCTTTCCTAGAAGATCTTGGTTACATCTTTTTTGGTCCCTTCTGACAAACTCAAATTTGTTCGATCATATCTCAGTTTTATATCCTAACATTACACAAATACTTTCGAAACTTTCAGCATTATTTAGTTTTGTTAACCTTTTCGATAAAATGGTGGGAATCGATGAATGTTAAGAGGATGAGATGAAATCGATTAGCTTACGTACCAGGCCAATGGCGAAGAGTTGAAGAAGAACGAACAAGATCGCAAGGCCTAATACCCAAACAGGGGCGAAGGGCGATCCCTCATCCGGCATTAATGTTTTGAGAATATTGGAATTCGATTTATTCCCGAACGCCCAATATCCGGAAACAGCCACAGAGTAGAAGGTGAGGAAGATTACGACGTAGCACATTATTAGGCCTTTAACCATTTTCCCAGCAGCAGGAGGCGCCAATGTTGCCTGTTTCAAATGGAAACAGATAATTGTGAAGAAATGATACCTCAATATTATCGGAAAACATTTATCTATGAGATAGCTAGATGAAGTACCTGGATTTCAGGTAGAATACCGTTCCCGAAAATGGCAGCTATAATGGATATGGAAGTGAATACGCTGAATAACTTCGATGTTTCCGACTTCTCTAAGGAATATTCCTTCGGAGGTGCATTCTTTGAGGTACCTAGACGACAGTGAATGCAACAGCATTCATTTTATGAGTAATTTCGCAAAACATCGAAAGAACAAAAACAAGATTGTCCCTTTTTATCTACATAAGCATGGGATGTAATTAAATTACCTGCATGAATACAAGCCCCAACGACGAGAAAACTGTAGCCGAAGCTTAAAACAAGGGAGCCGAGGTTAATATGCCTGAGGGAATGAAAGGATGGGAATTGAGACAGAAGTATCATAACCGCTGTCACCATAATTATGAAGTGATACAATTTCAGCGATCCATCCGGAGAAAAGTTTGAGTAGACGATCTAATAACAGAAGGATAAAAACAAAGATATTTGAATCAATCGATAGATACTCTATAACAAAAACAGTTTTACGAGCATTTGATTCGAACTATATATAAGCACGGGACATATTTAATGAATGTGATGCATGTCAATTTGTCAATGTAATATAAACTCATCTCTGTTCATGTATTTATTTATCTTTTTCAACTTTTAGGCATGATCTAATTAGTTTATCCGTAAGCAATTCAATCTTGATATTGCAAAACGTTATGCGCTGCGAAGAAACGATCACTAATTTTTGTCAACAACCTTCTCGATACATATAGCTCCAAAGACAAGACAATATTTAGCTTTTTCAACTTTTAGGCATGATCTAGTTAGTTTACCGGTAAGCAATTCAATCTTGATATTGTAAAATGTTATGGATTATTAAGAAATGTTCGCTAATTTTTGTTAACAAGTCTCTCGATAGATATAGCCGCAAAGACGAGACGATCATTTTGTATTACGATATGACCATTGTTATGTTGCAAGAAGATCACTTTTATGTACCTGAAGGCACTGCCCTGCAAGCAAAATGGCTCCAATACTGATGCCGGTATTTATAGCAGTTTGAATTGAGATCACAAAATAGAACATCCATCCAGATCCTGTTACAGAAAAAAAGGAGCACAACTTAAAGCTATAAACATTCCTTTTTCAATCCTTCCAGATCATTTTCAAATCGATTTTTTTTAAAAAAAAAAAACCCACTTTTGTTGATATAAACAACTACCACTTTGGCACCTCTGTTTTGATTTTCAACTGGGATTCATTATTTCATCAAGTGGATTGTCATGTTTTAGGAACTAGTGGCTTTAACAATAAAAGTTCACAACTTATATCAAAATACAGGCCAATTGGTAGAGAAATCTAGACATATAGAATCAAATACCTCATTTAAAAAGACCTTAATTAACAAATTCAACAAACTATTGATCATGATTGAAGGAATTTCAGGTAGTGGGAACACCTCATGACCACTCCACTTCCATAAGCAAGTGATCATCTTTTGACAAAAGAAAAGTATAGGTCCCATTTCAGCCATACTTTTGTATTACTTTTCACACTTTGTAATGCCACAGATCTAAATCAAAACTACACACAAAGTCCTGTATGAACAGAATCTTGAAGTCATCATCTTCAACCACCAAAAGAATATATAATACAGAAAAAGTTTGGATATGTCTACAAACCCTCTTTGAAACTAGAGCCAAGAATGCAATAACTTCACCCTTTGTCATATTTAGGATGATCCTATAAGACAAATTGAGCAATCTGCCCCACAAACAATGTTCCCACTCATAGCAACATTCTGGTGTTTATCTTATCCCATGTTAACCTATAGCTTCCTGTCTTTCATTGAATTCGATTTTTCATGTATTTAATGGTCATGTATACGTGGGTAAGGTGTATTGAATTGAATCACTATTGATGCTTTTATATGTGTTATTCACATTTCCCATGGAAGAAAAGTCACATTGATATTAAATGAACAATGGCACAACACCCAACAGGGAGTGGAAAATACTGGAAAACAAATCAACATTCAACACTCAGACTTTAACTCTGATCTCCATTGGAAAACAAGATTCTACCTCAGGATTTTGTGTTTGTAGCATAGAATTGTGAATATATATATAGATAGATAGTGTGAACATAATCGATCGACATTAGAATGAAGATAGATGGAAAATACTGGAAAACAAATCAAAATTCAACACTCAAACTTGAACTCTAAATCTCCATTGGAAAACAAGATTCTACCTCAGTTTTTTGGTATTTGTATTATCATCTTTACCTTTAGGTTTTCAAATCTCTCCTTTATCTTCTCAGAAGCATAGAATTGTGAATATATATATATATGTATAGCGTGAACATAATCGATCAACATAGAATGAAGATAGATGGAAAATACTGGAAAACAAATCAACATAATCTCCATTGGAAAGCAAGATTCTACCTCAGGTTTTTGTATTGTATTTTCATCTTTAACTTCATTCAGTGGCTTAGATTTGTGAATATCTATAGATATGGATAGTGTGAACTTAATCGATCGACATTAGAATGAAGATTGAAAACCTACCGAGAACATCGGCGGCGAGTTCCCTGAATCGGATGTGACGGCGTCCGGCTTTCTCACAGTGGTCGAGCACCAACGACATGAGGTAATAGGCGTAAAACGTCACCATCCCCATCGCCGTCAGGCAGACAAACCCTAACTCCCATCCTAGCCCCCGGAAAGCGTACGGCAACGCCAGTATTGAAGGACCTACTATAGCCGTCGTCAAATGGAATCCGGCATGCCACCATTTACCTAATCAATCCATCAAAAAACTTCCGCTGATCAATAACTTCAATAAACTAGCCGCCGATTTCCACATTCAAGCAACAAATCTCCGAAAGCAAACAATCAAATATCAGTTACTTTCGACTGCAAATCAACTCGCGAAAACAGAGCAGAGATAGAATACCTTTAGATTGCAGCACAAAAGAAGCTCCAGCATCGTGTTCGCGGTGAATTTCTTGAAAAGTATCATCGATTCCAGTTGCCGCCTCCATTAATGCCTCAAATTCTGATCGGAATCCGGAAGAATCGCATGCATAAAAGCAGAAAAAACATGTACAGCTAAACAGAGACAAACTTTCTGCAGATTAAGAGAAAGCAAATCAACACCATGGAGACGAAACTGCAGGGATGACGATCACGAACAACTTTGCAGTGTACAGAAGATTTATTGGGAATTCAAAGCAGGAATTCGGTAGCTCAACGCTGAACACGAAACCAGAAGGCATAGTGACAATATGCAACCGAAAATTGAAAGTGCTCCGGTGTTCCTGAAACGTCTGGCAGGTCCCGGGATCCCGACTCCAGAAAATCTACACCGTCGATTTTCGGGCCCACATTATGTGCGGTGTAGATTATATAGGTTTGGGAAACTTATCCAGTGGTAAAACATTAATTACAATCCCCTAACAAATATGTTTAATCAATATGGTAGCAATAATAATAATAATTATTGAAATTAATTTGAATATTTTTAAAATCAATTAAATATAGTTTTATCGTTACAAAATTAATGAAATATGTTGGTGTTTTGGTCGTGTGTTAACAATTCTATTCAATTATTTATAAATTTTCCATTAAACGTAAATGCAAGTTAAAAGAACAAAATGCATACTAACTCCACTCTATTTAGTTTTTAATTTTATTTATTTATTTATTTTTTACTATACAGTCTAGTCATTTTTTAAATAAAAATTAACATTGATATCACATCCTAAAAGTAGAACATACATTTGGGGTGTCCTCGTTGGTAGGATTTTGCAAAAATTGTATATTCGTCAAATTATTTTTTTTCAAAAATATCAAATTAAAGATTTATTTTTTACTTTTTATATTATACTGAAAATTAATTTTTCATTCAAAATATCACGTTAGGCTCAAAATTTAAATAGTATTGTGAGGTAATATTTTATAAAAAAAAACTTATACTCCATCAGTTTCAATACAATAGTCTTGTTTATTATTTTTTGTCCGTTTCAAAATAACAGTCTTATTTCCATAAATAACTATATTACCATAAAACTATATATACATTTTTATTTTTATTACACAATTGTCACTATTTTTTACACTAATATATTCACAAGGGCAAAAAAAAATCTTTTATACATACTTTTTACCGGCTACCAATATAATATCAATATTTCTTAAATTTTGTGCCAAACCTAATTAAAACTATATTTATGGGACGAAAGGAGTATATTTTTATTAAAAATTTTGCACTGATTTCAAGTATAAAATTATAAAAGAACAAATCTCCTAGTTTAAAATATTTTTTTTGAAAACATGTTGCTAATATAAAAAATAATATAGTGTATTGAATTGTTGGATATTTACGAGTGAATAAAGTATATACCCTATCCGTTCCATGCAACTTCTCACTATAATTAAAATATTACTATTATTTTCTAAATCCCGCATATAAAAACATATACTTTAACGTAGGAAAGATGGAGCATATATTATATATTATATAGTATGTGAATATATGTATATATTATACTACTCTCTCCGTCTCATAAGAAGAATACTATTTTTGTTCATTTCAAAAAAAAGATATTATTTTTTAATGTAGTAATTTACTGTCTATCTAATATAATTAATACTCTTACAACTTTTAGTATATTATATAAATGTCATTAATATTAATTGAAAATCGTGTTAACATAAATTTGTCGGGTGAACAGATATATCATATATTAGACGTTTAAAATTATTCATGCAATTTATATGCACGCGCGCATAAGATTACCCACGTGCCATTTCGCACGCACACCCAACGATATATATATATATATGCATGTGAGTGAATTTCGTTTCTACTCATTTCATACTTCAATTCCGATTCCCCGCCCGCGCTTTCTCTCTCTCTCTCTCTCTCTCTCTCTCTCTCTCTCTCTCTCTCTCTCTCTTTCTTGCTTGCTAGCTCTCTGGAAGATTCTCTCGCTTGCGTACTGTGGTTTCAGTAACGGTTCGGCGAAGGCGATAACTAGTCGATTTCATTTGCTATGGCGTCGGAGGATGGCAAGCCAACAACAATATCTACGATTATGAATATTGCGGAGAAGGCCAAGGATTTTCACGGTGTTAAGTACCTCGCCGCCGGTGGCATCGCTGGAGGAGTGTAAGCTCGCTGTTCCCCTCTCTTTTGTCGTCTTGTCTTCGATCTTTATGCGAATCGGTGAACATTTTTGAAATCCTTGTACGGATACGTATCGGAATACATGTATGCACAAATTTAAGGCTCGATCGAGAGCTGTGGACGAATTTGTAGACTGAGATTAAGTAATGCGTTTGGACGTGTAAACTGTGAATTCTTAGCCGTCTTTGAGTTAATTTGTATGCTTATGAAAATGCGGTTTCTGTTCCATTAGGTTAATCTACGAATTTAGACTATTTAGTTGAATTTTCGCGTTCTTTTTTATTCTGTTCGAGTTGTTGATTTTATTCGCTCTTGCGGTTTTGGCGGTTGTGAAACTTCCACTCATTCTTGGGTTAGTTACGAAGTAATGTTCATGAATTTGCAGTTCAAAATTGCAAAAATTTCCGTAGTGATGAGGAAATGATGTGTGTTCATGGACGCTGGTCATTTCAAATTGATAATTCATTTTACCTCTTTTTGATCTCCGAATTTTTAAGACTTTTAACCTGAAAAGAACTTGCAATCAAGTCTAATACTTATTGGTTTGAAATGTTCATTCAGATTGAAAATTTGTGATGTGTTTCCTAGTTGTCTCTGTTCTTTCGCTAGGTTTGTGATAGAGGAAATAACATTCATTCGATTTCCTTTCCCAGGTCACGTACTGCAGTTGCTCCTCTAGAGAGGTTGAAAATCTTAATTCAGGTGAATAAATTAGGACTTAGCCTCTGATATATTTCAGATTACTGGTTTTTTCTTTTTTTCTTTTTTTCTGAAATATTCCATGTGATAAATTGTTAAAATCTAAATTTCTTGTCCACATTCTTCTCTTTTCAAGAATTTCCAGATCTGGCGAGTAAGGTCCATGAAAGCCTACTAAACTAGATGCTTAAAGATTTTCTGATGAATGCATATATTTTGAATAATCTCTAACGAATTTGCAAATGGTTTGATCTATCAAATCTCATATTCTTCTTGATGATTATATATATCTTACATGGTCACTCCTAGGCATGTGTAGTGTCTAAAGTACTGCTCTAATTTTTCTGAATCTTGATTATAAAGGTCATACTACACATCCGGAGAGAATAACTATACATTATATATCTATATATATATATATATTTATTTCTGTTTACAGGGAATTGCCAAATCTGAAGTACTAAAACATTTTCTACTAAAAAGCTGTCTGATAGATGCTTTTGGTTGAAATTCATTTCATATTCTTGTCTAAAGTTGTTGTACTCTAGATGGACTGCACTGTTTACATGTTACATCTTAGTTTAGAGCCTTATCATATATCCATTTAATTGGTGTTGTCTGCAGGTTCAACCCCCTGAAAATGTTAATTACAATGGAACAATTCAGGGATTAAAATACATATGGAGAACAGAGGGTTTGCGGGGAATGTTCAAAGGAAATGGCAGTAACTGTGTTCGCATTGTTCCCAATTCAGCCGTCGGTTTCTACAGCTATGAGGAGGTAGCCAAGTAGGTTCCATGGCTTTTTTTAAGGCAGTAAAATCCTTTTCCACTAAGCTGTGTTTGTTTTTGGGTTTAGGTTTTTTAGTTTGAATTTTTTAACAGTAAAAAGTTTAATTTGAATAGTTGTTTAATGTGAGATAAATAGATAATTGATATAATATTTTAAATGTAAAATAAATTTGTAATATAACATTAAAAATATATAATTGTTTGATTTGATATTTTGAAAATAAAAAAAAATTGTATTAAAATCCACAAAAGTATTAAATCAGTAGACCATTTGTAAGTTCGAGCAAAAATTGGAAGAGTAGATTTGTTTAGTGTCTATAATTTTAAGTGTTATTAGTGATGTATTAAAGAATTGTATAGATATTATATAAAACAATAATATTTTATGTATATTATAATCCTTCCGTCTGCTTTGAAAGTATATTTACTTTTGATAACAATAGTTTAATTGTAGTTGATAGTTAAAAATAATACACAAATATTTTTGCCGATTTTTGTGTAAAAGTAAAAATATGACGGTAAAGTGAGGTATTTATAAAAAAATATATATTTTTTTGAAATGATTACTATAAAAAATAGAAATATATATATTTGTAAACAGACGATGGAGTATTTTTTTTTATACTCCCTCCGTCCCATTGAAATGTTGTCAATTTTTCATTTTCGTCCGTTACTATTTCCTAATTTAGTAATTGTACTATCTACCAAACATAATAAATACCCTTTCAACTTACACTATATTACATAAATGTCATTACTTTTATATTACACAATACTAATAGAGGTATTTTCGTCTTTTTCACTACAATTCATTATAATACTAATATTAAAAAATCTACGTGCAAAAAGTAAACGGCAACTTTGCACCGGGACGAAGGGAGTATTATTTCTTTACCATCATATATGTTATAACCCTTTTGCTAACTTTTGTGATTTTGAACATTGAGCAGGGGAGCGTTATGGCTATATCGTCAGGAAACTGGAAATGGTAAAATTACGTCTCCTTTTGCTTTCACAAAGAATATCGTTTGCACACTGTCCAGGTTGTAGTGTATTTTCTGTGCTCTTTGAATTTGAAAGTTTAATTTTTATTTTTTTATTAAAAAAAAAAACTTTATTTAATATTTTATGAAAAAAATTATAGTGTTGATTGAGGTTGACAGCGCATAAAAATAAAACACAATATATTGTATTTAGTGTTAGCATATGATATGATGTTATATTTTATATGTGTGATGTATTTAGGGTGTGTTTGTTTGGGGGTTTGGATTTTGAGTTGGGATTTGAATAGTAAAAATTTTGAATTTGAATAGTTGTATGATGTGATATAAATAGGGTTTGATGTGATGTTTTGAATGTAAAATTGATTTTTAGTATAATATAAAAAATGAAAAATAGGTGTTTGATTTGATATTTTTGGGGGAAAAAATTGGATGAATAGTGAAAATCTACCAAAATCCTTCAAACAAACACACCCTTAGTATACACTGTGTTTGATATCCATTGTAATATATACTATGTTGATTATTGTCATTTATTCATGTATTTTATTTGTATATTATAAAAAAGGTATTATGTGTGGTCCACTTATATATAATATGATGTTAAGGTTATTAATTTTAATCAATATAGTAACAACCATATAACAAAAATATATATTTACTTTATCAACCAAATTTATTTTTATTTTTTTTAAACTGTCATTTAAATTTATTTTCGTTTTATTTTTAGTAAAAAATACTATTTTTCTATTTTTTCTTTAGCCTAAAAAGGAAATTTTTTTTTTAAATTAATATTCGATCAAATTAGCATACAATTATATGAAAAAATAAAAAAAAAAAAATTTTTTGAAAATTTTAGATTTTTTTATTAATATAATATTTGATGTGATATTTTAAGAGATTTTTTTTTTTTTTTTTGAAATTTAAAATTAAAATAATAAAAAATTGGATAGAAAATTAAAAGGAACGAACCTTGATCATTGCCGATTATGATTCTCACCTCAATTCCTTTTACAGAGAATGCTCAAAGTAATTCCCTTGTACGGTTTGGAGCTGGATCGTGTGCTGGAGCCATCTCCTTGACGGCAACTTACCCATTGGACATGGTGCAAGGTCGACTTAGTGTCCAGGTACCCTCGGGAGATTTTTGTTTTTTTTTTTTTTGGGTAGGCTGGACAAAAATGTGCTCAAGCCTCCACAATATATAGTTGGAGTTGGGATTACTTCTAAGAAGCATACATATATATATATATATATATATTGACATGGGTTTTCTTCACAGACTGACAAATCTTCTAGACGATACAGGGGAATCTTCCATGCTCTTAGAACAGTTATGGTCGAAGAAGGTCCCCGTGCTTTGTACAAGGGATGGCTTCCTTCTGTCATAGGAGTTGTAAGTAGTTACAAATTTCCGCACAAGAATTTTCTTACTTTGATCCACTTTCCATGCGTGTGAAATTTTAACGGGACTATGTCCTGTAAGAGATGACGTGATGGTGCTGGATGAACTTGTGATCGTGAGGTCATGAGTTTATACCCCTGATGCCTCTATGTTCATCTGCCACACATGGTTCATTAGTGTGACTTGTCTTTTCGGACTTAGTTTGCAAGGTATTAGGTTTGATTGGAGGTTAATCCAAAATGCACTCGTTGAATAGCGACTGCGAATATTTACGTGGATTTTATTTTTATTTTTTCATTTTATTTTTATTTTTTTAAAATTTATTTTAAATTTATTTTAAATGTTATTTGCATTTTTTAATTTTTTTTATTTGGTTCAATTAAAAAAATTAAAGAAAAGTAAAAAAATAAAAAATAAAAAAAAAAAAATAAAATCCACGTGTCCGCCAGGTGTTGCTGATCTGGAGGACACGTGGCTTCCGGCGAGCCACGCGGAGGCATCTCCGGCGCCGGAGGACTAAAACAACAAATATTTTCCACTTATGAGACTAGTTTGCGACAGACTCCATTTACGAGATTAAAATGATACGAGGATCTAGTTACATACTAAAATAGTTTATTGTATAATATATAATGCACTATACTCTTTTTCCGTTCACTTTTCACTAGCAAAAGTAACATTTGTGTTATTTGTAATTTGTGAATTTGTATTATATTAATATAATTGTGTATTGTCCGTTTATATATTATATCTTGTTTGTATGTATTTGATATGTTGTCGATTGTAAGCTGAACTATTTCAAACTCTGTTGTATCTATGCAGATTCCTTATTTAGGATTCAATTTCTCAGTATACGAGTCTTCGAAGGAGTGGGTACTAGAAAGCAATCCACATATATTATTGTCGAAGAACACCGAATCGAATATGGCTATTATTAGCCTCGCCTGTGGAGCTGCCGCCGGAATCGTTAGCCAGACAGTCACTTATCCTCTTGACGTAATTCGGCGAAGAATGCAAATCGCCGGTTGGAAGGACGCCGCCTCCGTTATCACCGGAGATGGAAAGGGCAAAGCGCCACCTGAGTACAACGGCATGGTTGATGCTTTCTTGAAAACAATACGGTCCGAGGGATTCGGAGCTTTGTTCAAGGGATGGATGCCAAATGCAATCAAGGTTATATATATATATATATATATATTTCTTCTGTCATTTAAATTTATTTTTACTTTCGATTTTTTTAGTAAAATGATTATGAGCATTGATTGAATTTCTGTATACTAACGGCATTTATGTGTTGTCTCTATTTAGATGGTTCCTTGTACAGCAGTTTCATTTGTGACTTACGAATTGGTAAAGGACTATCTTGGAGCACCGCCGAAAAAATGAGGCTGAAAAAAAACCTGCTACTACTGAGGTAAGACTCTAATTTTTTCTGCATGCATACTCAGACACTTGCCATAGTTTTCGGATTAAAGTGGCAATGTCATTCAACCAATAATTTTCTTCGATCTCTTTTCTTTTGAGTTACAGGTTTGGGTAATATATATATATATATATATATATAGATAGATATCTATGTATGGGGAATAATATAGAAGAAATTAAAATCGAATAAGATTGGATTGGAGTTTACAAGACATGAAGTGAAGTGATTGTTTGATAATTGAGATATTAGAGAGGAAAGTAGGTAGGATACAGATATTATTAAAATTACGCAGGAATACGGCAAAAATTTGTTTTAAATTTGAAAGTGTGTTTGTCGGGTGTGGTTTTGGTTTTGAGTTTTTTCAATTTTAAATACTCCTTCTGTGCCGTAACTAAGTATTCATTTGCTTTTTGCACGTAGTTTTAAAAATATTAGTATTATATTGAGATATAGTAGGAATAAAGTAAAAATGACTAAAATAACCTTATTAGTACGTGTCATATAAAAGTAATGACATTTATGTAATATATTGTAAATTGTAAGAGTATTTTTAACGTTAGGGAGATAGTACAGTTACTAAAAAAAATGAAATTGATACTTTGTTATGGGACGGACTAAAATGAAAAAAATAAATATTTTGTCATGGGACGGAGGAAGTAACAAAATACTGAATAAAATGATTATGTAATGTGATATAATTATAATATAGACGTTATATTTTCAATATAATATTAAAAATAATTTTTATAAACAATACTCCCTCCATTTCTACAAGGATGAACCACTTTTATAAGCCACACAGTGTAAATTAGTAACTTATTAATAATAAATTAGAGTGTATTTTAAATATTTTATTATAATTTTATTACAATGTAATATGGATATATTTTGTACATAATAAAATTTTATATAATAGAAGTAAAATATTTATTTATTTATTATAATTAATTTAAAACTAATTTTTTTTAAAAAAATAAAAAATTTTAAATATAAATAAAAATAATAAAGTGAAATAAAAATAAAAGAATTTTGAGTGCTGTTGCATGTAAAAAATTTTTAAAGTTAATTAAATTGATTTATATTTATTAAATATATTTTTTAAAAAATAATCTTTTTAAAAAAAAATAATAGTCATTTTTATAATCGGACAAAAAAGGATAATTATTACTATTATGAAAATAAATTTGGAAACAAATTGGTCCATTTACAACCTTTACGCGTTTAGTACCGTTTATTTTTTAAAAATATGATATCAAATATTTTTTTTTAAAAATAAAATATTAATTTAATTTTTAAAAAATATTTTCAAACTTTAGTGTATTTCTTTGGAAGGGATTTGAGAAAATTTTACTTTAAGTTTAGTTTGAATTTAAATTTTTTTTTTTTAATTTTGAAAATATGTGTTTCTTTGAATTAATAGATTTAATTGAGGATTAGAAGGGTTTGATAAATAGTGATTTGATAGTAATAATTATATTAAAAAATTAAATAAATTATATTTTAATAATAATAAAAATATTTTTAATTTATATATTATTAAAAAGAAAAAACCTAATTTCAATCCACCAGCCGCCGCCGTCCCTCATCCTTTCTTCTCCTTCGTCCCGACGGATTTCATCTCCTTTCTCTTCCTTCCCCTTTCTTCTTCTTTCTTTATTCCCTTCCACCATTTCTTCATCATCTTCCCTCTCCTTTCTTGTTCTTCCTCCCTAATTTTAGCCGCCTGCGCCGTCGTCTCTCGCCACTATTCTGTATAGTCTCTGAAACTAATCCTCATCACCGATCCGTTCTGAGGTTCAGTGAAACTCACCTCCATGGCGAACGCGCGAGATTCCGACCCGAATCTAGGTTACCTGACTCGGAAAGAGACGGAGGTGAAGCTCCCCCGGCCGACTCGCGTCAAGAACAAAACTCCTGCGCCAATCCAGATCACCGCCGAGCAAATCCTCCGCGAAGCTCGCGAGCGTCAGGAGGCAGAAATCCGACCGCCGAAGCAGAAAATAACCGACGCCACCGAGCTCGGCGACTACCGCCTCCGCAAGCGGAAAGAGTTCGAAGATCTGATCCGTCGCGTCCGCTGGAACAAAAGCGTGTGGGTAAAATACGCCAAATGGGAAGAATCTCAGAAGGATTACGCCCGTGCCAGGTCCGTCTGGGAGCGCTCACTCGAGGTCGATTACAGAGACCATACCCTGTGGTTGAAGTACGCCGATTTCGAGATGAAGAACAAGTTCATCAACCATGCCAGGAACGTCTGGGATCGAGCCACACAGTTGCTGCCTAGAGTGGACCAGTTGTGGTACAAGTACATTCACATGGAGGAGATGCTGGGGAATGTGGCTGCTGCTCGTCAGATTTTCGAGCGATGGATGAACTGGATGCCTGATCAGCAAGGCTGGCTTTCCTACATCAAATTCGAGCTGAGGTACAATGAAATCGAGAGGGCTCGAGCAATTTTCGAGCGGTTTGTGAGTTGCCATCCGAAAGTCAGCGCTTGGATTAGGTTTGCTAAGTTCGAAATGAAGAACGGCGAGATAGCTCGAGCTAGGAATTGCTATGAAAGAGCTGTCGAAAAGTTAGGGGACGACGAGGAGGCAGAGGAGTTGTTTGTTGCCTTTTCGGAATTCGAGGAGAAGTGCAAGGAGACTGAGAGGGCTAGATGCATATATAAGTATGCATTGGATCATATTCCGAAAGGGAGGGCCGAGGAGCTTTACAAGAAGTTTGTTGCATTCGAGAAGCAGTATGGTGATCGAGAAGGGATTGAGGATGCCATTGTTGGAAAGAGGAGGTTTCAGTATGAGGATGAAGTTAGGAAGAATCCACTTAATTACGACGCCTGGTTTGATTACATTAGGTTGGAAGAGAGCTGCGGGGATAAGCGAAGGATTGAGGAAGTTTATGAGAGGGCTATTGCTAATATCCCGCCTGCTCAGGAGAAACGGTATTGGCAGCGGTACATCTACTTGTGGTAAGCTCGATATTCGAATTGTTGTGCTTATTTGTAATTTGTTTCATGTGTTGCTCACTGCTTGAATTTTATCAGGATTAATTATGTTTTGTACGAGGAGCTTGATTCCGAGGATGTGGACCGGACGAGAGATATATACAGGTAAAATGAATTGGTGCTAGTTTTCGCCGGTTTCTGATTATACTTATATGAACTAGTTTTAACAATGTTATTACTTATAGATTAACTTTGCCTTAAAATACTAAGGGTGTGTTTATTTGTGGGTTTGGATTTTTGAATAGTAAAAAGTTGAATTTGAACAGTTGTTTGATCTGATATAAATAGAGGTTGATGTGATGTATTAAATGTAAAATAGATTTGTAGTACAATATAAAGAAAAGAAAAGTAATTATTTGATTTAATATTTTTGGAGGAAAAAAAGTATCATAATACTAAAAACTTGTCGTAAGACGTCTCCACAAAAGAACACAACCTAAGATTAAAAGATTAAAACTCACACATTAAATTGTGACTAATTTGTTGCTCTATTAGTATGACTCTCCTTGTTGCATCTCCTTGATATATATATATATATATATTTGTCATTCACTGGTGTTATTATATTGAGTGATTCTTGAATTGGTCTAATTCAATATGTCAATGTTTGGACCTTGGGTCTGTTTTCATTGAGATGATATGAAAGGTGCATTCATGTGAGATATATATTATATTGGTCTGCTCTCTCTAGAATGTATGTTGTTATTGTTTTTTCAGATATATATACACACACATACACATGTACTACCATCTCGGTTTTGCTCCAAATATTCTCCACGGTTCATTAAATTTTCTGAATGCTTGTAGTTGAAAAATCGTCCCTATTTTGTGACCCATTAACACTTAAATTAAATCCCACTTATCAAATTCTGTTGTAGAAGATATCGTTGTTTCTAGAAAGTTTTCCATGTGTTACTTTTGTCAAGCTTCATCAGCAGTCTTTAAACCCCTCTTTAGGTCATGATCATTGCACAAGCTTAGTCCTTTAAGAAAGAATAATTTGTCTATAGCTAGACTGGTCAAGGTAAAGCTTCCATTAGAGCAGCCCTAATATATATATAACCCTTAGTGAATGCTGGTGTTGCTCTCTTTTGATTATCATCGCCTTTAACCTTGTTTCAGAATGTCATTTGTATTATTATTACAAATTATGCGGAGTATTGAATTAGTTGCTACTAATGTCAAAGCTATTGGACATTTGATAAATCTTTTGTACCGGCTATTTGGTCAAATATGCATTATTTATTAGTTGTTCATGTCTAGTGGTCAACTTTCCTTCTTGTGGCATTTTGAGTTTCTCCATGCTGAATCCGAAGTTTAAAAGGCCATGTTTACTTTGTTAGAAGGATTACATCATTTTATACGATAATAAAGGGTTTACTAAAAGGTTTATTTAATTTTATGTATTCATGTTTTATGTTTAGATGGTGTTTTGTTATTGTTTTAGTGTATTTGCTTTTAATTTTTTTAAGGTGAAATGGTTGTTTGATGTCATATTTATGAACGGAATATGGTTGTTGGATGTAATTTTTTTGGAGGAAAAACGAAAACTAACCGTTAGAGATATCCTGGGTGATATAATCCTTTTTTATAAATAATCCTCCATAGTAAACACACTCTACGATAATGAGTTATCAATGGATAATTGATATAATGTTTATCTTGATCAAAATATAGTAATTTATTCTTGTATTAGTTCTTTGGTTATAAACTTATATATTATCATTATTATTGATGATAGTTATAAACCCATCACTCATTTATATGTAATTTAAGCAGTTGGATTTTTTATCCCAATTTGATCAGCTGAAATATATAAAAGGTTTTTGATCCACGTAGTTAGCAGCATGCTCTAAGGATACTTTTGTGGTAGTCGTGAACTCATCAATTTTCGTATTGCATTTCTGTTCCCCCTTGTGCTTTCACTTCATCAGTTGTAACTTGTAAAACTCGTTTCATTTCCGATTCTGACTTTCTTTCACTTGCATTGAACTATTGATCTAAGTTTTCACGATCTACTTTGTAATATGAACAGCTTGTGTCTAAAGACAATCCCTCATAGCAAATTTTCATTTGCAAAGATTTGGCTAATGGCTGCGCAATTCGAAATCCGTCAATTGAACATCGACAAAGCACGGCGAATTTTGGGGTCCGCAATTGGCTTGGCTCCCAAAGATAAGGTATGGCAGAAGTTCATCAATAAATAACATTTCATTAGATTGTCTGTTTTATTCTGGATTTCTGGTCTTCTATTTCTCGTCACAATAATTACATATTATCAACAGATATTTAAGAAGTACATCGAGATAGAGCTGCAACTCGGCAACATCGAACGATGCAGGAAACTATACGAAAAATACTTGGAGTGGTCTCCAGAGAACTGTTATGCTTGGACCAAATACGCCGAGCTGGAGAGGTCCTTGGCAGAAACCGAACGAGCAAGAGCACTTTTTGAGCTTGCAATCGACCAACCTGCGCTAGACATGCCAGAACTTCTATGGAAGGTATTCAGCTCACGTTTAAAGCACTTTCTGTATAGAGCTTTTCCGTATATCGTATAATTAAATTTATAATTGCCAGTATTTACTTGAAAGTGATCCTTCCGACATCAAGAATTTCGATTTGGTTTTCTTCATGGTCTGTTTCGATCTCAATAGCTATATCATTCCTGATCTAATTGTTTCACGACAGGCGTACATAGATTTCGAAATATCGGAATTGGAGTTTGGTAGAACCAGAGCACTCTACGAGAGGCTTTTAGATCGCACGAAACATTTGAAGGTGTGGATTAGTTACGCCAAGTTTGAGGCCTCTGCTTCCGACGAGGGCTTTCAAGATTCAGAGATACCGGAAATCGAGCAGAAAAGAAACTGTATTCAACGTGCTCGAGGCAAGAATAAAAACGCACACGCACACACACACATATATATATAAGTGAAAAAAAAAATCTTACAACTTTTTCATCCCTCGACCAGCCGTGTTCGAAAGATCCCTAAGCTATTTCAGAAACTCCGCCCCCGAATTGAAAGAAGAAAGAGCAATGCTTTTGGAAGAGTGGCTGAACTTGGAAGCCAGCTTCGGTGAGCTCGGCGATCTCGATGTGGTGCGTTCAAAGCTGCCAAAGAAACTCAAAAAAAGAAGGCAAATAGAAACCGAAGATGGCCCATCCGGGTAATAATCCAATACATTCAAAACTATCGATTGACTTTAAGCCCCGTTCCTTGGCTTTGCAGAAAATTAACACGTTATGTGTATAATTCGCAGATTCGAGGAATACATCGACTACATATTCCCGGAAGAAATGCAGACGACGAACCTCAAGATCTTGGAAGCTGCGTACAAGTGGAAGAAGCAAAAGATTGCTTCGGACGACGATTAGATCATCATGTTTGTTTGGCTATGTTGATTGATATTAATATTACTTGGTGTTTCGACTTATTAATCCTTATGTATGTATGTTTTAGCTAACAACTATAGTTTCTTCCGTAACCCCAACTTACGATGTGCAGGCTCAGGCTCAGGCTCAGGCTCGACTAGGTGTTGTATAATCATTTCTTACTGCCGGAGAAGATGATCGAGATTTATACTTGTCAAATCGAGCATAGGTTAGGTAAGGTTGTATTTTTTTTGCCAGTTTAGTTCCAATGTGGGCATAACATTTTAACGTAGTAGGTTTTTGGGAATGAATATATTTCAAGAATTTGGTAAGTTTTCTGTTGTGACGTCAAAATTTTGTTTTGTACTTCGGTGGGATATATCGTATATTATGTACTGTATCAAAAATTTTTGTATGCTATTTTATCATCCTCAGGGATATATTATTTTTATTTTTTTTTTAACGAGAATTTAAGAAATAATAATATTTTATTAAAATGAGTAGTTAAATAAGTATATAGACAAATTTGTCCATATTTTTTTAATAAAAAAAATAATAATGTGATGGTAAAGTAAGAATATTTATATAAAATAGTGGTGTAATAATTACTAAAAAGTGAAAAATATATACATTAAAACGGAATGAAAAAAGTATTATTTTTATATTTTCATTACAATTTTCGGAGCTAATATAAAAAATATATTCATGCAAAAATAATATATCTAACAATGATTTTGGCCTAACTGATGAAAAAAACAAACACAGATCATTAATATTTCGACATTATTATTATTATTATTACTTACTTCCGTCTCACTCATTTTGTCATTTTTTAAAAGAATTATAAATTTTAATTTTATTTTAAATTATAATTAAATTAATTAGTTATTTTATCTTAATTTATAATTATTTTAATTATACGATAATTATTTTTTTAATTATTATTTTTACTATACGATAAGATTAAAATTTATAATTCCTTTGTAAAAAAAATGACAAAATAAGTAGATAATATATATATATACACAATATAACATATGTATATAATATCTCCTTTGTCAAATCAATCTATTTGGTGAGATTGAAAAAAATATATATATATTTTATTAAGAATGTGATAAAATTAAAAAGATATTGAGCGGTAATTTTGAAAATTTAATTACAAAATTAAATGGAAAAAGAATGTAATAATATTGATTGTCTATCCATATATACTTGGGTTGACAACCATTTTGAACTAGGCAAGTTTATGTATATGCCCTTGTCCATGGTGTATCCCTTTCTATCGGCTTGTTAACAAGACTTGTCCGACCGTACTAAGTGGATACTTGATCAGTAAAAAAGTTAATTTTTGAAATGTTGTATAACCCAACGTTTCTTGTTTCTCTTTAAAAAAGACTTTATCTACCCTTAAATATAAGTCACTGGTTCGTATTTTGAATCAGATGACGAAGACGAAGACAAATTACGGGATGACCTAGCACGGCGAGTAGATCACGCCCGTGTTTCTACTTATCTACTCAGACTACTCGGCTGGCATATAGTCATGTTGCGGATATATGTTTTGATCCTAATTCGAACTAGGCAAGTTATGTATAGGTACACCGTTGTCCTATGGTGTATCCCTTTTTCCCGCAATCGTCTTGTTAGGACCTATTATATTAAAGACTTGTCTATGGTACTACGTAGAATTGTAACGTAAATTATTTGTACTAAGGAATGGGCGCCAATGTTTTCCCGGCGTCTCACCCTATTTGAAACTTTTCTTACACATAGGAAAATACTAAGAACTTTTGTCTAAATAGAACTATAGTTTCTTGGGCATTGTAATGTAATGCCTAGTCCGATATTGGTCGCAAATGACCAGACGGCAGCATATGTATATTAAAATGACGTAAATTTGGGTTGGATATAACACATGACGTCTTATATCATATAATTATACTGTCATAAAAATATATATCGAAAGGTTTAAGCTTCACATGTCCCAAAACATAAGCTTGGCTCCATTTACACATTTTTTTGGTTACAGACCTTTTAAAAATATCACATCGGATACTAATTTATTACTATCTCTAAATTTTTTCAAAATTCAAAACTGTCTATCTAAACGGATTCGAACACATAGATTCCATCAAAAACAAGAAAGTGAAACAACAATAACCATGGCTCATTGAAGCGATAAATCTTTTGCTCTATGTGGGAGTCTTGAACTGGCATAGTTATACCAATTCCTCATCTAATCACGTGTTCTAACTATCGTTTCATCAGATCGAATAAAATTAATTATCCATCATAACCCTCCTTACTAAACTTGTCTTGATCATAGAATAGGATCCCAAATTCTGTAAAACTCGTTTATATCGACAAAACAAAAGTAGCCTCTATTTTAATTATCGTAATAATGTATCCTCAGAATGATCATATGCAAAAAAAACTGGCATGATTCATCAAGAAGAATGCTCAATTTCATAATAAAAAAGCTTACAGCTGATGAAACTTATGTTTGCTTCTTCCCACTTGCATCAGGTTGTTCTCTGCTCGGTTCTGCCAGCGAGAACTTCTTCACTTTCTGAGAAAACGCAAAGAAATACTATGTAGCTTTATAGCGTAAAACTAAATGTTCTTAAAGACAATATAAGAATATAACATAGAAGTAAACCAAACAAGGACCAAAACTAAATCCCTCGATTATTAGCACAAGCACCATTGTAATATCCTTCATGATTTGGAAGTAGTAAACAATACAGCACCATTGCAGAGACCGATCCAATGTTAAAATTCCCAGAAATGTACGTTTGTAAAAATAAGGTTTTACGCGCAGAGTTTTGTGAATAACATTGTTTTCTACATTAATATAAAGCAAGCCAACACCAATAGTAATGGTGGTTGAAAGCTACCTTTCGATAAACCAATTCAAAATTCAATTTTTTCCTCCTCCTTACTCAGCTGAGCTTCACCAAAATATTCTCTATGAATTTAACATCCAACAGCCTTAACATTTATGCAGTGGCAAACCAGAAATTCTCATGACCAAAAGGATTGAATTTGATGTAATGTAGTGAAATCTGGAAAGCTTTCGGCAATAATGTTGCTCGATTGGAAACACCAAACTGCACTCTAAAGGTGAGAATTCACCATATCAGAACAAAATTCTGTAAGGGATCAGAAACATAGTATGTTTTCTCAGTTTTCTTCCACATAAAACAACATAATATGGAAGAGAAATTGAGGCAGTTATATTATGTTTCATACGAATTTTGGTTAATATCTCTATCCATACATAATCTTCACTTCGATTTCGATCTTCTCCTTTTTTTCGTTCACATTTTTCAATTCCGACCAGTAGCGAACAGAATTTTTTTAAAAAAAAAAAAAAAAAAAAAAAAAACTAAAGAAATATCATCCTCAGCGATGCGAATCAATCGAAGCAAAAAAAAAAACAAATAAAAGTAAAATTCCGTAGAGATCGTAGCTCAAAACGAGAAGCTAATCCACACAAATCAATCGACCACTAACCGCGAAAAGTTGTACCTTACTGAGAACGCATTGGCGCAAGGATTGAAGGAGGGAAATGCATCTTTCCTGATCGAAATTGGAGTTGGCTACGCAGTTGAGCAGATCCAGCGCCTCTTTTCCGCACACCGCCTGCTCTTGATTTCGAGATTCTTCCATGGTTGTCGTTCTAGGGTTTATGGTTTCTGATCGCCCATGCCATGGGTATTATACTGTTTCGACACGCGTTGCCTTCTTCCCCAAGATTTCTTCTGCCTAATCGTAGCTCTTCTTGTTGATTTAAAAGGGTAATTTGATTACGATACGACCTAAATTATACAAGTTTTATAAAAATATAAAATATAAAATATCTTAAATTTTACACTTTTTTATTTATATAAAATTTGTGTAATGTAGGTCTTTATTTAGAATCGAACATCAGTTGGAGAAGGGAGGTGTTTCATGCAAATTTTATATTAACACTGAGGAGTTTGACGCAATAAATAAAATACAGGTATTTTGTGCATTTTTACTAAAACACAAGGGTGTTATATAATTTATTTTTTTTTAGTGACAATATATATTATCTCCGTTTCGTTCTAAGTTCCATGAAAAGAAAAAATATTATGATACTATTACAATCAAGATAAAAAAAAATTATACAAATATAAAAATATTTTTAATATTTTTGTAACTCCTACGTTGCAGCATTAGTATTTTAATTTAAGAAGTCCATATAAAATACTTTACTAGTATCACATATCTCTAATGTTTATAAACATTACATTTACCTGTTATTATTGTATTTAATATTAAAAATATTTGTATAACATTTTTATAAATGTCATGGTATTAGAATTTTGTTATTTTTTCTTGATATATAAAATCAATATTCAAAAAATAAAAGCAAAATTATTTTTCTGAATCATTTTTAGCCAAAGGTAAATATACACCTTATATAGTGACCAAAGGAGTATTTGATGTATTGTCACAATATTTTCCCTAAAGTATATTCCCTCAATCCAATCCATAATTCCAACTGAAATCAAAACACAAAAATTAGGAAAACTAAAAATCACACCCTTTGCTTAGGTAAAGGTAAGAATAGAACAAAACACAGATATAATACACAACGCAACAAATGTGAATTCCCTCTTGTAAAAAACCTCATAAATGAACCTCTGTTCTTCAATCTCTCCCAACATTCCCTCTCTCTCTAACTAAAAAACCAAAAAATATGTGAATGAGAGTGATGCTATATCTATAATTCTCTACTTGCAAATAATTTGAATGGTTGTATAAAACCTGGACAGCTTCACATTGCCCGTGAACACAACTTCTTGGAACCATGGCTCGATAGGATCTGCCGATGATCATCTGCCATGTCCCCGTCATGTAAACTATTCGGCCAAAAAATTGCAACAGAGGTTCGTGCCGTGTTTCTGTCTAAGAATCTCCATTTTTACGGAAAATGGTCATGCCGATGCACAAACAGCTCCTGTAAGCGATGAGAATCACATGTCAACAATAGTTTTTAAACTTACTTTCACACTATTCACTAAAAAATTTCTGTCTAATTAGGTGAATAACCTATTTCCAATTCAAATCATCATATTCAATACTTATATAGCATCGAACACATATTTTCTGTTAACTTTTTACTAATCCTTAATCAACCAAAAACATCAAAATAATTCTGAAACATATCTAACACAACCTAATTATGCTTTGTTTTCAACATCGTAGAAAGATTTATCCAGCCCAAAGCATCATTTATCATATCTAACTACTAATTTGTTTATTACGAAAAATTTATAATGAAAACAGAGAGACGAGGGGACCTGAAGAGGATGAGCAGCAAAACTTTTCATCATCAACATGCTCCACGTTGAGCCCGATGAACCAAGATCCAACGCTGACATCATCATGGGCATATGTTCGGAGGGCGAATCTGAAAACTAAGAGAGTCACTACCAAATATGTTGGTTCCTTACATTATTAGAAGAGGTCTAAAAAAAAAAAACCGTAGATGTGTATAACCAAGAGGAACGTACCTATTTATCGAGACAAACTGGGCCAATGCATGTGATATGGCAAAAATCTCACCCGAGGCATGCCGAAAGTATCTATTTGTAGAAGAGAATCAATTGTACAGATGTTTACATTATCCTGCTTTTATAAACAATATTGGAAACACGAAAGGAGAAGGCAAGGTGCGTCCCAGATAGACTATGAAAGTGATCGCAAGAAACTAATCTATACCAGACTTTGGCATCACATATCAGTACTCGAGAATGCGAAAACAGAAACATGGGAAACTTTAAACAGAAGATAAAAAGTGACTTCTACATATGTCAAATATTCTTACCACACTTTGCCATCACGTATAAGTAATTGTGATGTATTTTATCTATTTCATCGTTTTTACATTCTCTAAAGCATTACCACTCCAATAAAACACTAACTTAAATGATACGTTGTCAGATTTTAGACCTACAGCTCGATGCAATTACAAATTGGTAACTCAAAATTAAGCTTAATGTCAATACAATACAATAGCACGACAAATACAATTGATACTTCAAACTTGGCCAAAAAGTGAGATGGAGGTGAAAGTTAAAATATATTTGTATATGTTACTTACGATTTCCCATCGCCGAATTTCCACCATTCAGGCTCATACCATTTATGTTTGCTGCAAGATCAAATAAAAAATGTTCGGTTACTCCCATTCAAAAAAGAATGGGGTGCATAAAGGTAACTATTTTTAACTCACAGGTCAGAGAAAACTTCTCCTGACTTCATACATCCAATGTACACGCGAGGCTTATCCAAATGACTTGCAAGCACAGCTCCTAGAGCATCTGTTAAACGTGAAATAGCAAAGAGTAATTAATTGAAAAAACTCAGTATCTGCCTTGAAAGATACAAATAAGTCGTGCAGAACCCAGTCCGGAAGTTTATATAGCCAACAAGAAATGAAAATCATCAAATACTTTGATATCAGCTGTCGAGGAAAACGCACCAATGTTAACATAAACATCATCATTGATCTTGATATAGAACTCAGCTTCCCAGTGATCGACAGCATGGATGAGGAACAATTTTGTTTTGTTTGCTCGCTCTTCCGGTCTCTCTATATGATTTTCCTGACAAAGATAAGATGCTCTTTCAAAAAAAAAAGAACAAAGAATCAGTTTCAATATCTTGCTAAGTTGCAAGTCTTTAGAAACCTACCGAAATGAAATACTGGCAGCAAGATAAAGCACACGTTGAAAGATAAAACTGAACAAAATCAGGAAACAGTGAGGAAACTCCACTAAAAGGCTAAAAAAAGCATTTTCCCTTGTTAACAAGAAATCCGAGCTTGTTCTCACCCAAACCATTCTTAGAACAGACTAACGAGACTGCCAAATTGCTCAGATGTCACTTAAATGGTCGAGGCTTTAACATGTTAGACATGGAAGGTTGTTCCAGAACAGTGTGCCAACATGCTAGAACACAGTGTATACATTCACAGGATTAAAAATAAATTTTAATCAACTATGTTTAAAAACTAGAACATACAAGAATTATGATGTCATTTGACTGCGCGTTTTCACTGTCAATATCCCTATCTGAATTGTCGCCACGATTTGCACTGCATTGTGTTGTGTAAATTCAGTCACACAAAATGTTCTGAATAACCAAACAAAAAATTTCAAGTGAACAGTACGGACCTTCTCCCAATTACAAATCGAATGACAAGGCCTTTTTCTTCCTCCAGTTCCTTGAGAGCAGCACCTGCATTGTGTGTGTTACGAATGGGCGCATTCAAGAACATACAGAAAACATAACTAAGAATATCATAAAAAAATTTTAAAAATAAAAATAAAGAAGCTTAAAAATCTAAAACTCGCCATTTCTAAGCTGTTATTACATCTCAAGACCTTTAACATGTTTTTCTAATGAATTATCTACCAAGTACTAACTGACAGCCAACAGTTTTTAATCGAAATACCAACACCTATTTTTCATGGGCGGAAAAGAACAAAACATATCATAGGCACAAAAACGGTTGGTGCATGTCAGTTGTTCGTGCCCACAGAATAGAATCAATAGACACACCACAGTGTAAGAATGACATACCAGTAGGCATCCAGGCCTTGCGAATTGCATTTCTGTTGTTCTTGCGTCCAAACATTGTAATTATCCCTATGGCAGCTAACAGTTTTCGCTTTGAAGTTCCACCATTTCCAGACACGCGCTTAGACACAAATCCTTCCTGCCTTGCCTTTTCCAAATCCATATTAAGTGCATCTAAAATCTTGTGACGCTCTCTGACCAAGCACCAAAATACAATTAATTCGAGCTTGTCTGATTCAATGTAATGCAATTTTTCAGCAGAAATACAAATGTGCATCACGAAAAGGTTACCTGCAATTAATGATTTTCAAAGTGTCATCTACAGAAACAGAAGACTTGCCCTGTCATAGAACAGATGTAATGTCAACTTCCCATAAAATAACCAAGAAACTGATAAAGAAATCTATCTATGACTTCGTCTACATAAACATAACCACCGTATTGCTCAAATTAAGTATTAGCTTCATCCCTATGGTCGGCTGAAGTTTAATAATAGATGCATCCATGACCACCATTGTGAAGTTTCGTAGTCAATTTTCAGTAACATAACCCATATTTAGATCATTCATTTCATCGACTTTCATTTAACCATGGACAACAATAACTATTTCAGCACCCGAGCACTATTCCTCAAAAACTTTTATGCAAAACCATCAAATCAAACACTTACATATATATATCACCTCATACGTTATTTAAATTTAAATTTGTACTATTCCCAAATGGCATTTCCAAATTCAAATCTTAAAGAAACAGGACCTACAAAGACAATTGACATTCCATTACAGATCTTCCTGTTAATGATTAGTAACAGAGGAATGAAACTAAAACTATGTTCCAAATCAGTGGCATTGATCAGGAAGTTCACAATTAGGCTAACAATTTGAAAATTTTGAAATCCGAAAAAAGGAGATTCCAGATCTCAAATAAAACCTATTCCAACAGAATCTGCATCTCCTTTCTCCTTCTTCATAAAATTTGGACAGGGAACGAAGCTAACCTGTGATTTGAGTTAAGGAAATCAGGAAATCCAGAAAGAAACAGAACATCAAATCACCTGTCCGGTTCTCATATCAAGCTCGCTAATCAAATTCGCCCTATTAGCCGCATCCTGCCACAATCTACACGAATTCGCACATTTCATCAAATGTAAAACCCTAAAACCCGACGAAATTCAAATCGCGTTACGTACCTTCCCGCCACATATAATGAAGCCATGGTAGCAAACATGGACAGCATCAGAAGCGAAATCCGATTCCCAAAACTCTGCGCCGACGATAGCCGGTGATTCGATCCCCGGCTACCCATTTCGGCCTGCACGACGTAATTCCAAGAGCTAATTTCGTCGTGAAGAATAAATCAGATGCTGAAATTCTTCAAACTGAACACTTGCGCGGATTGGGTGAATCGAACAATTGCGGGATTGATGATGATTTGGTGAGAAACAAAAGAACGGATCAAATCAAGTGGAGATAAGACTGAGAGTTATTGCAGAATTGGGGGTTTAAATGTAAGAAATACGCTGCCAACTGCCAATACTCAGTGCTTTCGCTGCCATTAAAGTGAAGCTTCTTCTTCTTATTATTGCTATTATTATTATTATTATTATTTATTTAATAACGTCATAACATGCCGCCGCTAGCGTTTGCTTTTGTAAACCTCCGAAATTTCACTAATTACTTTTAGTTAGTATGTAATTAGTAAATAATTAATAAATATAGTAATAAAAATAAATTATATATTAAAATTAAAATGACCAGACAATTCAATTAAAATAAAATAAATTATAAATTATGAATTTTTAAATGTGATTAGAATTTTATAATTATATTCTCAAAAATAATAATAACAAATTATGTAGAATAGACTGAAATAGAAATATATGACAAATTAAGTGGGACCTAATAAAATGTATTTTTAGATAGATTCATACTTATAAATATTATTAAAAAAATATACTACATCCGTCTCACATACAATGTCTACATTGTAGACACAGGGGTGTAATTAGTAGATAATTAAGAATGTATCAGTGAAAATAATTATTGTATAATATAAATAATTATAAATTAAGATTAAGATAACTAATTAGTTTAATTAAAATTTTAAAAAATAAAATTAAAAAGTTTAAAATAAAATTAAAGTCTATAATCATTTTTCAAAAAAAGAAAGTGACATGGTATGTACGACGGACAGAAACGGTAACATGCACATGGAATGTGGGACGGAGAGAGTAATATATATTTTATTTTAATAAAAATAATAATAATTAAATATAATTATTATATATTACGAATACAAATATTTGTATTTAACTTAAAACAATATTATATTTAAATATACAAAATAAACAAATTTGTTGTAATATTAATATAGAAATAGCCAATAGAAATATTAATTAATTATTTTATATATATTGTATATAATACACTCAGGGTGTGTTTGTTTAGGCTATTGGATTTTAAATTCATTATTCATCTCATTTTTTTCTCAAAAAATATCAAAGCAAACACCTATTTTTTATTTTTTATATTATACTAAAAATCAATTTTACATTCAAAACATCACATCAATATCTATTTATATCACATTATACAACTATTTCAACTCAAAATTTTTACTATTCAAATCTCAACTCAAAATCCAAACCCCAAACAAAAACACTAACAAACACAAATATTTAAAATTCTATTTGACTCAACTTGTTAACTAGTCTAAACTTAATAATTTGACAAATTGTTACTATTATATTGTTATTAAGTATTTTATTCTAAACTTTATAAACATTGCATTTAGGGATGTCAAATGGGCGGGTTAGCCCCGGATCCGCCCCAGATCCGTTTTTAATAGAGCGAGTTTGAATCTAAATAATATGTTTTGGGGCGGGTTGTGAATTTAAAATTTTAAAGTTGGTCGGGCTCGGGACGGGTTACGGGTTTTACTAAAAATCCGCCCCACCCCGAATCCGGACCCGAACCCGAATATTTTTTAAAATTATTATAACTAATATATATCTACATTTATATAATAAAAATATATTATTTATTTACTCAAATAATTTTAAATATAAAATTCAATTAGTCGGCTGCTCCAAATAAAGATGGACACAAAACAAATAAATTATATATATTTTTTTGTCTTGATTCAATATATTTTTTCTAATAAATTATAAAATAAAAATAATTTATTGATGAATTGAAATATATAAAATGATTTTAATATTTTTAAAAAATATATTAAAATTTTTGTAAAAATTGAGAATAGTTTGATACTTAATTATGATTATTTTTATTATAACTATAAACAAATTTGAAAAGAAAAGATTATATTGAATCAGTTAAGAAAAAAAAAAGCTCCGCTTATATATAGACATTTGGAGAGTTTTAGGTTTTGTTTGGAGATTTCGATAGTATTTGTTTTTTAAAAAATATATTAAATAAAAAAAATTTCTTACAAACAATATATTAAATTTTTATTATTTTTACGATTAATAAATTTCAAAAAAATATCTTATCTAAATGGAGCATAGTGTTTGGAAATTTTAGAATTAAAAAAAAAAAAAAAAAAAAAAAGTAACGGCTTTATTTAAGTTTCAATTTTGAAAATTTTACGCTATTTTTATTTTTTGATTAATTTTTTGAAAAAAGATCACATAGAATACTTATTTTTTTTTATATAAAATATGATTTAAATATTAGTTTTATATTATTTTTAATATTTTATTAATTTTTTTTTTTATCTAAATGAAATATTTAATATGATATTTTAAGAGAAAAATATATATATAATTAATGCTACATTTTTTAAAAAATTGAATAGTGTCAAATTTAGAATTTTAAAATAATAATATATGATGTGAAATTTTATTAAAGAAAATTATATATGATATAATTATATTTAAAATATATATATTGTAAATAAGTAGTGCAAAAATTAACTAAATATTTGTGTACCTGTCCCATATATATCTCAGCTGTGTTTGTGCTTAGGTTTGAAATTTAAATACTCTCTATGTTCCATAAATAAATATTTATTTATTTTTAAAAATATTAGTATTATATTATAATATAGTAAAAATAAAGCAAGAATGACTAAAATAACTTTATTTATAATATAAAAGTAATGATATTTATGTAATATATTGTAAGTTGTAAGAGTATTTGTAATGTTAGATAGATAGTACAGTTACTAAAAAAATGAAATAGATAATTTGTTATGGAACGAACTAAAATAAAAAAAAATGAATACTTTATTATGGAACGAAAAGAATAATGAAAATTTATTATGGATACTTTGTTATATTTTTATGACTTTTCATGAATAATAATAAAAAAATGAAAATATAAAAAAACTAATGCTAGTTTAGTTAGCACTTGCCATTTTTTACAATTAAGAATATATTTTATATGGAAGTACTAAGGGTGTGTTTGTTTGGGGGTAGATTTACTCTATTAATTCAATTTTTTTCCCAAAAAAATATCAAATTAAACACTTATTTTTTATTTTTTATATTATAGTAAAAATCAATTTTACATTCAAAACATCACATCAACACCTATTTATATCTCATCAAACAATTATTCAAATTCAAAATTTTTAATATTCAAATCCCAACTCAAAATTCAAACTCCAAACAGAGTGTTATTTTGTGAGATAATTTGAAAGAAATTTTTTTTTTTTTTTTTTATATATATATATATGAGGTGTGAAGAATTGTATATAAAATATAAAAATAATAAATACTGATATATTAATATTTTGAAAAAATATGTGTATTTTTCTTATTAAAATGAATAAATTACTACCGGATCTTCTCCAATCTCTAATAAAATATATATTTTAAAATTTGTATCTATCTCAAAAAAAATTTATTTTATTTTTTAAGTAGTTATATTATACATTTAATATTAAAAATATATTTACAACTAACAATATACTAACATAAATCTCATTACTACTAATATAAATAATTTAGCATCTTTATTTTTTTTACTACATACAAATATAGTTTCAATATTAAATAATTTACATGTAAAAAATATATGAATATTTAGTAAAGAACAAAAAAAAATATTGTAATTCTATTTATTTCATTATTTTTTTAATCAATTTTTACTTTAAGAAATAATAAAGTAAACAATTTGTCAACACTCTTTTTTTATTATTATTATTTTACTATTTTTATACTCTCTCCGTCCCATAACAAAGTATTCATTCTTTCATTTTAGTCCATTCCGTAAAAAAGTATCCATTTCATTTTTTAGTAACTGTACTATCTACCTAACATTACAAATACCTTTACAACTTACAATATATTACACAAATGCTATTATCTTTGTATCACACATACTAATAAGGTTATTTTAGTCATTTATACTTTATTCCTACTATATCCCAATATAATACTAATATTTCTAAAACTACGTCCAAAAAACAAATGGATATTTAATTTCGGGACGGAGGGAGTATTAATTCTTTTAATAATTTTTTCTACAATTTTTTCACTTATCTTTTATCTACTTTATCTTATCATTAAAAATATTACTAGTGTTTATTTTTATTTTTTTATGTCTAATCAAACTTACATAATTTTACTGAAAGAAAAAAAATATTATTTAAAAAATAAAAATAATAAAATTATAAATAGATATAAACTAACTAAAAGAACCAAGAAATGTATTAGGGTATTTTTTTTAATGATTTAAAAAAAAAAAATTGACATGAAACATAGAGAATTATATAAATAATATAAAAATAATAAATATGTAATTATAATTTCTTTCAGAAAAAAATGTTAAAAATATTTGTTAAAAGAAGCAAATCCTAGGGTGTGTTTGTTTGTGGGTTTAGATTTTTAACAGTAAAAAGTTGAATTTGAATAATTGTTTGATATGATATAAATAAAAATTAATGTGATATTTTGAATGTAAAATAAATTTTTAATATAATATAAAAAAAAATAATTTTTTGATATAATATTTTTGGAGACGAAAAAAAAAAAAAAAAGTATTGTAAAAACTAGAAAAGAAAACACCCGGGATTATAAATTTTGAATCGAAATTTGCTTTGGCTTGTAAGGTGTTTTTGTCGCATTAATAAATTTTGTCAGTTGCAAGTTGATATTATTCACTTTTAGCGCTACCAACCAAACACGTCAGAAGCCACCAACACCAACTTAATACTGCCTCTAACAACCTACGAAACGACGCCGTTTAAAGGGCGCATAGTAACAATCGCCGCTCTATGCGACAATCAGCCTCGGCGAGTCCGCCAACGCGCGCGCCAATCACAAATATTTTATTACTTTTTATTTACTCCCACTGAATTGACCTTTTTACCCCCAACTTGAATATAACAAGAACTGTTTTTGTTTTTGTTTTTTTTTTTTGTTTTTTTTTTTTTTATATAGAAAATTTTATTATATTAATTTAATTTAAACGAAAAAAATATACTCCATCCATCCAGGTTATCATTTTCCATTTTCGTCCGTTCCAAAATAAGGTTACTATTTTCTAATTTCGTAATTGTACTACTTACGTCATATAATAAATATCCTTTCAACTTACAATATATTACAGAAATGTCATTACTTTTATATTACACTATACAAATAGAGATATTTTTGTCTTTTTTACTACAATCCAATATAATACTAATATTAAAAAATCTACGTGTAAAAAACAAACGTCACCCTTGTTGCGGAACAGAGGGAGTATTATATATAATCACTCCGTTCACGCAGTATTTTTCAATAAAATATTTTTTTGTATATGGTATATAAAATTGTTTTAAAAATATAAAATATATTATACTCCCACCGTCTCATTAAAAATGTGACATTTATTTTTTCGCATAATATTATATTGGATTGTAGTAAAAAATATAAAAAAAAATACTTTTATTAAAATTGTATAATATAAAAATAATGAAATATTTGTGTAATATAATATAAATTAGAAGAATATTTATTATGTGAACTACTACAATTACTAAATTTTAAAAACAATAACCTTAACAGAACAGAGAGTATTTCAATTGAATATTTGATGTTTTGATTTTTTGTATTTTTATAATAAATATTTTAACTTTTCTATAAAATATTATGTTAAATCTTATTATTTTTTAGAATTGCAAATGAAAAAAATATTGTTGAACAAAGTGAATATTTAAATAAAAATACAAAATTACAAATTTAATTCAAATTAAAATGAAGCATACCGTTTCATTCTCGGAAAGTACAACCAAACCCTGACATCGAAGGGTAGATTCGTAATTTCGTATGGCGAAGTCATCTCGTGGATCTTATGGGGTACATTTTCCGACAGGGGCATTATCGTCATTTCACAAAGAGAAATTATCTCCTGCGTCTTATATATTCCTTTTTCCGGCGGTGCAGCTTCTGTAGCCTCTCAAGCTTTATTTCCATTTTCTTCCCCAAAATCCCCAAATCGAGATCTTGAATTCGATTCAGACCTTCGGAGCGGCATCAATGGAGTCGGCGGCGCTATCGCAAATCGGTCTAGCAGGCCTGGCGGTGATGGGGCAGAACCTAGCCCTCAACATCGCCGAGAAAGGGTTCCCAATTTCCGTCTACAATCGAACCTCTTCCAAGGTCGACGAAACCCTAGATCGCGCCCATCGCGAGGGCCAGCTACCTCTGACGGGACAGTATTCGCCGAAGGATTTCGTCCTTTCGATCAAAAAGCCTCGGTCGGTTATAATTTTGGTCAAAGCCGGCGCTCCGGTCGACCAGACGATCTCGGCGCTGTCCGCGTACATGGAGCCAGGAGACACGATAATCGACGGCGGAAACGAGTGGTACGAGAACACCGAGCGGCGGATGGTCGAGGCGTCGGAGAAAGGTTTGCTGTACTTAGGGATGGGAGTTTCAGGCGGAGAAGACGGTGCCAGGAACGGTCCTTCGTTGATGCCAGGCGGTTCGCACAGAGCATATTTAAACATTCACAACATACTCGAGCGAGTTGCTGCGCAGGTAGACGACGGACCTTGCGTGACCTACATTGGCGAGGGAGGATCTGGAAATTTCGTGAAAATGGTGCATAATGGAATCGAGTATGGAGATATGCAGCTGATTTCAGAGGCCTACGATGTTCTGAGGAACGTCGGAGGGCTGAGCAACGACGAATTGGCTGAGATTTTCGGGGAATGGAATCGAGGTGAATTGGAGAGCTTTTTGATCGAAATCACCTCTGATATCTTCAAAGTGGAGGATGAAGAAACAGGGGAGGGTCATTTAGTCGACAAGATTCTCGACAAGACAGGGATGAAGGGGACGGGGAAATGGACAGTGCAGCAGGCGGCGGAGCTGTCGATCGCAGCTCCGACGATCGCCGCTTCACTAGACAGTCGATACATGAGCGGATTAAAGGAGGAAAGGGAGGCTGCAGAGGAGATTTTCAGGAAAGAAGGGATGAAGGAGGAGATAAACAACATTGGAAGCGTCGACAAGAAGAGATTAGTAGATGATGTAAGGCAGGCATTGTATGCCTCAAAGATTTGCAGTTATGCACAAGGGATGAATTTGTTGAGGTCGAAGAGTGTGGAGAAGGGGTGGGGGTTGAATTTGGGGGAACTGTCGAGGATTTGGAAAGGGGGTTGTATCATTAGGGCCGTGTTCCTCGACAGGATTAAGCAGGCGTATCAGCGGAATCCAGGGCTGGCGAATTTGTTGGTCGACCCGGATTTTGCGAGGGAGATGGTGCAGAGGCAGGCGGCGTGGAGGAGGGTTGTGGGGGTGGCGATACAGAAGGGGATTAGTGTGCCGGGAATGTCGGCGAGTTTGCAGTACTTTGATACGTATAGGCGCGGGAGACTTCCCGCGAATCTTGTGCAGGCACAAAGGGATTACTTTGGAGCGCATACTTACGAGAGGATTGATCGTCCGGGATCTTACCATACCGAGTGGTCCAAGCTTGCTCGGAAGGCGCGAGTTTAATGGTAAGTGCTGTTTAATCGAGCTTTTGAAGATGGTTATTGAATATTGCTCTATGTTGCGCGGTTTGATTTATCGAGGGGGTTAATTGAACTTGAGTTATTTAGTTGACGAGGATTTCTTGCGAAAGACAAAGCATGTTGTAGTTTCTGCATTGCATTTAATAACGGGACGTGTCTTTTCGAATGGCATTGGTGATTTTGTTTTCTTGCTATGGAAATGCTTATTGGCCGTGCTCGGGTTTTGTTTGTTATTCTATTATGCTCGGTTAGGTATATATGTCTTCTATGGTTGATAGACTATATAATGTTTAATTAGTGATGCATTTTCTTGCTTTAGCTTAAGCTTTTAGTCGATATAAACATGGTATCATAGCGGGAGGTCATGTTCGATTTTGTGTTAAAAAGAAAAATTGGCCACGTGCAAGGTTTGTGTGGCGTAAATCAACTTTATTTTAGAAAACGTAATCATATATTAATATCAAAATACTTATGGGGCGTTTGGTACAGAGAATGGAATTGTAGATAAATGAGATGAGAGTAGAGAATAGAATTGAAGAGAAATAGAATTTAGTAGAGAATGAGAATTAATTCTCTTATTTGGTAAAACAGATAATTCAGTTGAAAAATATAAAAAAAATGCAGATATATGAATGATCAAATAAGATAAATGATTAACGGATAAAAAGAGAGTTTTGACGAATGAGAATTCATGAAAAATATTTTTGGTGAATTTTTTTAAAAAAATATAAATTATATACGCATGTTTTTTAAGATTATATTTTAGTATAATTTCTTAAAAGATCGTAAAAATTAAATACCTTAGAAATAAATTAAGTGTTTTTTTGTAAAATTGAAATAATTTAATTTTTAAAAAATTATAAAAATTAAATAGTACAAAAAAATTTAAAAAAATTTTAAAAAAATATACTACAACATCATTTCTCTCACTTTCTTTGCATATGAGAGAGAAATGAAAATAGAGAAATAGAAATGATATATCTCTCAAGTTTCATTTCTCTGACTCAAACAAATAAGAGAAATGATACAATTTCAATTTCTCTAGCTTCATTTCTCTATACCAAACAAATTATAGTTTTTACTTAAATTATATATTATTATACATACAATTAGTGAAAAACAAAAATGTCAAAAAAATAAAAAATAAAAAATTCTTGCACACTTTCACTAACTAATAAACTTTTAGGTGAAATAGTTATTTAACATCTGCAATGTATTTTCTTGTGTAATAAGATGTAGAGCTTGGTCGGCTAGACGTAGCTAAGTTATGTGTATTCTTTGTCAATGTGTTCTGTGTTAGATTTTACGGTTTTGAAACCGATCAGTTAGTCGAATGGTAGAATAAAATTGGCTAATATTGACCGTGCTAGAACACCATTAGGTTGTTAAGGGTTCGATGATTGTTAGCTCATTTTGTTGCTGTTAGGCTTATTCAAACCTGTCGAACTATAGTTTGTGGTGAATTGTTGGCCGATTTAACGGCTAAGACGACGAATTATGGTTAATTGTGAGCCATTTTAACAGCTTTATTGTCAATCATGTAGAACAAAGATTAGTTCAACTATTGATATGTTCAATTAAGAGAAGCATGAGAATATTTCAGTAGTTTTTTTTTATTTTTTTACTATGTATGCAGTTGCTGTACAACTGAAATTTCTTTATTAAAACTTGGAAACTTTTTGTTGTGATCTAGCATTTGATCTAGAATTTGAAGGACCTTTAGATTACATTTAAGTATCGGTTTGTTGGTTTAGATTTGAAATAAAAAAATCTTACTTTCCATTTTGTATTGTTCCCATAAAAATAGTATATTATTCTTTTTGCAAAACATCACATTTACAAAAATATGACCCAAAAAAAAAAAATAAATTAAATTACTATCTCAATTTAAAATCAAAATCAAACAAAACTATTAAATTTCTGTGGATAAGATCGACGGGTTTTGGTGAATTTTTTTTTTCTTAATAAGTATAAAATTAACGGACTGAAAAATATGTATTAATTCCATATTGAAATTTTCGGTACAATAACCGTAACGTATAAAAAGTATAGATAATATATATAGATATACCAAAATTTTTACAAATTCAATATTTTTCGATACGATAACTTCAAGATAGCCAAATATCAATATTTTTATCCACCCCTAAATTAACAATACCAAAAAAGAAATAAAATCCCATAATATAACAATAAGCACAAGAACATTAGGGCTAAGTTTTTCCAACCCCTTCTACATAACCAACTACCCACCCCAAGTAACAAAACTATGTACACCCTACCCCCCAAACCCGACCCGACACGACCCAATCTACATTACGTTTGATATTTCCCCGACTCGAAAACGCCGAAAAATTTCGAAAACATACATACCTCGTAACGCCGGGCCGGATTACTTACTTCCTCACGACAAGCTCCGCTCGGAGATGGAGGACGCCGTTGATAAAATAAGGGCTGTCGTCTGCGACAAACGCCGCCCACGGGAGCCCGAAAAGGTTACGGTACCCGACGGCCTTGCCTCCGGTGAACGTATAGTTCCCCTTGTACTTGCACACGAACTGTTCGTTGAGCTTGATCCTCGACGCGAATTCGTACTCGACGGCGAACGAGACGGACCCCTTTTCCTGCATGCCGAGGAACAGCCCGAAGCAATGGAACGCGTTCTGCTGGTCCATGTTGCAATGCCCCGACAGGAAGAACCCTTGCCCACCCAAATGAAAGGCCTGCGAGTAAACCCGGCCCGACGGGAACAGCTGCTCGATCTCCCCGCGCTTGAGGTCGAGGTACACGACGCACGACTGGTGGGGTGATTCGAACTCGACGACCTTGACGGGACGGTACTTGTACGCCCGCTCGACGAAACGGCGGTACGGGCCGTCGCCGAGGCACTGCCGTTTCGGCGCCTCGGCCTTGAAGAAGAGCGCGTCGAGGACGACCTTCGACGCGAGGTCGGGGCAGATGTCGCCGCAGGTCAAGACCTTTCGCAGCTTTCGGGTCGTCATGCACGGGAAACGGATGAAGCGCCGGAGATGTAGGCTTAGGACATCGCGTCTTTCTTCCGGATTCGGGTAATGGATCCGCGCCCATTTTAGGACAAGGTCGTATACGGCGTCCTCCGAAGCTACTTGCAACGTGTTGCTTAGTAAGACCGCCTCGAGCCCGGGTAACGGCAAGTTCAAAACTTCATCCTGAAATCTGTCGAATGAAAAGGAGAACGTGAGTCGAAATAATTGGGTTTGGACAAAAAATTTCAACCCGATTATGTATACGGGTTGACACGATCCCGATGAGATAATAAACAGATCGAATTAGGATTGAAGTTCTCAACTCAAACCCAACACGAAAACCCAATTATAATATATTAATAATAATTAATATATTGATTATATATGTAAAATAATTATAATTTAATCATTTGTTTATATATTAATTTAAAGTAAACTTAATTTCAAATAATTCAACCTAATTAATTGAATCAAGGATTTCGACTTAGTTATATGTATACGGATCAACACAAACCCGACACGATAATAAACAAATCGGGTCAGGGTTGAGTAATTTAACTCATTTAAAGTATTCAACTCAACACGAATCGATCCATTGTCAACTCTAAGTTATACAACCGAACTTGGAATCAATTGAAACAGAAAAGAATATCCAAACAAAATTAATTCAAAAAGTAATACTACCGCCATCCCATAAAACCAACACCACCATTTGCCTTTTGCATTATTGTATTAAATATTTTTATATTTGTATAATTTACTTCACAAATGTCATTGTACTTAAAGGCTAATAGAGGTATTTTTGTCAATTTTCTCTTGATCTGTACTACGTTTGATATAATAATTAATATTAAAAAATAAATACGCAAAAAATCCATGTTACTCTTCTTATGGGACGGAGGCAGTACAAAATATCGATTTTTCTGGAATGGGACGAGTGCTTACTTGGTTAAATCTTGGTAACTGGCAGCAAGAAAGAACCGGGCAGCGTCGACCAGGGGAATAACTGCATTGCCCCTTAGGAGTTTCGGACGAAGCTCCAAATAACGCAACGCGGATTCAACTGTCATTGGTATTTTGCACAATGATATGGTGCAGAATCTCACGCATGACTCAACTTCATACTTGTCAGCAGCCAACAAAACATCCAATAAAGTCGACGGTGTAGTTCTTGATAGTGTATTGCTGTACATGAACTTTAGCAAATCCATGAAGGCATCTTCCTCTGTTACCAAACAGGAGATCAAAGCTAATTATCGGTCGACCATATGTATTATAGAACATATGCACGCACAAAACATAGTATCAGAGAGTTGGAAAATTTAGGGGGCCACGTGTAGATATTTCATAGAAGTTCGGGAAAGGGATAATTCAAAGATGATGTGAACATAGTTTACGTTGAAATAGAGATTTCAAACAAATTAATCTAATGCTAACTTTGTCAAAAATAAATATTAAGTATCAAAATGTAGAGCTGAAATTTAATAGATGATTGCTAAGGTTGAGAAAAGCGTAGACTTGTATGGATAGATAGGTAGCTGATTTCTAACGGTGTTTGTCCAATTATTTGTTTCACCTAAGTCATGTTGTACTCAATTTAGGGTTTCGTCCAATTATTTGTTTCACCTAGCATATAACATGTATTGTAGACTTGTGGTATCTCACATTGCATTACAAAGTAGCATTCTGATTTTGATAGCAATGGCAGCACTTTTACTTCATAGTGTGAGGTGAACTCACCTACTAAAATATATAATCTAACTCGTTATTAGTTCAAGCACAAAACCATGACACAGACAGTTGTTCTGTTCGACAATCTATGATGCTGAGCTATTATGTTTAATTTTATATTCATGATGTTGGTCGTGATAGCTGTCCGTAGTCATTTCCGTAGACTACCCCACATGAGTTAGCTAGCTTGGTAAGTTATTGGCATATTACATGTGTGGATATTTTAAGTTCTTCTATCTAACTCGTGCATATCAATTTCTCGGCTTCCATTGTTGGGAAAACAATTTGATTAAGTGGAAGACCTACATTTGATCAAAGGGATAAGCGATACTTAGGAAACAAGAAAAAGATAGTTCCAAACTCGTTTATACGGTTATACCTATCCAAACATAGAGCTAGAGTCTAATCGAACACACTACCAAACTCATTCAAATACAATAGCAACAACCATTTCCTTCTATATCTCATAAGTTGTCATATGGGGATAGTTTGCTCATACTACCAATGTCTATGGAGATGAGATACAATTGAACTTATATAGTAATATGCTCGTAGGTTGAAGTTTCAATTTGCAAAAAGTGTTGTTTGTGAAGTTCCACTCTACGCCAACTCGAGAGGGAACACTAGGAGATAATGCATACTATAAATAAATGTGTTTTCTATATTGGAATATTCTATAGATTGTCAATGTTTAGAAGCCTCATATTAGGATTTCATATCAAGAGTTATTACATTCCAAGACTATCTTCATTTCTATCAACATATGCAATGCTCTGTTGTATTATTAACGGGAGATAAGGTTCTTGGTTTGTAATAATGTTACCTGAAGCTTGGATTTGTAGAGTAACCTCTCGCTGATCTGATTCTCTCGGGCCATTTGAAAACAACTAAAACCACATGAAATGTTGAAATCAATGACACAGCGACATGAGGCGAGTCGAGAACATTTTCATAAAAAGAACAGTTTACCTTGTAGAAAAATGGGCTTTTTGCAGCCAAAATTGGAGAGCTGATGTGAATGGTCTTAACCTGAGACGGCGAATAGTCCATGCTGAAAAATTCATCGTTCTCCGCAGCTTCATGACCTACTTGATGGATTTCAAGATGGAGACTTTCAAAGCCAAGAAATATATTTTAAGCACAATGTGCAGCTACATTTTTATCGTCCTCAGCAATCAATATAGGAAACAATTTTAGGAATTCTAATAAGGCTCTTAACCAAGCAAAACAAAATGAAGGATAGATTAATTATACCTGATTGCTTTGTTGCTATTTCTGCAACCACAGGTGATTCATCAATCATTTCTGCAGCTTCATCCTCTTGGTTTTCATGAGCATCCAGATCTTCTAATGCCAAATTTCTGTAATTCAATCCACGCTCGTCACACTGACCAGTTGTTTCTGCAGAGTAAGAAAAAACACATCCAAATTAGCAAACTCAAGGCTTATAGAGCTTGAAAGAACATGGCAACATCGAATATTATATCAAATGTTATATCTTGCCCCTATATGAGTGTCTAAATTACGTGGAACTTACTTTCCTGTACATAAAATGGCACAAAACCAGCCAAACCCGAATATCTTACAGGAGAAAAGATTAAGGGTGGACATTGAACATTAAAGGACATATAGAGATCATCCCAAGTTTTACAGGGCGATAAATGACTGCAATGAAATAGTAAAATTACTCAATATTCACCATGCCGTGAAATGAAAGGGCATTCATAATTTCAGTGTTTTCTTCTTCGTGCTGGTAAATGCCACTCAATCAAGAAAAGATACCAAACATGAGTGACAAACTTATAGAAGGTCAGGCACATGCCTATCTTCGGTTCCAACTCCATGTCAAATTAGGAATATACATACAACAAAAACTAAAAAAACAAATTCACACACAAATTCAACCTGACGATCAAACAATAAACGGCAGTCAAGCAGCATCCTTACCCCCACAAGATATGAATACAATGCAACAAATTTGATGAACTAGAAAACAAAAATAATAATAATAATAACAATAATAAATTACAGCAACTACAAGTCAACCAAAGCATCATTACTTCAACAAACAAAGCACCAATTAACCACCTAAACTCTGTTCTCGTTAAGGCATTCTCAAACATCAGATCCAAACACAGCATTATGTCAGTTCCTTCCACATTGCTCTCATATTTTTATCTCCAAACACAACAAATTTCTCACTACAACTGGTTGCATTCAAATCCACAATACATTTGTAAGTTCAAATAATTCCCATTTCTTGATATATGGAAAACCCTAGCGACATCTAATAGCTGAAATCCCAAATGACCAATTCAAAATCATAAGAACTATTCAGAAAAATTGCATTAAATACCCTAACAAACATAGGAACTTGTGAAAAAAATCCATTCGAAAACATAACTACTGAAAACAACAATCGAACCCCACAGGTCCTTCAAATCCACGAGCTACGCACAATTTCCCTAAAAGAATCCCCAAAAACTCCATCGATTTGAAATTTCGTCGCGATACAGATTAGAGCCAACACATTGACAGGCGCAAAGGTACCACAAATTAGGGCAAAAAAAAACACAAAATCGATACCTTCAGCATTGGCTAGGGCGTCACCACGGCGGCGCTTCCGATTGCGCGCCAAATCGTGATGGATATCGTCCTGGTCAGGTTTGGGCCCCGGCAACTCCTGCAAAATCTCGATCCGAAGCGTCCTGTCGGAGAAATTGGCATCATCAAAGGCGAAACCAAAGTCCAGCGAGCCGGTGTACTGCGAAGCACTCGACGACTCCATTAGCATCGCTTTTGGACGAAACCGATCGAAATTCGACAATTGACCGAGCCACGGCAACCTTCTTGTACAAGAAATTTAGCTCATCAAACCAGAAACGCAAGATTGTGGACGTTTCCTGAAGAATTGAGAAGCGAAGCAGAAGTAACGACAGAGAAAGATTCAAGGAGAAAGAGACGATTTTTCTGGAGTTTGCTTCTGGAGGGTTTAAACTATGTTCATATATTTATAGGTCGGTCTCAAGAACATACATACACATATACATACACATATATATATAATAGTTATATAAACAATAAAATAAATGGATACGTGTATAGAATATTTTGATAAAATGGTAAGTTCATTTATTCACTTATATTTTGTTTATTTCATATTTTCTTTGAGTTATATAATTCGAATGTTATTTGGTTTATATAAATTGAGAAATAAAGAAAAATGATTTTATATATTTTTAATTTTTTTTATTTTTTATTATTTAATTTTTATTATTTCTAAAAATTATATTATTTTAATTTTATAAAAATCAAATTTAATTTATTGTTAAAGTATTTAATTTTTACGATTTTTTAACAAATTGTATTAAAATATAATTTTAAAAAACATGCGTATATAATTTATAATTTTTTTAAAAAATAGTCACCAAAAATATTTTTCATAAATTATCATTAGTTAAAACTTTCTTTTTATCTCTGTTAATCATTAATTCTTATTTGATTCATTCACATAGATGCATTTTTTTTTTTAACATCTTTAGATTGAATTTTCTGTTTTTACCAAAGAAGAAAATTAATTCTCATTCTCTACTCAATTTCATTTCTTTTCAATTTTATTCTCTACTTTCGTTCTTGTTACAATTCCATTTTATGTATCAAACGCCCAGGAGTGTGTTTATTTGAAGGATATTGACAAAATTATATTATTCATATAATTTTTTTTAAAAAATATCACTTAAATATTATTTTTTATTTTTTATATTATACTAAAAAAAATAATTTTAAATTCAAAATATTATATCAATATTTTTATTATTTAACTTTCAACTCAAAATCTAAACTCACAAACAAACAAACCCTAGATATAGAAAGTACAGTATTAGATCATTTTTCTTTTTTTATTTTTTCTTTTGTTATTATTATTATTATTATTATTATTTGTGTGTGTGTGAATGAATTTTAAATTAAATGAAAAAAAATAATGATATTTATGCAAAATAATAAAAAAAAATAGACTATGATATGGTTATTTATAGTAATATTATTATATGTTTTTAAATATGAAATTAATATTTGTATAACATATAAATAAATAAAAATTGAAATTGACATTGACATTTTCTTTTAAAAGAATTTAATGAATAGTAAAGGAATTTACAAACTCGTCCAACCAAACACAAATGTTCTACTTCCTCTGTCCAAAAAATATAGTCTTATTGTATTGGGACGAGATTTAAAAAATATTGATATTATATTGATAGTTGGTAGAAGGTAAGAATAATGACCTTTTTGTCCTTGTGAGTATATTAGTGTAAAAAGTAGCGGCAATTGTATAATAATAATGAAAAAATAGAGATAATTTTACGGTGATATGATTATTTATAAAAAATAAAGATAATTTTACGGTGATATGGTTATTTATGAAAATGAAACTATTGTTTTGAGACGGACAAAAATAGTAAATAACACTATTGTATTAGGACGAATGAAGTATAATATTAATAATGATTTCAATATTTTCATTGTATTACTTTTAATATATTTGTTTATATTATATTTAGAAATTTAAAAGGTTTTATATAAATACAAAAATGTAAAAGGTTTAAAATATTTTAAATTAAAAATAATACTCTCTCCGTCCCAATACAATAGTCCTAATTACCATTACTATTTTTATCCATCTCAAAATAATAGTCTCATTTTCATAAATAATCATATTACTATAAAACTAACATTACTTTTTCTTTATTATTATACAATTGTCACTACTTTCTACACTAATACACTCACAAGGGCAAAAAAATCTTTTACTTTTGTTTTTTACCCACTGTCAATATAATATCAATATTCCTTAAATTTCGTGTCAAACCCAACTCAAACTAGAACAAATAGAGTAGTAAAAAACACAAATAGTAAAAAACACAAACAAACTAATATATTAACATATTTTTAATTATTAGTTAAGTATTCGTAATTTCAATATGTAAATATGTGTGTGGGAAAAATTTGTTTGTTTAGTGTTTTAATTTGATATATTGATAATTGTACAAATTATAAAAAAAAAAAAAAAAAAATGTAAAAATAGTTTTATTAGTGTATTGTAATACTAAAAAAAATAAATTGCAAAAATAAATTATCTAATGTTTTAATTTGATATTTTATACTAAAAAAAATTATACAAATATAAAGATATTTTTAATATTAAAATATAATAAATCAAAATATAAATATGAATGAAATATTGTATTATCTTAGTACACTTTTGAGTATATTGTGTAATTTTTTAAAAATATATTGTAATAATATAATATTATTATATTATAATTTTTTTAATCATATATAATTATAATAATTATTTTTATATACCACGTTTTTTTAATTTTTTATAAAAACTAATACTCTCTCTCTTGGCCGCATCCAAAATATTCATCTGAATTTTTGTAATAAATAAAAAAATAATAATATTTTATTTGTCGGGGGAAGTAAAAAAATAATTTTGATATTTTTATTATTTATATTTTATGAATAAATTTGTTATATATTTATTGATATATTTATAATTTATAATTTATATAAAAATTTAAAATATTTTAATATTAGTGTTAAATTATTTTTCCTATAATAAAAAATAATTATTTGTAACTATAATAGAAAAAAAAAATTTCTTTTTGTTTGTATATGGATTTAAATTTAATTTAAATAATATTTTATAAAAAGATTAATATATTTTGCTAAGAATTTTGCAAACTAAGAAGGTTCCCCCCTCCTTTTTTTAATACTTCCTCCATTCCATGTAATTTGTCCATATTTTCTATTTTCGTCCGTCCCACATCACTTGTTCTTTCTATTTTTGAAAATATAATTATACACTTTAATCGTATTTTAAATTTTAAATTTTATAATTTTCTTAATTTTAATTAAACTATTTACTTATTTTAATCTTAATCTATAATTATTTTTACTAAATAATAATTATTTTTACTAATACACTTCTTAGTTACTTACTAATTATACTTTACTTAAATTCTCATGTCTACGGTAATACACCCATATTACATGGACAAAGAGGAAGTACAAAATAAACAAATACAAATACAAACTTTTTAAGAAAAAATAATAAGTTCTCTTATTGGGCCATCTTTGCATTGGGCCTATAAAATTTTGTGAGTTTTGGTTATTGGGCTGTCTTTATTATTATATGTCTTTATTGTGAATAAATAGATATGGATTGTAAATGAAAAAATAATAATAATAATAATAATAAAGTTTATTCACTTTGTGTTTTTCAATAAATGTATTTTTTATATTAACTACTCTCTTCGTCCGACTCTAAGGGTCTTATTTAACTTTTACGTCATTGTACTTAACATTTAAATATCATTATACTTGTCTTTTTTTTTTGTACAAATATCATTTTAATAGTATTATAAAACACTATAAAAGTATTGTTGTTTTTTTCTCTTGACTTATACTACGTTTTTATATAATAATTAATATTTAAATATCAATACGAAAAAAAAATAAATAAAACTCTAAAAATCAGACGGAGATAATATGAAAAATTATGTTAATAATATAAAATATAATATTTCATATTAAATTATTGATTTTTATAAATAATAAATTATATATATGATTATATATAATGTGTTAATATATATGTATATTATATTTTTAATAATATTTATAAGAAATCGTTCCACTAAAAAATACTACGAGACAACTCCTATATACATATGTTCTTTTTTAAGTTTTATTTAATTATTTTATTTACTATAGAATTCATTATTTTTAATGTAAATATACTCAAGGTATGTTTGATTATCTGGCTAAAATGTAGTTTGAAGTTAGGCTAAATTGAATTTATTTTAATTGAATCTGATTCCTAACACAAACTCATGTCCAATTTACTACTCTTTCCGTCCCAATACAATAGTCTTATTTACCATTTTTATTCGTCCGAAAACAAAAGTTTCATTTTCATAAATAACCATATCACTGTAAAATTACTTTTGTATTTTCATTATTATTACACAATTGCTACTATTTTTTACATTAATACACTCACAATGGCAAAAAAGTCTTTTACCTGTGCTTTTTGTTCACTACCCGTATAATATCAATATTCCTTAAATTATGTGTCAAACACAACTGTTCTAGGACGGAAATAGATATTATTAGTTTGAACGAGTATTTAGAATGTTCAACAATTATTGGTCATTTTCTATTTTTATACACAAAATTTATTAATTTATTCTTACTTTATTTACTTTTTTTTTCTATACACAAAAATAAAATAAATAGCAAATTTGTCATTTTATAATAAAAATTAATTACTTAAAAATATGTGTAAATATCCTAGAACATTAAAAACTGGACCGATGAAGTACATGAATGCATTCCTTAAGTGTCTATACACTATTACCTTTTCTTTTTTTTTTTTTTTTTTTATCTGCATTAACATTCAAATTACGGTGTTTTTTTAATATTTACCGTAGTATCATCACTTTTAGTCTATTAAAATATTAATTTATATAAATTTTGAAAATATTATAATAATTTAATTGATATTTTTAATATTAATATTGTATGATTTTGTAAGAGTAGTGGCGTTTGACAAAATACTTATATTATAATATTTTTATTAATAAATTGTATTTACTTATTTTAATTTAATAGTATTCAATTTAATTGCTTATTAAAATTATTGTGTCAATGATTAATTTTTATAAAAAAAATAATAATATTATTAATAAATATTATCGTAATATTCTAATATTTATTACTTATATAAATCAATAATAATATATATTTAAAAATGCTTATTGGCATAGATTTCATATCATACAGTTTCTTTATAATTTCAGATGATAATCCAATAAAATTCATAGTTTTATTTGTTTGTTTTGTGTTTTTGTTTTATGTATTTTCTTATATAAAATATATAAAATTGTATCGATAATATAAATAATAATATTTTATGTTGAATTTTTACTTTTTA